GAGACGAGGTTTGAAAAACGATCCAACAAATGTAGCAGATCGACGAGATACCGTCGTCGTAAGTGGATTGACTTGGTTGGCTGGTTTTTAATCGTGTTGTGTAAGCTAATGACCAGCAGGTTGATTTTGAACAGCGCGAGTAGCAACAATCTATTACCTTAAGTAACTCGAACATTATAAATATACTTTTGGTAAATGCCTTCATCGGGTCCAAGGAGAAAAAGAGACCGAAAACCCACACATCATATTCGAAGGCGATTATACAATAACGGAAACAGCGTTTCCGGTATTTTTTTAAAACTTTTTACTTAATAAAAATTTATTATGCATGTAAAGTGCTTCTCCATATTTTACGTGCTTCATATTACATGTCTAATAGCAGTATATGATCTAGTTTTAAGGCAGCCGGCAAAGAATGGGATAAATGTCAAGTTAGTGACTTACAATAATTTATTACAATGCAATAACAGGATGACAGAAATCAAGTATAAAACTTACAACTATTCTGTAACGCTGTCGTTTACTTTGTACAACAATTTAGTATCAGAATCAAATTCACCAAAAGATGTGGGCATTACAACGAAGGAAGAATTAATTGTTGACAAGAAAAAAGTTACCCATCACCCAGCAGAAGAAGGGAACAGATCAATGACATGACATGACGACGAGGACATGACAGGATCCATTGCATCGCCAGTATTCATGCAAATACGACTAGCAGACAGAGGCGATTGTAAACTTGTGAGAAGAGTGTGTAAATAGGCGGAGGGACGTGGATTTGAGATGGACCGACTGACTGACAGGTCACACAAAGTGTCAGTAAATCCTCTCAATGAAACCGCACAGTTTCCATGCATTATGTGGATTGAATCGAAATGCCAAAAATAAACACTGGGAACTAAAGAATTCCGAGCTGCCGAATGAATGTTTTGACTTGACGGATTAGACAAGGGAGGTTAGGTTTTAGGTGATCCCTGAGGACCGTGTGTGAGGTGCTAGCCTTTGGTGCTGACTCTACAATGCCACTCACTATGTGCGCCAGGATGATGATTGAAAACGGTTGTCGTCGCTCATTTCCATGCATCAATACCACGACTATGGAAAGCGGATTCCGATTTATGTAGTTGGCCTGGTTCGTCCTTTGTATACCTCCGTCCCATTTTATCCCAAACATTATAACAACATGCGGATTAGTCTCACTTTTTTCATCCCTTCAGTTCAAACTGGCAGAGTCGTACATGAATACTTTGCATTTTCAGGGGAGGATAAGTTCAGTGAGATGAGCTAAGCTTTTAAGCACTAGTCTTTACATGCACCAAATGAAAGGATGATCAACTTTTGTGGGCATTTATTCATATAGTTCTACTGGTTGTGGTGGCTCCACAATTTTTCAGTGGCTACAAATCTCCTCATCTGTTTTACTTTACGTAAACTAACCTTTTTATCCTGAGATGTGTTGCAAAGTCGGCGACCAGATTAAAGTAGACGTTGACAGTGACGACCAACAGAAACAGTCGCGACCGTACATGCACAAGCAGTACATGACGACAGAACGGTAGCCCTGTCTGCCCGAGGTTGAGACATGATCCCTTCACCCCACGCATGCACAACAAACGCATATAGAATTACTTAACAACGTAAACACAGACAACTTGGTGACGCTCGTCTCAACTTTGTGTTGACGCTTTTTGCGTAAGTGTTCGTTCTTCATTAGACAATACGTCTGCAATGTGTGCGAGTAGCTATCACCTTGGTCCGGCTGGGTAAAAAACTAATGATTGTGAAAGTAAGCTGGGGTTATAATCAATCTATTTATTTAGTCTTGTTGATACCGTCCTGTCACTGTTTCCATTTTCACTAAAATGCTCTCAGTCCCTCATTCTATGGCGCCTGAACAGATTACGAACCTACTGATCCAGAACAGTGTGGTTATACTACAGATTTATTCAGAATTTGGCTGACCATGGAAGAGTTTCATGCAGCATATTAGTAAATGCGTATATTTAAATGCATATAAAATATGAAATACGGAAACTCAAAAGTCAAGATATTTAATTATTTGCAGCATGTGTATATTTTAACTAAGGAGTGTATTAGTGGTAATTAATAATTAATCTTTTGATTTGGCAAATCACCACAAAAAATTAGGTGAAATAATGTGTGCAGTTAAATAATCTCAGACCTCGCAGGCATTTTTTAGTCGTTATAAATGTACATGCATACGTATATGAATCTTGTCAAGAACAATATTCAAACCACTTTATTGTCCATACATAATTCCTTTAACGCCAGTGAGTAGAATGGTGCGATGGGAGGCGGTGAAGCGTTGATGGTCTTCATGCACAGGATTTTTAAAGTGTTGTTGTACAACAGTATGTTTTGGGTAAGATCAAAGCAGACCGGTGACCCGGAATTGGTGTTGGAGCTTGAAACAAGTGATTTATGCAGCATCCCATTTAATTTAATTACATTGTCCGGCCTAATGATGAGTGCTGAGCCTTCATTAAAATCATCTCTTTTGACACCCAAGCAAGCAAGAATAATACTTGTTCGCACGACCACATCGTACAATACCACCCAAGCAAAAACTAAATAGAAAACGCTAAACATTATTTAACAAACATCAGCAAGTAGGCATTTTGTGTACCATACATGCATATCTACTTGTAAATATGTATTAGTAGGTACTCAAGTTCCTTTACAAACCTCTTCTAAAAACGAAATGAACCGTCACTAACCACTGACTGAGGAGACTTGAGCTCAAATGCAGCATTAAATATTAGGCAAAAAGTCGGTAATTGAAACGAATTCACTCATCCCCCCGTTTCATTTACCTACACCCACTAATGCACATTTGGGAGCATTAAGCGGAAGAAAAATAAAAGGCTAACACAAAATATGACTCATTATTTTACATTATTATGTAATATATCCTTCACGATTTGACCGACAAGGCGATTTGATGCTCGTATGCACTGCTATAAGGAAAAAATGAGTGAAAAAAGTCCCTTGGGCTTAAGAAGAACATCCACTAGAAATAAATTTGTGCCTACATGTGTGTGTGTGTGGTTGCTTTATTATTACTTGCTTTTGTGATGATGTTTCTCATCTTGTGTTTGTTTCATCGTTCTTTTGTATCCGGTTATTTACAATGTTATCATCTTCGTACTGGTACGCGTAGTTTTGAAAAGTGGGCACAAGTGCGATAAAAAATCCTGCACCTCTCCCATCGGTCCAACATGGTTTAATTCTCCGTCTCATAAATCCTCCACCCATCGACAATTACTCTTTGTCCTGTGCGTGCAGTAATTTTCAACGGCTCAAGCATTCTAGTAGTGCATAAGTAACTGAGTTAGTTGTCAGAACTTAGTGAATCTGGCATTATCGTTGTTAATGTGGCCGACTTTTTATCATCACTTGTACATGGCCTGATATATCGGTATATCGTTTGTGTGCTTTCGTCTTGCTTTGTGGTGGTAAAATAATTTATGCATCTCCGATTCCAATTAACACTTTGCTGTACATCGCGTGAGTATTAGTTTCTCTCTGACGACTAATGAAATATGAATTTATTCTCATTGAGTCTTTTTAAACGATATTTCATATTTCGTGATCATAACTTTTCTGCACTCTCAAAGTGTCCGGCACTCAGAAGGGTTCCTACTTAAATCCAATATCTGAAATTTATTGCTCTCCTCAATCAACAACACACTGTTTCTCAATTACATTGAAAATTTGAAAACCTGACATTTCCATGATTGCAAGTTCATGTAGTTTTCCTCGTGCATCACACACAAGTCCATATTTTGACATGCATATGCATGCGCCGCCGGTATGTGTGAGCTGCAGCGATAATCAATTTTTCAAAACCATATTAATTACTGTTAGCTACAACCACTTTTGATATGCATATTCATATGTAAAGATTGCTGCTAGAAGAAGTGTCTGTAGTGGATAACTTTGTCTGAAGTTATTTACAAAAAGTAAAGTGCACAAATTGGCCTCATTATGGACTGATTATAAATGATAACTGTGGCGATGAGTATGTTCAAAACCTGTGTATTGGGCTGGTGGACGAGTAATTCACACGTTTACTGTTGGCATAGATGGGCTATCTGTGTGTGAATGCAGGAAGTGTTAAAAAGTAGAAGCAACGACATAAATAACATAAATTTTTCACCATTTTAAAATCACTAATTGCGTCATAAAAAATCGTATAGAGCTATAATTTATGCTTTCCTATAGGCAAGCCTAATTATTATTTATTAATTATACTTGGAGGTTTTAGGAAATCGCTTTGTGTTTGCTTAAACGGCTTAATTGTACAATTTTCCGGTGGTTAACAATAATTACATGGAATCTGCATAATCTTATTTGCTTACTTCTATCTACATACATCACATGCATGCTTAGCGAAATAAATATTTACTCAGACTATTTTTTGCAAACCGTACCAACATTGTTCAAACTTTGATAATTAAGTCATATTGTACGATTCCATCCAAATTTTCATCATGAACAATTCATATGAAATTCGTATTATTTCTGAGCATTGCATCGTCTTGTTTTAAATCTAGGCTCACATTCTAAAAATGTTAAACTGGAAGCCATCTGCCTTCATTCATGAATGTACTTCATTTCTGGTTGCGAGGTTCTCGTCGAGAGGGTTCAAGTTGTCCAATGCGTGCAATGAGGTTAAAAATGGAAAGATGAATTTAAAAGATATAGTAATTTCGTAAGTAATTTCGTACTTATATGTAAAAAAAAACATATTGTGAACATGGTCAAACTCGTGGCGCATCGATGTCAACGTATTAAAAAATAATTAATAATGAAACTATGAGTCACATTTGGCACAATAATTTTAAAACTATATGCAACCACTCCCCCTGTAAATTAAAGGGAAATTGAGAGAAATGAGAAAATAAATGTACGCGTGGCAAAGTAAGACTTATTTAACTTGCTCGTTAGCATTATCCATCCAGGACTGGAAAGTGGCATAAGTACGTACATATATAGTTATTTATTCAGCGTATTATGTACCGTTGTAAAACACCTCGGTAATTATGAAACGAATTTGTTTATGATTTTATTTTTACATATGTCCAAAATATGGAAGGTTAATATCTTATGTTGGGTGAATCATACACATGTAATTATGTATAATTTTAAATTTATACATAATTCATACATGTATTCACAATATCAAATTCCTGGTTGTTTATGAAGAAACTGGCTTCTTATATTTTGCAAGATATGCTTTACGAGAATCCATTTCATCCGATAAGCCATGGGTTATCGGATTACCTCTTTCATGTGCGGTCCATACTGGCGCTCCAATGAAAAACTATAATTTATATTCTAATATACAGTCAATGGAAAAAGTATTGGCAACCCCCACGTCAGCTAAATAAAATTGGCTGTAGCCTTGGAGTGCATTATACAATTGGCATGAAAATTTGTACGCATGTAGCAAATATAATGTAGTTTTCGATTATAATCATGTTTTATTGATTAAAATTAGATTAACACAGTTTTTAAATAATTTGTTGGAAAATTTGCAAAATTAACCCGCCAAAAGTATTGGCAACATGTGGCCAAATTAATTACGCGGAACAATTTTCTTAATCACCTACCACATTTCATTACGGTAAGTTAATTAGGTGACAAAATATGACGATAGCTACATTTTAAGTCAGCAGTTGTGTTGTCTGGAATCAAAATGGCGACACCAAACGAGCTATTTTTGGCGCGGCGAGAAATATTCATTTATTTTTCGCAAAAAAAACCTGGATATCTAAAAATCAATGGAACACATACTTTTTCATATTTACTATTGGAAATGTAGCCAAGAAATATAAAATGGCAATTTTAGTTTCTGCTTTTCCATGGTTGCGGAAGAAAAAAGTCACCTTCGCCCAAAGGCAAATGATGAATCAAGCAATAAATTACTTGAAATCGGAAGATTTCAACATCCAAAACCAATTAGAATTTGAGAACCAACTGTGGAGTCAATATTTCATACAATATGGTGATCAATCAAAAATCCTACCAAGGGGTTTTAGGGTCCAGTAGCCCCATAGAAGAGAAGGCCCCGAAACGAACCAACTCAAGGTATTTAAATCAGCTAAATACCACCCAAAATAGACTTCCAATGGATGAAGAAGGGTCTAGTGGTCTCACATAAGTAAATTTAACTTATTCGGTGCGGGTTCGATGGTTAGAGTTTGGAGGATGCAAAATGAGGCTCTCAAAAATGAATGCTGCCGTCTGGGAGTCAAGCTCGGAGGAGGATCGATTATGGTTTGGGGTTGAATGACTAGGTCGTTGCGTAGTTAGCTGGTCATTATCGATGAAGTTATGACCAATGAGGTCTAAATAATCATTCCAAGCGATAATTTGAAATTATTTGGCAAAAACCTGACCTAGGAAGGAATTTAATGTTCTAAAAATGCAGTGACCACAAATATGTAGCCAAATTAGCAATGCAAGTTTTTGGGGCTCTACGAGGTTAAGCTTCTCTCGTTGGTTGAACAGTCTACCGATGTGAATCTGATTGTCTGGGTTGAGAAAGGAGAGACTGATGGAAAACCACTCGTCAAAAAACGAGCTGGCCAAAATTTCGAACGAAGATTAGGCAGACATGTTAACAAGCGTTATAAAAAGATTTTTCCAATCAATTACAATGCGTATTTCTGCTCTTATTGTGTCGAGGGGAGGTGATATGTATTACTAGAAGCAGTTTGTCGCAATAAAATTTGCGTTTTATTGATTTATAATTTTTTAAGCTAAGGGTTGCCAATACTTTTTGCGGGTTAATTTTGCAAATTTTCCAACAAATTATTCAAAAACTGTGTTAATCTAATTTTAATCAATAAAACATGATTATAATCGAAAACTACATTATATTTGCTAAATGCGTACAAATTTTCATGCCAATTGTATAATGCATTCCAAGGCTACAGCCAATTTTATTTAGCTGGCGTGGGGGTTGCCAATACTTTTTCCATTGACTGTAAGTCTACATAGATCATATTTAACCGTGCCTGGGACAGTGAATTTCTAAAAAATGATGTTAAGGGCTAATTTTTGGAGAGAATGGAAAAGGGATCCGTAATTCTGTGGAGAAACCCATTCCCCACATATTTGCGGATCCATTTTCCATTCTGTCCAAAAATGAGCCCTTAACATCATTCTGAAGAAATTATTTTTGTGCCCGCGTCCCAGGCATGTAAATGTTTAGATAAGATTTATTTATTTACACGTTTGGCTTTAATGTACCGATCCTTATCCAGAACAAGTCTATGATAAATTCCAGCCGGGAGGATGATCAAGTCTCCACCCACAACCTCTATTCGAATCCAGTCATCGCTATTTGCATCCCGAACGTCGAAATAACCTTTCCCAGCCAAAATGAACCTTATTTCCTCGTCTGTGTGCAGATGCTCCGATGCAAACTTTTTGATCTATTCAAACAAAACGAACTCATCCTCAGCGTCCTTCAGTACCATGCAATATGTATTTATAAACATAAGCGTATGCTATTCTACCATGACATCAAAGTTGGGCAACGTCTTAGAAGAAACTTCGATCTCATCTGCATATGTATATCCTCGACATTTTCGAATTTCGTCCAAAGTTCCATCCTCATTGTAAGTATCTGCGTTCAGCTAATAAGAGACAAACTTATTTTTTCAAAACTTTCGAGTTAAAATTAAAAACTTTTACTTTACACTTAAAATAGGACTGTAAAAGGGGGTTACAAAATTTTGCCTTACTTTCCAGTATAAAACTCCCGTGTGTTCCTTCAAATCCTCCAAATTCACAAGTTCTCTCTCATTCTCTGACAATTCTAGCTTGTTTTCGTCCAATTTGGACTCATCGATATGCCAAGCCCTCACCATATTCTCAATTTGTTTGAAATTTGTGAACCTTATTTTATACGCAAGTTATTATTCTTTGCTATAGCATACACTGTCACAAGACGACGAAACTACACTTGAATTAGTTGAAGTTTAGTTGAACAATCACATGTTTATTAGTATCATACCAACTCGACAGTTATATGGTTAAAGTGGATTTTAGGTTCCTATCCTATATATGAATCATGCAATATGATGCTGGTTTATGCATGCAGCATCTTTTTTAGGGTTCATTCAAATGAATACCAAACAACACTAGACGTAAACATAGAGCTGTATAATACACGTGAACAGCATAAAAACATGACAATAAATGAGATAACTCGGTCTATCGACCTAGTAAATATTTTTAAGCGAATTGTATAATGAACTTTCTAATTAGTGTTGGATGATACTATAGTATTTAATTATAATTAAATGAGTTAAGCATGTATGAATTAAATTTTTGAATCATTGATTTCAATTTTGAGCTGTTGCTAATAAGTGGAGTCTTCTAGTTTTATTATTGCTTCATGTAATTATCAATAACATAAATATGTAGTGTGTACATATATTCATTACATTTCACATATATGTACATAAATGATATTAATGACTTGGTATACTTTGAACTTTTGCTGCATGGCTTTCCATGAAGCACGTTTACTGTAGGTTTTCGAAATTAATAATACTATTGTTTACTTGGCATTCACATTCGACATAATGCGGGAACAAAAACACCATTTTCATGTGTGAAAAAAATAGAATTCACATTATTAAATTTGTCGATGTATGTATGCATAAATTATTCTAAAACTCTCCTTCACTTTCCTTTTCTCAGCATGCGACCTGAGATTAGATATAATGGAGCGTTACGAGGCCGAACACTTCATTTGAGTTTCGTTAAATTTCTCCCACTTGAAACAAACTATTTAAAAAATATATATAAATTCCTGCGAGCGTTGTATATTTATCTACAAAGTGGAATACTTAAAAAATCGTCTCAAGTATCTTTCTAATATTGCAATAATGGAAATGTTGAGAAGATCTGGAATTTGTTTGTAATGAGAACGAGTATGATTGTCAGCAACAATAATCTAACTTTGTCTTTTGTGCTTGGCTTTCCCTCGGCTTGCTCCGTTTGAAGACATTGACGTAGATATCTTTACGCGTGAGTCTGGACTGTCGTCGGACCACCGGATGTGCTCCAGTTTCCCCAAGATGATTCGCTCCGTGGCCAAACCAGCAATGAGCTAAAGTTAATATTATGTAGGTTACCAAGAGCTGTGTTTAGTTTAATTATTTAATTGATTTTACCCAGAATGGCGCATATTCCAGAGTCACCAGTCCTCCGATATTGTAGCTGAATTCCCTGCAAAAGTTAAATTCAAATTACATACAAATCATTTACTTATTGCAAGCTGGTTGAGGAACAAATAAATAACGTACGAGTAGTCCCATGGACAAGCATTAAAATAGGTCAGAATGTAGCCAGAAGTGAACTGTAACACATAAGTACCCACTAGTTAGCAAGTATGCACAAAATTGCAGTTTTAAAAATATTTTGGCAGTGGTTTCGTACTGCATACATACATACCTCCCAAAAGTAGACGGTGAGCAGGTACGCAATTGATCGGAACGCTATCGAGATCTCCTTACGATGGAGAAAGTAGCTCATCTTTTCCAACGCTAATCCACACGTGCCGTAAATCAAGAGAGACCACAAACTGGAGCATCCTGCAAAATTATTTTACAATTTTTATAAACGCTTGAAGTTGTATTGGCACTTTGTATTCCAGACTTCCCTGTATTAATATCTAACTTACCTGCCAGCTTCCAACTTTTTGTAGTTAGAAAAAAATCCCAAATTGCGGTAAAACTGACTTCAATGAAATACCCATGCAGAGCATAGATGTACAATCTGAGCAAAGTAGACAAATGTTTTGGCGTTCCAAAAGGCAAAACTTTTTCCTGTCGCTCCATGTGCATAAATGTCTATCGCAAATGAATAGTTGTTTCAATCCGTCTTCTCCAAGTAATACTGCTGGACAGGATATGATGTCTCGTATCGTCTCGTCTTCTGTTCGGTCAAGTTATTCTCTCCCAAGAATCCACAGTGCAAAATGCGTAGCAAAAAGTAAATTACAAACTGGGATTCTTGAATATGAACTGTACGAAGTAGAGTCCATATTTAGTACATGTTCAAGGAAATTGAAAAAAAGTCCGTGTCCGTTGGCTTGGCTTCTGTTTGAAAAATTCAGGCAATGAGAAATTGATTGACTTTACCCAACTCATTACAGTCTACATATACACACCCCACTAATGACTTATAATTTATGAAGCACCGAAATATGCATGCTCTTCTACGTATGTATTGACCAGCTTTTTATCCACCCCATTCCATGAATTAATGATTTAAGATAATAGATTATTCATAAGATGAGTCCGATGGGGATATTATTATTATACGTACGTACACTCACAGCAAGAATATTCTTTGCCAAAAGTTATAGCGTTTAAGGACGAGGAAGCAGCAGCAGCAGCAACTACAGCAATAATGAATCAACTAAATAAATAAGTGTAGCGAGCAATGAATGAACAGGTTTCCTTCGCATTATTTGTGTTGTATGTATATCTTACCACATTTGAACCGTTGGTTGTCATGCAAAGAACAAGACAAAAAAGTAGAGAAATTCATTCTAGAGACCAAGTCAATCAGGAAAGTCAGCTATGTTATATATCGATACTATAATTCCATGCTTCTGCTCTATCATCGACTTTGTTTTCCTTGCCACTTCTCAAATGAAGCTAGTTCAATAACGTACATAATTCAAATATGTAGTACGCCAAGTAATATCAAACAGGTTGTGTAGAATTGGATGAAAACTTGCTTTACAAACCAACCTGGAATTGAGGACAGGGTACAATACATAAGTCATAATGCCGCCTGCGAATCACCACCGGAAGCAGGGGATTGAATTAAATACCAAATTCTCACCATTACTTGCACTATAGAGAGATGAATTGAAATATCATCAATTTTATGTATTTACTTATTATTATAGCTTTACACATCCAACCAGTATTCACTTCATCCGCATCCACTGCTGCGTCATCACTCGCACAGAAAAATGCGAATATACATATCAACGATTATGAAATTTAGTGTAAAAAATCAGTCAATAGCCATGCACACGACGCGACCCAGGACATTGCACATTTCACGAATCCATGCTCAACAAGACTCATAATAGTTTCCTCTTTATTAGATTGGATTTCAGCTTTCAATGAAAATTCAACTAACAATTCATGACATGCATATCGACAAAAACATCGTGTAAGTCTTGTTTAGTCCTCAACAGAAAATGCGTGACTCACTTACGTTGCACTTTCATAATCAAATTGGCTGACAAAAGACTATTAAATGCAAAATAGCCACAAGTATGTACAATGCTCGAGTAAGGATGTTTTGGGCAATTATATTGCTACCCAAACCTATAATTTCGGTCATGATATTTAAGAAAGTAGTGCCGTGGATATTTTGATGAACAAAGAACACTTTCGAGTATAAATAGCTTTGGAGTTCAATACAAATAGTAACGGATAACGGAGCACTTACAGTGGATACTGGTGGTACCAATGTTCTTGAAGTGAAGCAAATCAACTAGAACTAATTGACAATGGAGGTCCGGACACGTTGTAGTTGACCAACTTCTAAATAATATATTTAGGAAGTAAAGCGAATGAATCTATCGTTCTCTCCGGCTTCTTGGTTTTCTAGGTGGAAAGGGAAGAGAGAAGACATCGGGGAAAGTCGTTCAGATCTCGAGCTTTCTCCCGGATGAAACTCCAAGGTGGTTCCACGTACCAAATCAGAACCAATTCCATTCAAGCAACACTTGTAAAATCATGCATATGGACTTTTGTGCTCCTTATAGCGTCTTCATTTGCATAGTTATTGCATGTTATTTTCGGGGTCTGAAGAAAGTGTGCGACATGCAACTCAATTCAACGTGCAGATATTTAAATTGATCCACTTAAATTTTCATTCTCAATTAATGAAAAGCATTGTTATTGCATGGATAATTTAATTGAATCGTGAGCTGAACCAGCCCAACCGTTTCACAAACGCAGTTTCCATTATTTAGCGAAAGGCAGAGTGAGACTCGGATTCTGGTGGGTATCCACCACCACCGCTGACTGTCGTTGCCAGTGCCGTATGGTGGTCCGTCTCACTTCTCACTCTCTTCAAATTGTTTACCGGGATTATGAACCAACTCGTGTTGAGATGCTTTTCATCTCTTACACGAGTTGGTTCAGTTGATAAATCGTTGAGCTTAAGTTTTAAATTTGGGGCGAATTGGACAAACTGAATTTGCTTATCTTAAAAACTGATAAGCGCAGTGATAAGCCCGATAGCGTTTATTTTCGAGTGGATACTACCATTATATATTCAGATAAGCTTAAGTTTTAAATTTGGGGAGATTTGGACAAACTAAATTTGCTTATCTTAAAAACTGATAAGCGCAGTGATAAGCCCGATAGCGTTAATTTTCGAATGCATATCATCATTATAAATTCAGAAAAGCTTAAGTTTTAAGTTTGGGGCGATTTGGATAAACTAAATTTGCTTATCTGAAAAATTGATAACTTCGTTGATAAGCCTCATAGCGTTAATTTTCGAATGCATATCATCATTATAAATTCAGAAAAGCTTAAGTTTTAAATTTGGGGCGATTTGAGGCTGTTTTAATAGCTTCTATGTAATTACCTTTATGTATATCATAAATACCTATACATTGTTACGGCTCCTGCCGTATAAGCCCCTCCCTCAGAAACTTTGACCCCAAAAAAGTCATGGTAGCGGTCATTTCGCAGCGGACAACAAAAGCGGAAAATGTGGCACTTCTGACGAAGAAAAATCTGGCATCAGGTTGTCAGCCGCGAAATGACCGCTAAGGTCACTTTTTTAACGATTTATATGTAGGTCGAAAAACCGCCAATTTTCGAATTTTGAAAGTCTTGATGCATCAAAATGTTCATATTCATGAGGGAAGTCAAATGTCAAATGCAAGTTGGTATCTACTTCTTTCTGTACCGAGTGTACATTGACCTTCTCATTTTTCCCAATTTTCTTCCCCAATTTTTGAAGGGGGTGTGGTTGAATATAATTCAAAAACAGCTATGCTATATTAATCCCCCCACCCAAAACTGAATTTGTAATTTTTTATGTGCAATTTGGTGAAATCGATGCGAAAAAGACTTGCACTTTTGGCTCATTTTGTACCTCGTGCGAGTTAATAAAATGTCACAATTGAATCAATAAATATTGTTTGCCATTCTTACTTGTGGTATGGTCTTTATGAAAAATAAGCATTGCTATTTTTTAAACGTAATGTATCTTGCTTATTTTATTTAATTAACCTTCTTGTATAGTGATAGTGTATAACTCAGTGAAGAAAATACGAGTATATGAAAGAAAGGTGGTTTTTGTACGTTAATTGTGTTATATTAGTAAATATATGCATTACAAATTAAAATATTAATTGTTACAAAATCTCAGGTTAGAATTATTTAGAACATATATTATTCGCAAACATTTCTTTTAGTTGAACATAGTTGAAGAAAATAGCATTTCAAGTGGGATTTTTGTTGTATATGCTTCAACGGAATTTTTATTAGCCGAAGTATAATTAACATAAAGCTGCACTTTTTGATTTCTGACAGAAAATAATAATGTTTGCAAAATATGGCAGCAGTCAATGATTTTTCACGTTTAAACGCACAGCTTACGGGACATTTAAAATTACTCACTCATTTCAATTAGTTAGATACAGAAGGTCAATATATACTCTATAGATTTGTGCTTCGGATTCATTAGGATGTGCACCAGCCAAACGGGATTTACAACATCTTACATAACGTGCTATCGTCCAGCTATTATCTTTAGAGCTATAAATCAACAAAGTGTGAACACATCACTAAAACTTTATCAATTTTCAAAGTGAGCAAATAAGAAGGTATCTCAGATAAGTAAGATTTGTCCGACATGTAAGGAAATAAAAAAAACATCGTTGTCTTAAACAATTTCATATACGAGAATAACTTGTCATCGTTGTATTGTAACCCCTTCTTCTTAAGTAAATTATTCCCTGAGATCATCCAATTCTAACAACGATGATACAAATTCTTTCATTTTTTGGAATAGGTTGCAATCTCTTGCAGATAGTTTTTCTTAAAGTATTATTACAAGTCTCTTACAATGGAACCTTTTTTCAAGCTACACGAGATAAGCTTCGTGACATATGCTAAAAAATCAAGCTAAAAATAAGAAATGAAGTGGTACTTATCTTTCCGTTGAATGGGCACTTGGAGGTCAAATATTTGAGGGCAAAGTTCACAGTAGCGGCCTGTTTTTTCTCAAGCGGGCGAGCGGAGTAGTGAAAATTTTCTCCTTCGAAGTCACTCCGCTCCCTTCACTGTCGCGCTAGTTTCGTTACTAGTATGCATTTCCAAAAATATACAACGAAATGTGGCAATAAAAATAAGTCAACTTTAAGGATTATGATTTCTAATTAATTAATACATTAATTAAATAATTAGACGCAGTTATAATTTTTAGTAGTCATCTCTGCGGTTTTCGAGGATAATATTCGATTTATAATTTTAATTTATAATATAAATAATAATAATTTATTGAACCTATCGGCACTTTTTTATTACGGATCGGTGGATAGTAGGATTTTAAAAAGAAAATATAAAATTAGATGAATGTATACACCAATTTACGAGATTGTGAAATTTTGTCAAAAATAATATGCATTGAATGAAGTGCGAGCGTGCGAGAGTGACCTCGAAGGAGAAAATTTTCACTCCTCCGCTCACCCGCTTGAGAAAAAAACCTGCCGCTACTGTGAACCAGGGTATTCCGACCCCGGGTTTTACTGGGTTGGGGTTTTACTGAGTTTTACTGGGTCGTAAATTAATAAAACCCAGCGGGTTTTACTATGTTAAAGGGGTTTTACTGGGTTTTACTCGGGTTTTACTAACTTTTATCTCAAATTCAAATAGATAAATTAATAGAATCAGTTTGCTGGTGCATATCTAACTCGAATTAAGTACTCTGATTAATATTCCGCAAATTTCTCTATTTATTTCGAATTTTTGTTTATGACCTAAAAATCACAATTTACAGCTTAACTTGGAGTTTGATCAAATTCGTATTTTTCTTGTGTTCCTGGCATTTTGAATTGATAATGTGTAAACATAATGTGTAATAAATTTTGATTTTTGATAAATCTTGATAAAATTCATTAATTTAGCAAATTGACGTAACATTCTAAGTTTTATGACTTCACCCCAAACATTGAGTAAAACCAAGTAAAACCCAGTAAAACCCCAAAACCCAGTAAAACCCAGTAAAACCCCTGGGTAGTTGTTTTCACAGTAAAACCCCGGGTTTTTCCGAACCCTGCTGTGAACTTTGCTTTCAAATATTTGACCTCCAAGTGCCCATTCAACGGAAAGATAAGTACCACGTCATTTCTAATTTTTAGCTTGATTTTTTAGCATATGTCACTAAGCTTATCTCGTGTAGCTTGAAAAAAGGTTCCATTGTTAGTTAATAATCAATTCAACAAGATAAATAATAATATGTCGCTAATATACTCTCATACTGACACTTGTGTACTATAATATAAATTAAGAAATTTATAAACCCCTTTTTCTACCACTATTGATTTTTGGTTGCAAAAAGTATTCTTTAGCACAAGAATTGTGCATAGGTAAACATAGTATGACACCGTATTAAACGTACTTACTTATGACAACTGCACTCAAATACCGCTCGTTGATCTCTCAATAGTCATACTCATCATAATTATGAAAAGACATTCAAGAAACATATCTACTTAACAAAAATATTGAAAATCTATTACACCGTTGTAAATTGTGAATGACTCAAAAATGCCTACCTAGTCTTGTAGGCTTGACAGACATGTCCGTATAATAATCGATCAAAGTAAAGTCGATCGGAATAAAATAATGGCCCGAAACAAATTTGTTGTTCATATCTGCATGACTATGTTGTAGTTGAATAATTTGTCAAATTGTCTAGTACGGTTACAAAAGAATGTGAAACATACTAACCTGTACATATAATATATATATATAATTATATATTTATAACTTGGTACACTGATCAATTTTATTTAACTAATCCCTGCTTATCCTTACAAATCTAAAAACCTTACCATTGCATAAGTGTGGCGCGTGAAATGTTTCTTATCGTCTTCTAACTGTAGAATAGTATAATAAAGCTGAATAATAACACAACTAGCCTAGTTCACTACCGCACGATCAAATGCTTTTGTTAAATGTCTATTATACGTGGTGGATGGAAATGCTTCGCTTTTAGGGTTCGCGAAAAGTTTGGTACCCTAATAATCTGAGTAGCAGCGTATAGGGGTCACTATTAACGAGACCAACCATCTCCTTGATCACCTTCTTGTTTCATTTCTAGTTGTTGCAAGGAGGATCCAGGGGGTGGACCATGATCCTGATCATGGTCGGAATCATCGTCGTCCTCGTCGTAATTCAATTGTTGCTTTTCAAGGACATTACTAATTTGGGTTCCCTGTAGAGTTACTTGTTCCAATAAATTCTGAAATGTTATAATTGATACAAACATTAGTTTTTTTCTTTACAAGTAATTGAGTTTAAATAACTTTGAACAAGTCTTTTATTTAGTTGCAAATTGATTATATTTATGATTGACGTTACCATTCCAAATGTTTGTGGGTCATTGTTACTAGAAGTCGAAGGAGTAATAGATACGCGTGGTTTTTTGGGCGTGATTGTGGAGCTTAGATAAGCCCCAAGAGTCTTCTCGTGAATGTTCAACCCTGTACAAAATAAGTAAATATGGATAAGCCAGTAGATATTAGTGCGCACCCGCACCCAAAACTTGTATATGTGCTTACTCTTTGCTGCATCCGATAAAGTAATTTGTCCCGCTCGTAATAAATTTAGTACTTGGCTGGATAAAATAAGAATATTTATAAAGTGATAACAATTTTAAGTATAATAGAAGTTTATCATATTAGGTGTCTTAAGAGGTTGTGAGTGAAATTGATTTAAAATACTTACTAGTAATTGAAATTTGTATCCGAATGATGAGGCATTTTTAAATATCCGTGAAGCTGAATGAGAATCATAATCGACAAAATTACACATCTACACGTCAAAATTAATTTAAACTTCAAGTTAAAAGGACTGAACTGTACCTCACGGTATCTCGAGTACAGCGTTGAATATGAAACTCCCAAAATCTCTGCACTACAAATTGTAGAAATAAGTACATAATTATTCAAAGTAACCACTATTCTCAAACGATGATCAAACTCATTATCTGACTTACGCTGATTTCATTTCCATTTTTTTGGATCGAATTGCCTGAAATTAAATATTTATTCTGAATAATACCGATCTAAGAATAAAATAAATAAAACCATATAGATTATATACCTATGTATATTTGCAACTTACGTTCATGATTTTTCTTGTTGTGGGCTCTTCCCAGAATTGAGGACGAGAACCTCCCCTAGTAATATTTAAGTATTTTTTTGTAAGAAATGCTGATATTTGTTATTTATTTTATACTTCAATTCAATATTATGCTTCTTACTTTTCAATATACTCAGTCATTTTAACAATATTTTGGACGTCATCTATAAAGTAGAAATTAGGCATTTCAGGTAAGAGATAAGAAGTTTATCAAACAAAAATAATTCGAAGCGTTTCATTAATTAATACTTGTAGTTTATAAAATATAAAACATCACTTACCTTCAGTAACTTCATCATCACCTATAAAAATATTATTAGTTTAGTTAGCAGTTTCGTGAAATTGTGGCGACATAACATCCCGCATACCTTCCATGATTCCCAAGTCACCGTCATCATTATCATCATCATCTCCTTGTTCGATTTCTCCAATGCCCGGCATCATCGTTTTTCGTTTGTTACTATTAGGTTTTCTAGCTCTAGCTGGCAATGCGAAGTGGGAATCCAATAAGTTTCCAACTGGAAATTCTTCATACATTTGTGACCCTTCGGTCAAGATTTGAGTAGGGCCTGTCGACATGCTCATACTCATTCCATCTAAATCAACGGTCAGTATCACTTTTCAAAGTATAAACATAGTTTTTATTTATGTAGAATACGGACCATCCATGCTCATGGGAGGTCTTCCACGCTTTCTTTTTGGTGGAGACTCTTGTAAGGAACCACCTCCATCGGAATTTCCTTCCATACAAATACTTGGCGGAGAAGGGGGTGCTGAGTCCTCTCCTCCCGTATCCCCTCCAATGAACTCGGCATGATCATCCTTATTATTCCCAGTAACTGCTGCCGCAGTAGCACCGGCGCCTCCTCCAGCGCCCGTAATGTCTGTTTATATTAATTAATAGCGAATTGTAAAATTAGAATTAAATAAAAATAACTGCCCTAAAATTTCGATTCTCATTACCTGCGAGTCCCTTTACTTGCAAACTCTCCGCTGCCTTCAACAAAGAAGCTAATTGATCCTGTCGAGTTTAAAGACAAATTATTTATGGCGCAACATTAACCATCATCCGTCATAATTGTAAGAGCTCTTTCAAGTAAAATTATGTATTTTAGGTACACTTACGTGTGCAACATTGATCTCGCCTTGATACATAAATTCAATAATAGCTTGCACATCCGCAAATTTCATGTCTTTTAATATTACAAGCGTTGAATTTTGTAGTGGGTATTCGCAAAATACTTGTTCGAAATACCTGAAATCACATTAATAATACGCATCAGAAATTTTTCATCTCGTAGATTTTCATAAGTGACAAAAACTGAAATTTTTATTACTTTGAACACGCCGAGAGCACGATCTGCAATTAAGTAAATCAAAATGGTACATTTATTGCTATTCATAGTCTGTAAACCAATATGTGGCGAGGTATATTAAGCAACGAAAATGTAATACAAGTTTAAGTCAGGTTGCAATTGATTGTAGTAAATCATAGCGACTTCAATTTTTCATTGACAATTCAAATTAAATATTAACGATCGATTCATCTATATTGTTTATATTTGAATTTAATTAAGGTTCTCAAACAATGCACATTATCGACCCACTTGGTGTAAAAATATATATTTATTACCTTGTGACATTTGATGACCTTCCCCTCACAGGCGACGAGAACATCGGTAAAACTCTCATTAAGCAGAAGTTGGTTAAACATGTGCAACCTGTGAATAATTATTTCTTAACATGTATTTTCAAAACTAATGGCCGTAGTGTTGTATATTACTTACACGTTCGAGCTATGAAACCTCCATTTTAGACAGTACCTACAAAAATATAAAATAGTTAATTTTATTAATTAAGCAACCATGTATTTTGCTACAAATTATGCATTTAGTGATTGGACGTTGTGACATGTCAACATCTGATCTGAGGGAGCATGAAAACCATTTTGTTAAAAAGCGTGATTTAAAAGGTCAGAACATACATGTATCACAATTATTTACTTATGACTTATATATGCACGTATATGTTTCTGTGTACATTCGACAGTCACTAAAGTACGAACTTCCATTACTAAAAATACTTAATACTGGAAATTATACGGTGAAAGTTTCTGATTGATAAAAAATAATTTAGGTAATTCTATGCATATGATACAACTAACATACAATTCTCAGACATCACTCCAGAAACATTATTCAACCAAGATATACGATAAATGAAAATTATCAGGTCACTCTCAGTCACTTAATATTTCATATTTATATTTATGCGTGTATTTATAAAATTTTGATTGCCTTACCCATGTGAACCCCCACCTCGCTGCTGTTGGGCCATATTTCCAACCGTTTTTTCACAAAATGAAGAATTTTTCTTTAAAAGTTTATGAAAATGTTGAAAATATAGCGAGTCAAAATGTCCAGTAGTGTAGGTTTTGGGATTTGGAAATTGTAAAAATGGCGACTGGCTTTTCTACTGATTTCAGAAAAAAGAAGTTTTTGATGGTCCGCCAATCTTGGGGCTTGTTCAAAATTTTTTCATTTTTTCCACTCGAGATTTTGAGTGAGAGGGAGCTTGGGGCGGAGCGGTGTGAGGCTGGCTGGGTCGGATGGGTGATGAAATGACCTTTGACCACACATGGGACTCAGGTCCGAGATGACCTGTGGCGGGCGAAAGTTCAAACGACAAACGCTGCGATATTTCCCCTCAAAACGGACTTCAATTCAGTACTTAATATTACACTTACTCTCACACACTTTATGAAATCAGTCCAAATTCACCGTGTGTAAAAAAGATGTGCTCAAAGAGGGGACAATCAGCCATTTCGTGACTACTTTCATACCTCTGAAACGAAAATTTTCATAATCCAGAAATACCCTTTTGTTTCGACTGCCCCCAAGCGTCATCATTTCAAAGCTTCAAACAGGCTTCCAAAGTTCCAACTAGGATAACATTCCGCATTTCATATTCCATTTTGCACATTGGGGACAAATTATGGGACGATGATAAGTGGGATGGGACGACTTGGTGGGTGTAGGCCCGGTCGGAAGTAGTGCTCGAGTTGAATGCGGTGACTCCTCGCCGTGTCTCATCGAGCCCCAGGAAATAGTTCATGGAACGCATATATGTGTTTCATTTATTCAACGCTGGCCCCCGACCGAGCCTACCGTTCCCCTCAAAAATAAATGAGAGACGCTTTTTATGACTTTCACTTTTTCATTTTTATGAGAACCACCAGCCACCACCGTCAAAACCACCACCATCAAAATTGATCACAAAATTTCCTCTCCGCTTCTACGCCGCCTCCTCCTCACTCACTACCCCTTTTGGATAAAATTATGAATCCATCAAACTGTTTTTTGTCACACGTCCACAAAAAAAAACATCAACCGTTAAACGTGATATCATGAGTTATGTTATCCTCTTTCAGGGTCAGAAAGACAAGTTTTCTGTACTTTTAATAATACACACGATATGCATGTAAACCGATGTATTAATGTAAGAGCATAATTCTCATACTAATTTACCAACAGTTGTACAACATTTATTTTATGAAACGGATAAAATTATTGGTACACATTTTCATATTATTTTATTAATATAGGGCGGTGTAAAAAATGAGACCGGATAACTTATGAATTTTGCCTACTTTTATTGTAAATATGCAATATGCTCTCGTTTCTTCGGTTTGTTATGTATGTATATATGCCATGTATATACTTGCCTGACAAGGAAGTAGAAGAAAGCACTCGTGCTTTAATAATTATGTAGAATTGCATAAAAACTAAAGTAAAAAGTACAAACACAAGGCTCTGAATTTGATTAGTGGAGTATATTAAATAACATTATCAACCAACATTTCCAAAAAAATTAGCTACAGAGTCCATGAGCGAGTTCATGAATGGTGGGAGTGTGTGTGGCATTCTGGTCCTGTTCGGGACTCTGTTCGTGACATGGACCACTTGGCCGGGACGATAGCTTCCACCTCCTTGACCTAGAGAAAATGATGACGTGGGGGACAACTTCTGTCCATTGTTGTGAGCAATAGTGTCCCCCGAGACTAGATTGCTGCGGTCACCACCGTCCAACTCACCTCCGACGGGGACGCTGTAGTTGTGCGGTGCCTTTTCTGACTTGCTGTTCAGCACGACCACATTGGGAGGATATTTACTCGAGTCATATTGGCCATGATGGGGCGGTGGGTATCGGTGTGGGGGTGGATAACCTTGTGGAGGCCTTGCCAACTTGTGCTTCACTCCTCGCATTATGTTCGAAATGGTGGGCGGGGGTCGGCGTAGCAGCCTCAGGTCGCTGTCCCGAAGTGGATGCTGATTAAATGGATTAGACTGAATGTCATTAACCAGCTCGGAATCGCCCAACGAAAGAGATATCCAACGAGGACGGTGCGGTGGCCTATGCGGCCGTTGTGGTGGTCGAGGATGGTATGAAATCGGCGACTCTGAGATTGACCCAGCAGCAGCATGATCATTATTATCGTCTTGTTGATAATCTGAGACTGCCCCGTGTGGCTGAGGAGTAGAATTGTCACCCACCGTCGTCTCACTCGCATTTGCACCGTGCGAAAATCTTGTCGCATCCTCCCCCCCACCAAGACTTATGTAGTTTACGGGTAGTTTCACCAATGTTGAATATCCTCCATAGTTTGGATCCAGTAATGTGTGTAGCATAGGATATTTCCTGCTGTATCTATCACTTGATGAATTGTTAATTCGACTACTTTTAGTCGTGGTATCTTCATGGGATGCATTGCCAAGCTTGCTTCGGAATGTGGTCCTTGGAAAGTTATTGTTACTATTATAATTATTATTGGCCCAACCTGGGTACTGGTGAGAAGAAGAAGAGGAAGAAGAAGAAGAAGGAGGAGGATGAGGGTGCTTGGAAACATGCCGGTTTCGTGGAGAAAAGTACATTTTCATTTCATCCGGTTTATCTAGTCGAGGTTTTATACTTTTCGTATTAAAATGCCGGTTGTTGTTGTTGTCGCCATGATTGACAAATCCAGAGGGGTCGTCGGTGGAGGAAGCGGAGGACGAGTCGTGCTTGTCGTTCCTTTGTGGTTCGGTCATAACGAAGGAGGCAGTCAATGGAACTTTGGCCATAACTGCGATCGTGTTGGCGTTGTCGAGTGGGTTAGACGACGGGGTAAAATGGGTTTGAAGATAGCCAGGCTTGAAGTTCATAAAGTAATTGGTGTAGTTTGGATTCGGTTGTCGAACTGTGGTTTTTGGGTGGCTGTAAGATCCGTGATAATTATGACTTGGATGATGGTGCTTCTGTTGTTGTCCCTGTTCATGGGATTCGGGGTGATTATTATTTTGATTGTAATCGCTCAGCGAGCCGTGTGCATTTGATTTGGCATAATGTGCATTGTGCTGGTGTTTCTCAGAGTCTTTGTAGGCCGTGTGTTGTCCTTTGTTAAATCCGGTGCTGGTGCCTTTCTCATCTTTTATCTCCTTCCCATCCGTGTATTCGGTTTTTTTACCCTGTTGACACAAAAATTAATGAGGTGAATTTTTATCAGGTTTTGTCTACCTGTGCAATCCCATCCCATGTATAATGCATACAGCGATGCGGTTGAAATGAATACGGTGTTTTATGCATTATTATGTAACCGCAAATTGAGCATTTGTTTTTTACCCAATACTAATATTGCAACGGTCTGCAGTAAATTCTATTGAACGACACTGACATGAACAACTACAAAAAATTACAATCTTTGTTTTCTCTTTTTAGCGATTTTAACTACGGATATTAGAAAATAGATCTTGTGACAAATGTGTATTATTAAATAATTCTACAACTTTAGAATCATGCAGCTTTTACAATTGTATAGCTATAAATTACAAACGGCAGGTGTTATGACGAAAAGTTATCAACTAACAGATACATAGGAATAGATAACTACCTAAACTACTCATGCAACGCACGTGTTAGTCAATACAATGATGAAAGCAGACAAAGCGAAATAGTTCATTTTAGTATAAAAAAGACGTAATATTACGGAATTGGACACGAGGTGTCAAATTAGGCCGGTTGTTATCATGCTTAACTAGACTAGATTGCCAGATAATCATGCAGCGTAGGAGTAGCAGCAATAGTGACTTACATGATACTTCCGGTCATCATCTTTGGTTCCATGCTTGCTATCCTCCTTTTTATTTTTCAAGCCGTAACTTTCTGCAATTCTTTTTGCATCTTCATCATCGTAAAAGTGTTCGGTCCTCTGAAATTCTTCCTTATGATACACTCTCTTAAACCCCTGGAAAAAAATTGCGCGTATAAATGAGACATCTTTATCATCTGCAGGTGGACATTTTATTATTATTATTTATTTATTTTTATTACAGAAACTCTGCGTCCTTTGTTTTTTTTCTTCGTGTCTCGATAGCGTTCCCCTTCATCGGTTTGTGATTTCCCTTGATCTTTCGCGTAATCTTTTACACCGTCCTCTTTTCCATGATAATTTGTTACCGTCTTTCCATCCGTATCTAAACATATGCATATAAAGTTTAAACAAGTACATAAAGTGCGAAAAAATAGCGTGACCATCGACTTTAGAAATCAGCTTCGAGACATGAATTACCTGTATTCGTAATTTTGTGATGTTTCCCTTGATCATTTCCGTGATGATGTTTCTGAACCTTGTCCTTGTTTCGTTCTTGCGTTCCGTACGCCTTGTAGTTAGCTTGAGAGTGAGACCCAGCACTTGCTAAATCTTGAGAACTTTTCATTTCTGGAGTCACGTAGATTTTTTGTCCCGCCGTAGAAGCCCCACCAATTGCTGCTGGTTCAAACCCCACCGCCCCCTCATCGTCCTCATCATCCTCGTCGTCTTCGTCATCTACTCCTGGTTCTGACGTCGCGTTCGTGACTTTGACATCCCAGTGAACCGTGTTGCTTTTGTTCTTATGTTTTTCTAAAGGATTTCCGTGCTCATCCGTCTCAATCACCTTCACACTTTGCAAAACTAATTTCGACCCTTGGGGTATGGCGGAGAAGATGAGTTGATCCAAGTCCTGTTCCCCTCCGTGGGCCAGAGTGTGGTTCACCAAGGCTTTCCTCAGAAATTCTCCCGTGACATAATCACTGTCACCATTAGAAGTACTCCCGTTCTCATGCAACGTCCCAAGATTAATATTTCCGTCAATATAATCTCCAGGATCATTGGACTCATTATTGGCACCCTTATGACAAGAGACTTCCAAGGGAAAGAAAACACCGAATATGATGAGAATTTGTATCAATATTTTTCGAGACAAATGACGACCCTTGGAAGCAAACATTTTACATCGATTATTTCACAATGCATAAACTTCAACACCGGAATCTATGAAATATAAAATTCGAACAGTATCGATACCTGAGAATCGGGTCCCATTCTCTGATAAAAAAACTACTTCAGATAATACTTGAAAAAAAGCCCAAACGTTCCTTTCTTTACTTTTGGTGTAGGTTGTTGATAATTGAAGCCAAAGAGACGGACCATCAACACTGTAGCATCCTGATTTTGAGGATGAGATGAAGACGTGCACACGTCTGAGTGAACGGGTGGGTGGGATGGTGGATGAACGACTGACTGAGTATACAGACACGCTAGTTATTACCAAAAGTTTCAAAAATGCATCCAACTGTCCACCCGTAATTTCTCAATTTCTTTCCACTTTTTTTGTATATATCTAATAAAAGAATAACCTTTTCAACGATTGGATTTGGCTTGGATGAGTCTCATCGCAGCTTTGTACGTGCAACTAACTCTTAATGCATGCGGTATGATATTGTATTATTTTTGGTATAATCACCCATTTCTTATTGAATATAATAAGATCCCCTTTTGGGTAGTGCACACAGAGCAGTGCGCCTTCATCTGCCAACAATTTCTGTCCTCGCAGTCTTCAAGTCGCAAAAAGAGACGGTCAGGATTAGAACGTACTGATCACATAACACACAGCTTTCATTTGCATGGGCGTTGTTCAACCAATTCAGCGTGTGTGGTGGATGATGGGAAAGCACAGCGAAACGGGTATCGCTAATTGTTGCGAGTTTTAAACAAGTATGACTTTGATCCACTCCACTCCAACTGTGTGCTATTACTGCGTCTCATTTGTGGTTAAACTAAAGTGCGATAATACATAATACATGCACTAATGTTTTGCATATTGATTATGTATCGGAGTTGCTTGTGCACGTATGTATGTATGCATGAGAAAAAGAATCACACATCATTCGTATGAATAGGATTTCGTCACGTTTCACCGAGTTGGGCTTTAAAGAAAACAGCATGAATTTCACATATAGCATCGCGGTTTTATGGACCAATAACTCTTTTTCATTTGGTACGGAATATTAGAAATTGACAACGACCGCAATTGTAAATTTCATTGTTCGTTTCATCAGGAATGAGTGCAATTGCATTTTTAAATTTTACTCTAAATTGATGTATGCAATTTAGAGTAAAATTTAAAAATGACAAATATCAATTAATGCATGGCATGCATCGTGCGGAAAAATTACTCCAAAAATCCATATTTTTCGTATATGAAATCATCTGCTTGAGAATTTTATTTATCACTTTGAAATGCGTCTATCATTACCAACTGAGACGGAACAAAACCTTCATCAACTTTGTGAAAAAAATTGATGATAATAATAATAAAAATAATTGAACATCACAACAATGTTACGGTTACGGTACTACTCATGTATCAACCAACTATGTCTAGAATTTTATCGTAAAATGTTTTGCTACGCACAAAAATATTTTAATCTGTTAACATATATAGTGACGGATAGGTTAACGTAACATAATTAATATACAAGTAATATTATTATTAACATAATTGTAGTCCTTCTCGGCTTGTTTCTCTACTATATATTTATCTACTAGATCTAACGCTTTCTAACATTTTTTAAATGTTTAATTAACAATAAAGATGTAATATACAACTACTAAACTCTACTATTGTGTGACTGTAATTTCATATAATATCTTCCATATAACAATTCTATTAGCTACAATTAACAATAATAATAATAGTAGCTATCTTAAAATGATTTGTCTCATTCACGTTAATCCAGCTTTTCATTGTACTGATACATAAGGTGGGGGATCAGAGGTAGCTATAAAATAATAATAGTAGGAATAATAACAATAATTGTACACGAGCAATTATAATAAGAAATGACCCAGATAGTCAGTATTTAATTTTTTTATTTAAAAAACTGTAAAATTGCTCTTGTGCTTTTAAAATTTCAATCACATGTGTGATAAAATTATAGACAAATAATCAATTTGCGAAAATTGAGCAAAGGACTAAAAATAATAATGGTTTGCAATTTTTAATACAAGAACAACAGGAAAAATTTTAAGATGTAGCTTGGAAAGATTTGCTTGAGATAAGAAATGTTAGCAAATACAAAAATCTAGTATACTAATCGTCATAAGAAATTGTTTTAAAACCCACCCCTGCTGCTTCATGTTATTACAACTTAAATTATCATTTCATTTGTTCTACTTAGTCAATTCTAAAATCATGCGTCTCATATTACGTCTAAATTAATTAAATATCACATGAATCTGCTCGCCAAAGGTGGTGGCACCATTGGAAGCATACAAATCAATACTGACTTTCATTTTTAGACAATGTCGTATGTCAAACTCATCAAAACTTTTATCATATTTGGTTGTCTGTTTGGTCAAAAAAATTGACGCTCAGACTGTGGCAATTACTATGAGAAGGTGCGCAATGTCGGCGACACCGTGAAGAAGGTCAGGAGCAATTCTTGCCAAATTTTCGTTTGCGAAATCGCAAGATGGGAAGATGTGAATCACGAATGTAGCTTGGTTTTGGTGGCCTATATTTATTATTCCAGCGGCTTGCTTCAATTGCAGGTAAGTAATAAATCCATGTCTAAGGTTGTTGCTCTGTTGTAAAACATCCACCTGGTCACGACCACAAGGTAACGCCAACAAGATACAATGCTCTGGTTCCATCTGCGTGATTTAATTATGAAAATAATTATGTCCAAATATTTAATTTCATTATATTACCACCATTTTAAGTTGGTTTTACACAACGAAACCAATTACCTGCATCTTTGTTGCAACTCCTTGTAGCTGTGCTTCTTCCAATCTCATCCTCTGGGATATTCGCAACGGAGGGACAGAACCATCAGGATTTGCGGGCAAAGATTCTCGAGCAACATCCAGATTTCCAGATACAAAGTGCATTTGGCAGGCCGCATTGTCATTTTTAAGAGTTAATAAGCCTTGCCACATGATTGGGTATCGCTAAAATATTAGATAATATCGTAAGTTTTTTCCCAACAAAATAAACAAAGCAATAATAGTAACACACAAATGTTGTATCAACTAAACTAACCTGAAGTAACATCAGCAGAGTGTCTCCTTGAGGAGGAACTTGGCTAATCATATGAGGAGGTGTTTGCGCATTCATAATGCGCTGTTGTCTTTCATTGTTGTGACCTTCTGCGCCCTGGGAGGGAGGGATAGAATATCTTCCATGCGCAGGGGGTGGACTATATGGTGCTCGTTGCTGTAGGACACCCTCTCGGATTGAATATGGTGACAAAACTCTCTCACGATCAGGAGGAACCATATTAGGAACTCCGACTCGAGGGTCAAATGATGGTGGGTAAGACGGAGAGTTTGCATGTTGCTGTCTTTCCATTTGATCTGCGTAAACATTTTTGAAATTGTCTTGTCTCGGAACTCCTTGTAGCTGATGTGCAGGAGTGGGAGGCTGATACATGGGTTGTTTCCCATGGACAGAAGGGGCGTACATGGAACTCACAACTGGTGATTCAGAATTTCTCTGTTCCATTGAATGTGGTGACATTGAGTGTTGCATATTCTGCTGAGCAGCCATTCTATTTCTTTCATGGGCAGCCATCATCGGATTGAGTTTGTTGAAATCCGTTTTCTCTGGCATTCCTCCGACGCCTCCAGATCTCATTATTGGGCCATGTGAAGACGTAGGTGGCGAACCCGCATTGTAATTAGTGTATTCACGTTGCTGAATAAACGACAGGTGATGATGGTCAGGAATTGAGGTATTTGGTGTAGGTAAAATTCGGACTTCACCCTATAAAGTTGTAGTAGAACAGAAAATAAATTTATAGATACATACGTATACAATGTTTCATCACTAGTGTTCCTTAAAACCAAAGTAGTTGAACTAAAAGTAATGGTAACCTTGAACTTACCGATTTTAATGTATATTGTGGCATGCTGCTCGACATAGACTGGTACTGATCATGGCCAGTAATTCTTCCTTTTGGACTTTGGGCAGAAGCCACTGCATGTGCATTAACATTAATTTCAACACGAGGAGGTTGTACAATCTCTTGGGGTACCGAATGCATATTTTTAACCCCATGAATTTGTTGTTCATCCTTTGGCGCAACGCGAATCAGTCCTTCCGCACTTTTATGGAACAGCTCTGTTTGGGCATGATGCTGTTGTTGCTGTTGACGTGTCATTGACATGGAAGGCGTAGCAGACATGTATGTTTTTGCATTCATGACATTGGGTGACACACTTCTCAACGAAGTTACAGGTGATGAGAGCATGATTGAAGGTTGTGAAGTCATTATAATGTTTTTTCGTTGCATAGCTTCCTCCTGACCGGTGTTGACTTTTGTAATAGTTGTGGCACTGGGAATTTGAAAGTTTTTGATTTCTCCTTGTCCGTGGGATACGTTCGGGGCCCCATACTTGGCAATGTTTTGCATCATGGGTGGTATTTGTTGTTGTTGGTGTAGGTTTGATCCTTGAAGCCTAGATGACTGTGTAGGTGGAAGTTCCGCTTTACTTATGACAGCGTATTGATACTGTCCCGATTGCAACAACTGTGGGACACCAGGTGGGAAAATGGCACGAATCATTGGACCTGCACCCAAATGTGATATTGACACAGGAATCGAATCATGCGAAACTCCCTTGTGTCCAAATTCTTGAGAAGAACGACCAGTGCTGTTATTGTTATTGTTGTTGCTACTGCTAGGCATTCGCATTCCAGTATGAGTCGGAATTTGGGGCAAATTATTAGGACCAGTGTATTGAGTGGGGGGTTTAGTCATATAAATTGTTGCTGCCGAAGATTCAGGAGGCAGTGCTAACCGATGTCCCGGCATCACAGATTGAAATCGTGGTTGGTGTGGAATTACTTTTGCTCCTGCCACATTTTGAGGAATAACATACTGATTTTGTCCAGGCATCTGGAACACTTGAGGATGCGAAAACATGGTCGCAGCTAGACCCTCGCTCTTTTGAATATTTGATGGTGGATTTACAATCTGAGGCTTTTCTTCCGATTTGGGCACAATTACATCGTGCTCCTTTTGGAAACAAGGGACTGAAAATTGTGGTTGTTGGACTTTGGGCAAACCACCAAGGTTTGATGACTCCTGGCCAAGAATTGGGACATACTGACCTTCCTCTGATTGACGTATCATTGGCATCAGGATTCCTGTTTGGGCTGAAATTATAAATAACAACAACATTAATTTAAAATTTAAGTCAATGTATTTAATTCCTATTGCTACAAACTATTTATCACTCAAAAAAAATTAAAACACAAGAACAAATTAAAACGCTTACGATCAATTAAAGTCTCAGTTGCATCATCTTTCAACAATTGACCAGCTTCTATTTCACATTTGATAACTTGAGCCGGAGTATCAACAGCAGGGTGATGATGAGCCGAAGTAGGACCCGTGCTCACAACACTCGATGGTGACGTTGAAGGTAAATGTGGTGGGGTGGTAGATATCACCGTTTCTGGGCGATGTGATACCCTGGTGATGGAAACTGGACCACTACCACCATTACTACTACTGTTGCTGGTCTCCTCAGTTCCAGAGTCCCTGCTCCTGGATCTTCCTCTTGCAGTTGCCTTAATGCTAGTAATGGTGACCACATTGTCAGCAGAAGAAACAGGAGGGGCACAGAAGAAAGCGTCTTCACTTTGTACAGCCATTCGAATAACATGCTCAATGGTGTCATCCACTTTGTTTCTGATCGGAGGTGGTAGTGGACAAGGCGCAGGTGGTGTTTTAGACCCGGATGCCAAGGGTGGAGTCATAATTGTTGGTCTGATCATAAATGGATCTGCACTGACGGGAGTAATTGGAGTGAATGGCTTGGGTGTTATAACCGTTGGTGGTGCTACAGTTGGTGGCGGTGGGACAACTACTGATGATGATGATGCGACATTAATTTGTTGCTGATCAGTAGTCACTGACAGTGACGGAAGGGCTGGACTGTGTCCACCAACAGCAGCAGAAGTGCTATTCGGGCTAACCAAAGGTGATTTGGCTTCTGAATTTGTGACAGTTACAGGTGGCGACGACAGAGGCGATTTAATTGCCAAATCCAACACAGTGATGGGGGACAGCTTAGCATGTGGCACCAGTCCCTTTTTCTTATCACTCGTTTCATCGTCCGAATCATGAAACTCGTAAATATCTGCCGACGAATTCTCATTATTTTCATCATTGTCCCGTTCTGAAGATCCTTGCCTAGATTTAGTGGAACACGATGTTCTTCGCAAAGGAACTGACGGTGATGGCAACTCTTGACTAATTATTTTCACCTCTTCTGTGTTACCGCTTATTGAATCAAGGGAAGACTTGCGAGAAACAATGGCTTCTGGGGTGGTTTGAATGTTTGGTTTCTCGCCTTTGTTATTGTCAATCGACATTGACGCTAATGACGGGGGATGTTCCAAACTTGACCAAGCAATAGGTGAAGTAATTCTTTGTTTATTTTCAACAGAAGGAGGTGCAAGAACATTAACCTCACTTGTTGAAACAAAGGGAGGTGCTTGTTCTTCGATTATTCTCAGCGTGGGAGGTGAGCTAACAGATGGAGTGACAACAGAAGTCGAAGTTGCCGTCGTCACTACGGCCGAAGGCTGTTTAATGGGCCCAGTTTCCTCTATGCTATCATCTCCTTCCAATGTTTCTAAAAGAGCAGCAACGGCATCTTCAGTTTCCTCCTGAGAAATTGCCGTTCCGTCTTTCGGATCATATTTTACGGGATCATCGTCTGGTACAGGACATGTGACGGGTGGTGATTTGCGATCCAACAGTACAATACTTTCGATAGCTTTGTCCTGTTCAAACAACTCTTCTCGTATTCGTTTGTCATTAGAGATCAAGTTATCCCTAATATCCATGCCGGGTTCGTCTGATGATGCGATAATGGCTTCGTTGATGTCGATTTTTAGCTTATCATCGTCATCATCTTCATCTGATGAAAACATGCTCCTAGTTACTTCACCGGTTACGCTCAAAGACTCAAAGTTGTTCTTAATTGGAGATGAAGTTGCTATTTGATTTTCCAGAAATTGGGTAGAAGGCGTTTCGGAAATGGATTCCTGCTTAATACGAGGCGACATATATTCTTTGCAAGGAGAGACTCTGGGCGAGTTGAACAGCGAATCCAGATCAGGCTTCGTGTTGACGCTGGAAGTTTCCGATGAGGTCCCCGATTTTGAATAATTTTTAGTATTTGAATGATGTTGCTCGTCGCTATCGGTCCTCTTTGATTTTTTGTCTTTGTGATGTCTCCTGTGCCTCCTTTCAGAATTATTCTTTTCAGGAGGCAATTTTGAATCTAGTTTTTCCAAATCCAAATTGTCAGATGTCTGAAGCCCAGTCTGAAGGTCCAATGAGCTACTACATGGGGATATGGATCTAGGATATTTCCTCTCGTCAGCTGGAGGTATGGGTTTAGTTTTTCTTGGAGAATGCACAATGATGTCACTCATTTTCCTTGGTGGGGACTCGTGTGCAGCAATTGTAGGTGTTTTAGGTCGTGCTGGTGGTGCATGATCAGACGAGTGGAGGACTTGGTCTTCATTTTCAGATCCAGAACTTGCTGACATCGGTCCGAATAAGATGTCTTTCATTGTAGATGTTGATTCCCGTTTTCCAATAATAGGAAGACTTGCACTATCAATTTCAACACTGCCATCCCCACTACCCACACGATTCTTTCCAGATTTTCCGGATTTTGAAACTGAAGAATGACCTCGATGTTTCTTGTGGCTACTTTTATTACTTTCCCCCCGTTCTCTACTTTTTGAACGCTGTGCTTCTTTTTTGTCCTTTCTAGTAACGTCGTGAGCAGGAGGAGGAGGAGGTGGTGGTGGTCGTTTATCTTCTTCAGAAGAATCCGACGAAAATAAAGACTTTTTCATGCTTTTTTGCTTGCTTAGCTTCTCCTTACTTTTGGATTTACCACTAGATGATTTTATAACTGGTGGTGTTGGGCGTCTGATAGGCCCACTTTGGACACTGCTATCTGAATCTGATGAATACACATCAATGGTTTGCAACTTGCCGAGTGGTTTGACAGTGTCCACTTTTTTATTATGTTTCGGGGATTCGTCTATTGCTGAACCAGAGTCGGACATGCTGTCACCTGATGATTTTAATTCCTGTGAAACATTAACGTCTGGAAATGACAACTTGGAAGTGGTAATCTTTTTCTTTTTTCTTTGAGGTTCTGCAGTATGCGAACTGGCATTGGACTCACACTCTGAGTTCGTAAAGACTGATTCCATAGATCTTTGATATGACTTGGGTGGTGACTTGCCCAGTTTCTTCCCTCTCCTCTTAAGGAGCTTTTCCATCGAGCTCTTTTTCTTTGATTTCATTTTCTTAGAAGACTTTGACCTCGAGCTTTCATTGTGCGTGTCTTCATCCTCATCCTCCTGCTCCTCCTCATCTGAAGTGTGACGTAAATTGTGTTCTCTGTTAATGTCATGAGACAATTCAGAGTGAACATGAGTAGACGCATCAGTTGAAGGCATTCGAAGTGTCTCTTCGTCTGAGGATGTGTGAACTCCGGATTTATTACTCTCGTCAACTGAGGTGGATCGCTTCTTTTCAATTTTCTTGGCCCTGTGAAAATATTAATATATAATAAATTATTATTTAACAATTTAACACCAATTTATCTTTTGTGAGCAGTAGTAATATAAAGTACCGTGATTGTTTTAACGCCCGGAATTGGTCTTTGATCTTATCCTCCTTTTTCTTGACTTCATCTACTACTTGAGGTTGATGAGGTTGAGCTTTGCATGCCCGATTGGAACGTGCTTTCACTTTGTCATACATGGACACATATCTGTAATAATAATGGAATTAAGAATGTGTAACCAAATCATAGCTAGTAGAAAATATGTGAGTATATAATCAAAGCAAGCAGTGTAACACTTACTCATCGATAACAACTTCAAAGATGGAGTGATGTTTTTTCTTGTCTTCATCATCTGTGTTGGAAATCAAAATTATAATACATAAGTACATTTAATAATGTTACTACTGCTGTAGATAACATAATATTGTAAATAACACAAAGTAAGTTGTTGTTACCTGAATCAGAATCGGAGTCCGTTTCTTCCACAACAAATTTCTTTTTCTTCTTTTGATCTCTGTTCTTCTTCCTATCACTGTCCCCACCTGCTCCACTGGTGGAAGCGTGGGTGGTGGAATCTCCAGAGCGATGTCTCTCCCATTTCTCATTAGAATCTCTACTTTTGTCTGATCGGGACGATTTTGACTGTGATTTAGAACATTTTGATCGAGATTGTGAATCAGAGTTTTCGCATTTTGCAGTTGTAGTAGTAGAATTGTATTCACAGCATGAATCTGAATCGATCGAGTTGTTGTGTTTATCAGTATGAGATCTTTTAATCTTATCATCATGGCCAGTGCTTGGTTTGCTACTAGTGCTGCTTGTACTTTCTTTTTTGCTACTGGTACTGCTACGATGACTACTACTGCTGTGTGTATGATGTCTACTACTAGAACTGGAGGAGCCTTTAACATTTTCTTTCCCAGGACTGACACCTCTATCCTTTTTCGATCTGTCCTTGTCTTTGTTGCTAGAATAATCTGATTTGGAAGGTTGATGAACTGAGGATCGGTTTTCTGAAGACGTTCTCGTTTTGTCATAATGTCTATCTTTGGAGTTGCTGGACTTTTCCTTGGAAGATCGATAATGATTTTCCTTTGTTTTTGAGTCCTCTTTTTTATTATCTTTCAAGGCAACCTCTGCTGGCAGACTAATTGACGATGATGATGCACGAGAGCTACCATCCTTACTGCTGGTTTCCTTGTGTCTGTCTTTGTTGGAGCTGCTCGAGTCTCTTGACTCCCGTCTTTCATTTGTTGATGCTGCCTTCAATCTATGAAGCGTTACATCGTGAACAACTTCCTTTTCCAATTTACCTTTCTTTTGTTCTGCAAAAAATAAAATATAATAAAATATAAATATTATCACGATTACATCAAACAGAGCAACGCAATGTTTCATTATTCTTACCCATTTCTCGTTCACCTTCATTTCCACTATTGTCTCGCTTGCGTTTGGTTGATGTGGATGGTTCTTTGTCTCGGCGATGATGATGATGGGATGATTCGTTCAATGATGACCGGGAGTGTTCCGTAGTACTATCTTTATGACTACTATGTTTCTCTTTCTTGCAGTCGCGCTTGTCTTTGTCCTTGTTATTGTCTCCGGATTTTCTTGACCCATCGTCCTTGTCTAATTGTTCAGCGTTTGTAGTGGAAGTAGAAGTATTACCACTAGAAAGTTTACTTTCACTACCACGATCCTTCTTTTCCTTCTTGTCATCCACCTTTTTTACGGATGAAATATTGTCTCTGGAAGAAGCCTGATGAGGCGTCGTAGTTGGCTGAAGGGTCTCGGGCCGTGTCACATGCAATAAAGTATTTGATGGTGGGGGCAATGACGAGACGGGAGGGGACGTTCCACTCGACCTCCTCTTTTTCTCCTTTTCCTTTCTGGACGACGAATCTCTTGTGCTAGTAGAACTAACAGAGTCAGACCGTGAGGGAATGAACGTTATCTGCTCGGCTGCAACTACACCTACTGTTGTTTCCTGGTGAATAGGTCTGATCCCGGAGATATCCCGTTTCAACAACTCCAAATCTGGTTTGTGCAACTCTTTGGATATCTTATTGTCTGTTGTTACAAGACTTGCTGTTGAGCTCAAAGAAGAAGTGGACACTGAACAAGTAGTGAACACCTCAGATTTCACCTTGGTTGAACTTAATCCACTTGTTTCTCCCGATTGCAATAATGATTTTGACTTTGGAGTCAAGGAAGAAGAGGAATCTATACTTGACCTACGATGGGCACCCTTGGACGACTCATTGTCACTTACTGCAAGTGTAGTGACAATGGGGGCTTGACCCCAAGATCTTGGGTTGTTGGTCGTCACCTTTTTGTTAGAATCTAGGCTAATGGACCTCTCAACTGATCGGGGGATGGTAAGCGGAGAAGAAAAAACTGCTGAACTCGCTTTTTCCAAACTCGAAACTTCCTCACGTAACGTCACATGTGCAAGTGGGGTCACAGATGTTATCGGGGGGATAGACGAATTAATAACAGCTTGGCATCTTTCGTTTGCATCTTTAACATCACTAGTTTTTGCACTTGGGGATTTAGGTGGCTCAATATTGGCCTTAGGAAATGTAAGTTTATGAGGGACCGTCGTTGTTTGTAACGAGGGCTGTGATGTTATATGTGGAGATGATGGAGGGTGACTTTTTGTCGTGGGCACGGCTTCCAATTTGACTGGTTTAGAAGAAGTAATGCTGCTACTGGACAGAGTGTGGAGATCTTTAGGTTTGGGTTGGGCTGAGGATTGAAAGACTGATGCTGATAATGATGGAGTTAGTTTAGGGTTAAAGTTGTTTAAACTTGTTGGAATCACTGAAACACGATCGTGAGATCGTATGGAACTCGTCGTCGTCGTTCCAACAAGCGATGCGGGTATGTGAATCGGATGGGAATTTGAAGGGGATGATGAAGATGAAGCACCAGGCACCGGAGTATGTGGAAAGTGCCAGTTGTTTGAGCTACTTGACGACGACACTGACAATGATCGCTGTAAAGCAATAGCTCTCCACGTTGTACTCGATGTTGGCGTACTTGAGCCCTTTGCTTCATATTTTTCTTCGAAATTCTCGAGCCTTTTGGAGTCCTAAAAACAAATTGATATATTTTAGTTCTAACATTTTATTTCATTTAAGTTATTATACGTATCTCGTATAATAATTTAGAATTAAGGGACGTAGTCGTGTCAGAAATTTTGTAAAATCCACCCTTAATTTTTTAATTTAGGTTAATTACTTGTGTTCGGATCAGTGAATTATTATCAAGTCAGTAACGAAAGCATTTAATTTAACATGAATTGTAATTGTTTCTTTACCTCATCAAAAACTGATTTTCTTGCCAATACAGATTTGCCAATATCTGATGGTCTTTGCATTAACTCGGTCCAGTCCAAAAATTTAAAACGAGAACTAGGAGAATCAGAAGACGAATCGGTTGAAGAGCCAGATTTTAATGTGTGTGAAATAACGCAGGCTGGTGAGGAATCATTAAACACATCCGACGATTCCGATGTTAATGCTTTTCCACCGTTAAAACGGTCATACGTTTCACAACACTTTAAAATTCTTTGCTCTAAAGAAACACTGTCGGTCGGTGAATTTTTTGGTGACATTCCAGTATCGTCCGACTCTGGAGATCCAATAATTTTGTCTTGATTAAGCGATGCACTATCTGGTACAGAGTTTGCTGATAAATGTTTTTCTTCAAACTCATGCAAAGGTGACTCCTCACAGGTTGGGGGCGAATCATTTGAATGTCCACCAGGGACATTCGGTGATGTTATTTGATCAGATTCGTCCTTCCAAACTGAATTAGATGTTGTAGGCGACACCGTAGCTTCATCCATCGAAACCAATGACGACGCCGTATCGACTTCTATTTCTGTCGGACTGTTTGTCACATGGAGCGATGGCGACATGACTGGGCTTTTGTTAGAATCAGATTCAATGGAACACCGATCAACTCTGACGGAAGACGAAGGAAACTCTTTGGAACTACTAGTGTTACTATTTGTTCGGTGTCTTTGAGATTGGAGTGCAAACTCGGGCAAGGGCAAACTTATAGGATCCATCTTTGTGTTGAGGGTAAATGACAAAGACTTTGAAGAAGGTGTCACGGCGGGAACTTCTGAAGAAGAGCTAAAACTTTCGGGGTTTTCATCACACAACGGAGTTCCAGGACGATCATCGCTCTCTTCATCGACAACCTGTGTATTATTATCTGTTGTAGACGCTGGCGGATGGCTTGTAGTGTTTGTAATTGAGGATGACGTGCTGTGCATATACGACGACACTGTTCCGACATTATTGCCAGAATCTGCGGAAGATCGACGGATTTTTAAATTATTCGGTTGTCTTCTTGGATCAACAACTCCTAAAAAAACACGTGTTGAATTTAAACTTTATTTAGTAGAACAAACAGGTAATACATGCACCATTTTTCAATATTGTACCTTTAAAAAATGACCGACTCTCAATGGATGAGGATCTACTAGAAATTGAATGTGAGACAGCCGAGTCTGGTGATGCTTTACGGACGGTTTCTGGTTTTGGCTCTAAAAAAATAAAACGCATACTTTCACAAATCATTGTAATGTTTAAATGTATATACGCTTGAACGATTATTGGTCCTTTATTATTTGTATCTGAATTTTCAAGGCAAATTTTATGGGCTTTTTTTACCGATGGAGTATTTAATGGTCAATAATATCTTGCCCATTGGTTGGCGGATTTATTTAGTTGATAAAGTACAACTATTATGCACTTATTTTTACTACTCTATCGCAACTGCAGGGGTTTTAAGTCATTAGTTTATTAAATTACTCAAATCAACTTACCAGGTGAGGTGGAGGACACACCATCAACAAAAGTAAGGGCTCCATGAGAAGTGTCCAAGGATCCATGAACTTCTGTAATGTCATTATGGTTGCATTAATTGTGTTAATTATTCCAATAGTCCAATATTAATACTAATCACAGTAAATATGTATAAATATGAATACAAACCTGACTCAGTGTAACCTAATTTGTCATCAAAATTCATTCCCGAGTTTGAATGGACTTCACTCTTATCTCCGACAACAATATCAGAGGATGAAGTAACGACTGCAGAATCTGTTTCGTGACAATTAAAGTCAATCTTGCTTGTCGAATTACTACTTCTAACAGAAGAATTGGGTGCCTGTTGTCCTGCAAGAGAGGAGGAGTGATCAGCGTCAGGACTGACAGGACTCGTGTACGGCCGTATACTGTAAGGTGCTCTATCGCTGGCATATCCAACAGTGCCGTCCATCTCTGAATTAATTGAAGCCAGCTGAGACTTTGATGATGGAACAATACGGCGTAGATTTCGGTCAGTCTTTGAAACTCGTATGTAGGAATCAGAATCCTCCGGAATGCTATGAAGAAAATACGAAAAAGTAATGTAATATACAATATAATACCCGTAGTGTAAATTAAAAAAAAATAATCAAAGTAGTCATCAAACAGAACTCAACATTAAAAGAATTGTACATAAAAGAATAAGTATTACTTGTAAATCCCGTCATTGTCGTCGTCGTCCTCTTCCTCTTGTTTGCTCATTTTTCTCCCAATGTTGATTGTGTCATGTAATGGGATTACGGAATTCCCGATTGATGGGGAGCTAATTAATCCAGGGGATGAATTACCAGCGGGACTTGGAGTAACACCGGTAACCCTTTGTACAACCCTCCTTATGACATCATTCGAGGCAAAATCAACTTGGAGTCGTTTCCCTTTAATAACCCAACTTCGAAGCTGACGTATCGCCGTTTGAGCTTCTGAGATCTAAAATGAATAATTAAAAGTTAATACACAAAAACGGTACATAAAACTACATAATTATTCGCAAATGCAAACAAGAAAAGTTATTATTCTTAAAGATATACCTCTTGGAACTGTACTACAGCAAGGACCCTTTCAGGGTCCATAACAATTTCCTTTATAGCACCATACTGACAGCACTGACCATAAACTTGTTTTTCATTTACACCAGCCGTGCCGTCCAGTATTAGGGCATTGGATGGAGGGTTTCGAAAAAACGAAATGCGAGCTTCTTTGGATTTGAACACATGCCGCCCCCATTGTGCTCTAATTGCTGAGGCAATGTCCACAAACTCACAAACAGCATGCGTAGCTGTTCCCTGCTTCCTAATGTCGAGTCGCTGAAAATATAGAAGGTCGCGTGTTAAACTAATTAGTCGTAATACAACGAAATTAATTTTTTGCTGAAACGCATATGTAATGTAAGGATAAAGGAATAACACAGCCATCTAATCGAAGTAGATTATTTATTTATGTATACAAACAACAAGATTAATTTATTATATACTTACTACAATATCCCCATATTGGTCAAATACGGCTTGTAACTCGGCTGATGTCACCGTTGCATCTAGACCGGTAATGAGAACGGTTCGAGTAGGATATCCCACACTTGTCGGTTCATCCTCCACCAGTAATCTGCAGTTAAAAAATTATGAAATCACCGGTCAGTTCAGTTTAACCTTTCAAACTATCCTTCAAAGGTATATACATAAATACCAGCATATGTATACATGCATTATTACAGATTCGCAACAGAAGAAATTCATAAGAAAAAAGTTCCTAAATTCCCTACCTATTTTCTTCATCTTGTCCCCCTATGATATCCTCGCCTTTTGCATGTTTATATGGGGTCACTTGGATCTTACAACCAAAAAACAACTTTCCTTGTGAAACCGATACAGCTCTAGTTGCATGTTCCGCTGACTTGAAACAAACTATGGCTGGAATATAAATTAGAATCAAATTAATTTTTTGTCAGGGACAAACGAGATAGAAAACACGAGAGGAGACGGGTATTTATACCAAATCTATCTGGTCCAGTGCCATTAACTCGAACCCACGCCACTTTTCCATGCTTTTTGTACTCATGATACAGGCCATCTTTCAAGGATGTATCGGATGACCTAATAGGCAAATTCCTAATTTTGATGGCTGCGAGCAATTCCACACTACTCGCTCTCCGGTGATGATGATGGTTGTTGTGATGTTGTGACCCACCAGCATTTCTACTGTAAAATTGTACAATTTAAACTTTGTCCGCATTGTTTCTTTCATATATTCATTTAATGCTTTTAAGCCAACAGAAACAAAGGAACAGAGACAAGAATATAAAGAGAGATAAAAGGCAAAATATTCAGCCAATACTATACCTGAGCTAAAAGTAATCGAAGATAAATAAAGCATATAACATAAAAATACTAACTAACTCATGTAAGTACGTTTACTGCGAATATCTATAACTAATGCATACAGACATAAAAACGGTATAGTGTAGTTCACATTCGTCGTTCACGTCAATATGTGTGCATATTGGTACTACATAGCAAAACATAAATGAGCTGTTGGTCTAAAACAGCAAGAGGACTACCACTATATAAATACTAACTTGTAACTCTACAAACAAACTGAAATTAACGGAATCAGATGAGACTACTTGATAAAACTTAGCTACATATAAGACAACCTATTAAAAGTGTGCATGCATCCGTTGCAATATCCTTCATCAGGCAGGGCGTAACGTATCAAATTGACGCGTAACCTTATTTCATAAGGTGCTTCGTATTAACAGAACACACTGCATACATAGTAAGCACCATATAAAAGAATTGTTGTACAGCACACAAATAATAATCATCTGTACTGTTGCTGATTAACCAGTTACTTATCCTCTGCTACACCCCGTAGCCTCGATAGCCTGCACATAATAGGCATTTCTATTTACACGCAGCGTTTGGTTCAATGACCTGAGTTTCTTCTACTCAGCTGAGAGTATGCGATTGCGAACGACAAACGTGTGGTGCTAGCAGTACATCACCCAACAGGTGAGGCTCTGATATTGATATTATTGTTGTAAAACATTTGTAGGACTAAACAGGAAACCCAACAACAACACAATCTTTTATCTTCTCAACTTCTCTATATGAGAGAGCAAATGAAATTGGAACAGTACGGTTTTACCCTCCACATGCGCAAAGTTTTCAGGCTCAATCTCCACGTATCAATTTAAAAATGCACAAAACTGTTTACAATCCTCGTTATGTTATGCTTTGTGTGTGGCGAAGGAGCTTTATGAAAATTAGTAAACGTAGCCTACGCCATAACATTTAATAGATTCCTAAAACCGATTACTTAAAATGCAAGACGACTAAAATAATACAACGAGTGCAACGCGGAGCGCAAAATAACGTGAAAGACAGAGATTTGTGTGGGAAAATGTCAATAAAAATGAAGATATCAAAAGCATATACACCAAGCATGGGAATCAGGAAGGTGGAGCCAATAGCTATATATGCATATATTATGTCCCAAAGAACTGCTGCTGTTACTGGAGTACGTAAGGTAGCAAGAACAGAAGATGACTTTATCGAAACAAAAGATTGCAAATATAAGACATAATAAATAGGCGAATAAACATAGATCGGAGGCCGTTGGATACGAAACGCGAGCAGTCAGTAGTACACAAATTTGTCACAGATAGGTAGGCATAGGAGGTATGGATAGATACCTTGGGGAGTACGATTTGGATGATGAGGGTGAGTGAGATGGAGAATGAGTCGCGGATATCTTTCGATGAGGAGAGGGTGATGAAGATGTGGAAGACGACGGACTCGCCGCCAGAGGAGATCTGGAATTATGACGAACTCGGGAGTCTGATGCCCGTGTCGTCGTCAACACCCGCGAACGACTGTACCTAACCACAAGTTCATCAACATCAAACATGAACAAACACAACAACTATGGGGAAAACATGTATTTGAAAATGGGACGGACTGACGGACAGTTCACAAAAATAGACATATTGACACCTATACTGGAATACATAGCTGTATGTCCATGTCAAAAGCCAAGAAATGCTTTTGAGAATTATTGCCATGTAATATGATTTTGTTTTATCAAATAATTCAATATGGGTATGAATATTATATTTTTAACATACCGGTGACGAGAGTGACTGCTGTGGTGAAACCGATCAGTGGTATTATTATTATTGGATCCAGTGCTTCGTGGAAAATTTCCATGATGAGAAGGAGATCTGGAACGACTGGAGCTGACACTGGTAGAAACACTGGAACGAGATCCCGAACGCGATCTTGAACCCACGCTACTCCCTCGATCGGAACTGCCTGAATTACTAACGGACCTAGAGATAGATTAATAAACCCGAATAATTATTTGCCTTCTTTCTAGGTGCATTAATGGATCCATCATAAATATACATATGCATGTCCATACGTACATATATCCAAGCGAATGTTCAGTTTTATCTGGTAATTATAGTACAAATAATACCTCGATCTGCGACGTTTTGAGATCAGATGACGGGAAGAAACGGAACTAGCAGGCGATTCTGCTCGGCGTGGAGGTTTGTTTGGACCAGATTCGCTTGGAGGAGTATGAACAACTGGGGACGGAATTGAAGGTCTTTCTTCGTCGGCATGAACAGGTGGGGCATACCGTCCTTCCGGATGATGGTAATTCCATTGGGAACGATAATTTCTAGCCACAATGAAAAAAATAATAATTTGCATAAATATTGAATACTACATTGGTACAATAATAATTCGAAATTATTGATTGCTTCCACAACATTTTTTTACCTGTTGTCTGCAGGGAATGAGTGCCTACTGTGAAATGGAGGCCGGTTTTCGCGACGGCCACGACTGCCGTGAAAACCTTCATCACCTCTACCACCACGAAAGCTTTTAGGTTGATCGTAAAAATGACTAGAAGAGTCTTCCGATTGCCTATGAATGAATTAAGTGAACAGTAAACATCTGAGTAAATAATGCATGCATTGCCGCTCTTGTAGTTGATTTTGTATAAAATAACGGGCATAAATTAACAGAATTAAATTATGAAAATAGTGCATTTAACGTACCCATGAAGGCCGCCGGAAAACCTTTGTTGACGATACATCCCTGGTCCTGGAGTGCTTGGAATGCAATTGTTAGTGACCACTACATTATTGTTTGTCGTGGCGTTTGAACTGGGGTTTCCCTGAGACGGTGAAACTAGAGTTTCGGAAGAATTCACGGAGGCTTCCCCGTGAGAATTGTGAGGAGGAAAGGACGGAGGTGGAGCTGAACCAGGTTCATAGTAAGAGATGTGGATGGGTTGGCCTGCAACATTTTACATTCAGAAATTGCTAATTTATATCAAATAGTATAACGCAACCAATAATTTAAATCAAGATTAACTCACCAGCCACGGTTCGGACATTTCTCAGAGCTTTGGATGCCGAGCGGATATCTATAAATGCTATGGTTGCACTTTTTCCGGGTCGACCACCATTGTTCGAGTTGACTTCCTCCAGTAATTTGACGCTTTGAATACGACCATGTCTGTAAGGCAATTCGAAAACACCATTATTATTGTTGTATAGAAGGCATCAACCAGCAAATCAAATCAGAGCAAACATGATTGCTAAAATACTCAATAATTGTGTCAAATACAACAAATTTCACCCATTCCAAAGAATTTGGTGAGCTACTTCATTTAAAAAATAGTAACTGTTTTGAACTCATTCATAATATCCAGTAATATTAACTTGAATCATTTAAAGTATCAAGATATACAAAAATATCGCCCGACTTTCTGATAAAAAATAATCAACTTAAAAGTGTGTTGACGTATGTACGTTCTCGCGTAATGGGAGCCAAATTGGTTGATCCAGTAATTTTAAAATAATATTATCATATTATGGCGGCAGTCGCGGCACATGGAGGTATTTTGGATGGGGCTTGAGGCTCACCCTTTTCGCAGGTCCGGAGGTGACGGGGATGATTCAGGAAGGGGTGGTTTTGGCTGAGGATCTTGAGGTGGGGGCAACGGTGGCAGACTATTTTGACGATTAACAGTAAACTTGCCAGGTTGCATTATTTTAGCAGGAGGATGGGGGCAGTCAAAAAGAGAATTGAGGTTGGGTTCACCACAAGTTACAAAGCTATCATGATATCCGGTGTTGCTTTGGATTGGTGGTGCGGGTGGTAGGATTGGAAAAAGAACATTTCCAAAATTTAAGGGAGGGATAAGGACACTGTCCGATGATTGAAAAGTAGATTCGAAATCTCTATTTGTACTACTTTGTGCTTGAATATCGAATGGATTAACACTATTGTCCAGAAATGGATTTTGCATGCCACTTGCACCATTAGTAAAATTTTTACTATGTTGATGATGGTAATGGTGAGGAAAGGACGGAATTTGTGGTCCATCAAAGAAATTGCTGGAAGAAGGTAAAGGAAGCTGATTTTGTTGTTTATTTTGGTATAAAAAACTAGAGCAATGTCTGAAAACTGGTGGGGAAACCTGACGGAAAGGATTCGGAGGATGATAAAATTGACGGAAACACCATTGCGATTGTGGTGTCGGCGGTGGTGGGAGGCGAGATAATAGCTGCCTTCGATTATTTCGATAATGATGGAGAGATTCATGGGTAATTCCTGGGTGATGATAATGTGATGAGGAAGGAGGAGGATTGAAGAAGTTTCCTCGATAAGTGAATGGTGGCAAAAGTCTACGGTGGTATTGGTGCTGCTGGTTATGACCACCAAATTGTTCCCATTTTAGACAACTTTCAAACTGAGCTCGTCGACGATTAATAATGCTTATGGGAAGTATTCCACTTTCTTGAATTGGCGTAACAGCGTTGTTATTATCAGACATTGCGGTTTTGTCAACTTATCTACAAATTTAAATTGGGAGGTTGGATCTTTCTACAGATCATATTGCTTATACTAGCCTTGCAGTTAGTAGAATAATAGGGCGCAATAAATAGCTCCGGATTGATTGAATTGAAATTCTTAGTATTTGTATTGTTTAGAACTTAAAATTCAATAAACAATGCCTTGTACCGAGTTCGGTATTTATACAATCAATATCTAACATTCAAGTATCCTGTATCCAAGTCATACGCAGAAGAAGCAGAACAGAAGAACAAAAAATAATAAATCACAGTAATAGGAACATTATTCACGTCATACTCATGATGGAGGGGTGCATTAAAATATCAAACAAGGTTAACTGAACTGCTGATACTGATTAAGTTTAAAATAGTTATGAAGTTACGTGTTGTTCAAATGACTTGTTTCACAGGCTAGTGTAGCTCGAGAATAATGTTAATAATCGTACAGCAGTCAGTAAGTAGGAGAAAAGCCTCTTTACTTTCTCCACATCTCATTTCACTCAGAGTTAATTTTTTGATTACAAACTCGAACCCATTTTAGCCTGGCCTGTGACCTGCTGACACCACTTTGGCTAATTTAACGCATTCATGCATGTTAAAAATGCAGCACAACGCAATAAACTCAGTCAGAGTTTAGATAAATGCGATAATGCTATCATCGTAATGCAATTTACAAAAATGATAATATGCATGCATTCAGATCGAGTCATCCACTCACAATTGTAGGCAGTGTGATTGGGGGGGGGGACTTATTTCAAATAATGCAAAAATTTCAAAGAAGCCTGCATTTCATGAATTGAGACGGCATGAGATTTTTGGATTGCAATTTGTGTGGGGGGTTTTTGGAACCGCTGAATCGACCAGTATGGTATAGCAACAGCCAAGAACGTTGTCGAACGACGGTATACGAAACGACGTACCACGTAATAGCCCAGCAAATGGAAAAAAAGGCTTTTGTAGAGAAGCCAGGCAGGCTTTTGGCATGGTTGCACGAATATTGGTTGGGTAGAAGAGAACTTTGAGCAGTAGAGAAGACGAGAGAAAAAAAAAATACCCAGCAGGAGAGCAAGAGTTGGGTATTATGTTATGGCGAGGACGGTATTGTGGCGTGGGTCTGTTATTCTGCTGTATGAGTTAGTTAGATCATCGTGATAGTAAGTGTAGTGATGTGGTGTCGTGTCATGCGACTTGGCGCCTTCCTCCCCCCAAAACACGGATGGACTCCTCTGGGGCGGTAAGTCTAATGCAGGGTAGGTTCGTACACTCCAACCAAGTACGTGTTTGATTCAACAACCAAGACTATTATCCTATCCTCTCCTCTGTTTTGCTCCTGCTGCTGGTGCCCCTTCATTATTTTCTCGTCGTCGGACAGCGAGCTGATTTCGTTGGTAGAGTTGAAAGAAGATTCGCGTTGTTTCAGCAGCAGCAGCAGCAGAGAAAGAACGAACGCTGTTGGGGTCGAAGATTTCAAAAATTACGTGGCTCAAGAGGAGGCAGAATTACATACGTGGCATATTTATTTACAAGTGTGGTGCGTGGTAGGTAGGATGCGGAAGATGGGCTACCATCGCACTATCTTATCAAATCAAGTATAATTGTTATCAAATTGGAGCTGGATAAAAAAAATCCATATTATATGTGTACATAATATTCGGAGGAGGGAGGAGAACAGCGTGGTACATAACATATATCCATTCACCAGGCAAATTTACTTTAGCAAGACTTCTTTTAGAGAACTCGTCGTCGTATTTATGCGCCAGTGCTTTTGCGATTTCAGAGATGCAATTGGTTGGCTAGCTGAGGAAAGTTGTTGATTTATCCTTTCCTGGTTCACTAATGGTCTCCTTTCTTCGCCTACCCGTGCCTCTGCTGCTACTTTCCTTCTGATCTATTTTCCCATCCCTTCTCCGCCCAGCTTTCTCTTCCATGAATTTATTCGTTCCTTCCTTTCCCTTATTTCTTAACGTGTCTCACTTCACATGAATGGGCAGAGAACATTCTACAATCTAAAAGGTATATATATATATATATGTATATACATAGTTGTCTTCGTTTGATAATAAATGCCACGTCTATTTAACGTGTATTTTTTGTATGGTATAGCCAGCTACGCTACTGTTTTTCATACATGTCCATTCTTTGGAACAAGACTTTAGCAGCAAAAAATTCTAGTCAAAAGAATTGGTTTTCTTTCAACATAGGTTTAGCTACATATAACGCTTGAAAACTATACCCAACAAAATAAATTCTCCAACTGGTTAAACCTGGTAGAAGTTAGGAAACCTTCAGTATACAAAAACTGGGATATATGCATGCATTCATCGTTAAAGTAATAGAAAAACAAAACTAGTCCTGGTCCTGGCGATAAACTCCAGCATTGCATTATGGCCTTCTCCTTGAAGTCAGACATTAAACGAACGGTTAAAATAAGTCACAACAGTCCGACAAAAAGCAATTTAAATTTCGGCCAAGTATCAAATTTCGAGGTAATTGCAGGTGGGTCCATTTAGAAGGAACTTACTATGTATGTAGGTATGTGAGAGAAATAACAAAATACAAATCAACTTTGCAATATCAATGGATCATAGCTAATAAGAAAATCATCAAGTGTAGTGCAGTAAAGTGTCTGATATTCAAAAAACTTACAATGCATTTCTTCTTAATTTTGTGTGGGTCCGCCCAAATAACAATTTGGCCGTTTATGCCATTATAGTTTCAGTTTAGTACGCAAAAAATATGACCTGGTCAACTACTTGACCGAATTTGCTCATTTTAAAACTCCTAATAAGACACATTATATGTGTATAAAATTTCAAGTCAGGAGGATGAGCTAACGAGAATTATCCCAAGTCAGACGAACACGACAGGTATTATACATAAATCTTGCCTCGGCCTAAGAAGTGAAATCTTGGATAAAATACAGATGTACGTAGGGACAAAGAAAGTTGTCACAGATATTTTTGTGATTGTTGTATGACGTACAAGGCGGTGTAATAATACTTCCATACTAAAAATTACTGATAACATTTGACACGTGTTTGAAGTAATTTCTTCATTAATCAAACTATTCATTCAGCATTACCAGTGAAAATATTCACTGCTAATACCATCGGTGGACCAGCGGATTTGAGCATTTCACTGTAAGAAACAAGTACATTGAAAACGTATAGATCGCCAGTACTCCGCCGTCCTTCGCTTGGAGGCATACAATTTCTGCTCCTCAGCAATATTTTCATCTAATGAAACAAAAATGCATAGCAGCCTCATCGCTTAATAGAGTTTAGAATTCAAGAGGCATTGATAGTAAATATGACAAAAATAATGCTATGAGTCTGAATTACATAGATACGTGTACGAATGTATGATGCGGAATATTGCTGCGAAGTAATTAATAAATTTCTAAGTGGATCAACATGGGTACAGGTGCTGTAGTTTGTTCCTACACCCACCCGAATTGAGGATGAATCACCATCGTCACGCTACCATTACGTTTACGTAGCTTGTTTGGTTAGGAAAAACATTTCTTTTGTTTAGATAGCACTCAAACCTGTGATTGCACTACCACATTCTCGGTAGTCATTTTCCTGTCAACTTAAACTACCCTCTTGTATTTTACAAATTGTCATTCTTTCTAGTGTAGTGTTAGCCATCATTTTACTTATTTGTTGGAATCAACGATACACCAGGGGCGGGCAAAATACTTTAATAGTGAAATAGGAGCTACAAAATGTAGATACTTTCTCAGATAATAAGACAAGAGATAAAATCCAATTATTAACCTGTTTGAAGATAATTTAAGGCGCATTTATAGATACACATTATGTACCTAAATCTAAGATACTTTTTATTTTTCAACAAGCTCAACCAGGGTTTATACATTTCATGCAAGTCTGACTGAAGTCAAATAGATAATTGAAAAATATATCTAGTACATAGTCCCGGTAACGTAATAATTTCCTCGACTATGTTTAAAACGGATCAGATATTTTCTAAATCAGAAAAACGGATTGGATTTCTGAAAACACTGATCCCACTCAACTCTGATCTGATGTAATCTGGCTGTGGCTTTAATTGTTCTGATTTGATTTTCCAATATTTTCGTAACTACTTAATACTTAATTAACATAGAAAACATATTTAAACTCACCTTTGGAACAGATCTCGGATCTCTTCCTCTCGAACATTTTCACATAAATTGCCGATCCATAAATGACGATTAGGTCTTTGCTCCATCTAAAATGAAAGATGACCTTTAAATTCCATAAGTTCGGCAGGTGAGAACAGTGTGGATTAGGATTTCTCATTCATGTCCAGTCCAGAGTGTGTTTAACACTGCTATACTTTAAGAGTGGACAGACTAGAACAATGACTGGAGGAGTAATTTTGAAAATAGATGGCGAACTACAATTTACAATATGGATGACTTTGATTAGTTAAAAATTAGTATTTGTTGGACAAATCATTTCAAATAATAAATAATAAAGACAAAAATTGGAAAAATTTGAAATAGAACTGATAGAAGTAAATAATTTCGTATTGCCAACAAAGGTGAAAGGCTATTCTATCCTTCAATGGCTGGGCTAATAGCAAAGTGTTAATATAATCCTTCGTGGTACCGGAGGTTTTAATAATACTGGTGATTTGAAATACGTTAAGATGGTAATAAACAATGTGATGTCACTCTCGTAGATCTACCCTCATAAGAATCTCTCTGGGTTCCAGATCTATAATCACTACTAACCATGAAAGTGTGACTGATAATACAACACAAAATCTAAGAGAAAGTTACCAATCATGATCACTACATTTCTATTATAATGAACAAACATAGTTTTATATTTTTTTACCATGCACCAAGTACTACATTCAAATAAGTAATCAAACCAATTTTGGAGCAGTCTTTATGTGCAACACTCCGTGGGGGTGTGACGTCTCCTTAAACAATAACAAGCCACAATTCACAGTTATATGGATCCCTTACCCAAGAAAACGTTGAGATATTGGTATGACCGGTCGGAAGCATCCCAAATATATCCAACATTGACCCTTACGATCCACAAATGGTTTCTCTGACCATTATCTTGCAACTTTAATTCATCTTTTGTCCAACAACATACCATTGCATTTATTTTCTTTATTTCTCCTTTCTATGTCCTATCTCATGTTATACGAGTAGATTTCACTAGTACTTTATATTTTCCAACCATAACAAGCACATAAAACTGCACGTATTTTAAGTAGCTTCTCTCCTCTCCGATATTAACTTGACTAAATCCTTAGTTGGCGATCCTTTTCATAACACACAACTTCACTTCCTTTCCCAGAGAAACTTTTTGCTTGGTTTTGCATAGTGCTGCTCCTGCTCCTTCCGAAAACGGATAAATTTACACCAGACCATCGCCTAAACTAACTGCACACACACACACATACATACACACAGATAACAACAATTCTCCAAGAGAATGTGGGTGGATTGGTTGTTTGGATCTGCTTGTGGATGAAAGAATTCCTCCCGAAAAAGAGATCCACAAATTTTCTCGATAAACTCTCACAGGAGATGAGGAATCAAATATTTAGATGTGTGCATGATGCAAGGGGAGGAGGAGTACGAGTTAAAATGAATGCAAGTAATTTATTTTCACTTAACTTATTGTTTATTTTTTGAACCTACTACACTGCCTGTTTGGCTTGCCTTATAGTTTGTAGTTTTGGAGGGCAATTCCATTCGCTGCTGCTTCGCTCTCCTCGTCACGTTCGTGATGATGATGATGCTTCTGCCGAGCCAACTAGCAAAGGACTGCTCAAGACCAAAAGCAAATTCACCAAACTCTCCTGTGGGTGGAGTTTGGGTCGACCATTTTGAACTCAACTCAACGAGACGACGCCGAGTAGAGGATAGAGAAAGAGTGAGTGAGTATACGACCATCAATTGCTGTGTGTATCTTGCATACTCTTCTCTGCTGTAATAATAACTCGGTCTGTATGTGCACCAAACCAGCTACACGAATAGAGAAAAAAATTTCGTCCTATTATTATTATGGCTGGGCGGCGCTACGTGAAACATACTTGTCTGCTATAAAGCTCCTTGTTTAGCTCATACCTTTGTTCTTATACAGCTCTTAAGGATGGGACGCACTGGTCTTTCAAAGTTGTAGCAAGCAAATATGAAAGCAAAGAAATTTGCCTGAAATCTTAAAAAATCGGATTTTTTGTACTCAACTCAAACAAATCATTTTTGGTCACATTGCACAATGTCCTGGGAGACCCAAAATCCTGCCAAAATTATTTTAAGGCCCAAAATCCTCCCATGGGGGTCGGAGACCATGAAAATATGGTTCATTTTGATTTTCGAAAGTGGGTGTGGTCAGGAGGGGGGTTTTTATGGAATTTTCAAAAAGTCTCAAATCACCCCTAAAACCACACCCACTTTGTTCAGAATTTAACGCTGATTAAAATGAGGTATCATACATGCCCCTAGCTCTTACCATTGTCTCGCAAAAAAATAAAATGTAGCGGAAGATCGGTGTTTTTGTCAAAAATCGTCAAAATGGCCTACTTTAAATGGCTCTCAAATCCTTGATACTGAATTTGTGCAGGAAATTATTTCTGCATTTTGAAGTACTATCATAGGACTAACTTAGGTCATGACCTTGGTCAGATCTGAGACGGAGGTTTTTGGCAAATTGAGGTCAAAGTTGATGAAAATAGCTAGGGGCATGTATGATACCTCATTTTAATCAGCGTTAAATTCTGAACAAAGTGGGTGTGGTTTTAGGGGTGATTTGAGACTTTTTGAAAATTCTATAAAAACCCCCCTCCTGACCACACCCACTTTCGAAAATCAAAATGAACCATATTTTCATGGTCTCCGACCCCCATGGGAGGATTTTGGGCCTTAAAATAATTTTGGCAGGATTTTGGGTCTCCCAGGACATTGTGCATTGCACTCTCCTTAGCTCGTTAGCAAATAAGTTAGGACCAACTGTTGGCAATTAATATTTCCTACTAGTTGGTGACTTGGCGTTGCGAAATTGTTAGGTATGCCATTAAAGGCTTGTGGGGTAAGTGATGAGATTGAGAAGCCTTTACACGTGAGGAGAAGCTGTCGTCAATTTTTGAAGTCAATCAACCGGATAAAATACGTAACTATTGATTTGGGTTATATTGTTACTGTGATTTAATTACCGTAATAAGGCTACGGCTCTTTTTGAGTAGGCGTTGTTTAGGCTCAAAGCGGGTAAATTTTAAATTTGAATTTGAATTTGAATTTGAATCCATCCAGTTCGTAACATCATGCAGCAGAAATGTATCCCGGCCTTAAGCTGGTAGGTAAAGCTGTTGTTGGGTATTCGTCCTATTATTTTTTTCATATATATATATATGGTATACATGCGATGGTGTTATTCTACGATCTCCACCAACCAAACCTACCTATGCCTTTGGTTCATCATCAGACAGATAACAACCAACTCGTTCCAAACATTCAATTCAGAGGTTTCTTCCTTCTTCCCCTCGAAATGGCAGAGTCCATTTCGCAGTAACGAATCGTGTCTCCCGTGGAGCCAACACATTGCACACCTAGTTATATTATAGCAAGCTACTATATAGTGAGGGCAAACTAATGAAAGAAGGATGATAGGATTGGATCAGTCTACTACATGTAAAGCATATTATGCACCTTTAGACTAAAGGTTTTAACAGATTATATTATCAAGTGAGTAATTATAAACTCTAAAGTAAAGCGGCATAAAAATACAATTGTAGCGCTATCCAAAGAACATTCGACACATGCTCCAAATTGCTATCCCAATACACTTTTTTCGCAACTTTAAGAGATTGAAAATTTGACGAAATTCATTATTATTCGACCATTGACAAGAGTCCAGGAGGTCATAGACCTAGCAATTTTGCCTAGACCTTTCCAATGATACCCATATGGTAGAGATTGGTGTTCAAAAATTTGCTGACCTAACGTCTGACCTTGAACTTCAAGACCAAGCAGGTCAAATTTGGCACGGTGTTATGTCTGTTGTCCAATTGTCGATTCAAAACAACAAAATATTCAATCGATGGTTCAGGGGAAATGGAAACATATAGAATGTATATTATAGATAGAAACTAGGTGCTGGCACTTAATGTAAATGGACACTCAACTTGTGCTGTCATTCATATTCACAGAGTTGTATTTACGATTAATGGAGAGACAAAGTTGCATAGTATATTTAAATTAGACAAATTCTAATTATTCAAAGTAATAATGTGTTGACGGTTCTCTTCCCTCTATCCAGAAGTACCTTATCAGTTGTACGATGCTATTTGAATACTATTTACAGCCGGTACTCGAGAGCTGATACTAGTCCCGAGAATAATAAGATATTACTACTCACTTCAAATGTCCGGTAATTCATTATACGACTTTGTCACTTTTATTTATTTCCACAAAAATTTTAAACAACAAATACGTTCCTTCATACGTTGGTGGGGGGTAAATTACATAATAATGCAAATTTTAAAACCAAACCACACTACACACTTGAATTGAGACTCGCACAGAGAGATGGAGATCTCTCCATCCATACTTGTAATAATTTTTGGCAATTGAAAATGCGATGCGCGATAAAATTACGCAAAATAAAACACGAAACAAGTTGACCATAAAAATATTTAAAAAAGAAACAACAATAAAACGGCGTCCTTCTCCTCGCTGGAATATCACCGGTTGTGGGTGGATTTTATCCAAGGATGCAGCGAGGGGATGACCAGATTGTAGCATCAAAAAGAGCGATAATGATACACTTATGAAGAACATGATAAGAACAGTTTCAAGTTTGTTAGGGACCAAAAGTTAAATCTTCGTCTTGGCATTCGAGATATCCGTCTTTATCTATCGCCAGCCCAGTCACTTGCTAAGATATGCAGATGAACCACTCACGCAAATGCACATAGCACACTTTAACTTCATGAAAAACACTTGCACTATTTATTTACATCTATTTAGACATATTCTTAAGCTGCTCAATTAGATCATGTCGTGGCCATTTTGACAAATTCAAGTCTACATATTCAGCATTTTCCCCGTTAGCGATACCCAGTTCCCTAATTTTGGTCTCTTGATCCTTTGAAAAGTTAAAAACTGTGCGATGTATTGTTAGGTGATTCAAGTCGGGCATACGTAATAAAAACTCGAGAAAGACGTCCATGGTCATCCCATATCCACAGCGTCGGGGACTCCCCGAGGACCCCAAATACAAGTTGGTTAAATTTGTTAATTTGTAGCTCATTTCCCTCAGCGTCGAAGACAAGGTATCACAGCCTTTAATACTTAAAGATTTAAGAGATTTCGGTAAAAATTGCAGTCCACTACATTCCGAGAAACGTTCCGTGAAGGGTGTGCACCGTTCAGTTTCATCTGATGGTGACTTTTCCATTTTCATGGTCATTACGATAACGGCACAGCTTAAAAAGTGTAACGATAAGAATTGGAGTCTTGTACATTCTTGAAATACGGAGAAATCCATATGGGCATCCATTCCAAGAGAAACATCCTGCAGACTCAATTTGGACAGAGTCCGTTGATTTTTTTGCACAAAATCTTTGAGTACTGCAACATTTGGCACGAGATCAGTACACAATGACTCAACGCCAGACTGTGGTCCAAGCAGATGAGACCACAATAGCGCTCCGGAACATCGGCACTTATAACTTGCACCTCTAATCATGGTTACATTCTTGAGTTTACATTTCTTGAAAGCAGTGGTTAAATGATCACGTACGGATGATGCATCCTCTTTGAAATGCTCGTCGTATTCACAAATACACTGGCGATACACTCCCAACTTGCAAATGGTGGCAGCATGACGATTAATAAACGCATAAAATATATCCCATTCATTTTGAGTCAACTCGAAATGAATTTGGATTTCTTGGAGCCCGTTGTATAATATTGTAGGATTCCCTAAAAGAGTTTTCACTGACGATGCCACAGATGTAGAGCTCCTGTTCCGTCCAAAGAACAATATCCCAATTTCAATTGACTTTAATCTCCGTAACTGACGGAGGTACTTTTCATGTTCAACGCTAGGATGAAACGCTGTATCTGATCTTTCGGTTACAAAATATCGCAAGTATTCGACGTTTTTGCAATGGGATAATATTTCTTTGGTAGTTGTTGATGTCATGCATGCCCCAAAAGTTATCTCTCTGACCAGCAGTGGGTGTGCAAACGTTGATACTGTTTCCCTTGTCCCACTAAACTCACAACCTCGAATGCGCAAACCAAGAACGTGATTAAGCAACTGTGGCGGCACTGCATTATACGAAACTTTGAAGGTAGAGCACTCGTCAACCTAATGAATGGCAATATTTAAAATAGATATTTCAGATTTTAAATTGTTTAATAAGTAAACCATAAACTGATAATTATATGTCACACTCACTAATTTTCGCCAAGCCTTGTTCACCAAACGATGTTGCAATCTATCTTTTTGCGGAATGAACGTCATGATCGTCATCCATACCTAAAACGAAATTAGTCATGGTTCATTTTAACTTTTATCGTTTATTAACTTTTTAGCATGCCAGAAGAAGACGCACCTCAATAGGAAGATCCATCAAAGGATTATGATGCTCTGCTTCGTCAATGACTTCAACAGATAAAAATGAAGTGCGAGAAACTTTCCGAGTAGTTGGTTGACATGAAGTCGCCATCCTCCTTTTTTTAGACGTGGTTTCTTTACACCAATTAATATCTCCCGAGTCGATCATATTTCTATTAATAATAGACCAAGAAAGAAATAATAGTAAGATTGTGTTAATCTAAGTATATCAATTTAAGCAAATAAACAATGATAATGATACAAATAATAAGTGGCAAACCATCACCTTATAGTCTCTCGTCTTTATGGATAAGAAGATAAACGATGATCACCCGGGTTGCTTTCATGCGGTCAACAACAAGGCAAAATATTATCCAATGTTCTGTGTCCGATCTATAAAATAAATCCCATTTCATATCACATATCATAAAATTAATTTTATCAGCAACTCTGTACTTTACACTCAAGCACCTTTAAATTACCATTTTGTTTTGTTACTTCCACATTGTCGTCGTCTCCTCGTACAAATAATGAATTAACTAGTACTTGTTGGATTTTGGAAATTACGAGTTGGACAAAAAGCTAAGCTGATGATAAATTCAGTGTGGTTGACGTTGCTGGACATCGAACGATAGCAAACTGTGATGTGAAAACGCTAAAAACGGAAGTTACTACTATTTTTTAGCAGCGACGAGGAGGATCGAGCCCAACTGAGGAAGGTCAACAATTTTATTACCAACCTTGCAGTTGAGCAGGAGGGTAAGGCAGTTAACTTTGCTCAATTTCAAGGATACAGAACACAGATGCTCCTGCCATCTACGCACATTTACTACATTAAATTCGCATAGACTTGGATACTGTGGAACTTTGTACTTGGCTGGCACTACCAAGTTTATAATTGTAGCCAAGATTAATATTATGAAAGGAACCCATTAATTGTATTATGTGAAATAAAGAAGGACCACCAACAGGGATGACCCTAAAATTTTGCATGAAAGTTGACTTATGCAAACCACTGAAAAATAATAGTCAAAGCTAGTTAGAAGGGTGAAAAATTTTCACTGAAAATGCATGGTTCAGGTAGACTGTATCGCGTTTATTGTTAAAATTGTTTCACGTTCACATGTTAAAATTTTATAAAATTGTAGCGAATACGTTTTAAAATACGTTACATTATACGATATATAGTTATTATTGACATAAAATATATATTGTTAAATCTTATATAATTTCACGACTTTGTTTAATAATGTAATTGAGAGTGAGGAGTGACACTATCATTCGTGGTGCTGCTACTCGCATTAGAATGTGTGTGATGAATGTATTCCAAATGTTCTAGATAGAGGTAATATAAATATGGCAACACGAATAAAACGCCAATGCATGGCAATGCAATTTTCCACCATGCAATATCTTCATTTTTAGATTGGAAGGCTGTAATAGGGGGAAAGCATCAGTTGGCATTGTATTATAGTGAAAAAGTAATAAAGATTGCAATTTATTTGTGCATGCATATTGATACCCAGTAAATCCTTACGCGTTAGTAGAGTCTCGTTTGAATTGGAAGTTTGCAGTACCACAGAGTTCGCAGCAACCGTCTCGGCTTTCTCACGAATTTCTTGCAAAGCAGTGTCAACATTACTCAAATATATTTGACCATTTGTCGACTCCTCGTCACTTTCTTCAGAATTTCCATCATCACGTACATGTAATGGAGGGCTTGGGGGAGCGTCAGTCAAATCAACCAGTATTCCTCTAGATGGAACTTTAATTATTCTACGACCATGCTAAAATAAATTGACAACATTAATAACTTGTGATTATTGAAAACAATTTTAAACATTGTTACATTACCAGATCTGTATCTTTGTGAAGATGATTGAGTTTCTTTAATTCGGCAACCTACCAATCAACACATAAATGCGTGAAATAGACTAGTCGATTATATAAATAGTTCTTAGGATTAGTAATGGGAGTATATAATTTGCTATACGTACCGAGGTATTGTAAAGTAAGGCAATTCCTTGCAGCAGAAAAATAAGAGTACATACATGTATCACCAAGCATTATCAACTTTGAGACCTACAAAGGCTAAAAATTAATTCTGTGAAATATCTACCTTGCAACGTGTCGGAAGAAAGTACAAGTCGCTCAATATATTCATCTTCTCTTCTTTTATTATTAGCCAAAGTGACCAGCTCATGTTTTGATTTGTCTCCACGTTTCGTAGCCATATACTTTACCAGCGTTGGTCTGAGTCAACAAGATTGATCAGGAATGAGGAAAGAAATTAATACGGAATATCTTCAGAACCATCAAATCACGATTGCGCCTCCTCTGTAAAACGATAATATATACACATATTTAAATGATCCTGAAGGCGACATTATTTAATTGCTAATAAAACTTTGGTTAAAAATAAAAATAGTTCTCCCAGACCGTTTTACAACACTAACTAATGAGAGGCTGGAAGGAGGTCATCATATATTTGAAAAATAAGAATAATTTACAGGCAACAATCTCATTAATATCCAATATATCTTAATTATTCCTAGATGTAAACAATCGATAATTTTCAAACAAGATAACCTTGCGTATGTAGAAGATACCGAGCCTCCCAACTTATTTCAGATGTTCGCACATCAATATCCGGTTCATTTCGAACCGACTATCTTTAATATTTTTCTAACCACATTCTTCAAGAATTCATTCTGTCTCCCTCCAAATATAAGGCCTGCAACGATTTTTAAAACTAGGACTAGGATGCAAACAATAACAAGACACATTTTGCAATAATAATACTCTCATAAGTAGTAAGTAACTCTTACCACAGTTGAATGATCACTATCAGAAAACTAGCCAACGCCTGTTTACTCCTTCTAGTTAGAAATTAAAGGTTGAAAATGACAGAAAATTACACAAAAATTACGAAATTGGGAATTTTGGGAATAAGAGAAATGTAATCCATGTGCATCTGCTGTTCTCAAATGAGGTGATGTGTAAGGAAGAAGAGAAACTTTTGCGTTGCAACCCGCCCGTCTCATCTCGCCTCCACCACGACAATGCATATCTTATGCATTTGCTCTGTGGAGAAAGTCCACCTACTTTCACTCAAAGGTTTTCCTGTCTCGTCTCTGCATTCACAAAATGCTACAGGTAGAAAGTTCCTCCTGTGCAATCTAAACACACGCATAGGGTGAAAATAATACAAAGTTTGGCTACTAATGTTAATCCTGCAATATTTTAGGGGACTATGAGTCTATAAGAATATTATTAATGTATAATTTATAATTTGTAATTTACAGTATAAATGCGTAAAATGTATGCGCATAAATATAATCCCCTAATGTAAAAAATCTGTTCTTCCCTATCTGACATGCTGCAATAAGAAATCAATTGTGGTGAAAGCGATCAAAGTGAAATATAAGAAACAACAGGTCGTGCATGATACATATGTCTCTGCAATAGTCAAAGATACACAGGGCTTAAAGTATCAGTAGTAGCTCATGTTTCACTTTGGCAATAAAGAGGATTGAGTTCTTGACAATGCATCCTGCCAGACGGTATTGAAGACCTGAGAACCAAACTCTGGGGCACACCTGTTCCCTCGGTTTATTTTAGTTGGACAGCCAAATTGCCTTTGCTTACATTGGCATCAACCTTATAATTCATATTATATCAACAAAGGCATTATTACTTGTATTATTTATATTTATGGATGGATTAGTTGTATTGCGAGGACCAACAAAGGTAAGAAAAGACCCAGCAACAGGATTCAAATCTTTCGTAAATGCTCAACAAAAATGTAGGTATGTACTAGTACCCGATACCGAAACTACTAAAACACCTGGAGCCAACAATTTCGTACATCGAATGCTGCTGAAAAAACTACACACTCGCGTTCATACTACGCTCATAAACTTCAAAATTTGATCAATTCACACGCAACCCGTGAAAAAAATATATGAAATGAAATTAAGTCTGAAATTTGAATTTGATGGATAAAAGCACCGACTTATCCAATCGCTATATTGGCCCACACATGCATACATATACTTGTTTTCACTCTCACTCGAGGAGGCGTCCTTGTATTTACACGTTCCTTGATCTCCCCTGTGAAATTTGCCCAGAAGCCAAAACGCTTACTGCTTTCCTTCCTCCTTCCTCATACTCAAATCCATGGAGGAGCAAGGCGTCCATAAATAGGAATCGAGTCCTACTTCGTTATTAGATACTGGATAGAATATCTTTGACTGCTGTGGAACAACTCTCATGCGCTCGCTCCTCAGCAGAGAGGCGAGCAACCACTTGCTTGCTTTCTCCAGCCAGGCCCAGGCAGCCAAGGGTATGTCTCTCCTCCCCAACTCCACGTTTCTGGCACTGTTGCTTTCACTCCTGTCACTTCAATAAAGCCCACACGATAGAAGTTGACTACTTGGAGCGAGTAAATATTTTGTGACCAGAGAATGTCAGGACCGGAAACTTAAATAATGAATATTGAATCGAACATGAGCAGCCTCATGCAAGTTAGATGATGTCTCTCTCAAGGTGTCTTCCTCCTCTCACGTAGCTCAACGAAATGCAAAAAAAAACTCTCAAAAACATCTTAATCAATTCTAGGAAGGTGCAAAAGGTGTTGACTGTCGATTCAGAGCATGACTTGTACAATAAGTAAATATACATGGCATGGGTGTGCCTGGATTCTAGACTCTTGTGTGTTTATTATTATATGGGACCTCTGGACGAGTTGGATGAAGAGATATAGTTAACTTTAGATAATGCTGTGCAGAATTAGATTCAGCTAGAGATTCATATGTTGCTCGCCCTTTGAAGAATCTGAGCTTTCCTTCGTACATTTTCTCGGCTGGATGTGGAAATTACTCAGTATTCAACTGAATTGTCAGTCAACTCATGAGGAGTTTGTGCGACGGATGGGAAGGCAAGTTAGGTAGGTGTGGGATGGGGGGAGACGGAGATCCAACTCTTCAACATCATCAACTTTCACCCGTGCGATATATATATAAATTCTCCCCAAGAGCTGCTCGACTTCTCAGTTCGTCTTTAGGCTCCCAGGACAACTTTTGCCTCCGACGCCTGCAGCCACCCCATTTAGTTAGATTACTGTAGTGTTTTGTTCACTCTCTCCTATCGTTATCATTTTCAAATACGTACATAGCTCCGTTTCTCAGTAATGGTAATAATCTCCTTGGCATGATTTTGAATAGTTAGTTGATCCACTCCTCCTCCAGTACTTATTACGTCAACACAAAGTCGAACTGCATTGTAAATATTATGTTACGCCTGTCTGTCGCTTCTACGCACACGGAATAAATTGTTTTATATGCCGTGACTTTAGTGAGTGGGTCGATCGACGTTGTTTGACAGTGATAGCTCATTTCTTGCATATTATCCTACACACACACACACATCCATAAAGGGTCGTGGGCATATTATTATTGACGGATTGAATTTAATATCGCAGTGCACAAATACATACGTACTTACTTATTGTGTCGTGTTATTATTATCGCCAAAATTGCATATAAATAGAAATGAAATGGTGTTAATTGCTGGGGTTGAATGGATTCCTGAAGGTAAGAACAAGTGCTGAAATTTTAAACCCTTTCTAACTATTATTCTTGTCAAGTATATTAGCTTCAAATTCATACTAATATGCATGCGTACTTGGACCACTAAAGTTTGTCTGACACCAGATCCAACCAACTATAATTCACAGTGACATGTAATTTATTTAATTTTCAAGCCTGTCACGCAGAATATGAAAGTTGCAATTAGTGGTAGTTTGGAAAACGTTGTCATCATCGTGACTCATATTTCATACACTTTCACTCAATAGAGAAACTCCATCCAGCTCGCAATTCAACAAGTGGGACAGTAGAGAGGCAGGAAACTTTTAGTTGTGGCGACATTATGCAACACATTGTTGTTGGTGTTAAAAATACCTAAATTCCTCACTCTCTTATTTATCAAGTAATTTAATTACGAGGTGAAAGCACAACTTACGGACCAATATATCTACATAAAATTCATTAAATATAAATCAAAATACTCAATGCTACAAACATTGCAACCAATTATGCAAAAATCTATAATTGAATTTGGAAATAACCTGTTTGCACGAATCTGCTCAGTAAATACAAGTTAATGCAAGCTTGACTTACAGAAATAGATACTTTCCCTTCGTCGTAAAATACAGACCAGACCCGAGTCAATTATGGATTGGGGATATAAAACTTAACCGACCTTGTGCATGAGATGGGATATCGAGCATATGTACGACATGCTATGTCGCACCAACCTTTCACGTCCTATACATACTTTCCTTTTCGACATTTATACGCGTACAATTACATGCATACACATAAATATAACTTTTTTGTATCATTGCTATCTAAGAAGAAATGATACACATACGAAACTCGACTTGAACTTTTTTTTAGAAAGGATTGAGATCTTAGGAATCATATTTATTTAAATCACTACAAATCTGTTGTATTTATTTACTAGCGATAACATGTTGATCCTTTTCCCGAGCAATGGTGATATTTTATACGCATTTTCCCCACATTAGATTTTCAGCACGCTGCTGAGTCTCACAGCACAAGACTTTACAAAAGAAAATAAGTCGGAAAGAAATCAATTACGAGAAAGCCCAATCAGCAATTGCCAACAATTGGACTCAAAAGAAGACAGACAATGGTTCCTCCTCATGGTCACGGGTCTCAACATTATCCAGCATCGTCATTGAAGGACCATGATTGGCTGAACTTTTTTAGACTAGTCTCCATTTCTGCGGTTGCTACATTGGCCACGACGTTCAACATCTTCACCATCAGTTCCATCATAGTGGATGATTTGCTGAGGAAGAAAGGTAACCAGTCACTGATATTTATTTGGAGTAATGTGTATGTAGAAGTAGCAACTTTCCCCAATCTCTCTCTCCTCCTGCAGCCTTTCCTCTCATATGCACACTCTGGTTTGCTTGACAATAATTTATATCTGCTCATCCTCTTGTCGCATGTCATGTTATTGGTCCGTCCCAAATATGTGAAAATTAATTTTGTCAAAGTGCATTTCTAGGCAGACTTTTTACAGACGAAATGAATTCTATATTATGTTTGTTATGAAATAGAATGAGTTATTGCATTCTAAACCACGAGGCCACGACTTTACATGCAGAATATTCAAATGTTGTTAGACATGAAAGTTTATCGCATTACATGGAAGTTTTTGAAAAAAACGAGGAAAAGGTTTGCTTAATTTGTATATATTTCCAACGCTATCTGGAATTCATTATCAACCAAGACATACGCAGAAAATACGAGAAATTTTCCCGATCCCAAGTTTATCTCCTCCATATCTTTGTCATATCATTTCCCTGCCACGCACTTGCAAAATTTACCCAACTTTATTTGTTCCACAGGTAATTCATTCTTGGTCAGCATCACTCTTGCGGATTTGCTTGTGACAGCATTTCTCCTTCCTGCTATTTCTGTCTCAATTCTCGCACAAACTGAAGACTCCGAAAATCTGTGGTATGGATCTTAAAAACGCAATAAACTATTTATGAACTATTATTGGGTTCAAAACGAATGAGTCAAAGGCGTATGCGCCGTGCGAATCATGTGCTTAAAAAAATATTTTATTTTTTGTACTTATTCAGCCGCTTCCAGTACACAGTGGGATGCATGTCATGCGTTACGGCTTCCATGTTCACGGCGGCCATTGGGATCGAGAACTTTCTGAGGTTGAGAGCCCTCAAGAATTTGGAGTCTGCACGACATCGAAGACGTGGTCAGCCCGTGAATTCAATTGTGCACACGACTGACACGGCCCCTGAGCATCAAGCTCCTCTCCCACCTCCGCGCTCAGTCTGCTCCCAATTTCAAGTCACTGTTCTCAATCTCACGTTCTGGATTTTGGCTGTGGTCGTCGTCCTCGTTCATCTCATGCTCATGCCTCATTTGACGTTTGCCATCTGTGGCGACGGTGGTCGTGGCCCCTCTGTCAGATCCCTGCCAAATGAGAAGACGTTGCTCTTTGACTCGATCCTGGCGCTGGGGGCTTTTCTGCTTTCTTTTGTCATACTTGGTGGTCTCGGATTTCTCAAGTGTGCTTGTATAATGAAATCGTGGAGCAAACCCCTGCCCTACATCACGTCACGGGAATTTGCTCTCATCAACTCCAACTTTTGGAATTGGCTGGGTCGCTTCCTCGTATGGGCTCCCGCCATTGTGACGGCCGTAGTCATCCAGTTCGACAGCTCCACGACCAGCCTCCTTTTGTCCTCACCACCATACGAGCCAGTTCCTCTCCCCACGGGAAGAGTCTCACTTTATTTTCATCCCACAATCACCACCACCATGGGAGGACGAGGCGAGAGGGAAATGAGCACTGCTTTCTCCAGCAACACCATCAGTCTGACGGGCAAGGATTCACAACAAGATCTCAATTTTATGCTTCAAAGGCTTGTCTTCTGGTCGTCTATTCTCCCCTCTTGTTTAGGAAGTATAATCTATGCTTGTGCCAACAAGGATTTCAGAAGGTACATTGATAAGTCTATTGCGAATAAAAATGAAGGACATGAGAATGGAGGTTCATGGACGAAATGACATAAATATGATCCCACAGGTGCTACATCCAACTGTTTAATTACTGTTGTTGCAAGACGTCCGTAACTCTAACTCGCCGTCCGAGGGACAATCTTCGTGGAGGGAATGAAGTTCGAACCCACATTCTCCCAGGATACAACATTTACTCTTCAGGCCACTCCGAAGTGGCCGCCTCGGCTCCGCCCAGGTTCAACACTTTTAAATGTGGGCCCCTTATGAACTACAGGAGAGATGTTTATGAGCTTTGACTTGTCACACTTGTCAGCACAAGAAATATCGATGCTAACTTTTTACATACTACAGTTCGAATCCTTTTACTCGTCCCTTTTGAAAGTTTGGCAGAGCGATAGGACTACAAGTGCAGGATATTGGCAGAGATTACTTTAAACCTGAACCAATTCCATCCATCCATTCATTTTCATTACAAGAGTAACACTACACATAAATTTTTGTTAAACGACCAATCCCCTGATTCAGGGCAGCTAACCCGAGGCGTGTTTTATGTATAGGTCTTTTTGGTTTCCGTTTTATTGCTACCTGAGGAATGTGGCGAAAGTCTCTTTTACGACTGCATGTATAACCCGAAGAAAGTGCAAAATTAAAGTTTTCATGTCATTAGCTTAACGTAGAGCCAATACATGCCCATCCTTTCCTGTCGCCACCTCCACAGTTTTTACTTTCCGTGCCCTTTTCATCATCACATTATCCCATGTCTACAGATGAGCAAGGCATGCCGATATGCATGTAATATATTTATACGTATATAGCAATCTCTGGGTAATCTCATCCCTTTCATAAAATTAGAGTTGCCTAAATTGTCGGAGGTGGAGATTGTTGGAGTGTGATATAAAACATTCTATTGCACATCCTAGCAATTACGTGATGGGGAAAGTTATTTTGAGCCAGTTGCCCCATGCCCAGTCTGTGCTGAGCACTGAAGGACGTGCTCAGGTGAACTTCTCGAGATCTCGACTATTATTATATGACGACGATGAGTCGACGAGGATGAGGTTCCATACGAATAGGCAGACTTTCCCCATTTCCATAACATTACCGTTCCTTCCTTCGCACACCATTGCATCCAGTCCATGCTCATCCGCATCTCACTTGTGACAAGATAAGAACCTTCTTTTCCGAGTGAGTATTTTCAGTGATCGGGGAAAATTTAGCCCTCCGTCTCTCTTCCACTTTCAAGGTGTAAAATAAATCGGAATCAACAGTTTATGTAACGCGAGTGTTTAAAATCCATCAAGATCCTTCTCAGATTTGCACTTTTGTCAGTGTTTGTCTTTATCTTCAACCCAAAGTGATCCCCACTTGTACTTACTCACAAAGTTTCGCTTCTTGCTGCTTTCACTGCTTTCCCACTCTACTCTTTTATCTGAGTGAGTCCTCCAAACTCTGCCAAATGTTACTCAAACAAATGTTTGTTTGTATTTTTGGACTCAAACGCAGTTACTTATTGTCTATTGAAAAAGTTGGGAGCAACATTACATATAGACTACACAAAATTTTTCACAAGTAAACCTACTGGGGTAATATGCATCAGGATTCTTCTTCTCAAACCCTTGGAGCAAATAAATGTATTCAACTATCTAGTATTCACAATCTGGTACTGGCTTTCAAGCAGCTAACAATTCGACAATCAAGCAAAACCAAAACACATATACAAAAAATCTGACAAGAGCTTTACAAATATGTTTCTTATACATGTAACTTTTCAGTATTACGTACATACTTATGCAACATTAGCCCCATACAAATGAATGCATAAGAAAATTGGTAGTTTTATTAAAACTTTGGTCAAACTACGTGCATACAACATAATAGGACCCTAAAGTATGTAAAGGATTGAAAATGTATTTTTCATGGAAGTTTTTATCCCCAAAAACGAGTATTAGACGGGTAGTAAAGGTAAATGGAATTGTCGGAGAAGAAAACAAGAAACAAAGTAGGCACAAAATAGAAATTTCGTACATACATAGGTGCAGACAGACGACAAAGAGAACGCTGTTCTTATCTTGTGGTTGCACACTCTTGCGACTCCCCCAATAAGCTATAAATGTTAAACATACACACAGACGTACATGTATACAACGTACATATGTACGTACTACTTTTTTACACGACTAGTGATTGAAAAGCTATATTTATTTATTAGTATGCAGTTACTGTAGTAAAGGTTACTTTCTCTGTAGGATTAAGTCTATTGGGATGTAAGTAATTTTAACGATATGCCATGCTACATATATGCTACATATTAGACATTCGTAGTTATGAGCGCATGAACTAGGATAATATGTGTACTAGTATATGTATGGATACACACTTGATACATGACTATCTGTATATGTATGTAAGATTGGGAGAGATGCATTTGCGAGCTTCCACTCTGTACAAATATGCATAACGCTGAATTAAAGTCTTCTCTGCTTTTAAATGCAAATTCAATTGCTGTGTCACTGGTAAAAGAAACTCTGCTGTTTGACTATGTTTTCGTGTCGAGCTGAAAAACTATTAAACGTCGTATGCTGAATGTAGTGTAATTTTACTAAATGTCCAAAAATGGTCCGAATTTGAGGTCACATCAGAATCTTCAGTGGCATATGTACATATGTAAGTGCAACTTCGGCGTAAAAGTTTGTCACTCAGAATATGCTTTCAAGAAATGGAATTGCAAAATGAAACTGAAAGGCGATTTATTTTGCTCAGACAAAGCACAACGTGAATCTGATTCGCGTTATATGTAAAACTTTAAGTGCAATGCTGTCCAAAGTTTTCCCGTTTCATTGTATTGCTACATATGTATGTACGTACATAATATATGCTTACTTAACCTGTTATTCTGACGCGAGGACTGTCTTGACTTTTTAGAAGGAAAATAATTTTATCTTGTGACACTGGCATGCTTTACTTTTAAAGTACCAAATGCTATAAAATTATACTTGATTTTCAAGATATTTAACTGAATTTACGATAACTATGTGCCACGTATATATGTACATAAGATAAACTTCAGTGAAATATAAATGATACTCGGCCATGTATAGCTTCGTGCAGATCTAACTAAATGTCAAGTCGACGCCAAAACAAAACACAACCGAATAATTAATAATGTACGTAGAGTAACTATAATTAGTAGTAGTACATGTAGTTGAAGGTGAATCTATGATGGCAGAATCCGTCAGAGTTGGACATGTATATTCGTATTTATTTACATGTATTTATGTATTAATCAATGCTATAACAAAAGCGATGTCAAATGCTTTTTGTAAATTTAATTTTGCTAAACAACGAGGTGCAGTAATTCAAGAAGGGTCATTTGGTGGCTTTATTGCAAATATTTAATGAGAAACGAATTAGATTTATTTCAACGTGACTGTTGTGATATGATATTGCGACCAATGAGTAGATGAATAAAACATATATTATGCTATTGTTGTTACAGATATTATGCGATTGCAGTGAAAGCTGAATTGATTCAACATGACTTTATTAGTAGTAGGAACTATCTCTACTAACAATGACGTAAGTAGTAAGTAGTAGAGATAGTCCCCCTGGAGGTACTTAATTACCATTACTGTCGACAGGAATGGCATTATTTCGTATGTGCACCTACCTATATATACGTGTGACAACTGTGTGACATGAAATCTTGTTGGTTGTAGAACAATCCGAACTCACAAATATTTATTCAATCTAGATCTAAATGACTTAATTTTGCCCTAATCCGACCGAAGCATCTCTCAACTCAAACATATTCATTATTCATAGCCATTGGCCAACCTTATTGGATTAAACCGTTGAATTACATTTACTTTCCCGAATTTAAGGAAGATTTGCTGAGTACACATTCCAAGCCTACCTGCACACGTGTACGGCCTCTCTCTATTTTTGCTGATACGTATTAAGCAGCAGTTTTGAATATGAGCTAGTTCTACCAAAAATTTAACATCCTTTTAGGAAATTAAACGCTGGACAAACTCAAAGTTTGGTAAGCCTTTCACTTCTAATGTCTCTTCTAATACTCTAAATACTTCTTCCCTCTCGCTGTTCATCAAATATTTACTTTGGATCAGTGAGAGTTGATAAATTAGCGAGAAATGACTGGAGAAAGTTGACGAAAGTCGACTCGCCAGTCAGGTGGGAAGTTCGTAATGGTGCCGACTAACTAAATAAAGTCCAACTAATAAACTTATCAAACATACTTTAACTCTAATCAGCCTTAATTTGCTGTTCAATATTCAACTTTCACTTCATTCTCTCCCGTTTTATAAAATTATAATGCTTATATACAATGCTAGATATAAATATCTTTCTTTACCCCAAACTTATTTATTACGTTCTATGCTAAAGTATATAAGAGAGTAAACATGACATCGAGATGTGTGTATGTACTATGTATTGAGATTTCCATGCATTTTAGCATGCAGAAAATCTCCAGCATTTCTGGGCTCTATACCTACGTCAATAATAATAAAGATATACATATAGTTCTGCTCGTAGGAAGCTCTTATGGGAAGTATTAACCTAATTTCATTTTGTGTCCACCCACTCTCATTGACTTGGTAAATTACCCACTTTGGGCTTTCTTGCTTTTTGTAGGTAAGGAGGAAAACATCACTCACTTTGCTTTGGTCACAAACGCAATTAAGTAGAGAGCAGACAATCATATTATCCGCTCCCCAGTCCAAACTTATTACTGCAACAGGTACTTCTAGCTGGAGAAAGCACTAGTAATCCAATCTACCAAATCTACTACAACCAGTTACAACTAAACTCAACTAAACAACTAACCAAATCAGTGCCTATTTATCAACCAAGTTCTGTGTTCCAATCCCATAAATACAGCTAAGTTGAAAAACAACACAAACTTGTGCTGTCGTTCCATCCTTTGCTGATTTGAAGTGACGGAACATACGGTGAAAATATCCGAGATCATCAAACAAGACGAATACCATAAATTGATAAGAATTAAACAGCCCGAGTAAAAACATGTTCGGTCTTCTGCCACTGTCAACGATGATGGTAATATTTCTAGTTCCTACCAATAGAGAAGATAAATCACGGAGGGCACTCTGGCCGGATGTTCGAAATTGTATAGAAATACGTTGTTTTCTCCTTTCTTATTGTACTTACTGCAGCACAACAACTAGCTTTCTCCGTTTTCACCCACTCCAAAGTACGCATCTCGCGATACTCGAGTAGAGATGAGCATATACCTGATAGCTAGTAACAGCGTATATTATACAAGCGTGTATACAAGCATGGTGAAGAACAATGAAGTGTTGGTGGGTGAAAATGGCGAGGCAGTTATTTATTTATTTATTCATTTATTTACTTATGTACCAAATTCAAGCGATATCAGTTGCATGTACATGCACTTAATCACGCCCATCCCATTTCAGAACAGAGACGAGCATATCTCATCCCATTATTGTGATGGAGGAATACAAAGCAGTGTCATTCTTTAAATTTCCATTCCACGCTCTTTTCTTTCTCCATTAAATTGAATCCCCTGGCCCCGACCGAACCTAACTTAAGTGCAAGGGAAAGTATAAATAGGGCAAATGTGGAAAGTGGGTGGCGAGAACGTCGTTCTGGATATGGATTCTTCTGTGATATCGTCATCTCCGCGAAGATTATGGTAATCAGGCTGGAAGGAAAAATTCTGGCAGGATTGGAATGAAATACGTGTATATTAAAGCTGTCAGAGAATCGGAGAAATGATAAGATTCGATGCCACGAAACCACACTGCCACCACCACCACCTCTGGCACTAGTACCCACGCAGAATGATGACAATGCAGCCTTAAATTAGAAGGTCTGTGAATGCAAATCGGAGGTCTCGGTCAAATATGTTACTGGTTACTGGCAGAATCCTTAGATTTTAGATGTAATATCTGCATACTTTTGCATATCCTGGTTCGTCGTTAGACGGTGACAGTAAAAAATAGTAATGCCATTCAGTAATTGCAAAGTAATGAGCTACACAAAGCGAGGAGAAAGCGTAGGCGATGGAGTGTTGTTGGAGAAAGCTGGTCGGTTGGGGTAACGTGCGGCGGTTTTCTCCTCTCTCTCTTTCTCTCTCACTTGGCTGGAGTTTGAGTCATTGATAGAGCGGAGGCCGGCTAGGGTAGACTCTACTTTCAAGTAGATTTTATTCAATGTTTTGATTTTTTTGACATTCTTCGATCCAACAATTATTACCGAAGTACATACAAATTAGCTCGTCTCTTATTCTGACTGGAGTAGTTTTAAGTTAAATAGTTTGAAGATAGTTTGTTTGATTAGAATTTATTATATTAACGACTCAGTTTTAAAACAGGGCTTCAAAATGATGGTATCAGCATCTCCATCCCCCAGATCTCCCGAAATCACGGAAAAAACCAAGAAATATGATCGTCAATTGAGGTAATACGTAATTTGAGATAATTTCAATACTTTCAACTTACAATTCAATAAATATTGTGAATTAGACTCTGGGGTGATCATGGCCAGTCTCGTTTGGAAAAAAGTCACGTTTGCCTTATCAATTCAAGTGCAACGGGGACAGGTAATAAAAGACACTAGTAAATAAGATGCGTTTGAATAGAGCAATAGTTTATTTTTGACGATATTTTATATGTTGGTATCTTAAATTAGAGATTCTGAAGTCACTGGTCCTTCCCGGTGTAGGGAGCTTTACAATAGTGGATGGATACAAAGTGACGCAGGAGGACATTGGAATCAAGTAAAATCAATTATAACAAGGCGTTGATGCTTTAAATTTTAATGACGTCGAGGGAATTTATATTTTTTTTAATTCTCAAAAACATTTTGCTTTTCAGCTTTTTCTTGGACCAAGACAGTTTGGGAAAAAGTCGAGCTGAGTACACGACAAAATTACTCCTGGAATTAAATACAGACGTAAATGGAGAAGCAATTGAAGAACATCCAGAAATGTTGCTTAAACAAAATCCAAACTTTTTTAATCATTTCTCCGTCGTTATCGGATGTCAACTGGATGAAAAGTATTGGGTCACCAGATCAAACACCAATTTCACAGGATCAATAATTAAAGAATATATAATCTCTTGCAGGACTTTAGTAACAATTTCACAAGTACTCTGGGAAAGTCAAGTGCCCTTTGTTTATGTCAATTGCATTGGATTCTTGGGCTGGGTCCGTGTTCAAGTTAATGAACTTGCAATTATTGAATCGCATCCTGACAGCACGATACAAGATCTGAGACTGGATGTTCCTTTTCCTGAACTTATTGCATACATGGATGCACTCACTATTAACTCTCGCGAAGTTGCTCAGAAGACACCATGGTTAGTTTATCTAGACACAAATCCCAGAACAATTAAATGAGTATTAATCCTATTGAGCCAACTTGTATCTAAGCAAACAAAGATTACCCACAGGTTGGTTTTGCTATTCAAAGCTATTCAGAAATTCTCTACCCCAAGCACTGGCGACAGTATGGATACAACAGGGTGTCACCCATGTCATATGAAAAGCCAAGAGAAGCAAGAATTTAAAAAGTATTTAAAGCAATGTAAGTGTACCTCCTGTGAGGAGTTTTTTGGTTGATTTTCAAATTATAAGTGTCGTGAAAGCAGTACAGTCATTTTTTGGAACACGTAGATTTATGCGAAGTTGGATTAAAGGATACTGATGAGGAATTTGACGAGGTTGTGAAAGCAGCCAACAGTGCCCTCAGTCCGAGCATGATTAATTCTAACGTTCAAGCATTGTTGGATGATCCAAAGTCGACCAAACCAGAGGTAGATGTATATATATTCTAGTAATTATTCCGTTATGCAATTCCAATAATAAACCAGTCAATCTCATTTTGTATCTAGAAAACAAAATTTTGGGTCATGTGCGGCGCACTTCGAGAATTTGTTGCCAACAATGGTCAGCTGCCAGTTCGGGGAGTACTGCCAGATATGATGGCAGATTCAGACAGATATATCAACTTGCAGTCTGTGTAAGTGTGATTTATTCAAATTTTGCTTTGTATATTTATTATTGTCAAGAAAGTTTTTGGTTGTTTTCGTCAATTATCAGATACCGAGAAAAAGCGTCCAAGGATGCAGAGGATATACTGGGTAGGAGTCAGCAACTATTAAAACAAGCTGGATTACAAGGGCTAACCATTGTAGAGGAGGATGTCAAACTATTTTGCAAAGAATGTCAAAATCTCAGACTGATACGAGGATATCCCATGTATGAAGAGATTAATTCAGTTCCAGTGGAAATTCTTCAAGAATTGGGTGAGTCTGGGTTTGATAAATTTTTAGTAATAATTTGATTGGATATTATGTAGTGTGTCAATATTGAAATAAAATATTTTTGTGCGTTATTCACTAGCTCAAAATACGGAAGACTCAGACCAAGAAATGATGTACTATCTTTTGCTAAGAGGTCTTTTGCGATTTCAAGGCGATTATCATACGTATCCTGGTCTACTCGACAGAGATGTTGAACCTGATATTAATAGATTCAAGGTATTGATTCAAAATAACGATTCATAGACATAACTTGTAAGTCAATGTTGTTGTTACATTTCCAATGCAAATGTTTTTCAGGGGACGTTTACGAAACTCTTAAACGATTGGAATGCTACAATATCAGCCAAGGAAGACTGTATTCATGAACTTTGTCGATACGGTGCTTGTGAACTGCCATCAGTTGCTGCTTTCATTGGTAAACTATAACATGCATTCATAGTTATGCACTCGTTAATTTGGAGGTTTAAAAAATACGTACTCATAATTATTGCAGGTGGCTGTGCAGCTCAAGAAGTAATTAAAATTATTACCAAGCAATACGTTCCACTTGATAATACATTTATTTACAATGCAATGCAATCTACTTCTTCATCTTTCAAAATGACCCGTGCAAATTCATAAAGACAAAATATATGTATTCCCTTTTGTATTTTATGAGAAAGAGAAGAGTCGTAAATAAAAAAAATGGCATTCATCAATCAATAAATCAGACTTGTTCGTCGATGAGTGTCTTGTTCTTTATTTAATCACGTTGTAATAGTTGGTTGACATTTAATCTATCGGAACTTAAATAGCAATAGGAGGAGGGTTAGAAGTGTTATTCTTATTATAATTAATTACATTATATACAGCTTAGCTATATATGTGTGTTTATATGACATTATAACATTTTATCGAATTTTAAACCTATGTATATGATGAGATTTCATCTATCCGATAGTGCAGAAGTGCATACACTATGATAATTTCAATTTCAATAAGCACTACTGCGAACTTTTTTTATATTGGCATATATATTATTCGAAATTCGAAAGTTGTTATTATTTCTGTATTATTACCCGTGTAGAAGCTTGGTGTTGTTACTATATCTTGTTCAATTCAATTTTAGCAGATTTAACGAAAAATGATTTCTACGATTTTCATGATACTTTTTTTTATATAAACAGACAATAGGTATGTCAACTCCATTTTGAAAGTTTTAGTAAGATACATTATGATTATTATTATTATGTTATTATTAGAAATTGCTGCTGTACTTGGAAATGGGATTATAGCTCCTTTTAGTGGCGGAAAACATAATTTAATGGAATTCAAAATCATTATAACATAGCGTGGTGGTGTATATTATGTAGTTGCACGTACGCATACGAGTAATGCTCTACAAATAAATGTGTTTGCTGGTAAATTTTTAATTCTAACCAAAAATATTACACGATAAATACGAACGCCAGTACGATGACAATTTTTGCAATCATTGCAAATGAATCGAAATGTAAAGCCTTTATCAGTCACGTCTTTCTGCCGAGTTGGTTAAATTATCATTAAAATTGCGACTCTGACTGAGTAACCTAATTGAAGCCTTTCAAAGTAACTACTCTTAATAATTGGAAATTAAATCAAAAAATCAAATCAAAATTTTTCTTCAACGTTAATAAAACGCAATCACAACTGACTCTGAAATCTCGGTTTGACTGACAAACTTTGAAACTGGATGACAAAAAATACGTTATTGGGTAGAATTACATGTGGACATCTGTTTAAACCAAATCATCATCAACAAATAAAGAGGAGGGTGTGTATTTGTGTGTGTTACATTCATCCTCAATTTTCTTTCAAGACTTCAAATTCACAGGAAATGGTGCAAATTGACAAATTTGTTGGTTTAAACGAAGAATTTCCCCATGACAAGTCCCACAAGGAGTACTACTAGGGCTAAAATAATCTGAAGCATTGGCGTTGCTGGAGCATTGGTTTGCATCGCCATGCCCGAAAATCCACTTGCTTCCCTTGATTTCAATTGACGCTTCAATCTGTCTATTTCATCCTGAAATTAATTAAATAAAATAAAATAATTAATTACAACAAGGATCAAATTTATTTTTCATAGAATTTTATTAAATATTGATTATCCAACCTTAAGCTGACCATTTTCTTGTCTTAATTGAACCGTTTCAGGGTGAACAGACAACCGGTTAGCAGCATCACCACCATGACTTTCGTCGGACACCATCTAATTATAAAATACAATAATATAATATTCCAGGAATAATATTGAGCATATCACCAAATAATGTTATCTTTCTGTATTATTGTCAACAATGTCAAATTAAATAATTCTACTGTTAAAAAATCGTCATAAATTATAATATGAGAAAGAGCATATAAAGAAAAAAATAATAATAAAATTTCGTAATTGACGTACATCGGAGCCAATAGCCGAAGCATCATCAGCTAATACAAACGTAGAAATCGGCTCCGTATCAGCAACAGCAGCAGCAACAGTATAGTCCTTTTAGAAACCAACCGCAAGCAATAGGATTTAAATTAGCGAAACCAAACATAACAAATCACACACCATTAATTTAGCACAAAATAACAAATGTAACATAATTCAAAAGCTTGTTTGAATGAAAAAATGTAATGCATAATTATGTATATATTTTGAAATACAATCATTAGCAAAACTTGTGCGTAAAGCTAAAAAATGTCCATAAGAGTTGTATTGTATAGGTATATTATAGTAGGGAAAAATCATATCACACTACTAGTCCATGCAAGTATTGAACGCTAGATTATTAACAGGATTTGTGGTACATGTCTAAATTTTGCTTAGGTTTCATTAAAATTAAACTAATAATTATTAATTCATAGAGATCGAACCTTTTGACTCTTGGTATGGTCATGTTTAGCACGTGTAACTTTTCCTTCATCAAACGCGTTTAAATCATTCTGATTCCCAGAATCTGCCGCATTTTCAAAGGTACATCGAAGTTTTGTATCCATAAGTTTAGTATTATCAACATCTTTCCACTGAAATTAACAAAAGACGACGAGTTATATCGTTGAACGACAGACTACAGCTGAATCCTGCCGACATATCAATAGGAACAAGTAATAAGAATTTAAATCTTACTAAGGAATCCATATCAATCGAAGCGTCACCATCTGGAGCGTACAGAGCTTGTACCATGAATTTGTGTTTATTAGCAGTAGGCTCCAGTTCGCAAGGCTGGAATACAACTGCAAAAAAACAACAGGCATTAATATATTGTGTATTCAGTCTTGCTTGATTGCAATGGTATCATCTCACAAAGCTAGCATATCTATAGGTCAATTATTTTTTTCGTACCAGCGATATTTGCATTTGCTCCAGGCTGAAGTAAGCCTGCGTTGGGGCGCACACAATACCGCTTGGGTGCTGTTGTTTTGATTTTGAAGCATACTCGTTTGTCAGAAGGATTTATGATTTTCAGTAGTGTCGTAGATGGAACATTGAAAGGACCTGAGATGGGAATGTTTTTATTATAGGCCAGTTAAACTCGGAAATGCAAATGATAATAATTATTCACTAATACTAATAATTAGAATATGAACCTTTGAATTTGAGTTCATGGTCCGGCTCAATGCGTAAAACCTGTTCCGGCATCTTCTTAACTCGACCAATTGAACAACGGTTCCTTTAAATTATGTTCAATACTATGTTATGATCACCAAATTCACCAACTAGATGAAGAAGTTTTAGTCACTGTCCACAATCGACGTCTTCTCCTCTAATGTAAGGATGTGAGGCAGCGGACACCACACCTACAACAAAATAAATTGTATTATTATTATAATTATTATGACGTTGTCGTCGTCGTCGTCGCAGACGACACAATTTTCCAGATATAATATCCGAAGAAAACGAAACAGAAAAGTGTACAAAATATCTGAGATTCACACCGTCGAATAATGCAGCAGCGACTCGAAATTAATTGAAGGGACGGTAAATCATGAATTAAAAATTAATCTACCGTCAGCCAGTGACACCGACGTATGACGTGTACTAATGAAGAAATAAACCACTTCTTCCTACGATAATAATAAAGAAACTAGAAACTTACCAAGTGTGAAGAATATTTTATATTATTGAGGTTTTTTGCACGGATGCAGTGCTGGATGCTGAGGCGAGACGATTTGAAATTGAAAAGGTCAAGTGAAATCTCTCAGAATTGGATGGAACTTCTTTTTGGAGGAATTGTTGAATAAGATGATGAGACAAAATTCACTGCCAAACCAATCGTGTATGTGCAAAGAGGCTGCACCTGAACCACAGCAGAGAACCTTGGACGTACGAGATGATGATGATATTTTTGTGCTATAGAGTTTTACCACAGACTTGTGCATATTATGAGTTTTGCTCTTCTATGCAGTCCCAGTGAATCTTCCAGCGCCATCCACCGCCATCCAATTTGCCCCAGTGGACTTTCCCCAGCAAAAATAGGTCAAAACACCTGACAACCACACCCACCTGGACCTCCCACTCGGGCCACCGCAACCCTATGACTTTGAATACATTGCAACCTATGAGATTTTGACAACCAATGCTGCATCTGATATATTCGTCTTTCCAAATTTGGCAGCATTGCTGGTTTTTAATAGACATAGAGTGAAGCCGTCGAGAGATTCGGGGGACTGTTTAATTTTAGATTCTCTAAATCTAGTATTTTTTAGTTTGGTTCTTGCAGCAACAGCAACCAGTAACAGCGATTTATTGTAGTGTTGTTGCATCCTTGTCACTCTACTTGTGGTCAATATGGGCGGGGGTCACGGTCACGACCATCATCATCATATAAAAATTCCAGACTACAAAATCTACAAGGTGGAGGATGTCCCTGAATTGATGGCTGTGAGGAGAGTGTTGGCTACACAAGGACTGAAAGACCCTTGGTTAAGGTGAACAATTTGTACATGAACGATAAAATGAGTGTCTATTAAGTTTGTAAATCATCAATAACTGAATTTGATTTTGCAGGAATGAGGTGTGGAAATATACCATAAAGGGGAGAGGAACAACGCGTCAAATCTTTAGGAAATTATTTGGCCGTGGGCTTTTGATAGGACTTGTGGCTGGTGCAGTCTCATCTGGACTCGAAAGGGCTTGGATGGCTCGAAAATATCCTCACCACCATGATGGGCATGGTGAAGAAGGTCACGCTCATCATTAAGAACATTATACATCATATATAGCGTGGACAAACATCTAATTTGCGATTCATTTACCAGCACTTAGTTAAAATAGACCCCATAATTTATAGGATTGGAATAAACACTTCCGTTTGCCTTGTGTAATAATATGGAGTTTAGTAGTAATTTAAACTGAGTAAAAAAATTCTATGTATGCCGGCCGGAACTATAAAACTGCCGTATTCCTGTAAATAAATTACTAGTCGTTAAAAATGAGTAAACATTGTAAACAACAGAAAACTTTTAACATAAAAATGGTCAACATATTCTTATTATCTGTATTATTATTATTCAAGTAGATTCATTCTTGTTTTTTTTTTGGTTTCATAATCACACATTTAGATTGACAGTAGTTGAAGAAAACACAAGATTACTCAACAACTACGTACGTACGCATAACCTGTCGATAGTAAATTTGTATGTTCCTAAAGGTTCAAGGTCAAACCTGAACTAGTCACATTGTTAGCCGCGGTGTTTCAGTTAAAACAGGCGAATCCACAAATTCTGTACCATAGTGTAAAATCACACCACCGCAAGCTACCGACATTATTGCCCAAAAAAACATGTAGAGTCTGTTCTCCGTGGTATTCTCTTGAGGGAATATAAGAACGGTGAAGAACATTACCACAGACATGACCAGCAGTGTTGGCAACTAGAGATTTAAAACATTTTAACTTAGCTTTTAGCGTTTAAGTCTAACGTTTATGATTTCACATCAGTTGTGTTCTAACCGTTAGGTATTTCCAGTCTCGATTCCTGTCCAACGGACATCTGAGTTCGGCCCCTTCCTTCTCTGTAACAATGTGGTTTCCTACAAACAAATCCATTGCATCCTACATAAAAGTAAACCGAAAGATAATTAGAATTTATTGGAAATTCACGGCCACCAATGCAGATTTGTTATTATTTAATTGGTTTAGGTTTGGGTTGTACATACTTGTCTAAAACCGTCGGCAAAGTTATTTTTAAAGTATCGTACTGAAGCGTTTAAACCGTCTCGCATTAAACCCGCAAATGTGCGTTGACCAGTCCGAGTAAAATCCGCTTTCAAAGCCCCAGTACCCGAATATTCGATACTGACAATGTCCCCATTGTCTGCCCAAATGTTTTTAAACAAGTATTCAAAGTCAGGATGATCTCGGACCTTCTCGCCTTCTCCAAAAATTCCCATTCGCTACATATTTAAAAGTGTCACAATTAGTGGTTAATATAAAATAAAATACTTAATATATGATAGAAATTTTTAATTTTGCACCTGAAGAACAAGTTCTACGTTGACTTTTGCAAGGAGTCCTTGCACAACGTTAGTTCTATCGAGACAATCTATGCAATTTGTCCTAAAAACCCCTTCTTGTTGTTTACGAATTCTGCCTCGCATAAAGTAATCAAATTCTTGAAGATCATTGGTGAGTCTGTTTACTAGAACTTCAAGTCTTTGCCAATTCATGTTGCGGCATTCGTGATGAAAATCAAATGCTTCATAACTATAAATGTACACAAAAATTTTAAATTAATTTAATTAAAATAACACAGTAGCACACACCTTGTATTATGTAGTTGTAACGCTTCCGATTGACTTTTAAACTTTAATTCTAATTCGCCTTCTGAGCCTGTTTGGTTAACCTGCAACATATTTCAAAAAATATACTCATTGCCTCTAAATATAAAATATCAAAATATTAAAATTGAAAATTTACCAAATTCACACTAGTGACTTTTCCATATCTCAATGTCAACTCTTGGAAATGCTTAGTGTATGCTTCTGCGTGATTTAGTGGGGTTACCAGAGGCTTGGGCTTGTACTTCAAATTTGGCCTTTGAGACCAAAACAGTGGAATTGATCCTCTAATCTGATGCATTCAAATAATTAATACATTGATCAGGATATGTATTTAATATTGCTACTGCACCTGGACAAATGATGCAATATCAATTCCCTGTTCAATGATTTGTTCGGTTTCTACAAAATTTGAGACATTTCCGTCTTCATCGATTCCTCTGCAGAAAAGTCGAGTTCCAGGACGTTTAGCTGAAAAAAGTAAAATTACAATAACATAAGCACTTCAACCGCATAAGGAGAATAGATATAATCTCTAAATTTTGAAATGTCTCACCACTTCTTCTTGAAATCAAAATAAACTTAAACGGCTTTGAGTTTAACTCTGTTTGCGTGATGGATACAACTAGAATTTAAAACAAATATATCAAACGCAATTTACAAAAATTGTTTAAACTAAATATATGCCGAATAAAATAGATACGTACATCCATGAATTAGAGGAACACAGAATTTCTGCAACTCGGATCTTCCTTGATGAAAATTCTCCAACATTACTTTATTCCACACAAACCTCTCATCTGCGCGTTCTACTAGCGTTTGTTTCAGGAAATCCGGTGAGTTGGAATCCAATGATTGCATGCTATGACTCAAGTCATATGTATTTGAGTAATAGAAACTTGGAGTGTCAACGACTGTTTTCAGCATTTCCAGGTATGTGTTATTGAATGATTTCTGTTGATTTTTTCTCCATATTAAAAATTTTCCAATAATTATAAAGAGATCATTTTAATGCACATACCTGTTTCTCAGTCAAATGTAGCATACTCTTCCTGAAGGGAATTACATCAAATTGTTTCATTTGCCAAACCACATGAGCTCCTCCAATGTTTCCAACACGTTCCCTCGTTTTAATGTATACCAAATACGGTCCCGCAATCATTCTAATGGCACCAATAACGCCGCAAATGGAAATCGTTTTTAACCGATCCCTGTCTGGAATGAGGTGTTCATCCGCTGGAAATAAAAGAATTTCAAATTAGCACTTGATTAGTAGTTGTAAAATTATAAACCAATCAGTCTCACTGGAAATAGAAATTTCATCGCTAATACGGTTAATGACAATGAACTTGTCACCAGCATGGAATGTCGCAGGATGGATGAAGATCCTTTCGGTGGTTTCCACCCTAAGAAGTCAAAGTTCTATATTGCCAATCTCAATCAAGTCGACTAGTTAAATATGTCCAATACTAATTGTGGGGTCCTTACAAATACAAACTGTCATAACTGGAACTCATTGTTGGTAAATTAAATTGAGCGTGTTTTTAAAGTCAATATAAAAAGGCAATTAGACAGTGATCATGTCCTAAAGAATCATTGGGATTCGGAACGATGAGCAGAATTCACAACCTCTGCTGCCTTTACTCCTGCAAAATTAAAAACAAAATTAGTTACAATACGTAGATACCACGATACACGAATTGTTTGTGTTCAGTGTTCAAAGGTTGAACTCCAACAACTTGAATAACAACACAGGCTAAATTAGCTAATGCAAGATTTAACTAGATAGCGAAGTTAAATACTTTAGAGGTATTAAAGAAGCAGTTATTTTCACCTCTTGCCATTTAGTACATAATGCTGCTGAATAGTGTGGTGAACTACTTCCTGTCAATTAAAAAATATGAAAACGAAAAAATTGCCGTATACTTGACATGTATGTGCGTGCAGATTTCTCACTCGTGTGCATACTACATATGTGTTGGGATTAGAAGTTGGCAGTGTTTGATGTTGGCGGAGAGGAGGGCTAGACGCTAGTCAGGTGTTGGTGAGCTGGAATATTTGGTTGGTTGAAGCTCAACAAATCGCTTCAAATAATTTCAGCTACAGGTCACCGATTTGTTATTAAACGGTCCAATCGCCGAGCATGGCAGCCTCCGCCAACATTAGCACCACGACAAACGCCAGCCAACAACTTCAGCAGCAGCAGCAACAACAACAGAATCACGCTACCACTCAACTTAAAGACTTTTGGCCCAATGTGACAAATTCCATTCGAAATCTCTCTCATGTGAGTAAAACACGTTGATGTTAAGTAAGATTGGCTTATCCAGAAAGTATGCTTATAGATGTAGCATTATTATACTCGCCACATTGATCGACTGAGCAATGCGTATGTAAGTACATGACTGGACACTTGAAATGGATAGGGACCACCCTTCCTGAATGTCTCGTCGACTGGGATAAAAATCTATTTATAATTAATGACATCATAATATTTAAACGAATGCAGTTAGTCCAAGTCAATTCGAAAAATAACAGCTTTTTTGTCGAAAGTGATCACGGACCATTTGATCGTTTGTGTGTCGAGTAAAATTTACTCAGGAAATCTAAATAATAGTATAATGAAATGGTGACGTTTACTTTTTTATGTATGAATGCCAAAAGTATATTTTGTCGTTATTTTCAGAACGATCTGCGGACACAAGAGTTGCCCTTGGCCAGAATAAAGAAAATTATGAAACTGGATGACGACGTCAAAATGATAAGCGCAGAAGCTCCAGTGCTATTTGCAAAAGCAGCAGAAATATTTATTCACGAGCTAACTCTCAGAGCATGGATTCACACCGAGGACAACAAGCGCAGGACGCTTCAGGTAATGCATCATTTTACGGGGTCAAGTAATAAATAATAGTTTACATGATAGTTTCATTCATGTATGTTTTTTTTGTATTTGTAGCGAAATGACATTGCAATGGCTATTTCAAAATATGACCAGTTCGACTTTCTCATCGACATAGTTCCACGAGACGAAATTAAGCCGACCAAAAAAGAAGAGAAGACTACAACAACGGTACTTGGTCCAGAGCAGGTAAATTATTTAGATCATTCATTATTATTTATTATGCATTTTTAGCCCTAACCAGGGTTTATTAGTATAGTATGATAGTGGTAAGTTTTCCTGGAAATTTTAAAAATTGTTATACCAAGAAAAAAAATTGCTGACGACGTGTCGGTGTAATCCCCATTGAGTTACTCCGAAACGGGAGCTTCCACATTTAACTATGATATGGCAGTCTCACTTCTTCTACCTTCCCAGCTCATATAAAATCCCAGCTTTGATGGAAGTATGTAAAGAATGAAGCAGAGCTTTATGCTCTGGATATCTCTATCAAGTGCCCGGGGACTTTCCCCAGGATAATTTAGTGATCCCGAAGGTGGAACACGACCCATCGTCAGTATTAAGTGAAAGGGAAGGCAGGTTGAGTATATATAGTGCTTTAAAATGATGTGCATATTTACAAATTGTGCCCAATTTTGATGGACTAAATCCAAAGGCGTTGCATATTTGAAAACGTTTTCATGCATGCAAATATATTGTACGGGTATGAACATATGTTCAATGCATTATTTTCATCAAATTTTCTAATTCTACAACATTTTCCGACAGGTACAATATTATCTCCAACTTGCGCAACAGCACCAACAGGCATTGCAACATGGTAACACTGGAGGAGGTGTCCAGATATTACAACAAACAATGCCTTCCGGTGTTCAAACTATCCAATTAGTACAATCTAGTAGTGGTACACAAGCTGTAAGTAATAATTTCTACAACTAATTTACCATGAAAAATAATATAATGCTAAATAGCTGGCCTATTTTCTACTTGCAAAGAAGATATGCATTATAAATATAATATGCGAAACTTTTTGATTGTCAGGTTGTACAGCAAGCCCCACAAATTATGCAATCTCCAATGGGACAACAGACAGTTTTACAAATTGGTGGAACTCAGGTGCACATTGCATAAATACGTACTATTAACCTCTAATTTTGTGATATAATGTGTATAATAATTATATTAAATATATTATCAAAGTACCAACAACCTCAGCAAACCGGGTTACAAATTGTACAGCAAGTGGTGGGACCGGATGGACAGATTCAACAAATTCCAATTCAATTGTCGGCAAACCAGCTACAAATGCTTCGAATGCAGTTGCAAGGGGGTCAAGGCACACCACAAACACAGACTCCCATAATCATACAGACTGGCCCAGTTCAACAACAAGCAGCGTCTCCCCAAACTGCCACTGTGATGACGACTCAAAATGGCACACAAATCATTCAAAGTTCGTAACCTAATATTCCCAAACACTTTGCCGGAATTACCATGTAATTTTAATCTTATGTAATGATGGATTATAGATTCAATAGATAATTCAATAAGAAAAGACTAATTAGCATTTTAATATTTACTTGCATGATACGATATGATTTCCGCTCTGAGAGACTAAGTTAATTGAGGTTTTGGTTATAAAAATTGTGTAACTCTATTATGATTTCCATAATTGATTTTAAAACATTACCTTGTTTGTGTTATGTATACACAAATTAGATATATAGTATATCTGCTATTATTTTATGACAAATGGAATTTAATATATGGTTTGAAACCCCTAATGTTTTATGAATAAACTAAAATGAATGCATACTCTTTATTTTTGTCCTATTCGACTTACTTTTATGTGATGTGAATTTTTGGTGGCATTTGAAAGGTACGTCCGGATTATGGGCAAAAGGATTCGACGTTTCGACTAAGCTTGACCGTCTTTCATAATCTATAAATTAATCATTAGAATTTGCTGAGCTACTGCATATTGAAAATGTCACTGACTAAGTGACTATTACTTATCGCGAGGTCATGTGTGCATACATACACAGCATAATATTACACGATCTAATAGTAGACCTGCCATAGAACGGGGATGCGTGGGAACTCGGAAGAAACCCAAATAAACTTGTCCTACAAAATATTAATTACTTTCGTTTTTGACTAAATCTTCTAAAGCGTACTAGTTTGAAGTGGGGTGATCGTGAAAATGTCGTTTCTGGGGTTGGATAAGGTTGGAAAACTATTCACCATTATCCGAGCTAATGGTGGAGTTTTAAAATCACTGAGAAAACTTTACATGTAAAAAGATTCAGTTTAATCAAGCAAATTGAACTCAAAAATTGGACTAAGAATTTAATTCTAATTTATTTTCTGCCATTTCAGCTATGATGATTTGAAACTCGGAACCCTCGTGGGTACGGACAAGTACGGCAACAAATATTTTGAAAATAATGAGTACTTTTATGGTGAGTTTAATCATAATTTACATTGCGTTATAAATTGAATTTGAAATTGAATTGGTTTAATGTTTTGCGTTTATTTATCAATTAAATTTTAGGCCGAAATCGGTGGGTCGAGTACAATGAAAAGGTTGGCATAGATTACGACGGCAGGTAAATTGCATAAAGTTGTCCCATATCTTTGGCCATTTAGAATAAGAGTTTCAAATATGTTAACTTTGAATATAAACTTGATCCATAATTTCAGCATGATCCCGGCAGAATGGTACGGATGGATGCACTACAAAACTGACATGCCTCCAACAAAGTCACCCCCAGTTGCCTACAAATGGTTGGAACCCCACAGGGAAAACTTGTCTGGTGTGTTTGTGATTTTGCGTTTCATTAAACATATAATTGATGGATGAAAACATGATTATTTTCATTTCCAGGAACACCGGAACAATATGTCCCTTATACGACTACCCCACCGAAAATTCAGAGCTGGGTTCCACCCAAACCCAAGAAATAATATGTGAGTCATCTTCTAGTCGTTAGGTTGTATTAATTGGAAAATAAGCCACACAAAGTTTGGCCAGATACATTATAAATTGTAGTGAAAGTAATAGACGTACATTCAATTCACACTCAAATGTATCAAATATTGTAAATATCTGTTGAAACGTCATAAATTTCGGATTTCGCGTAATGAGCTCATGAATTTATTTTTCTCACGATCATATAATTGAGTAGGTATGTATTTTTGTACTTGATCATCTCGTCATCATCTCACAAAACCTTTGAGTTGTTTGCATATTTGCATCATATAATTTATGTATTTAAAATAATTTATTATGCGCTAAGTTGGCAGAGAAGGGCGACTCCTCTCATAATCCAGTGTTCCGGAGGTTGATTACTCGGCAGCATGACACGAATAACGAAATTTGTGGAATGACCTGTTGTACTCAACGTTCCGCGACGTTCCGACGTTTTGTACACTGGAGAAATGTAGGACGGACGCTCGGGAATTTTTGAACGAAGCATTGGAACAAGCCAGAGCTGGAAAAAGTTGTCATCATGCTTGCCATTACACGAGCAATATGAAAACCAAGACCTATTTTTTAGCGTATTTTTAAATTACCACGGGCAAAATATCGTACAAAACTTTTGGCTTTGACTCGTTGAGTTCCTTCAACTCCCTGTCCCAACGTGCTCCTTCAATAAATAAGCCATGCACGTAGACCCCGTCCTCTGGGGGTTCAGTGTATTCAATGTCGTCGAGAACCTATGCATATTTCTGGTAAATATAAATTATTAGACAAGAGAATATTATTTTTTTAATTACAAGAAAGTCAAAGTCCAAGAGATCGATAGGAATCTGGTATTTTCGAGCATAGTTTTGCTGTGCACCTGAAAATTTAGAAACTTGTAATAGTTCAATGGAACTTTTTTGTAAATGGTCAGTTATTTTCAATACCCGTCAAGAAGGCTTGAGTAAAAAAGAATCCAGAAATCCAAAATTGTGGAGGTGGACCATTGTCGAACCAATCCTAGTAAATAATATTCATGGATTAAATATTCGCACAAGTATTAATTCTTTTACATACCTGTAAAAATTGCAACCTTGCAAGAAAGTCGTTTACATAACTGCCCAACGGTTTCAACGAAGGATAAGACTTTCCTTTCCAAAGTGTCGGAATTCTTGACGTGAGCATGCTTTTGACAACCTCTTCCAACTCCATGGACATCACGACCAGACCTTTGATTGCTTTCTGCACGTTGATAAGACTGCTGCGAATAAGAGCCAGCAAAATGTTGAACCGTCCCATTTCTTGAACCAGCACAGTATTCATAGACTGATTGTACAGAGTTGGGTATTTTTTCAAGGATGCATCAATATCAAAGTCTGCCGGCAATTTATTTAGAATATCGGCAGATACTTCGATGACCAATTCGTCCGGAGTTTTCCCTCCTCCACCGCTAGATATTTTGCTCTGGAAATGAAATCAACCGTAACCTACCCTCTAAAATATATAAATAAATATGGTGTAAATATACCTGAGTTAGCAAAATGTTGGCAAATAGTAGTTCCGTTTCATTCTGATCCTTTGTAATGTCCGCATTGTCGTTCATTCCGAATACTGTGGGGCTGCTGATAAGTGGCAAAGATTGAGCATAAGTGACAAACTCTTCATGAAAGCTGGCCGTTGGAACAATGTAATCCCCTGAAATATGTCAAATTCAAATTCAGTCATCTGCCCCAGAATGGAGAATTTGTTTAAATTCTAAAATAATGAAATTACCGGAAACGTCAAGTTTGAAGTGTTTCACATTCACAAGATCAGGACAGTAGAATTTTCCCAAAATTGTGATCAGAGTCCTTCGATCCCAGTCGTCCGTGACCCTTCCTCCATAATTACATTCTCCCGTCAAATATCGTAAAGCGTCAAATTGAATATCCTACAAGTACAGACAATCAGACTAGTAAAATTCAATTACAATTTTAGTGTTGCATGTTCTCATCTATGTTCTTACGTCATATTCATCCAAAAATATTCGCAATTGAGTCGCACTGATTCGTAAATCAGTTTCATTGAATTCATACGGAATGTTGAAACCAATGGGGCCGAATTTTCGTCGCTCTTGAATCAACGCGTGGAAGAAGCAAAGTCCAAACAACAACTTTTTGAAGGACGTCGGCTGTTTGCTGCCTTCAAAAAAGTCGGGGTCATTTACAGGGTCACTGAGGTATGATCGCACAACATTCGCACGGAGTCCTTTCGGAGGTTCGTTTGTCATCTTTATTCCCGTCTCCAAAACTGGGACGGGAAAATCTGGAGAGGGGTAAGATGTCAGCCACATTCTAAAATCGCGATGAGTTGTTGCTGGAGATAAATCTTCGCATATCTAACAAAAATATATTGAAAGAATTTAATATTAGTGACCAAATTGCAACACTATGAACTGTACCTTTTCCAGCATGGGCATAAAACTTTTGGCCAAATGACAGTTTTGCAACACTACCCAAGATCCGTATTTTGTGGCTTCAGTAATCATCTTGACAGCAATGGGTCCCTGACCCTGACCTAATGAAAGGGCTTGCAGCTTATCTCCCCCGAAACCCATGTCGCCAGCGAATTTTAATAGCACCGCAGTCGGATCAGCGCCAGGTGTGAGTACGAAAATGAGAGGAATATGGCTTTGAGATTCAGCGTACGACTTTGACAAGTCAAATGGAGGTGGCTCAATAAATTTCTGCCCCATGCTCGCTGATAAATAGTATTATGATTTCAATAAATATCTACATACATGGCTATAAAATGTTTCCTGTGCTCACATGAAACAAAATTTTGAATCGCAGGAACCATTTTATCTGGTCGAAGGCATCTTAGGACGCTCAACTTTTGAAATGGAGTCAAGATGTCTTCCCAAGGTGCCACGAGTTTCTCGTTTTGCGGAGTCATGCTGTCATAAATTTTCTTCCAGCTGGAAACGTTACCCACAAAAGCTTCTTTGATTCCTTTGAAAGCCTCCAAATCATCCAAACGACAAAGTTCGTCCCAATATTTTGCTGGAAGCCAGGCTGATGGATTGATATTTGGATTGTCCAGTCCAACGCCACCAGTTAAGAGGAACAACCACTCTTCCGGGTTGATTTTGCCCTCTTCCCGCATAAGACTGATGCACAGGATGAAGCTGAAGAGGAGTTTGTCCTAAATAAGCAAAATCGGATTATTATGTTTTGAAAACTCGAAAACCAACTCGAAATAAGTGTCACAAACTTTTTCGAACAGGCTTCTGCAAACGTTCTGGTACAACGAGTATGTAAAATGTTCCTTGAAAAAAAATTAAAGTAATTACTAAAATGTTAAGGTCATTTTACAATAATTTTACAAAGATTTTACAAAAATTTCAATTTTACAAAAACGTATTAGAAAATTAATAACCAACGTACCTTAAGATTTTCGATTCGTTCAGCCATAATTTCGGACCGATCTGCTAAATCAATCGAATTGACGAACAGGTTGACAAACCAGGTGAGCGAGTACTGGTACATGGGGTCAATTCCACCAATATCAGCAATACAGAAGAACAAAATTGCAGAATATTCTACAATTTTATGTACACGTGATATTTTGTTAAATGTTATCAACTTGTATGAATTTTTTTTTACTAATAAAACTGATCAGGTTATACTGACCAGAAATACTCATATATTCCAACCGTTTCTCGTTAATCTTTTTAGCCGTCTCTTCAGACCCGGCTTGTTTTATGGTAATTTCATTAGCCAAAGTTTTCGAGGAGCTCAATGCATTCACGGCGGTTTCATCTTCGAGTAAATTTCCTTGTGATGTCGATAAAACTTCGAGAATTTTTACTTCAATTTCTTTCAGTTGTCTGGAATTTCACATACATTTTAGCATCAATCATGTTTTTTGCTTTCCTAAATTATTAAAACTCCACATAAGCGTAAACGTACCGTTTATTATCTGCACTTTGCACAACAAGCTGTGTTCTCTCTTCTTCCAAGTCTGGATTTTCTCGAGCTACTACAATTCCCAACAACTGATCTTGCAACCCCAACGTGGTAATCATAAAGTTAAGCAGAGTCACTTTCACAGAAATTTCTGGTACATAGTGCGGATTTCTAAGTTTTGTCGTGATGTACAGTCTGCAGAATCAGCATTAATAAACAAGTTCGCGAATGTTTCAGTAACACTGTGCAGAAATTAGTTTTGTTATGTTACCTAAAATCACTGTTGTACTCCAAAAGTGCTTCACTCAACTTGATGCAAAGGGAGCCACTTTGTTTGAAAACTTGTCGCAAAAGAACAGGCTCCAACACAGCATCGAGTTCTTCTTGAACATTTTCAATTAGGAACTGAAAATTAAATTAATCATAATTTTTCATCCGTTATCAACAATTTGTAAGTGTTTGAATTACTGGAGTTCCAAATTGAATGGCTGATTCCAACTCTCGAGTAAAATTACTATCACTTAATTTGACGACGGTAAGATTGCGTTTCTTTTCTAAATTTTTGATCCATTTAGTCGCCTAAAATATAGAAAATATCATTCATGACCGTGATTTTGATTTGGACACTGGTGAGGACATCAAAATAAGATTCAGGGCCTTATATGCTAACCTGGCTTTGTGGATCTATCATTAGTGGCCAGCGTCGTGCGTGACTATAAAAATAAATAACTAAACCATGCAAATTGTCAGGTAAACATCTTATTTTATGTATCTCAATTACCTAACAATGATTCCATTATCTGTTGAAAAGGAGTCTGAAGGTAACCCGGCAATATTCCAAGCCTGCAAAATTTTTGGAAAATTAAAAAAAAATTGGAGACTGGGAGCTCTTTTAGTATTCAATTGTACTGGGATGATTTGCCTACCCGAATAGCCACAGGATCTCCGAGTGTTGTCGCAAAAGTATAATTCTTTGAAATCGGAATATCCAAATCCACAACTTTCTTGAACCATTCATCAATCTGAGAATCTCTATACTTTGAAGTGAAAGCCCCCAAATACGCGATAATCCCCGATGAGAGCAAAACATCCCCCGTCAAATAAGGATAGGCGACCCCGAGATCGGTAGCAATTTGTTGCCAGCGTCCCTTTTCTCCCCCCAAACCAACAATAATTTGTTCTGCTCTCTCTAATTTTTTGGAACATAGATTGACATCATTTTCCAACTTTTGTTTCCGAGCTCTGCTTTGAAACAAGGTTTCCTGAAGGATTGCAAGCCTTGCTTGAACCTCGGCGAGTTGCGCCCGTTTTTTCTCTAATGCAGCCATCGCAATTCCATACGTGGCCTCAGCCCCGGCTAACGCGGCCTTTTTCGGGGCCACTACTCGTGCCACGATATCGTACTTTTCTATCGCCATGACCCATTTGCAAAGACCTTCACAGGCCGTAGAAGCAGACTTGATTTTAACCGGATCAAAATCCGGATTTCCAATGAACTTTTGACGAATTTTTGTAATATTTGCCAGAGGAATGTTGTCTTTATCAAAACCGAGCAATGTTTCCAAGAATTTCATGTCTCCCAAGACTCGTTTCGAGGGACCCCAGTAATCCTCTATTTTATTCCCTGTTCCCTGTTCCGTCACCATTTCCGGTTTCACACCCTACACAAATTTGAAACTGATGAACTTGATCTAACGAAATATGTAAGTGACAAATTCATTGTTACCTTTAGAATGCACACAGCCTCCATGACGAGTCTGACCGGATTTGGGGGATTTTTCATAGTTTTCACAACCGCAATATCTGCAGTGGTCAGGGTATTCAGTGCTTCCAGAGCTCCATTCAGTAATGGTAAGGCCTCTGCCAAATTAGCGTCGCATTCCGTTTTGATGGCCATTGCCGCAGCGGCTGTAACGAGAAAATCTCTTTGTAAGTTTTATTATTTTCTTTATTTTCTTAATTTAGTTTTGTTAACAAATGGAAATTTGCTGTAAATTTAAAAAAAATCAATTTCAACCTTGTTCTCCTGCTTGGGCTTCGTCAGATTTCACAACAACTTCGACTGCGGCAACTTCCGCAGATTCTTTCTCCACTTTCGACACAATTTCTTCCACTTGTTTTGATGCCTCTATAATAATCAATAGTTTACAAAGTCATGAAGTTTCAGGAAAAATAATTATTAAGATTAATTTATGAGTTAATTATTGTTCCAACCGATTAATGCAGGTTGTAGCTTTGTCAGCTCATCCTGCATCACGCTGACTTGTCCTGCAGCATTGTCCAGTTTCTCCAAACCGATTTCATACCTTCGTTTTGTCGCTTTGTTGAACCTGCAAATTTTGTAGGATGACTTAAATTCCTTAAATTTGGTGCAAATGTTTACCACATTTAGTTCCTACGTTCTCTTGTTGTGCAATAAGGTCTTGAATGTCGAAATCATTTCCAGGTATGAGGTCGGAGTTACATAATTGTACCGGCTCAATTCTACCTTAAATTGGATGGACAGTCTTTCGGTGGACTGATGAAAATAACGACACATGTAACTGCAAGCTTCTCTTTGTTCATTAGTCAATTCTATGTCTGCCAAGAATCTTGTGGAAACGGCGACTAAAGCGTCTTCCGGCCAGTTCTATGGCAGGTTATAATTATGTATAATTAATTATGTTTAATTAATTCTGTAATATAAACTAACTATTACCTCAAACCAGTCAATTGTACAACAATTAACCAAACAAGGAAATTTTCGAAGTCGATTTCTGAAACCGTCACCAATGGGACTGAGAGCCAGTACGATGTGAAGTTGTTGTCTCGCTCTTTCAATAAACAAGTTAAATAAAGCAAGAGGACTCCCTAGAAAACGGTCAAAAGTTAGTTTGAATTTCTTATCTGGCAAATGTTTTTTTAATCTCCAGCAACAAATTTTACCATCGGTTTGCAAACTTCTGTCCTTTTGTCTATCGATTACTCTCATTTTTTCACAAATTTCAAACTTTTCATCATTCGCAAAGAGATTTGGCACCTCTCCAGAGTTGAGGAGATTGTTAACATCCTCCAGAAACGATTCCTCCTTAATCTGTGTATCCGAGAAGAGAAATACTCCTTGACCATCGGTAAATGTAGATTTTTTCAAAAATATTTTGAGATCCTCGTGAAACTCATTGAGTCCGTAGGTCTTATGGATTTCAATTTGAAAGAGTTCGTTTTCCATGATGTGGGCTGCCAGTCTGGTCAATGATTGTCTTCCAGAGCCTCCAACACCAACCAAGAGTGCGTGGCCTCTGGGTTGTTTTAAAATTCGACAGATTTTTGTCAAGTGCTCAATTGCGAATCTGTAGAAAAATGAGGATGCGTGAAAATGTGTGCACCAAATGTCGAAATTAAATTTTTCACCTGAATAAGACCAGATTCATTTGCTTTGTGTTCATTTGGTTGAATTCGTCCAATAATCCAGTCACAATGGTTCTCAATTCCTCAAAGTTTTTAACTTCATTGTAAAATCGTGTGTCTGCTTTTGGGTCTCCAAAATCGCAGTACATTAGACTTCGCAGTTCATACTCGGAAACCTAGAAGTTTTAGAACTTATTGTTAGCTCAATTTATTTTCGATATATAACGTTCAATAACGTTTAATTAATTGTTACCACTCCATCACCATCCAAATCTAGACGGATAAGTAGCTGGTGGAAATCTTCTTGCAAAAAATCGGAACAGATATCTCCCAGTTCTCCATATAGCCAACCTCTGTCTTCGTCATCAATCAAGCGATCGTAGTAGACTCGAAGAACCTAAAACACCATATTTCTAAATGGTATGATAAAATATTACAAAATTTGAGCTGAGCACACTATCTACCTCATGAATCCACATTCTCTTCATGGATGCAGTATCCAAAATTACTTCAGGCATGGATAGCAACACTCCCTGATGCAAAAATAACTCGTGTTATAAATCATGCTTCCTTTAAAATAATTATACCCTAGAAATATGTACCTGAATGACTCGAGCAAAATCTCGTAAATTGAACAGGTAGTGAGATTTTGCAGGGGTTGGTAAAAGCCTGGCACGGAAAAATATAACATTTAATGTTTTAATCGATTATCCAACAACTCTAAAATAAATACCTGGCAAAGGCAGCTTTATATATTTGGAGAGTGGCCATCACAATTTGATGCACATATGGGTCAAAATCCTTGCTAAAACCTCTGTGAAAATTCGACATATATACGGATTAAGCAAGCCCCAAAAACACGAATTGCGTTGATAATTTTATGTATGTTATGTACTTTGCATCCAAATGCCACATCATAATGCGATTGAAAATTGTCAGCATAGTCTCATCGTTAAATTCGTTTATCGTTATTGTATTGAAATGTCGGAGGAATCGCGGAGTTATAGAATTTCGCCCTCCACCTGTTCACCACAAAATTTAAGAGCATATTGTAGGGATGATAAAATATTTTTTTAAATATGAAATTACCAGGTGGACCCATTGCACACATTAGCTACAAAATATGAGAGCAAGTTGCTAAAACCAGATTCAGATTTTGAAAAATTTCAGAAAAAAATAACCTGCACGTCCATCAAATGAATGGGGGTTGAGTCGAAGCGATCGTACCACAAACCGTGATCCACCCATTGTCGGAGCAACTCGATTGGAGGTTGTGCCCCTGAGACGAAATTATTTGATTGAATTACTCGAGCATTAAATTTGAGCATTAATTTTAATTATGTGAGCAGTCAGTTTACCATAAGTCTCTTTTATTGGCATGTTCAGATCATCTACAAACACTACGCATTTCTTCCCAGGGGGTGGACCATACGTTCCTACGAGAAAAATAGTGAATAATTATTCCTTGTGAAACAAATAGTTCTTGGATCTATTTCTGGAAAAATACCCTTCTTTCTTTTGTCCAATTTGTTCATGATGATGTCTTGCGTCGTGTTTGCGGAAGTTTGAGCAGAAAACGAAACAAAAAGAGGCCGGTATACATTCTTGTCCAATTTTTTCAAGAGGAAATCCTACAGGAAGGAATTTAAACTTAAAACTTAATTTAAACTGGGTTCATTTCTTGTGATCGCATAAAAGGATTAAAAACAATACCGTAATGTAAACCGATTTTCCAGTTCCAGTTGGTCCAACTAAAAGCTATGCATGCACAAAAATAACATAGTTTTGCTCAAATTTACACAATTCAAAATGACCCTACTAAATAAATACCAGGGGTTTCCCATGAGTGACAAGAATCTTCATCAGCGTGCCGTAACGGACAGTGTCAATCGTCGGAATAATGATTTGATTCATCATTATTTCTTTTGGAATTGTCGGAGCATTTTGCAGCGAGTCTTCCCACGCTTCCCAAATACCCGGCCCCTGATAGCACCATGCATAAAGGTTTAATTGATGTTTTATGAAATCTAACGTAACGTATAATATTCCACGCACTTCTTTGAGAAAGTTGTAATTGTAGACCATTCCTTTTGGGGGATGATTGATGCTTCCTTTCCGTTCTTTCTCCTCATTTACATCTTCCTCAGCTTTGGTGTCAATTAAATGCCGAAATAATTTGTCAAATTTTACACGACCATCTTCGTCCGTACTGGCTCCAATGCTCCATGTAATTCCAAACACAAAAATTCCCTGAAGATGACCAAATACAGTTTGAAGAGAATTTTGGTTTTAAAAGAGTATGATAAGAATCTCACTTCAATCCGAGAGAGTTGGGTATTCATGGTCAGAGTTTTAGGATACTTTTCCTCCTTGTATTCGTCCATCAAGCTCTCGATAATATTCATGGCGGATTTTACCAGTCCTGAATTAGTAGTTGGAGAATGTTCCTGTAAAGTTACATACATATCATATTTAGTCAATTTGTGAAAAAGTACAAACAAATTGGAAAACGCCGTACCTTGAGACCACCTTTTCGCACCAAGTGAAGCAATGTTGGACAAAATTGATGAAATAATTCCTTTAAATATTCTTTAATCTGATCTGGAACAAATTCTTGAAGCGTGTTTAGCCAAGAATAGAAAAGGGGTTCCCATCCCAGCGTGATTGGTTCCATGTAAATCATTCCACATCGAGAAACGGTGGCAGGGGAGGCAGCCTCGAGATCCATCGGTTCGAAAATCAAGTTACATGGGGGGCTCAGCTGGATAATTTCACCACTCATCAAGCACAGTTTTTTATTATCGTCCAGCACTGTGTTCATGTTCTCAATCCAGACTAGCACGTATAAGTTATTTAGATTTATCGGAGGAAATTACGAGGATGGGAAATTCAAAGAATTTTCACTATTTAAAACCTTACTCGCATCGACAGGTCCATCGAATATGAGCCACTTCCTAATTACGTACGTACAAACGTTTTAATTCTGATTTAAACTGTAAATTATGCAATATTCACCTGTCCGGTGTTTGAGCCTGTGCAAAATTTCGGTAATTAATGGCAAGGACGCCATCCGTCCACTCGTGTGAGGCCGGATCGAAACGACCTTTAAAGAATGGCATTTTTAGAATCAGACCAATCAATTTGTTTTACCCAATATGTATAAATGTGAAGAAAATAAACCATATAACTGCCCCATAGTTATTGACTTTGGGTTGATGACGCATATTTGAACCTTGTTTTCTTCCATTTCTCCCTGAAATCAGTTGCAAAAGGCTATCATTTATATTTACACTCGAAATATCTGGTAAATTTAAATAATTTACCCTTTCGCAAAGATCCGCAAGTCCACCAGCCAATGCTAATCATGAATAAGAATCAAAATCCTCATATAGTCAATGGTGCAAGAATTACATCCTAAAGTTTAGGTACCTCGATAAGCCGACGTCTTCCCTCCGAATGGATATCCAACAATCATGAACCCGTGACGGACCAACATCATTTCGTAAATCTGTTGTATTTTCTCTAAAAAGAAAGGAGTGCATTGCCAATTGTTTGTGACACAAGTGCGTTGTACGGCCAAGTCAAATAGTTCATAATCTGGCTCTGGGAGTTTAATTCCAGGGAACAAATCGGATGTGATACCCTTAAAAAATTAGCGATTAATTAGTCGAGAATTAGTTACTTATCGCATAAAAATATATGACAGACGCACATGAAACAGTGGAAGATCATGGGACAGAAATTTTGCCAGGTTAATGTCCTTGATTGACCGGAGCACCAAAATATCTTCAGACTAATGGAAGAGTAATTGAGATTATGCATATTTAGTTTAATCGTGCATTAAAAAATAATTATATGAGCAGTCATGCCTCATCTGGGTATTTCAGTTTGAGGTTTCCTGCCGCGATAAGAACAGATTTCACGGCTCGCATTCCTAACCAAAGATGTAACCAACAATAAAAATGTTTACATGGGTAAAACTAAATATATCGCTCACCGTAATCATAATGAGACTGAGAAGACAATTGTTCAGAACATAGTCGATAAGTTGCAACGATTTTCACCGCTAATGGTCTCGCATTCACGAAGCCGCAAGAGTACAAAGATATTTCGGAGATCAAGGCGTAATCCGGCACCATCATGGCCACCGACCTGAACAAGGCTTTGAGATTGTCGGGAAGTTCACTTCTCCCAGCGTAACCTGTATAAATAAATATAAAATTAACGTCTTAAAACTGTGTAATAATCTGCATGATAGAATTCTTGCCTGGATTCATGGTGATAAATACAGCGCAAGTGGGGTCCAACGTTAGCTCAGTGCCTTCAAACAACAGCTTGTTCGCCCCACTGTTCACTCCTCGTTGAATTGTCAGAATTTGTTGCGCGACTACGGACAGCACTTCTAAATCGATTCGGTTAAATTCGTCAAAACATGACCAAGCCCCACAAGATGCCAGTCCCTGATGAAATGCAAAATTATGCATGAACTTAAAATATAACTTAATATGGGGTCACATTATCTATCAATCACCTTGAAAAATTTCCCAAGTGCAATATAATCCAATCCGTCAGAACAATTGAACACGACACATTGTTTTGCGACAGCTTTTGCGAGATCCTTTGTGGTTTCTGTTTTACCAGTTCCAGCAGGTCCCTCGGGTGCTCCACCTGCATTGAATTTTGAGTTGCAATTTTACTAAAGCAATATTTTTTAACAATGATTCGATTCTTCTGTATACCTAAGTGGAGATGCAATGCTCCAAACAACGTTCTGGAATATCGAGTAATATAATAATAATCACAGATTTTGGAATATATGTATTTGTTTGCGAATTTTATTATATTTCACCTGTAACATCGATCTGTCAGCGGCGTGATGACCAATCTGGGAGTATTTCCTAAATATTCGTAACCATACGGCAAGCTGGAATTGATCATCCTTGTGATTGTGCTGCCCTTCTCTGAGTAATATCGAAGCTGTGCCAGCCACTGAAAATCCTTGTCATTGTTGACCCCGTTCTTAACCAGTTGGGCTAACACGTCTCGAGCATGGACATCAAGAACGACTGTAATGATATGTAGATGAAATGATATTTGTCGCTGATGATGAGTCTGAATAAATGAATTAAGTATTACCACGTTCAATACTCACCTAGAGCCCCAAGCGTGGTGCGATTCTGTTTGCTGAGCTTTCCTCGAACGAGAGCAACAATGTCGTTAATTTGCTCATTATTCACGTCAAGATAATCCTTCAAAGCGTTGCCTCTCTTTTCGAAAGCTTCGTGAATTAAAGTCGTCCAAAATGTGGAAGTCACGCACAAAACTGCTTGTCCTGGCCATTCTAGGACCCAGTTGTTACGATTTTTAGTGAGGTAATCGAGAAGAGCCAGCTCAATTTCCTATCAACCATAAAATATTTGCGTTTCAAAAAATTCTATAATTCAAAAAATTGTATTATAAGACTGGTTCCATCGTACTCTGTGAATACTCTTTTTCATGAGTTGTTCCAACTCCACCAACCATTTCTCTACCGCACCTCGAGCATTTTCCGTATTAATAATGCTATTTAATTTAATCACTTCGCTTTCAGACGATTGCATGTGTGTGATTTCCAAATCTTCGGTAAAAGTAATTCTAGCAATTCCTTCAAAACACTTTTTCAAATGAGGTTGGACCCTAACAAGTATAATTATGTAAGTACTTTGTAATTCGCATATACAATGACACAATGACATCATATAAATACAGCACCTTACCGCTTTGGATCTTTGGTTTCTGCCAAAATTTCTAATAACTCGTCGTTGGACAGGAAAAAGAATCTTGGGAAGTACAGCCTTTTTCTTTCCAAGTATCCATTGAGCCCCTTGTTGATCAAGTCCAATAAATTGTTGGCTTTCTTCAATTTTTCAACAATCTTGTCAATTTTAATTATTGTCAAGACTCTTGGATCATTCAGAGCATGTTTCATGATATCCTTGTAAGTTTTGTCTACGTTCATGAAACGACGACCTTCCTCAGGCATTTGTGTCTAAAAACGAGAGGGAAGATTTAGTTTGAGTTAGATAATTGACCTATGCCTAATTACTTTCATAATTTAAAATAGGCAATTAAAACTACCATTATATCGGGCGATGAAAAAATTGATTCCAAATACAATCGTGCCATTTGTACTTTTAGCCACTCATCTAGAATTTCCTGAAGGAGGACCAAGTCCTTCTCCCATGCACTGCGAGTAAAGGAAATTTACTTTCTTTATGTTTCTAGCTGATAATTGCAGAATAAAAGAGTCGTACGTCATTTCTTCCAAGAAAGGTTTCGCAAACGGTGATCCCAACATTGTCTGAGTTTTGATGATATGGTCATCAAGAAGGACTTGGATTTCATCCACTGATCATGATAAAAAAATTGTATTTGAGGTTTCGCTGACGTAATTGTTGATGAAATACAAAATGCTTACCAGACGAAATAACATACGATTCCCTGTAACGGAAATATGTGATTGATTATATATTACTGGAGAATCCTTTTATCTCGTGATGACGGAAGTAGATGAGCATCTCATGCATGTGTGAATATGTATGTACATATGTATTTCGTACCTGAATGGAACAATTTGAAACTTAATGTCTGCCCATTCAACCTTCATCTTCTCCAGATTCTTCTCCAAACTGTGTTCCTTGGAAGCAGCTTCACTGATTAGTTCAAATTTGTTCAAATATTCACCCAGATTCATGTCAATAATCTTTTGCAAGGTCAGCTCTGGTGATGGCCGTATAGGGAACCCAACTATTTCTGAAATTTTTTCCCAGTGACGATCTCGTAGCCCTGGATTTCCAAGCGTCTGAATGATTGGAAGCCGTTCTTTGAAGATGTCAATCAATCCTTTTATCTGATAATGAAAACAGTTGAAATGTCGGTGTAATAATTAACAAAAACTAAAATTTAAAAATTATGAGCTCGATAATTATTTATAAATACCTGCACAACCAACTCCTTGACCAACGGGACATCACCAAACGATTTCTCCAATTTGATAATTGTTCTCCACAAATTCATCACGTCATTTTCAATCAGTTCAGGATCCTATGGAATATTATAATATGTTAAGAAACACAGATATTTAGCTAAGGGTTGTACCATATTTAATGATAAATACGAAAATAAATTATGTTTACATGAGTGCCAACTTGGCTATTTAGCCAAACTTCTTTCTTCTCCAGGAATTCGGCTCCGCTTTCATAAAGTCGCAAGTATGGTGCCAATTTGTCTGATATCTGAGAGGAAGATATTAATAATAGTGCTTCTTATCCTTTTTTCCTCGTTTTTAGCATGCGTTTCAAATGTTTCTAATGATATTATCCTTTGACATATTAAATAAGTACCTGTTTTCTTAAAGGATAATTAGTGACTTCAAACTCAAACATTTCCTCTTCTTTGTTGAGCTTGTCAGCTTTATCTGAAGCCGCTTGAAGTTTGCCATCCAAAACTTGGGCTCTTTTAAGATACTTTGGAAGTTCTTCTAGATTTCCAAAGTGCTGGAATTCTTCGACCTGTTTGGCATATGAATCCAGTTCCTCTTGAAGTTTAACTCGTTTCACCTAAAGTTCAACGTTTAAGACATGTCTCACGGTCTCTCAATCTCATTTGATGTGTACAAATTAGGCGAACCTTCAAAGCATCCTTAAATTCTAATGCTTTCCTGGCAACAATAGACATGTGTTCTTCCATGACATAAGATATTCTATTGGACCATTGAATCGCTTGTGTTTGCAGTTTGGAGACAATAGGAGAAATTTGCATGTAATCCGAAATGAACAAGAATTTTCCGAGCAATTCTTTCAATTCATGTTGCATTTGTGGCAAGGTTTTTTCTTTAATTTTGTCCATTTCCTCTTTAAGTTGAAAGAGCTGTTCAGTGCTCGTTGGTGTGCTAAGTGCTTTTTCGCTAATTGCTTCATACTCATCTACAAGTCTAACACCAATATAATATGGATATACATACATTTCTCATAATTTCATAACCTCGTTCTTATAAATTACAGAAAATAAATTAATTGCTGAATAAACAAAACTGGACATTACTCTTTCAGTTGGACATGCAGAGTGTGAATCATTTTATCGAGGAATTTGTCCCTTAGTTCAGAAGCCTTATTTCCAAGATTTCGTATCAAATCGTCACAGTGGATGTCGAAAATTCCAATCAGAGTTTTCGGCTCAAACGTGGTGCCCATGTCTTGGGACAAGTTATGAAACTTAATTACTTGCTCAACCATTTGATCCCACGTGCGTTCTTCAATGATGAAAACATCCATTGTGTCCTCATTCTAAAATTGCATTAGAGACAATTTCAATTACAATCGAACATGACTTCCTAATAAATTGGAGTCTCTAATTTAAATATGGTTTTGTTGTACGTCTACGGAGATAAGTATTTAATTTGCAACATAAGCACTTACATCTCCCTCAAACAGAAAGCTGTGTTGATTGTAAACCTCAACGTATGCCATCGGACCTTTCGTCTGTTCTCGGAAAGAATTTGTAATTTCAGTTTTAATGGTCTGGACCTCTGCGGGATCAATGGTAGGCTGCAATCACAGAATCGTTTTTAGGACACTATAAATAGTTATTAAATCAAGTACGCAATTATACTTTGAGAGTTGTTCCAGGAGCCGGGGTTCCTTCCTGAGTATCCCAGTCGCCAAAAATTTTGGCCTAACGTTTAAAAATGTTTTTGTAAACCCAGTTGTATTTGCATCCTGATAGATGAATATTTGTTGTTACCTCCATTCTTGGAAAACTGTTAGAAACTTCAACCAACATATCCACCACGCCTAGCACGCCGTATTCCCACTCCTCAAACGACGGTACTGGAAGAAGTTGATTGTGACGACTAATGAATTTCACGATAAATTTCGGTCTATGCTTAGCTTCCTGTATAAAATTAGTATTTAGCATGTTAAGCAAATCATTCTATTTGTATTTTGGTTTAATTTGACACACCATTTTCATACAAATGAAGTTTTTATATTCTAGAAGACTCTCTTTGAACAATTCCAGCAGATTAGATTGCATCAAAGTAGCAACGCAGTTGAAAAACGAAATCATGCGTGACTGCTCATTAGCTTTTGGCACCATGTTCCGTTTTGCAGCCTGAAATACGCTGTTTTAATTATAGTTGCACATGTACATATGAATGTATGTATATAGCTACCCCAATCAATGAATTCTGGATTCCTCGTATCCATTTCTTCATTAGTAAATTTTTAACATCATCAACCATTCTGCGAGTTATGTCCTTGTAATAACGAAGAGTAACTGCTTCTTTCTGTTCTCCCAGGATTAGACAATCCACGAATCGGATCTTACTAAAGAACAGGCACATAATTTATATATGGACTTTAGAAGTATGAAATGTCAATGTGATCGCAGCATCATAAATACATAACCATTCATACCGAAATATTGCTTTCCAAACAAAGTTGATATACGCGAGAACGGGATTGTACGAATGGAGATTGCGGAGTAATTTCCTCTTGGCTGAAAGAACTGACGCCCTCCACGGTTTTGGTACTCTTTTCAACATGTCGTCACTTTTAGCCCCTGATTCGAAGTCGGCCACAGTGTGTCTGTCCGGTTCATGCAGCACAAAATCGACCATTGCACGTTTTACCGTAAACCTATAGGCACTAGTCACTTCGTACAGGAGATCATTCGATAAGTCCTCATAGGCCAACCGCAACCGTTCTGGAATGTGACTCCAAATATTTTGTAGCCACGATTCACCGATGGGTCCAATATTTATGGCGTCCAACCCACGATGGATATAAAATCTGTAAAGCAGTTCCCCCAGGTCCTCGTTCGATGGTTCAAAATTCAGGTCCAACTTTGGAGGCTTGCCATTATCCGTTTCAAATGTGTCACCCATCTCATGAAAGATTTGTGTCGCCAGTCTGTCCATTTCCTTGTTCTTTGGTGGATTCATGCGATGAATCAATTTGACTAATGCTCCTCGAAACTCTTCTCTTTTTTTAGCCGATTCTGCCCATTCCTTCGCCCTTGTCTAGTAGATGTCAAAACAACTTCCTCAATTTCAAATTTGAGAGAAGCCCACCTTTTGATTAAATGTATATTTTACCGTCGGAAGGTTTTTCATAGTCTTTTGGGGGAGGCGTCGCCTTTTTGCGGCAGGTTGGATGAGGCCTTGTGGGACGGTGTAGAGTCCCTCTGTGACCACGACTGGCCCCCGCACTGACGCGCGGACCGTGAGATTCATGTCACCACCGGGCTTTTCGAAACCAGAAAATTGGAAGTTCGATGACCCTCCTCTACCCTTTTCCTCTCGTGCTTTCGAATCCTCATCCTGAGCCTTTCCTATGTCGAATAAGTCCTAAAAAATATGAGGCTGTTATTAGGTCAGGTGTTACGTATTAGCCATGTTTGGGAAATGGACAGACGAAGATCCGGCTCGCCTTTAGTTTAATGCATGCTTGTAAATATATGAACGCACCTCAAGCTTGAATGGTCGCTGCAGTCGACTGTTGTTACTCGCTCTGCCATTATTGTCCATTTTGTATAAAAATAATAAATAACGATGAAAATGTTTATAAAGCAGGTTTAATCAGAGGATGAAAGTTGTCTTCCCCATCATCAAAGTTTTATCAATATTTTATTATCACAAAGAAACAAACTCGAATAACTGAGTTTCCATGCAGCCCACTCGGCTGAAACAAAGTGAAACTGGTCTCAAATAAACATGGGAACCGACCAAAGCCACAGGCAATATAGAAACATGAAATATACTGTCCGATGATATGCTTGACAGAAAAGCTGAAAACTCTTGTTTACATATGGGATAATTTGGTATGCTGAATGGTCACATTTTTGAGAAATATATGCTAAAAATTGTATGCCAAATAATAAAATACAACAGAATGCTTTGCTTGTGCGATTAGCTTTATTGAGGCGTGGACTGTTTCAGAGTACAAAAACATATGAAGGAACCGGAAAATATTTGCTTCTGTTACTTCAAAAAAAATAACATTAAGTGCGGTACACAATTTTTAGTATTATTATCAGATATAAATTCACAAATCCAACCAACTGCAAAAAATAAATGTCCCAATAAGCACTAGAATTACAAGGAGCACAGCTAACCACATGGATACACCATCTGAAATAATTTTAAAAATTTTAAATACATCATTTTCACGATTTATATATATTTAAGTTGAGACTGCATTTTACGTACTTTTCCTCTCGATGTGATGCACCAAGATTTTGTTATCCACAGATATGCTAACGACTGCCGCGTCACAATTTGCCAACACGGAGTCTTCATTTGTTTGCATGGGAGGCAAAAATCCTAGTCCTGTCACAAATGTCTTGTGAGCACGTTCAATGTGCTTAATCCGCTGTAAAAATATCAGACAACGTTAATCCCAGTAAAATTAACAGCATGAGCTACTTTTTATGTACCTGCAAACTAAATCCCACGTAAATGTCAACGTCACCCGAAGACATCGAGCCAATCGCAACATATCGCCCACATTTGCTAACAGCCAACGCAGATAATGCTTCACCTATGTTTGATATATAATATGTAAAATGTAACCATTAATTGACTCATAAATTGCATAGGTATGATTACACTCACCGACGGGAGCTACTTTAGTCAAGGAAAATGTTGGACCAGTCCAGTGTTGTATGTAAGACTTGTGTTGTTTATAATTTAAAGGATTAATTATCACAAATAGTCTTTGAATATTCCGTTTATCTTCAACGATTCCAAACCTTATATATAATAAGAAGTATTATTATCTACATGGTTAAACAGGCCAATTTACATGCATCTTTAACACTTGCAAAAATTACTTGCAACGTTTGTACAAATATTTTCCTTCATCTTCTGGAGGTAAATCCAGGCTGAAATTCAGAAATTATTAGTTATACAACCTCGTCATGAGCTATTCCATTTCTCTTTGTCTCATAATATTAGTTTGTACGTACCTGCAATTCAGTTTTCCGTCGGAAAGTGACCAAACTTTGCATTTACCATCTTTGCTTACACAAGTAACCTAAAGTTTCCCCAAACATTTGTTAAAAATAGATGGAAAGAAATAATTATAGCAGTCAATCGTTTGTTAAAATTTTCAAGATTAAAATCGTACCAATTTTCGATCTGAACTAATGTCGATATCCGAAATTTCTTTTTTTGAAGCGTTTATTGACGATTTAATCTGCATCTCAGGGAAATTCCATACACGAAGAACTCCATCAGCGCCACCAGTTACTGCTATTCTGGAATCTGAACTGAAGCAAACAGTATTTTGGCATGGGTCACCAACACTGAAAATGTAACAAAATTATATTAAATTATTTACCATCGAAGACAACTTCAACTCCAATGAATGTATCTGAATTGCTTAATTGCTATTATTAATAGTTATAGCTTTACCTAAAATCTGTTTGAACGCTGACTATGGACTGAATATCAAATACCAAATCCGTGGCAATTTTATCGTCAACGTCCCCAAATGGGGATTTTTCTGATAAATTTGGTACTTCTCCATTAGTATTTGCTGTACTTGCGTTAGTGCGATGTCGGACACCATCATCATTATTACCATCTAAACCAAATCAATAGAATTTTCAAGCATTTTGCACTCAAAAATCAACCTCAATGACTTCAGGTCCTATCATATTATATGTTATTCTCCTCACGGTCTCCTCTGTGGGTTAGTTTTCTGGACTGCAGTTTAATTTGATAAATTGTACATTCTGCATCCTTTCCAGCAGCAAGAAAAAGTCTTTTGCCATTATTGAAAGATCCGATGGCGGAATTCATCACGGATGATCCCCCAGTTGGATGCCTTTGGACTTCGTAGGCGACATATCCATTATTTTCATACCCAATTTCACAAATTGCCTATGTACACAAACAAACGTAGAAAATTCCTGTCAACTCTACAAACATAAGGTTAATTTAAAAATAATGCATTTTTGAATTTTTCAATTACAAATCCGTTGAAAACACCCGTGTTAGCTGCTCCTCCTCCTCCAGCGACAATGACATGGTTACAGGACAGCGCCGAGACCGAGTACAAGGGAAAGTTTATCCGATTATATTGTCTTTGTGGGGATGCACTGGGCTGCTGTACCTCCTTGCTCGACATTTCCAGTACGAGGAATGATTGGTTTTCAGAATACTGCTCACTTTCGACTAGGATTTACCACCTTATAAAATGCTTAATGGATCTGCAATCTTTTCCGAATGTAATTTACTCCCAGCCGGCTAGGAGAAAATTAATATTATCTAACAGTGAACAGTCTACCACGCCCAATGTACCGATGGATAAGAACTCAGGTGGAGAATTTCAGATCATTCACCCAAAGTATTGCTTCTTGGCAGCTTGACTATGGCTATTATTAATTTTTACACATTATAATTATTTGCAAATTGGAGGATGACGGAGAGTGTACACGTATGTTGCATCAAAAACTGCCCGCAAATAGGAATGAAAACATTGTCTCAATTTTCTCAAAGATGCGAAGCCGGCAAACATTTCTGAAAATAATTTAGCATTCATCTGATGATCAGATGAATGCTAAATCAGATTCTGATCAGTGTGATCTGCATTTACATTTTTTAGTTTCTGTCATTTGTGAAAGCAAAACAAATTACTACTTGCTATTATTGATAGTAATTGTCGTCATTCATGGCAATTAGGGTATATTATGTGAACAGTAAATAGTACAAGTGCTTTGGTACATAATGCACAAACGTTATTTGGACAAAGAGTTGTGATGAGTGAAATGGACCTGCGACACCGGAGGGACCAGCGGCGATGGTCGAGGGAGTTGATGCAAATGTTCCTCATTGTGGGTCTGGTCTTCTTTCTCTGCGAGTATGCCATCTACCCCCTCGTTCTCATCCAAGTAGACAAAATTACAATTATATATTAAATATTTAGCATCTTCAGGACTGCTTTAAAATAACTTTCTCCGTCGTTGTTCCTGTTTTCAGTGCTCTTGGCCCCAACAACCACAGAATGCGGACAGGGATGCAAACGTGCTCAGGGCAATGGTTTTAGCGGACACGCATCTTTTGGGGCCATTTAGGGGACACTGGTTTGATAAATTGAGAAGGTTCGAAAGAAATTACTTACTAATTCTGATAATAATTAAGACTATACGTGATTTTCTTCTTGTTCAGGAATTTTTTGCAATTTGTGTTTGTCCTGCTCAGTATCATATCACAGATTTTACCAATGCATGGCGAAAGCTGGTCTTACATATTTATATATGTCAAAAAAGATCTGTTAGCAAACAGTCCAAAGATCAGTCTAATGTACCAGATGCACCATTTATTTACAATCAGAGCAACGCTTCGTGATGATTAGCACGGAGGAGACGTGACCAAGTCAACAACTTCAATGGTGGCGGCTGAAACGATAACCTTTATACATATTCGGACTTTGGGACTTGTTGTGCGTGTGCCATCAAGTTTTGCAAATACATATTATAGAAACTTATTGGCTATTGTAATTTGCGAATCTCAGCGACTTCTATGTGTCGTGGTGCGGTTACAAAGATGTATTTGATGATCGACAAGACAAGATACGGCACGGTTTTCATACATAATCATGAATGTCAAGGATTTATGTATTAATTTGACCAATGGATTGTGCATTCGCACAGAATCATACAGTACGTATACATAAAAGAGATAAGATCGGTCGAATCTGTCAATCATTTTTGATGATAGACAAATTCATCCAAACTCCGGTTAAGATACTTATTTCATTGGTGATTTCATTTATACCTTCATTTTCATAATCATCCATCGATCATAGGTTTTCTATGCAATTTTTGAAGTCATCAGCAAAAATATCATGAAACGAGCTACTGAACAGATTTAAGGGAAATTCGTCTGGTCAATTGAGTTGCTCCATAAGACGTCAAATATGCAAAATCATTCATTGAAATAAAAATAACCACACATATGTATTTCGTATGGGAAGGGCATATCAATTTATAAAGCTTAACTACGATTTTTATGATATTTTACAGAGAATGGCAAATGCATAGGACTTTTCAAACTGCCATTGGAATTTTCAACCCGGAAGTGGTATTCTTTTTGGGAGACTTGTTCGATGAAGGAGAATGGGTGAAAGGTCCAGATTTCGACAAATATGTCTCTAGATTTGAATCTTTGTTCTCCGTTCCGGAACATATTGACATTTATGTTGTCCCAGGTAATTGACAATTTATGTTGTTGAACATAAAGATGTGATGTCACTTTGTGGGCTTCTTTCTCTGTGAACAACAAGACCAACTATTTATACGTAGAAATGCATATTTTGCAAGATGACAATAGTCAATACTGTCTAAAGTCGTGTGCAGTCTGGACGTGTATTCCATGGTTCGAACGCCCAAAAAGACATTGGACGAGGCTTTGACTCACCTGCACTTGGTTAGGTTATCGGTGTACAAATTCATCAAATTTTTCTCTATCTTTGTCAAAATCAAAATCAAAGTTTCTCGAAAAGGTTCAAATACATAGTGATTTCACTTGGTCTTTACATTATCATTCTAATTTGGCAGTGTCATGTCTCGTTAAAAAATTTGATCGCTTACGCCATTTTTAACTGGTTCGGACGGATTATTTTGTGCTATTTGTTCCTATAATTATTATACAATAAGTACAATTGATTTTAATGATCTCTTATTAATTCCCAGGCAATCATGACATAGGGTTTCATTACCAGTAAGGGCAGCTTTGTTCTTTGTACCTTTGTTCTTGTGATTGTATTTGTATAATAATAAAATTAATAGTTTGTTACTTACAGGACATTGCCTCACAAACACACTCGGTTTAAAACCGCATTCAATTCGTCGTCTGTTCGCCTTTTGAGATTGAAAGAAGTCAATTTTGTCTTAATAAATAGTATGGCGATGCAAATGGATGATTGCTTCCTGTGTGAAGAAGGCTTAACGGAATTAAAAATAGTCAAAGGTAAGTTGAAATTATGGAGTCTCAATATTTACATATATATGACATTGGTCATTGCTATGTAATTATCAGGGGTGGGCAAGATACTTGGTCAAGATACAAGATAAAAGATACAAGATACAAGATAGTATCTTTATCTTGTATCTTGGTCGCCTGATCAGAGAAGTATTTTGTATCTTGTATCTTCTATCTTTTAGAAAGTCGGATAGTATCTTGTGTAAGTATCTTATCTAGATATGCCTGGCAGAAAAGTATCTTAAGATAGTTTTGTTAAGATACAAGATACTTTTTCTAAAAATTCCGTAAAATTCTTAAGTCAAAGTCAATTTCGTACTACTGGCAGTCAATTTGACCATGAATTTGTCGTAACCAGAATTTGGTGAATTTTTAGTTTATGTTTTGCCAATTTGTAAAAAACTTCTACATACATATGTACATATATTCATATATATATGTATATGTATATATGTTCATGTGTACTAGTACATTTGTATACATACATGCACATTACATGATATGTACCTACGCTGAACTAGTGTATATATCTTATAGGGTTTAGATAAGCAGGGAATATTGTAAAAATAATACCAACTTCTTCAAAATATGTATGTTAGGTAGAGTTCTAGTTTTTCGAAATTTTTCGAAGTATAAGCACTGGCTACAAAATTTGTAGGATGATTATAGAATGATTTTAAATTTTGTACTCACTAGATTTTTTCGTTTAAATTATTAAACATGACCAATTGGGCATGAATACCAAGCTAGAAAAAGAAAGTATCTTATCTAGTATAAAAGTATCTTAAGATACATATCTTGTATCTTGTATCTTGACTACTCAATCTTTAGGAAAGTATCTTGTATCTTGTATCTTGTGTACTTGAACAAAATGTATCTTGTATCTTATATCTTATCCTAGAAAGTATCTTATCTTGTATCTTGTATCTTACGACCAAACTATCTTGCCCACCCCTGGTAATTATGGCATTTTTATTACACTATAGGACAAATGTTATGTTGCAGGGCAGTTGTTTTGTCAGCAGAATCCGACCTCACCAAAATGTATGTCATCCCCAGAATTTCAAATATATAGCCGACCTATATTGCTTCAGGTAATACTTATTTTTCTATGTGAGTATTCCGTGTGTGTTTATTAAAATTGCCATATTATTGCAGCATTTTCCCATGTATCGAGAATCGGATTCAATGTGTACTGGTCCAGACAGCGCTCCAAATGAGGAAAAGTTTGATGCATTCCGTCCAACCTTTGAGTGTTTATCCGCCGACTCAACCAAAGTCTTGCAACAGATTATAGGACCCAGACTCATATTATCTGGCCACACCCACCATTACTGCCTCTACAACCACAGTATCAAAGGGTTTGGAACAGTCCCGGAATATTCTGTCCCGTCTTTTAGCTGGAGAAACAGGAATGACCCCAGTTTCTTCTTGGTACGTGATAGACACTCAAAATTACTCCATTTATGTGCACATTAAATTAAATTATTCTTTTTATAAACGTATGCAGGGACACTTTTCTCGTAACGAATTTTTCCTGTCAAAGTGCCTAATGCCGAAAGAGTCGACAGCAAACTTGTTATATGTTTCTGGTAGTTTGCTAATTATTTGTACCCTTCTGCGGAGAATATTAATTTATGTATTTCGCTGCCTATGGTTCGTGCTTGTTCGTCGAGCCCGGTGATTGTGATATTTATACCTCGAAATTATACTTATGTACAAAATGTTCAGCAATATGATAATCTAGTCACAATATCTAACATTTTGAATAAAAGTCAGAATTGTTTGCATAGCCAAATCTTGTCTATTTTCTAGATTTCAATTTTTATTATAATTTCAACGGATATGAACGACAACAACATTTATTTTTTTAAAAATTTATTCGTTATCAACAATTCATTATCTCTATTTATCAAAACTGCGGGATACAAACTGAATAATACTCGTAATTAGTTATTTTTCGTTGCATTGCATCCACCCATAATATCAAATTTAAATTATAGCTTCTGTATAATAGCTATAAATATATTATATGTATGTATCTATAAAGAGATCATTCATAACTAACATACTTTAGAATCAGTGAAAACCAGCCACAGTTCTGTTGTAAACATATATTTATAATTCAAGAATACATTTGTATGTATGCACGATGTATCTAAATATGTATGTACATTCCATGTACATTACATGTAGTGTTTACTACCCTCGGAAATAGTAAATGTGACATGGAATTGGATTGGGTAAGATATTAAGGATGGTGTGATTATCAAGTTCAAAAATTGAATAATAGTAAAAGTTGTCCACGGTTCACGTCAATTTCTTCAATACTTTCCATATGCAATATCAAGCATGAAAAATATTTGTTTTCGTGTCTTTGGTGGTATTTTGATTGCAGCAATATGTCGCTTCTAGGGTGTAAAATTAGGACCTTATCTTGTGATGGATGATAGTTCAGGTTGTTGTGAAGAGCATTTGTTTAGGCATGGTGGAATATCTCGACATATATTTATTGGATGAGCCGTTTCGCCTACCGCTATTTTGTGGGCGCGACTGCTATTTTTCCGCCTCGGGACCAATCCACATTCTGTCCTCCTCTATTAGGATTCCAACTTTATAAGGTTTAAGCGAATTCACGGCAGATTTGCTATGTCCGACACCTCGAAATGCCAATGTCGCATCGCGTCCAGCATATTCCAGCATCACTTCTTCACCTCCAGGATGCTGTAAAGAAAATCAGTAAGAATACAGAGAAAGATATGGAAACGTCCCATGGAGATCGCGATAACCCGATTGATCATTGATTACGAAATATTCCAACATATGTGCCAACATTCCAGTACAAAATTCAGACTGCAAATGGAGATATGGATGTATACATATTTACCTACCTCGAAGAGGAAAGGAGTGATATCATAAACATGGTCGTAGATGACGACCCAGCAATCGGTAGGCGTATCGTGAAATGAAACGTCTTCTAAACTGAACTCTTCTGTGTGTGCCAGAGATGAGACTTTCCTCGTTTCTGATACTGCTTCATTGAGAGTTGTCGTTTGACTGCTATGATTATTGTTATGCAACCACCTCTTGTCCTGTTTTGAAATCAAATCTGCAGATCCCGAGGAATTGATGACACCATGGTTGGACATGAATTCGAAGAACTTGGTTTTTCCCACGGAAATCATCTAAAGCAAATAAATATTTTGAAGGGTAATAAGTGTGTACTTACATAAGTATGTGTGGATGTATGATATCTAGCATATTTATTACTTGCACTAAAATCTGATTTTAGCAAGAATAATATTTTATCCAAGAAGTATCCGACTTTTTTATTTGCTTATGCATCTTCTTCAATTTGAAAATTACAATGAAAAACGATTTACAATTATTGCACTATTTATCTACATTCTTATAAATATCTAAGTACATATGTAAATTTGCATTTGTAGACTGTATTCTAAGAGAAAGATTCGAAAAAAGTATGTGCATATATTCTACATATGTTGTTTAGTAGAAAATGCATTTGTAAGAATAAAATAACAAGTACCTGAAATCCGAGTGTACTAATATCGGAAGTGGGAAAGTGAGACACTTTTATGTTGGTATTCTTTTCTCCCATTCTGGAAATGGAGAGGAGTGGTAGATTGTCAATAATGAACCTCCAGTTACGCCAAAACGTGAAAGAACGAAGATGAAAAAAATTTGACTAGAGAACAAAATTGTCGAGTCTTCCAGTGATCTTCAAAGTCAAGTGAAAACGACTTCCTTTACTTCCTTGCTTATTATATACTCTGTGCTCGACCGACACTGACAGTGAACTCCAGCTCGGCGATTAAACTGGAAGGTCAATGCAACAAACCTGATCAATGACACTGTGAACCTTATTGGATAACAGCAATATTGCTCCAATATTGCTTTAATAGTGCAATTTTGACTATTCTGCAAAAGTTTGATTGATTTACTTTGGCAATAGTAATGACTACGGATATATATTATTCTTAAGCACAAATATAAACTGATGCATTAAATAAAAATACAGACTGAGAATAGTCAGCGATGGAAAGAGAAACCCGACTGGACAATCTTGGAAGAGCTATTACTGCTTTTGAAACAGTTTCCTCACTTTTATACCAAGAATAAGTCGATTAAAAAGCATCGATACACTTTTAATCCTGCTTCATTCAAATATCTAAAGGCTTGCAGAGATAGATACATACGTATGCATATGAGAACGTAGATATACACAGCGCTTTGATTGCTGTCAGTAGTTCAAGTCGATTAGTTCCGTTGAGATATGTCAAAGTGTGTGGTGAACTTTTTAGGTTCACTTTGAAGAACATAATTGCAACACCAAGTGGAACTGTTGAACTGATAATTAAGATGTCATACGATATGATATCTGCGATGTAGTCACTCTATTTAACACGTAATAACTGGGGAGTAATACTGACTCTTTTATATGTACAGATCTGTGTACTTACTGACTTAACTGACTGAGGTAAGAAGGGACTAATTCATAGACCGGAATATTAATGATTGATTTTGACTAATTTGCCAAAGTATTCACACAGGTCTAAACCATACATTAAAATACATATATTTAGGATTAGTAGGTACATATTTAGGTACATTCTAATTCTATCGTGTGATGCAACTTGCCTCAGCATTTACTCCGCAGCGAAATAACGTGCACGTAAAAATGTGTATTGATCGTTCATAGATCATTCATCTATTAAACGATCTGTTGATGCATTCACAACTAGAAAGCCTCTTTACCTTATTTTTTCCATTTACTTGCATGTGTCATGGAAGTATATGTGAAGCATATAACGTGTTATCACCTACGCCAAATTTTGAAGGCCGTGTAGACATCCCTTTCGAAATAGGAACACGAGGTAAGAAGCATTAGAATCAGCTCCGAAATATAAGGATACGGGACGCGCACACTTTTTCGAAATTTTGAAAACCCTCTGATCTTTTGACTCAATGTTGCTTTACTTATGTATGAGCAATGGTAATATGATGACATTAAAGCTATTTCTTTCAAATGGGTTGAGTGTGGAGCTGTCAATACGTGTGAGTGTTAGTCTGACTGAATCCAATTGATCCAGTTCGTATTTAATGTACACACGTGTATGTATCTATATGTGTCATCAATGGAATTTTACGGAATATGATGAAAATAAGTGGGTTGTAGTACAAATAGTGTTAAAATCGCTTACATTGGAAGAATTAACTCGTAACCGACAATCAATGAAAATATTGTCCTATCAAGCGAGCACATATCCAAATTTGAACCTGAGATTTGACATACATATGTCAGAAAAGCAATGCAAATACATGCATGCAGTTATTTATCATTTATTATTGGTGTTGCGAACTTACGGGGGGACGCAATAAAATTTGAGGTCGTGGTTGTTTAACTCCAGTCTGCTGACAAATTGTAAACGTCACATTATGTTGTGTTGATCATTATAACATTGTTCTCAGAATCATGAGAACTTCTGACTGTGTGACCACTACATATCGCAAGATTACGGCAAATTATTTGCTTATCTTAATTAATGAGTCAATGGGTAATAACTTATCCTGTTACACATATGTACGTAGTAACTTGAAATTACTCAATCTCACGTCAACGTCAACACTACACCAATATTTTTGTAAAACCAAGTAAACATTACGACGAATTTATTCAAGTTACGACGACGCAAAAATTGAAAATCATTTTTGTACTAATGCGTGCACGTGTGTACAATTATTCCGTACAATAAGTCATTCATTTGTAATGCATGTATGACATTTTATATTATTTTATGGTCACTGCAAACGTCTCAAATTAAGAATGCCAGTTATCAACACTTGCATTAGAGTCACGTGTATGTGAACATATCTGTTAGCAATACAATAATTTAAATAGTGTCTTTTCTGATGGAAAACGAGGCTAATCGGATGACACTTGTTCCATGGACAAGACGAATAGCTTTAGTTTGGGGATTCACATGCGTCGATACCTTTGCCCCACTTTACCTCTTAACCACGTCCGGTCACCTAGTTTTCTGAGAAAATGAAGAAAAAACCCTACGCTCTTAGATAAACGTTATAACTAACTAATTATCTACATAATTATAAAATAATGCACATTTTTTTTCCCGAAAGTTGGTAAAATCTTGTGCGTATATTTATTTATTACTCAAAAATAAAATTGTTGTGCTGTTTAACATATACGTTCGTCTTAAATATTTAAACAACAAGCTCATGTTTTTTATTCATGTTTTTGTTGGTCACATGTAGTATGCATGAGAAATCCATAAATAAATCTGCATCTGCCACTATTCCCACTGACAATGAGTGAACTGATTAACTCGTTAAATAATTAATCTTACTCTTGAATTCAGATTAAACATTTTGAATCTCAGGCCCGAGCGCATATGTACATACCTGCTGATAAATGCATAGAAATACAAGTTATTTAACTTCTACCCACTTCATTCCATGTTAGTCTTAATCTTATAAATCAATGAATGGAGTCACGCAACCGGAAACGAGTAAAAATTGTAGACTTCCATCAAGAATATTTACATACTTGCCAAAGCCAACTAACGTAAATTCGCATCTCGTAATACTGGCTGCGGCAGGATGACATGATAATCTAAAGTTAGCCAACAATGTCCACGTCAATGAAAGCCAGACTACTTTACACATATGCAATATACGCTACCAACTGGCTCATGCAGAACTATAGCAGGCACCGCTTCTGCAAATAGAAATCTGACTAACCAGCCTGAGAAACATTCTCTTTCCTGGACTTTTTTGGGCGACCTTGGTGTAAAAACAATTTTAAAAGACTGAACGAAAGGGAAGATAATAGACTGAGTGAATGCATTACTAAAATCATGGCAATTGCAAATGAAGAATGATGTATGTACATGCCAATGCTATCAATATGCACATGTATATGGGCGCATATATTGATATGACGATATAATAAAACCAGGAGCAGGGTAGAAGAAAGCCTTGTTGGAAAATTGCCTGCAAATACGAATATCCTGCTACTTCCATCCAATGTGAATGGTGATATGTGAATGGATAAACACACGTCACTTACTTCTCTCCCCGTCTTCTGCAAGTAGGTAAGTAAGTTCCTGTTCTTCTCTCATTATTTCAGCAGCTCACCAATTTCACGGAAGCTTTCATTCACAATCACAACTCAGGAAAACGATCTCTCCGAGTGGGCCACCAAACCAAATGTAAATGGAAAGAAATTTATGCAAACGATCCGTTACGAAATGAATCCAAAGTAATAAATGGGTAGTCTCAACATGTCGTACCTTTTTTATAAGGCTCATTCCATTTGTAAGCAACACGTTTGATCGAGTACCAGGAAATAGAGGTGCTAAACCCTGCTCGCTGGTGGTGGCTGCCTGACCATGTATTTTCCTCTCTTTGATATGAGAACACCACACAACTTATGCTTTGTCAATGTTTCCGGCCACGTAGGAACACAGAATTATTTACTACTGTCTACACAAGCAGCCCATGTTAATTTTACCTTTTCGAAAAATCGCCAAAACTCCAAGACGGACAAAAATCGCGTGGGGTTTTAAACTTTTTTTTTCCTCAGGCCCAAAGGCATCGATTCGCTTATCTCTCTATGAGCGATTCTTGTCCGTCTTCTCGATAATCGAGTTTTTCAATACATTTTAAATTTCTAATTTTTTTGAATTTTTGAATTTTTGAAAATTTTTCCTATCAATGAATGATCAATGAATGAAATCTGCAAATGTAACCTACCCCTTTGAACCAACACTTTGGCGGCGAAAGCATTTTCAATGCATTTGCAAATTTTCTTTGAACTGCTATATCTTTGCGAAAAAAATTAATTTTCAAATTTTGATTTTTATGATATGTTGTATTTTATATTATGCATCTATGATAAGATTGTGGACAAGATATCAAATATGGGTGCGACGACGATCGTGTGGGTTCAGATGGAATGAGCCATAACAGAATATACGAACCTCTCGGATGAGACAAGAAGCAGAAAATAACCATATAGCGAGAATATATTTATGTACATACGCTCGAAAAAAACAATACTGTAAGGCACGATTGTAACAAGTGATGTCATTTATAAATAAATAACTTTTGCAAGTATTCCTCTTTCCCCGTAGGAAATCCGTAATAATGCTTCAAATCGAAACTGGCTATTTTAGACGCGGTAGGTTTGGACATTTAATCTTCATATTTTTAGCCCGAGTCAGGGCTTATGGAACCGTCATGTCCGTCCGTCCGTCTGTCTGTCTGTCTGTCCGGCACGATAGAGCCAAAACGGCTGAACCGATTGACTTGAAATTTTTACCATATGCATATTGGACAAAGTTAGGAAACGAGTTCGAAGATGGGCGAAATCGGTCCAGTGGTTGACCGGTGGGGGTCATCGGAGTGGGTGGGGTATTATGCACCAAAATTTCAAAATTGTTGGAGAGAGCTGAAATTTGGTACAGAGGTTGCTAATGGCTCCAACGAGATAAAAATGACTTCAAGTTGGAAAATTTTTTATCTTGAGTGACCCTATGGGGTGAAACATACCGATTTTTAAAAATCATCATATCGAACTGAAATTTGGTGGAGAGGTTGCTTATGGGTTTTAATGAAAGAATATGATATTATATTGGTAAAATTGTTATCTGGAGCGACCCGATTTTTAGAAATTGCTTTAAAAAGATGAAATCCGGCACAATGATACTTAATTGCTTCTAATTAAAGAATATGAAGTTAAAAGTGAGCAAAGTGCGACCAGAGCGACCCTATGGGGTAACCCATACTGATTTTTCAAATTCGTTATATCGAGCTGAAATTTGATATGGAGGCTGAAAAAGTGAAAACCACTGCTGGGTAGCACATGCATACAGCTTAGAACTTCAGGATGTTAAAGTAGCCCACTGGTCATGGAGGTCAAGGCACATGATTTGTAACTAATTCAAAAATTTGGTACCAAATGGTAGAAACTATCTAACAAACTTTTGACCATCCACAACGCGGAAATTTGTGCTATTATGTCGGTCAATTCGGAAAAAAATTAGAAGCGGGCTCGGACTTATTGAGTCAGGGACTATGTCCCTGACTCGGGCTATATGGAGTCTGCACTGTAGGTTTTTTAATTTAGAAAAGGATGACGAAGAAAAATACCATGCACTTAATGCACAACAAGTATAATTTTTTTCCATGTTTTTAAACCACGCATCCCCTGTCCCGTCGACTTTAAATCTGTTCAAGAAGCTCGACAAAGTTTTTTTCTAAACTTAAAACTTTCAAAGTGAGATACACGTTCTCGTGCTGGCAAATAAAAAACGGAGAAGGAACTCGGCATGGAACGCATGTCATAGGTTGGCTGGTTGGGTTTCCTCAAACTAGACATAGCAGTAGCAGTAGAAGCAAACTTGTCCAAACTCGGATACTTTTTACCTACCCGTACATTTCCACTTACATTTGTGCCCAGCAGCATTCAGTACGGGAAGGAATACTCGGGATGGTGGAAGCAGTTCACATCTCCCCAGCAGCCGAGTCTTTCTCCAACGGAGCCCATGAGCACATTTCTCGGTCGTCTCAAATACTGGAGACTGGCTGGATCACCAACTCGAGATTTCTCCCACTCGCAAGTCTCAAATCCACCGTCACAGACCAGCACCCAAGATTCGGTCGTGGATTTTCTCAATTCGTCCCCACCTCCTCCTCCTCCCTTCTGCACTTCCTCCCTTCAAGGCGCCCTCCGTCGCCATCACAGTGCTCATCAATCCTCCGGAAGACCACCCTCCTCTGCAAGAACGAAAAAACGAGGGGTTTGAAAATTCAGAGTCATTACTTGTCACAGGAAAAGTTAAAGTGTTGGTGACGACATAGGATTGAGTAGAAATCCAAAGTGTCATTTTGGTTAAAGCTGGGTTAAAATTTGAGTGAGACAGCTCAGTGAAAGCAAGAAAGGGGTCAAAACCATTCAATATTTGATACTAAAATCGTAGATTTCAAGCAGTGACTCTATTCTACAAAAATGTTTAAAGGATGGATACCAGCGTAAATTAGAAGAAGAAAAACGCGAGTGTTCGAGAAACACATAAAATTGGCGTAAACGCTAAACCGGCAGTGTCGTGCAGTGTGTTTTTACGTACTCGACACGGTTTGGTCTGGTGGCAGAGAAGAGTCAACACTTTGCTGGGTTCTATATTTAATCGGGTCATTTACAATTGGTTTACAACAAGTTTTAAAACTGGGGATTCCGCTCTTTTGTGTACAGAGATTCCGATTTTCTTTGGCATCCAATCTGGCTAGTGAGGGGTGCTATTAAAGCCGATATATACATTATTGTCTGGCTGCTGCGGCCGAAATCCCTTCCGTGTCATTATCATCATCATCGTAGCGTTGTTGTGGATTCAATTATATCATTATCCATTCCCTTCCACCATAATATCAATGTCGATCTACTACTCTTAACCAATTTCTCGTCTCTGTAACAATTGCAATAATAGCATAATCAAGCAAGACCAAAAAAATTGCGCTGAACAGCCAGGATTTTCTACTGCTGTCCTAAATTGGTTGCATGAAGTTAAACACCAGTGTTGCATTTCTGAGTCGGGCTGGGTCGAGCTATGCATATTTCAAGTTGATGAACGTGCAACGAATGAGTGCTTTGATGAAATGAAAATTAAAAAGTGATATTTGTGATGGTGTCGAGAGAGGACACTAATATTACGATGAAATGAGTCGGATGATACCACCGCATCATCGTCATCAGGAAAGTGTCGTCTTCACCCAATGGTTGGAGCAGTGGAGAGAAAGGTCGACTTCGCCAAGTGATTCTGTGACCGTGAAGTGAGTCCGAAATGCAGTCGGCATCCCCAGGGGGGTATAAACCAAGTGTCGGTGCGTCACCACCCGTGGGGGCACAAGTAGTGAATTACGGAGCCAAACCTGTCAACGGAGGAAGGTTCGATTTCGACGATGGTGGAACTTACTGCGGTGGATGGGAAGATGGAAAAGCTCATGGTCACGGGGTCTGCACCGGACCCAAGGGACAAGGTCAGCCACACGTTGCATTGGGTTCTCTAGTTTTAACTCTTTGATTTGGAAGAGATGAGATTCGAATGATTTTCTGTGACTTTCTGGGATTTAGTAGACAAATTTGCGAAGATTTAGCTGTGAAATTAGTAAAAATAATCATGCCCAAGAAACTCCTCACTGACACCGCAGCGTGAGAGTGTTTAGCTGTTGTTATAATAACTTGATTGTTGTGTGAAGAGGTGTAGCAAATGTAACAAATAGAATGTTCAGATTTGTACATACTTGCAGACAGAACTGGCATTTCGCATGAGACATTAAATAGCAAAGTAAATCATTAATTCGTCATAGACAGTCGATACATATCGTCTGCAAATACTTTCATAGTTGAATGCTGGCCCTGACGTTTGAGACAAATAATGATTTAATCTTATGTCACGCAGATAATATGCAAATGAATGCACTATTCATTACTGTCTTTGTTTCTAGGAGAATACTCTGGATCCTGGCATTTTGGTTTTGAAGTTTCCGGCGTATACACCTGGCCCAGGTAATTACCAACTCCTACGTCAATTATCTGCTTAGTTTCACTTTCGACAAATCCGACATAATCGCTCTCCAACTTCAAATTTGAAGTGACTGAAACAACTTGATTTTACGTTCGCTTACTCTGGATTTATATGGATCATAAAAGATTTCACAATTTTAATCCCCTATTTCTTCACTGCATGATTCATATAAAACCAGCCATAAATTTGAAAGAGAGTTTCCCAAGGAGCGCTGCGGCTCTGGGTGGGTGGGAGGAAGAAAGAAAAAAAAGTACCAGAGAGCCAAGAGCAATATTCGATGAGTATTTGGATCGGTATTGACACGAGTGTTGAAGAAATCCCATATCGTCATAATGCAATATACAAGCTCTCCTTGAACCAAATAGCGACGGCGTTCATCCCCGTTCTTCCCCAGTCCCAGTAAACAATAAAGCAAGACGTGCTTGATCCAAAGTGTGTCATAAGACTTGTGGGGTATCACACAGTTCTCTAAAAACAAAGAAAATGGTTTTTTTTGTGCTTTCTTGAAACATGTGGAACTATTGTTCATTTGTCTGGGACGGTTGGTTGGTGGATAGTGTGTGGCAGTGGAGAAACTGTGTTGCGAGCATCGTATACGACCCACATCATTGAATATTTTAGTCGTCCTTCCACCACTTTAGCTTTCTCCTGGGTTCGGTAACAGAATTGTGCTGTGTGATGCGATATATACCTTAATTGCTTACATGGACAGCCATGCGATGATGTTCTGTTTTGAGAGCTATACACATCCAGAGTGGAGACTATACATGCTGCACACAATGGTCAACCCGTCATTTGTAACCTAAAAATACTCTTTGTCCTCTCATATCTTGTTTCACAATAACGCTAAATGTAGTCCTTTCTACTTTGATTAATTAGCTAGGCGTCTGAACGTATACATAATTTAGCACTTGCACATTTATGCAGCACACTGCATTAGCGAGTATTATTTTAATTGACTGATGAATTGATTATAGGTATTTAGCTGTTCATAAGAGTTGATTTATTACCAGATTTGAATAAAACTACATAAAGAGCTCTTTAACATTATATCACTACCCAAAATGAAGGCACTTTGGGTTTGAACTTGAAACGTGATAAGTGTGACCAGAAAGTGCACAAATTATCAAAGTCCAACCAAACCAAAGCTTTCTACGGTAGGTTTTGCTTTAGTTCGATAAGGTGTAAACAGGGGCCGTAAAATGGGACCAAGGAGTTAACTGACCTCCGTGGGGTTCAATTATTCAAGTTAAGCTATGAAACCAAAATTTGAGACGACCAATAAAGAATAATTACTCATGATTATTATTGCCCAGTCAAACCTTAAAGTTGAACACTGCACATTTGCGTCTTGTATGTACTAGTGCCTACCTAGTACTCGCCGAATTAACGCCTTGGGTGTTTCTGAAACAGTGTAACGACGCTAAGAAAAGATAAAAATATGATTCATACATTAAGCCATGCAAAGTTATGAGTTTGCATTCCTTCATGTAATGCAGCACGGAAAGCTCTGTCAAAGAAACTCTTTCTGCTTTCTGAAACTGGGAGACACCAACAACCGATGAAAGTTGCATAGTTTTATGTGTAATGATGACTTCGGTTACTTTCGGTGAATGAGAATAGATGTGGGTGCAATATATGTATTTATGCATGCACTATCTGCTGCGGCATGTAACAAAATGACTGTCATACATTACCAGCTGTACCATTAACCAAAAAGATTAGTTGCAATGGTTAAATTTTTCTCGAATATCATACAACACAACTTTAGCAACACAGTCGCCCAAACCAAGTCTCAATGAAATGCTAAAAGTTGGCAAATGAGGAGTTTTTGTGTTCGTAATGCACACGGTAAAAGTTTGTCCCAATGAAATCCCTACGTATTGCTGAGGAGGAAAGTTATGTACATACATCCGTATCGTACAAATTTATAGACGTGCATATACGCGTACCTTGTACTTCTACTTAAGCTCTATCTCTTCCTAGCCTCCGTTTTCCACTCCAGCTCCGGATTTCAGCCAACAACGAACATCGAACAGAAACCAAAGCCAGGCGAATTATTTTAACTTTGAAAATGCATAGAGCATTAATAGAAAATGATGCATTGGAAAGGCAAGAGTAAGTCTGTAAGTAATAATATAGTCAGTCAGCCATCCAAGAGCAGTACTACGAGAGATGCTGCTAGAGCTGGTACAAAAGTACAAGCCAACTATCATGTCATGATAACATCCTACCATTTGGCAGTATACACACATAGACGATAAGTCTTCACATCATCCAGTCAGTTGTGTGCGATACAGATGGGATGCAAGTGTTTGCGAACAGTCACTCTCGTCTTCCTTATATCTACATCTGTATGCAAGTAGTTTGTCTCATTTTGCTCTATTTTTAGCAGATTTTCAGAATCCAACGCCACACGTCTACCAAAGAAGAGAGTAGAATCTTAGCCTGAAAGACAGCAAATTACGTGTCATATATATTTGCACATGTTTTACGGTTTTACTTGAACACACTGAACAGCCAACCTTCTTACTGGTTCCTAATTAGAGATGAATAAATCAGCCTCCAACGCTATACGAAACCTCTGCCATCATATTATTATGATTTGTGTCGTATAATGACGAAATGCTATTAGTTTTCACTTATCTAACTCATGCAGAACTCAATTATTGTAGGAAATCGCATGCGCTCTGTCATTTTAACCACCAAACACAGTGAAAACGACGTCTGATAAATGGGAGAAACATTTTGTTTGCGGTGATTTCCAAATTATTTATTATCACAGTACGATGGCTGATAGCATCGTTGATAACTAACCCAAAATGTAGAGCATGCTCTTTTCATTATCAAAGAACTATTATAATTTGCATTTATTTTTGGGAAACGTATATTATTTATAGCAGTATTGAATTGCGAATTTAAAGATGAGCATGTTTCACGCACTTACATATGTACGATAAGTTTCGATTTCAGCAGAAGTAAATAAATCCGTTCAGTTATATACATATATATGTATATATGTGTATATCTGAAACATATACACAAATACATACATACGAAGCTTAAATAATTAAAACATGAGAAATAGAATACAGATGGATGGTCATGCAGTTACCGATAAGACAATCCTTTCTACTAATCGAGTCACCAGTGTTGCACAATATCTTATTATCATCACGCCGTGCCTTTCACGGGATCATAATTTATTGAACATTCATTAAGCATGAATTCCGTAATAATTCTGTGTATTTCGCTTGCAAGGAATTGGTCGAATAAGATCAAACTGGATAATGACGCATTGTATGAATGGTAGTGAATCATTGCCATGGACTAACGGAAAGCAAAGAATTTGTAAATCTGGCGAAAGAATAGCAAAGTGTTTGATGGGAGCTGTCCTTCATTGCATTGGGAATGGCCTGTGCATTAGTTGGACTGAATGGTATAATTTTGTGATGGTGGAAGCAAATCCACGTAAATGAGGCAGTGTGACGGAGCTGAGGACAGAAAGTATTTAGTTCGTTGTTCGTTCATATGGGAGGAGGCAGTTATTTGGTTTGAGATGAAATCGAGGTCCGATGAGCTCGTCGTGATGCTAAAATAGACTCCATGTCTGTGCTCCCCTTGAATCCTTTGGAATTTTTTAAACCGGCATATTGCCAAATTCAGCTAGTGGTGTTGTGCCATCCCATCATCATAATGCCACGTCGCCCGTCCTCCTGATTACACCATAACACTAGCTCGACGAGAAAAGAAAATAATTGAGTATAATTGCACTCTACGTAGCTCAGCACTCTCTTTTCCTTGCATTCTCGTCCACCTTCCTCTGATTTAGACATACATAATTTTATGACCAAGCCGGCTTCAAGCATCTGAATACTCATATCTATGTACGAACCAAGTCCTAAGATCTAACCAAACTGAATTAAATAATGCTCGACTTTGAGTGATTGTAGATTGAATGAAGTATTCGATAAGTGTATTCGGAACAAGATAGTACACTTTCTTCTACAGATGCCTTTGTTAATAAAACACGACTTTTGTCTCATCACTTTCTTTCGTCAGCATTCATGTATGAATAGATTTAAATATTTAGGCAATCTATAGTGACGCTTGGACAAATATGTAGCAAAATATCCTAACAAAAGCTATGGTTTGCTAATATCTACGTAAATACATAAGTACATACATACATCAAGAAATGGTCTCGCCTGCTAGACGTGAATATTTATGATCATCTGTCTGCATAGGTATTTAAGTCTCCCGAACTTGGCGACATAATGTGAAAGTCTTTAAATTTTCAGCCATTTTTCAACATCTTGCTCCGCCAGTTCGGAAAATAGAGACTTAAACACATTATTCAAAATCATTTTGGGGTAACCGAGACATTGTTTATTCTCCGTCCAAGCAAACCTGATGGATATTAAACGCTGGATAATAAAACAATAATGAACTGAAACTTATATGAGACCCTTTGTGAGTTCAACTCACGTAACTTGGTCAGTCAGACAAAGCAGTGCCATCAAACTCAATTAGCTGAGCGTTGAGTAGTGCTTACTGGTGGTGCTGCTGGTGAAAGCCCAGATTTGTGCCGGTGAAAGCTGAGGGAAAACGGCAAGTGTGTCATAAATTATCCTGAAGAGATGATTATACAGTGTCCTCCAGATCATAACATATCCAGAAGCTGGAGTGAAATGAGGGAAAATGGATCCTGGTCAATCGGGTTAGCTCAAATCGATAAGTAACCTAATTTTGAGAATACGCATACTATAAAGCGTTAGATATGAGTAGAATATATGTAGCTATTGAGTTATTTAGTTGACAATTTGTCGTTTAAAAATCACGGCAAATAACTAATTTCTGATAGTTCTTTATTCAATTTATTCAATAATATCATTTGAAGCAAGTGCCCAATTTTTCACTAAGCATGGATACATGGATTAACTATAAATTTTGCAGGCCAAAAAAAAATGCTCACGCTAAATCCACTTTCAATAATACTGCTTGTGATCGCAAATCATTTTACTAGATTCTAATCTAGTTTATGTATTCCTTTGCGTTACAAATATTTTATGACGGTGGAGGATTTGCCGTCTTGTAAGTTCCGAGAGCTTTGGCATACCACCCAACTTCATTCACAAGTTTGTTGACGTTATTTGCAATTCTTTCCGTTTTGGACGTACCGTCCGCATCAAAATGTTCGCCTACAGTTGGGATCCCAACATAGCTTGGAATGGTCACAATCCCAAGCTCACTGGCAAAGGGGCGAATGAAGGCCCCGGCTCGTACACCACCGTAGATGCCTAAAATCAAGCCAAAATTCACAATGTCAATATTTGGTTGCATGAAAATAAAACAATTCAGAGTTGAACTATGACGTTGCTTATGTATGACTTTACAGGAATGAAATTCAGTTGGCTTTGTTGGTTAGTTGCAAGTGACATAAACATTCACTTTGAAAGGGCAACTGTGACTCATCAAAAAAATGATAGGATTTCTTCTTGACTACTTGCAAAAGCTAAAAATGTTATTTACTCTTCGCTTGCGTCATGTCACAACTTTGAATTTCTAATTAAAGGTTTCCGCAGTTTGAGCAGTAAAATATTGTTAGCTGAAAGCTTTGACGTGAATAAGTAAGCAGAATGGAATATTCTATTGAAATTGATCGACTGCTTTTATAGATTTTGCAAAAGTTTTTAAATGCTGCATTTTTAACTCGGCTAAATTATTAAGAAATCAATACTCGTCCTTTTATGGATTTTCGTGACTCATATGTATATTGAACTAGATACTTCTCGAAATGAATCGTCATCAAGAAATTTACCACCACTCACCCATGGAATACGTGACAATTCCACAAGGTCTGTGCCGGTATGATGCAGGAGAAAAGTGGTTCATCATATTTGTCAGAGCCGGGGGTATTCCGCAATTGTATTCCGCAGATACAATAATGAACCCATCGGCAGACTTGATTTTCTCATCCGCCTCTTTCAGCCAGGCAGGAGCGTCCTCCGGGTTCGGCATGAAGTGCAATGGCTGTCTCAATACTTCGAACGGCAATTCACACGGATCTGTTTGAATACATGCAGTGCACCAAAAATAATGAGATTAAAGTTTAATTGGAATCCTATTGATTTCTTCGTGATTGACAAATTCATGAGCCTGCTAGAATTACCAAACAGGATGGGTTCCATCCCATTCTCTTCCACCGTCGCTTGCACAAATTTTGCTACACGTTCCCCCATTCGACCCACTCTGGTGGAGCCCAAAAAGATGAGAATCTTCTGCCGAGACATATTTAACCCAAACAACTGAAAAGAGAAAGCAAAAGGAGCATTCAGCACAAGGAATACGAAAAAGCCTCTGCGACCTCAGTCACCATTTGTGTGTGAGGCTCACAGGCAAGACAGGACAAGTAAAACCAAGACAGAGATCTTGAATCTTGCTTGATCCGATAATCGTGGAGATGAATGGACCAATGAGCAAGGACAAAGGAGTGAAAGTTCCTCCAGTCAAGAATAATGTGATGGCAAATGTAAAACGAAACGGTAGCGAAACGAACCTTTTATTACTGTGTGTAGTCCTCCGATGAGTCCTTGTTTTCACTAAGCAGTAGCCGTGATTCGCAAACGAGAATCTTCCTACACCACTTTTGAGAAAGCAACCGGTCTATGGCAGGGAAACTTGCTGAATGAAAAACACTGCCAACTTTCTTCTCAGCTCTCCCGAGTAGAAATACTTCTCCGGCGTCAGTATTGTCAACCAACAGGGCTAACCGGTGGAGTTTGCTGTGTGTGTCTCGCGTTTTGCGGGATGAAGGTCACGAGCTACGGTTGTGTTCGGTGTGTATGGGACCAACTAACTCTCCGTGTGGTGGAAAGGCAACAGAATATCGCTACATCACCCATATACATATTATATTTATAAAATTTCGCCTTTGCATGGATCCTGGGTTTTAGATATCTCCAGGAAAATGGTGACTCCTAAGTATTTGACTTGCCTTGTAACTTATTCCTCTCGGCTGCTGTTAAACTGGGCGGATTGTTGGTAAACTTTGCTCAACAAACAATATCAAATCTTCGCTGCTGGGGTGGTCAAAATCTTTCAAAGTTTTAAGCGAAGGGCCAGTTACTTACGTATGCCAACCTGATTCGGGATATGGCCTGGTTTCTCTGGGACACCAACAAAGTTTGTAAAAGAGATTGAAAGTACTTTTGTAAAGCAAAAGCAAAGTTTGCAGCAGGAGAGTTCAATAGGATTGGTTAATGCAAACTGACCAAAGTCAGGGCCATATGCAAGTATGTATATATACAAATCATATCACGAGTTCCACGCCATACATACGATGTCATGCATCATCGCCAGTCAGCCCAGGGACAAGCGAGCAAGTTTTTCACTATTGCATAGATGCCGAGCAATATTCGCATAATATTGCAAAGTTGCTGGAGAACAAGCCAGAATGACAGAGCAAAAACAATAAGAGAACCAGAGTTGCGGTGATCCAGCGAATATTGTTATTATTGACGTATTCTGGTGTTAAAACAAACCCAAAACCCGTTGTTGCCTCTCGTCTCCAACGGAGAGTCTCCATTTAATGCTTTGTAATGCTAGTCACGGTCTCAATCAACATGTTTCTGGCAGCACATAAACGTGGTTTCCAATTATTAGAGAAGGCCATCATCTATCTTCTGTCACGCTTTGTAATATGTACGATGGATGACAAGTCTATCACGTGAATATTGCGTATAATTATGTAACATTACTTATTGGGTGGTTGGTACTTTTCACGAGTGCAAAGCATGTTCCCTACATGAGAAACTTGAATCATTATCCTCCTAATCTAAAGCTAACTCCACTCCAATCAGTTTCGGCCAATTGAATGCGGCGAGTGAAGGTCGAGTAAAAATTTCTAGAACAATCGTCAAATTGGTCTAAGTTTATGACGACACAACTATTTAGTATGTCTACATGCCTCGATAACAAATTACTTATAGTCATGCACGTACGTATTTACGAGACATTTATGAAAATTGATGTTACATTTGGGAGAATATTTCATGGAAATAATTAGTAAAGTGTGCATACTCGATTGGGAAGTAAAGGTCCATACGGTGCTCCACCCTGAATGTGTTCCGCTCTATTTGCTCCTGTCAAATTTCATGAATATCGAATGCAGCATAAACTGTTTTGTTTTGGACGGTTTTGCGATAACAGCTTTCATACAATTCATTTCGCACGATGTCGTCCAAAGGAAACTTTGTGAGCTACATATTATTCTCCGGAGAATACGATGTTATGAACTATTCGGATAAGGCAAGAAGAATGATTTTCTGTCCTCACTAATTTTAGGTCCTGAGAAAATTAAATAAGTAGTATTTCATATTAATTGAATTTAAGGGGTTCAAAATGACTCCAAACTGGGTCCCAAACGTAGCAGTGCATTCATACATATTGCAAATATAAGATTGGAAGAATACTTGGTTATATATAACTGAAACGTGAAAATTGTTGCTTTCCGCACACACACACGCGGAAGGTGTTATGAAGATTCTGAAGAGATTATGTGATGATGCGGTTGGAATAAAATACTCTCCAACGGATGCTATGCTATTCTATTATTTCGTTGTAACGAGATCCGTAGCTCCCAAAATAAAAACGGACCGTCCAATTCCAATTTAATACCTGCAGTAGATGAAGTGGTTGCGTGAGAAGACTTCGAAATTCACCTCCTCTCAATCTCGATTGAATGTAATGTTGAGGACGGAGGGCAAAACTTTCTTCGCACCGCTTTTTCTCGAGGTGGTCTAAAATTGATAATGCTGGCTGATTGTGAATTTGTGGTATTCTTTCAGTGGGAGCACGTTTGAGGGTCAATGGCAGAATGGGAAACGGCATGGGCTTGGGGTTGAGTACCGAGGGAGGTGGACGTACCGGGGGGAGTGGACGCAGGGGTTCAAGGGTCGCTATGGCGTGAGGCAGGCCACCGCTTCCAGCGCCAAGTACGAGGGCACCTGGGCCAACGGCCTCCAGGACGGCTACGGCTCCGAGACTTACGCCGACGGAGGTAAGACACGACTTTTGAAAATTTATCTAATCATCAAATAACAATAATGGTATGTATCATCGAGTCGGAACAATTCACAAAGCAGAGAAAATATTGTAACTTTCAAGTCATTTTTAGTTAATTTCTCGTAATTTTAATCGTAATGAGATTTAATTCGACATTTAATCTGGTGCTCACATATACTGTGCGAATGTGAAACGTAAAAAACATCTCCAATATATTCTAACAAATTGAGTGAAAGTGTTAATAAGTACGACATGAACGCTTGCAGTAAATAAACCGTACGCAGGACCATAAATTACAAGGACTAAGTATTTGTAACAGGAATTGAAGATTTATATGTGATACAAATAAACATGAATAATTTGCGTATAATGTTATGCATGCCATAAAGTTATTCTTTGAGGCGAACTAAACCCATCTGTTACAAATCCTTGCCTGTCGCATTTCATGTCAGGCTTAGGAGTTGGACATTCGATTTTCAACAGACCCACTGGTCCTTTTTGCATTGTAGTTCATGAAGCAAGAGCAACATAAAAGTGTGTACCACCGAATCGATTAAGGGTGGCTATACTGGTTATTGGCATGAGTATAGATAGGTTCAAATCAAAACTTTCGGAGGATGAGCTATGGGTCTGTCAACAGACAATCGCAGCAATTTTTCTTCCAAGCCAATTCATTTGTACAATCGGTCAGCTACATAACAGGTCGTGTGGCTTCACTTCAAGTACTTTTTGATCCAGTCATGTGGAGAACTTTCACTCTTTGTGAATGTAATACATATTTATTTCCCAGCCACACGATGCTGCACACTTCAAAAAATGAAAACTGTTCTAAATATAAACGGTGGTCCATCCAACCATATTTTTGGAATAAAAGAGGTAACATTTCTGATAAAAGGCTTGAAAACATACGTGTCTGGGTCCCCTCGGCATGTTGATACATGGCATAAGAGAAAATGTATAATGATCCTTCTGAGGGCCTTGTAAGTTCTCCCCATCATTGTTTTCATTGTGTATCATGATGCAAATTGTGGCCAATTGTGTAAAATGTCGCATACACCAATTACCACAACATGCTCCCAGGAACATAGTTGTGGGACACAAACACGGGACCATTACAGCCAAGCAAGCAAGATCAAAGCGACCACAACAAGGCTGCTTTCCACCGAGAAGGAAGTAAGTTGTGCTTGCCGTGTGAGTTACATATACCCGACGGAGTAAAAAAAATATTTCTCTCGGCCATTATTCCAGTCACGACAACACAACTCTTATTATTACTCCTTGTTTAGAACTGCTTCACTTTCACTTTCTTTTGATCGTGTGGTCTGAACTCGTTAGAAGTTGCAGTTAAGTGCCTGCAGGCTGGATAATAATGATTTCATCAGTTGAGACAGGGTCAAATGAAAAAATGACATTATTTTATAGAAGGCTCTCTTGTGGGCGATACAATGAAAACTAGCTTTCATTTCCAGTACAATGTATTTAATATAGATATGTCCCACCATGAATTAGGTAACAACAAGAGGATGAAAGAAAATACTGAAAAATGAAAAAAAACCTAAAGCAGGACGTTGCCTCTATTTAAACTCTGGCATTTCTAGCGATCTGTTTACTTGCTTTATCCTTGCAGTGAAATACTTGTGCGTCTGAGATGAAAGGCATGATGAAGAAAGTATAAGTTAACTGTTATATTGGCTGAGGAAATTGAGAAATGGAATAATATGGCAAAATTCAGTCGACTTCTATTATTGGCATTTCTGCTCAATATTGCAATTTTCGTCCTATCCCTTTGATATTTAGTCACTCTCTTTTCTCGTGTTTTCAAGATAGGCAAACCTTTACAAATGTAAAGGTTCGCCGTCTCAAAATGTTCCCAAAATTTTCGATTCATCGTAGCATTAAAACCTACAGTTTAAAGAAAAAAGAATGACGTGGTAGAAATGTGAGACCAACGATCAAGGATTTTCTCTTGGATTTCCGGCTCTCTGATTTATTACCAAATCCTATAATTTCGCTCTCCTATAAGTGAGCATCCTGGTGTGAAATCCAATTAAAACTCCAGTGAGACCAACCAGTGAGGGTGGAAATGAGGACTCGTGATGGTTTTCCGGGCAAATTTAATAAAATTGATTCGTTTTAGAGTCTTTAAATGTGGTAGAATCTGCAATCTTTGGAGATTATGCAATTTTCCAATTGTGCTTGGTGTGAAAATGAGGATTTTCAGAGATTTGTCTTTGCATGAAGAGAATAAAACAGTTCCTTTGTTATAGAACGTACTTATTTAGAACAGCGTTTAAATAATCTCACATTGGCAGACAAACATTCTTCACTTGAATCTCAGCAGCTTATATTTAACGAATCTCAGCCAGTCTCTTACCCACCTCTCAATCTCAATCATGCAAAAGAGAGAGAGAGACGAGAAATTCCAGATTTTCGGATTGAAGCATAGGAAAACAAAAGTTGAAGAGTGAAAGCCACGACTACCAACACCAATTTCAGAGTTGGAGGCCTTTGTCACTCAAAACTTTCCACTCACTCTTCATCCTCCTCCCGTCCAATGCTTCATGTGTGAAGGCAAAGTTTGAAATTAAATGAAAGTTTGCAATCCAAGAAGAAAGAATGATGGTTTTCACTTTGAAGATTTTTCATTGAAAATAAAACATCATTTTCAATTTCTAGTAGAGCTCCAGAGCTTTTCAAGGTAGTTGTCGAATCTGATGAGTAATAGTAATGTATGTAATATTTCATGTAAAAGTTGTGATTGAGATGATATGTATGAATGTTAGTTTTAGGTTGCCCCTGACATTTGAGTGTCCCGCACGAGCGCAGTCTTTCGTCATCTCATTGTTTTATTGGCCCTCATTTTTAGTTCGTTAAAAGTACTCAAGTAGTGTGGACGTGTTTTGAGAGAATGTTCCACAATTAATTAATCCACAGTAAATAAAGTAGCAATTATTTAAGAGATTTATAACAAGTTTTATGTTATATTTATTTTGCTACTCTGAGTGGATTTATGAGCTGACCTCCTACTCGTAGTAATCATCCCCCACGTCAAATTCGGTGTAACGCTGGTCAGAGGGTATCTGATCGGGACTGACCCAGTGGTGTTCTCAGAGCAGACGCCACATTTTGGTGACCTCGACGTGATAGGGGAGTCGAGTCGGATTCTACAGTGACCAGGAGGAAGTTCAATTAAGGAAGGAATCTTCACAAATTGCCACTTTGTGGGCCCCACCCTGAGCATTCGGGGGGTTAGCAGGTGATAGAATTCCTTATTAATCATTGAGAGGGGAGCCAAGCAACCGGCAAGTCCGTGAGGTCGTCCCATTGTAGTCTTTTCGCGTGGATAATAACAATTATTTTGCCACTTTGTGGGCCCTGCCCTGAACAGTCGGGGACTTTTGAGGTGGAGATTGTTGCCAGTTTAAAACCACGTTGAAAAATTATTAATCATTTTCCGTTTGTTGGGTTTGCACGGTCCTGAGGTTCAAGTAGCGGCCATGGATCGAGCAAAGAAGTCCCGGAAGCCAGTGAGACAACAGGTCACGAAGCTTTGCAACGAAATAGAAGCGGAAATCGCCACAGGAGTCCCGTACAGGCAGACGTTGTTGGACTTATTGAAGAAACTGGATGTGGCGTCGACTAAGCTCATCAATGAAGATGACAAAGTGAAAGAAGCCATGTTGGATGACGACGTAGCCGATGTGGATTTAGAAACTGAAGCAGATGACTGTGAGAAGTATCAAGACAAGATTTTAGTGGCTGAGAGGATTGCACGTAATGCTATAACCCCTGAGGTATCAAACCAGATCCCAAGTTGCAGCAGCACTCCAGCAAACGGTACCGATCACACGAAGTCATTCAAGCTGCCGAAAATAGAGCTGAGGAAATTCAATGGGGAGTTAAAAGAGTGGCTAGGGTGGTGGTCTCAGTTTGAGAAGATCCACGTTGACACCAAGATCCACGACTCCGACAAATTCCAATCCCTTTTGCAAGCTATGGTACCTGGAACTAAACCATTGCAGCTAGTGAGCAGTTTCCCTCAGACGGCAGAAAATTATGGACAGGCGCTGGATGCTTTGAAGCAGACTTATGGAAGAGAGAGCCTTTTAATGCAAGTTTACATCCGGGAGCTGCTGAAGTTAGTGATTTGTAACGTCAGTCAGAAGGAGAAGATTCCCCTGGATGTAATGTACCTCAAGTTGGAGTCGCACTTGAGGGCGCTAAAGACATTAAATTTGGCCGCTGCTGATCCAGCCACCTGGTTGTTCCCTTTAGTGGAATCAAGTTTGTCTGTTGAGACGTTGCAAGCATGGCAACGCAGCCCGTTATCAAAAGTCGACGGGAAATTAGAAAATCCCCCAAGAAGCTGTCTTGATCTGATGATGGAATTTATCAAGAATGAAGTGCAGGGACAACAACAAATTGCTCTGGCCCAGACTGGATTCCAATCAAGCTCCAGCGGTAAGGACGGGAAGAACAAGAGGCACCGAAAAAGTGAAGATGAAGAGTATCCCGTAACTGCTGCTGCCCTGGTTGCTGGTGATGTTAAGAAGATAAGATGCGTCTTCTGTGGAAAGAACAATCATCAGAGTCAAGATTGCTTCAGGGCAAAGAAGATGAGTCATGAGGATAAGTTGGCCAAGGTGAAAGGAGCCAACGTCTGCTTCAGGTGTCTAAGACCAGGACATATCTTCAGAAAGTGCAAGGTCCGCGTGGATTGTCCAACTTGTGAGAAAGGTCACTATCAAGTAATGGTCCAAGAAAAGAAGGACGGTGATAGTGATGGAGTCCACGAAGTGACCGAGGGAGTGAAAACCATGGTGGTATCTCAGCCATCAGCACTGGCAATGGGTGTGTCATCAAAACAAGATAAAATAGTGCTCCGCGGAACCATGCAAGTAAAAGTTCTCGGACCTAATAATGAAGTGAGAAATGTCCGAGTTCTAGTGGATTCAGGGAGTGACATCAGCTACATACAGAGAAAGTTAGCCGATGATTTGAAGCTGAAACCTGTGGGCAAGAGGATGTTCCAGACAGAAGTATTCGGTGGTGGTCACGAGATCGCCGAGAGAAAGGAGTACTCTGTGAAGATCCAAGGAATCAACGGAGGGAAAGAAAACCTGCAGACGTTCTCTCAAGAATATATTTGTGGAGTATGTGATCCTGTCCCGTATGGCCCGTGGGTGAACGAGCTGATGAAAATGAAGGTGTACCTTACCGATGTCGCGTCAGACCCCTCCGAGATTCACATCTTGTTAGGATCCAATCACATTGGAAGAATTCTCACAGGGAGGATGGCTAAAGTTAGTCCAACCATCATTGCGACAGAGACAACGGTCGGCTGGTACTTAAATGGAGAAGCGTCCGTCCTGAAACAGCGCACCATGGCTCAACTATGTATTGCGAAGTTGGCCAAGACAGAAGATATAAGTGTTCTGTGGGATTTGGACATTTTGGGAATCAAGGACAGTGCATTGAGGGTCAGCACAGAAGAGCATGACCAGCAGGTCAAGGAAGATTTCCAGAAGAAACTGAGGAGAGCAGATGATGGCCGGTACATTGTGAAGTTACCGTGGATTAGTGAGTCCATCCCACTCCCTCATATCCGTGGAGTTGCTGAAAAACGGCTGCAATCAGCAACTAACAAGCTTATCTCAAGAAAGGAATTTGAACAATATGACAACATTTTTAGTTCCTGGGAGGCGGAAGGAATTGTAGAAGTCTTCGCGGAGAAAGGAACAGACCACGATGGACATTATCTTCCGCACCGTCCAGTGTTCAAACCGGATAGCTTGACTACACCAGTGCGTCCAGTTTTTGACGCCTCTTGTCGAGTTGGGAACCAGCCTTCTCTCAATCAGTGTTTAGAGAAGGGTCCCAATTTAGTTGAAATGATCCTGCCCATCCTCCTCAGATTCCGGAAAGAGAAGGTGGGAGCAATCTCTGATATTAGGAAGGCCTTCCAGATGATTGAAGTGGATGGCGAAGATAGGAAATATCAGAAATTCCTGTGGTGGGAGGATCAAGGGAAGAAATTACTCAAAGTGTACCAGCATTGCCGAGTTATTTTTGGAATGAACTGTAGCCCGTTCATTCTTGCAGCAGTGCTGGATTTCCATCTCTCCCAGGTTCCAGAGAATGAAAAGAAGACAAGCCTGGAGTTGTTAAGGTCGCTCTACGTGGACAATTGTGTGACGTCCTTCGACACGTTGAAAGAATACGAAAAGTTCAAGAACGAGTCCACAATGATCTTGGAGAGAGCGAAGATGGACTTAAGGCAGTGGGAGTCCAATGCAGATCAAGTAATGGAAAATGAGATCACATCTGTATTGGGATACAAATGGAATAAGAAGAGTGACCAATTGTATTGCGATATTCCCACCGAGTGGGGCGAAGAAGGTGACCCTGTCATAACGAAGAGAAGTGTCCTCTCCCTGGCTGTACAAGTTTTTGACCCCATTGGTTACACGTCGCCAGCCGTCCTGCAGTTGAAGTTGTTGCTGCAAGAATCTTGGGCGCAAGACATGAAGTGGGATGAACAATGGGACGAAGTCAAAAGTGCAAAAGTGACGATGTGGTACAAGCAGATGTCGTCACTGGGAGAGATCAAGATTCCGAGGTGGGCTGTAAATAGTCGTGCCAAATTACAGCTACACATTTTTACGGATGCGAGCAAGGATGGATACGGTGGAATTGTCTTCGTTAGATGCCAAGAACGGGGATTGGAAAGTGCTACCGTGCAGTTACTACTTGCAAAATCAAGAATCGCACCGTTACAGAAGAAACCAGACCAGAAGAATGTCACAATCCCAAGATTGGAATTGCTGGGATGCCTGATTGGAGCAAGATTAGCAGAGACGGTGAAGAGAGCGATGGGATATGAAGACGCCCCCACCGTCTACTGGACAGACTCCACCACGGCGCTGGCGTGGATTCGACGGGACGGAGACTGGGGTACATTTCTGGGAAATCGAGTTCGTCAGATTTTGAAGATTTCGAACAAAGAAGAATGGCGACACGTCCCCGGCAAGATAAATCCCGCCGACCTACCTTCAAGAGGATGCTCACCGACCGAATTGTTGTTATCGAAATGGTGGGAGGGACCAGACTGGCTCAGAGGAAGCGAAGACAATTGGCAGTAATCACCAGAGCAGGACGCAAGATAAAGAAGCCTGATCGTCTGGGAGTTTTGCAAAGAGTGTTAATACATGATGATAGCATTAGTAATTAGATTCGTATTTTAGTTCTTTCGCTCATGTTTTCACGAAAGAAGGTGGGAGTGTCGAATCTGATGAGTAATAGTAATGTATGTAATATTTCATGTAAAAGTTATGATTGAGACGATATGTATGAATGTTAGTTTTAGGTTGCCCCTGACATTTGAGTGTCCCGCACGAGCGCAGTCTTTCGTCATCTCATTGTTTTATTGGCCCTCATTTTTAGTTCGTTAAAAGTACTCAAGTAGTGTGGACGTGTTTTGAGAGAATGTTCCACAATTAATTAATCCACAGTAAATAAAGTAGCAATTATTTAAGAGATTTATAACAAGTTTTATGTTATATTTATTTTGCTACTCTGAGTGGATTTATGAGCTGACCTCCTACTCGTAGTAATCATCCCCCACGTCAAATTCGGTGTAACGCTGGTCAGAGGGTATCTGATCGGGACTGACCCAGTGGTGTTCTCAGAGCAGACGCCACAGTAGTGATTATTGGACTGACAACTGACGAGTATTACCGGAAACTCTATAAATATTCATTTTTAAAGTACTTTGTGTTGAGTAAAAGCTCATCGAACTTGCCAAATGGATGGTGTGCTAATTAAAACAAACGCCTGTAAAGTACTTGCGTGTATTCTGCAATTGGTCATGAATGGACACTTCTCTGTTTGTATATGGTCTGGTTGAAGAGCTTTATGCATTTAATACCTCAATTGTGTGCTTAAAACCTTTTTAGTTGACTACTTAATGTGAACAAAGATCCCATAAACAAACGAGCGCATGTATTTGTCAGCAGGACACGGAATTATTATACTTATGCGCGTATGACAAACTATGGGCTGGGATGAAAAGAAAGTTGTTTCTCCCCGAAGTTCCTTTATTCAATCACAGCAGTCATTGTTATGCCATGTTGGTGGTAGGATGAAGTTATTATCGTGGATGACTGGGATAGAAAGTGGTTGTCAACTCAAAATGTTGCACAGTGATGATACTAGTAATCCTTCTGTAGATTTCCTATTTGAGCATGTTACCGAACATCCACGGTTGTTACATACAAGCTGTGCGCCTGTCATTTCCAGTTGAATACAGTTAATTACGGTGAGAGATCCATTCATGAAGTACTCGATATGTGGAAGTACTTTTGTACGTGATGCACATACGGCAGACAGTTGAGTGAGTCAATAATGAGTCTTGTGGCCATGATGAGAAACTTTTTACTTTGCTTTCTCCCTGTTAATCATGCGTTTGGATTGTAAAAGTTCAGAGATTATCATCATGATTCCTTTGTTGAGCTTGTTTGCCTGAATTCTTATGGGATCTGGACTTGGTTTTGTTACTATTTTCCCAGCAAGAAAATCTAAACATTGGAGATGTACCAAAGTGCATAGGAAGCTGTGATATATCCCCAGTTCCGTACTTTATGGATAATAATGTGCATATATATTCATAACTATTGTTCCTATCGTAATTTGATTGACATATTCTACCAGCATGTGACAATAGGCCCATCAAATTCTTTAGTTAGTGGAGGTAGATATCTTTTATATAAGGTTTTAAACTGAGTGATAATAAATCGTCTCCCGTATACAAAAAAAAAGAAAGCGATATACGAAAATTTCGTCTTTTGACTATTTACTTGTGTGGCACTACATAGTAAGTCAGACAGATGTGAATACAAATATACGCTGGGTATAAAATTTCAGAAAGACGATGATTAAAGTAAGGTCATTGTCAAGTGGAGCTCGGATGATTCAAGGTTTCGCGACGTTCTGGTGCAAAGCGCTGAACGATGTCATGTCCACTTGATCCACTTTTGACTGAAGGCCATGCCTCGCTCGTGTTAAATTGAGAAGATTCTCGGATGACAAATTGCCGTGACAAAGTTGTAAAGTGGGCATTCATTCCTTTACACCTCTAAAATATGGATGACTTTCATGGAGACTGCTTAAAAATGCTAAGATGTTATTTACTCGTTTGCATGCATACATTTGCACCGTAATGTTTAAGAATTTAGTATTCCTTATTTTGCCAAGTTATTTTTCAAAAAGTGTATACAGACACGCTATAGATGTAACCTCCAAAATATTTACAGCCCTTATTAATGTCTTCAGGAACGTTCCAAGGACAATGGTTGCGAGGACTCAGACACGGTTACGGGGTTCGAACAAGTGCTCCATTCGGAATGGCATCTCATTTCCGTCCCAAAGCCCCAAAGGAAGGTTCTATGACTTCGCTGAAAAGTGAATCTGCTGCAGAGCCCACATCTGAGAGGTACAGTACACACAGCGCTGACGTCGTCGACTTCGAAGAGAGTGCTCATGAATGAATTCTTTATAATCCTACCATCCATACATACATGCATATATTCTCCTTCGAAAGAGAAATATGACTCTGTCGCCATCAACTTTACCTTTAAACTACCACTCACGTAAAATTTACAATTTAACAGGGACCGGCGAATGGATGACGTGAGAGGTGGATTCGTATTGAAAGCCAGGTTAGTTTTTTTATGCACATATACTTTTTAGCTATTTGCGTGTGAGATATGTATGCCCATCTAACGTACTTAAATGTAAAGATGAACCAATTTCCTACCATTTGTACATGCTCTTTGCATCTTGAACGTATAAATATATTTGACCAATAATTTTGTTGTTGCTGATTATGCAGAAGTGATGAACCTCCTGCTCGACGAAGGTCGCTATCCGAACGTTCTAGTAATTTCAAAGATTCCATCCTCAAAGTAAGCGTATAACTAATTCACCATCCAATTAATTGTCATATGCAAATAAGTTAGTGCTTCTTTCTGAATACACGAGAGTTGGGGTGGGGTACATCTTCATTTTCATAATATCGATGTCACCACACAAGCAACCAAATTGGCAATAAAAAGCCGTTAATGAAGCCCCCAATACATAAATAATTGGTTTCAACAGGGTCTGAAGCTACGGAAGCAGCGAAGCACTGGGGATCTGGTAGACAAGCGTGGTACAAACTCGAGCATTCGATCAACGGGGAGCTCAACGAAGGTATAGTTGTTATATCCATGTATGAAAAAAAATAACAGTTTTAGATCTTAGAATGTGTTTATTTCCGATTAACCAAATCACCAAGAACTGATCTGGGTTTAGCCTCAAAATTAGAAGACTTTGAAACACTCTCTCTATTACTTGCATTTAACCTTATGCGAAGGGCATCTCTTTCATTCTTTAAAATGCGGGTATGTATTTTAGATTGGTCGTTCTCTTGGCGAAGGTTTTGAATTTCGTCACGTAGGGATTGATTTTCCACACGTAGGGATTGATTTTCCACACGTAGGGATTGATTCTCGAGACGGACCGTTTGATTCTCATCATTGGGGGATGCTAGATGAGCTGTAGATGTGGTGGGTATATTTGACGTGGATATAGGTTTTGGATCAGGGATAGTTGTGGTGCTGTTCTTCCTTGAATAAACAAGACCGTTATTTGCATTATTATTATTTGACATAACTCATATTTTTTAGTTAAAGTATTGTGTAGGTCACCTTGATGCGAGTATAGATTTGATACCAAGTTTGCGATTTTTCTGCACTGCTTTCCTAATGCACCGCCCTTGATTATGTCTCGTCAGTGATGATTTGTATACAAATCCTCTCTGACACTTGTCACATTTAAATGTTTTTAAACCCTCATGAGTATTCTCGTGTCTGGTGGAAATAAGGAATTGTAAAAAAATGTTTATCTCTACTTGACAACAACGAACGTACCTTGTTAGGTTACTTTTCAGAGTATAAGAGCGAGGACAACGACGGCATTTAAATTTTTTTTGCTCAACAATGTCTTGTGCAGAGTCCTCGTGGTCTTCGTCTACGGCTTCAACTACTTCGATCAGACCTTTTATGTTGTTGCTATTAAATATAAATCAATTATGGAACATATGTAATACTTTTGATCCCTATTTGTCATGCATATTTACCTTATAATACTGTTGATATACTCAAGACCGTTCCCTTCTTCTAAGTATTGTTTAGCCGATTTGGGTCGGAGGCTGCAAGGAGAATCGATAGTGTCTCGATTGTAGAACTTGATTTTACCGGCAGAGAACAGACTATCTGCACAAAGTGACACATCAATCACTTCTTTTGCTAAGCATGTCAATTTTCCCTTGAATTTGTCGCTGTAAAAATAAAAACAATTATTCGAATCGTTAAAATCAAAATTTACTTTTCAAACATACATATAAGAACATCCATTATTCCCGATGGACAGTTTTTTCTTTTTTCTTTTGAAGGCCGTCTTTATAGCATTTACTGCGGCTTGCTCCTTGTCATACAGATCAGATACTCCAATCGTCAATTCCCTTACCCGGCCTCTCGAGTCACGCCACACGTTTAGAAGTACACGATGAATTTGGACTACACCTCCTACAAATATATCAATATTTGCAAATCTCATCTTTTTTGTATGAATATAAATTTAAGTGGTTCCAGATAATTTATTACCTTTAAGTGTAATATCTTCTTTCGACACGGCGTGAATTTCAAGATTTTCAAGAGTGTAGAACACTCAGCCAAAGTCAAAGTCCTGTGTAAAAAAATGCACATTATTAACTTGGCAATACTTATATCTTGTACTTGTAAGATCTTAAGTATTTCAAGAATTACCTGCTTGTAGAAAGGGCCATTGTGTCGCAATAACTATTTGTTAAATAAAATATAAATTGGAATGTTTACTTGTTGGCCATGTGGTTGGATGCGTTTGACGTCCTCTCAATGTCATTTCAATTTTCGCAGGTTTGTCATTTTGGTTTGGGGAATGTGACATTGAATATATGATCATATTATTTAACTTGATTTATTTTTTAGAGCTCAACGTCCTGGATGAGTAATGAATCTGCCGTCACGTCACACTCTCATCATACCGACTCGAATGCTTCCTTTGTGGTCGAGGTTCGATCTTCTTCCTTCCTCTTCTTATACTAATCTTACGTTTGTACGTTGATACTGCTGCTGATATTACTGCTTCGTCTATGACAGTCCCATCTGCCAGGCAGTTAAGTGTACGTTTATGCATTGCTTGCTCAGCAGTGATTTTGCACTGCCAAAACTTTCACGGAGATCCGACCATCTCTTTTACAGCTATCTCTTTTAAAACTTCATTCCACACATGCACGCAACTATTTCAAATAAGCATACGTTATGAGTGAGCAAGTTAAAACTACTGTGTTACCAAGACTTTTTAACTGCTACTGAGGAAAGTTGAAGCAACCGAGGAGCGGAAAGTGCTACATATTTATGCAAACCTGTGTGGGTTATTAGTTCCCAAGATAAGTACATACATTGGTTCCCAATGGATGAATGCTTCGACAAACGTCGTGGTCTTAGCGTGTTTATGTTATCTGAAATTTGGCACAGACGTATCCATCCTACTTACATGCATATGCTGAGTGAAAACTTGCGTGCAGTTTGCTTGCTGTTCTATTTTGGGACGAGATTATATAAGAAGCATTGCAGAACTTCAGGAAAGATGTGCCTTGTTAGATGAGAATGATGTTGGGTAAAGATTTGCATACGGAGGAATGTCGTGTATAACATAGATATATCAATGGAAAGTGCCCAAGTGCAGGGTGCCCTCTATTTTACAAGCCATTATTCAAGACATAGATAAGAAGACGAGATATGCATGGATATCCGTAGCTGTGTCAAGTAAGCGGAAAAGTGATTTATGTATTTAAACGGTTGATTGGACATTTCACAGGACGAGCAGATGGATGCAAGCGTTACGGAAACGTACATGGGAGAATGGAAGAATGACAGAAGGGCAGGATTTGGTATCAGTAAGTTGAACGACGATTTACACCTGAATTAAAATGTACTAAACCTGTTACAAGAATCATCAACTAAGCACGCGAATATTTATATGGAGAAAATTCGACAAGCAAGTAATGCATGACCTTACTCAAATCCCCTTTGGGCAGTTCCTGCGAAAGTGGGAGGGTGCAATTTAAATTTATAGAGATATCTAATCTACCGATGACGCTACATAACATCAAAAACAAAATTTGGTTATATTTCGAGTCGTCGCACGTTTGAGGGTGATGATTCTTTACCTAACACTTCCTCCTCCGAATCTATTATGCTCGGGTGGGAACTGTTATTTGGACCGGAGGGTCTTAACTTTCATTTTTGCATACTTTATTAACAATCGCCATATATTGCAATCACTCATCCTCAGTTGAAAATACAAATTCTGAGTACAATGGAGGGATTGACTTTTAGAAGCTTTCACCGATGATTAACTTAAGATTAACATTTTTTTATTTTCAGGCGAAAGATCTGACGGGCTCAAGTACGAGGGTGAATGGTACAACAATAAAAAATATGGTAATTATAGTTTCATGCCATTTAGTGCCCCTTTTTTGGTTGGGTAACATTTTCAATGCGAAATAATAGGCTACGGGGTTACCAGCTTCAAGGATGGGACGAAAGAAGAAGGAAAATATAAGAACAACGTCTTGATAACTTCCCAGAAGAAAAAACATTTGTTCCTGATTCGGTCGGCAAAATTCAGGGAAAGGATTGATGCAGCTGTGAATGCAGCACAAAGGGCTTCCAAAATTGCTTTACAAAAGGCTGACATTGCAATTTCCAGGTCAGTGCAACTTACCAGTAGAACATATAGCAGCATAAGTTTCACACATCCAGACGTTGAGTGGATGGCCTGTTAACAGAATTAAAACTTTCCTTTGGGAACATGGCGCTGAAAGCTGTGTCGACTATATTATTCATCCATCATAATTATTAGTACTACATAAATATGTCACATTAATTACAGAACCGCAACTGCCAGAGGGAAAGCGGAACAGTCAGATATTGCATCAGCCCATTCGAGAGAAGACTCGGAAATTGCGAGAGTAATAGCCAAACAGTTTGCCCCTGACTTTCACCAACCAGGTAGACATTTGATCATTAGTTTGTCCAAGTGGCAAATGCGATGAAATTTACGATATTCTTGTCATTTAGGAATAGAAACAATAAAGCCCATCGTTCGAGTTCCATCAGTTCAGCCAGATCTCAGCAAACTATCATCGCAGCATAGGCCGGATGTTCCTGCACCCACGGCACAACAACAACACCAACGCCCACAGCAGAACTTTGTGGCTGCTGGAAGTCGTGATCCCTACCATGATGAAAATCTTGGACCTGTTGCCAACCCTTCTTCAACTTTCCCCTCTCTTTCTAGAACCTCCGTACCCGACCGGCTGGACCGAACATCCATAATTCCCAATCAGCAATTGGATAGCATGTCCTCACAGTACCAATACCACCAACAACAACCGCCACAACAACAACAGCAGCCCTATGCCAATCGCGTGAATGAAATGCCCACCGGTATGTACCCCACCCCATCGTCTGGACCTTTGCGAATGCGATCCGATCAAAATGTGATGGATTCAGGAGCAGAGATGCCCAAAATGAACTCCACTTTTAAGAATTCCTATGGCGGTATGGACACCAATCCGTCCTACATGGACATGCAAGGTGGTGGTGGTGGAGGACCAGAACGAGGCCGTGATACCGTTCGAAGAAGTCAGGGCGGCGCATCCCAAATGAGATCCCAAAGTAGCTCCAATCCACAGTCTTCCGCAAACAATTCGTATACCTTTCAGCAAGCAATCATGAGTGATCACTTTGACCATTACAAACGACCTCCTAGTAGAGACACGTCGGTGGACCGATTTGGTGGAGGAGCAGCGACACGAAATAGATCTAGGACGCGCGGAATAACTCCTGAAATGCAAATGGCCGGCAACCCTCCAGTTGTTAATACGCCCTACCAACAACAACCCCCCTCGCGCGCCCAGTCCAGGGCAAGGACACCGTTCATGGATAATCCCGCTGCCACACGGACTGCAAGTAATATTGCACTGGATGCATTTCTGGCGATGGAGAATGCCAACATAGTCCAACCAGGCCAAAGAGGTCAAACCCCTTCGAGATTTAGTGGTGGGGGCAGTAGAGCAGGTTCACCTGGAGCTGCATTCTTTTCTGACACTGGCAGTATGACCGGAAGTGGGAAGGACTTGGAGGGCATGAGATTTAGAGGTGGCCTTGGTCAAGAAATTCCCTCCATGCCATACACACCAAAGCGCACTGAATCTTTATTCCTTAAACCAGCTCTCCTTCCTAAGGGAGCGGGTGCTACTGCAGGCCCAATGGTAATAACGATACGTTTCGTTCTATGCACCTACATTATTTTACCGTGCATGTTATCCAGCATAAAAATAATCATGGTAAACTTTTCGTACTTTTTGTAGCAGAATGCTGTAGGAGTTAGTGGTGGAGGGGGCGGTGGGGGTGGACCAGCCCACGTGCGAAAGAAGAGTCTTCCAGATGCAGTGACGCTACCAAAGACAACAATAGGAATCCCAAGGGAAGAACTGGCCCAGTTAGGGTCAGCCAGACGACAAGAGGTTTGACGCTTTGAAAACTGTTTCCCGTTTCCTTTCAGTTACCCTTCTTGCTCGTTTTTCATGTTTCATGCTTATATTAAGCTGCTCACTGAAAAGTTGTAATTTTTTTCTCTTCTTCCAGTTGCATCGTATGCAAGACGAACAAGAAAGATTACGAGCTAATCCTCTTCTCTACTTGCTCAATCCAAATGTTAAGGTATTTGTTTCATGATACACATCCCATCAACATTTCAGAAATAATAATAAAATTACAATATTAATTTGCCAATTTCAGAACTGGTTATCTCGACAAAAGTTCATGATCCTTGTCATGCTCATCAATTTAGCACTAGCCATAATGTTTCTCCAACTCCTGACGTGAAAATTACTCTACGTCTCGTGCACTCCTACTTTAACAGTGATGAATATGGGAAAAAAGTCAGCAAGATTTAATATTGGGCTACAATCTCTTCGTTGGACCACTCACGAAGATTTGTTAGCAAAGCTTGTGCACCTCTCACTCCGACGCGCTGGCCTCACTCCTGAAGCGTCATCGAGGTACTCGAAACTGAATCATGACAGAAACGAACCAAATTGAAAAGAAACCAAAAATATATTTACTACCGATTGTTGGTTTACTAATATTATTTAATTGTAAGGACTACCACATATTTGACCCTTTCATAGGTTGTTAGGTTGCTTCAAATTCCTTCAGTTTGCACAAACTTGAGTTATTATGCATTCATGTTAGTTTAAAACAAATTCTGTCATATCAGCAGAAGACACCGTATCATGTTCCGTGTAAATATATAAGTACATATGTAGATGTATATGTATGTATATCTCTGAAATTAGGCAACTGGTGGAATTTAAGGAGTAATGTGACCTGCTAATTCCTGGAAATAAGTTTTAATTTCCATTCAGAAAGAATAATTTAATTAAATGCATGATGTTAGATCTTCCACTACAGAATTTTTAGTAGATTTCTTAACAGAAATTTACGCTAAACTTTACATTCGAAATTAGCAACCCGAGACAGCAATTTTATCATAACCTGCGTGTACTAATAAAATAGATACTTTGCACTTTGAGCAAATTTGTTTGTGGCGAAAAACTACAATTAAATAATCTGGATAATAGCTAACTTTCTTTCTCGCAACTTTTTTGTTTTCTTTACACTTCATCATCTCGTAAATCAGTGCTCTTCTATTTCTTCGTGTATTATTTTAGTGCTGTAGCTATTGGACAGTAAGGAATAAATGATCGCAGGTAAATTGAATTTCACCCCGCTCCCAATGTAATCAAGTGGGCACGTGATTTTCGCGCGAAAATATCCTGCGATCATTTATTCCATAACGAGCAATAGTGAGTAGATAGGTGATAGAAATGTACTACACATTTTAGGCCTACGTAGAAGTGTAGAAAAATTATTTTAGAGATCACGACTTCTGTCTGCTGCGGGCTTGACTGGATCTAATTTTAGTGTAGGGTGACTTTCTCCAAACTTTGTGTTTGAGAAAGCAGACCCACAAACTCAGTTGGTTAATGTTTAGTTCATGTAAATATAAAAGTCCAATTCACGAACAATGATTTAGTTTTAGAACAAAAACAACTCATGTGTTATAAAATTGGTTGATTTTGACACTCCTATTTTTTAATATGTTTAATTTATTCCACTCCGATGCGCGTGGACCTGTTCTCGAGCATAGGATATCGTGCGATGTTACAACTTTCACAATACCTTCTTATTAATAAATTAATGATTATGTGTATGTTTAGTTAAGTATTATATATTTATTTATAGGTTAAGAAGGCGTGTAAACCTCCATATGATATTAAGCGTAATATTTTAATCAAATATTTTATACATTTCATTCAAACTACTTAAAATTGCTTCAATCGGCGACCGTAGATTTCTTTTTTTTTTGTTCTTTTAGTTTAGTTTGTGAGTGATAAAGTTGTTCATATATATTTACATAGATGTGGAACCTTTCAAAAGCGAACTTTCATTCTTCTCATTACAGCTATTTATCATCGGAAACCTAGTTAATTAATTAATAATATGTCATTGAGATGGCTGAATTATTGTTATTATTACGATTTCGTCTGTTATAAAAGATGAGATCAATCTGACAATCGAGAGTGTTTACCATTCCCTATAATAATAATAATTATGTTGAATAATTAGCGAGCTTTGGAACTTTCGCAAATGAAAAGATATTAATTTCATCGAGTTTGTATAGGAAATTATTCAAAATTTGTCTGGAGAACGTTGTGGGTAAATCAAAACACAAAATGGAGACAATTTTACACAGAATATTTGGAAATTCATGCTCAAAATATTAAACGGTTGATAACAGTCACGAAACTTTATAGCGGAATACATATATAAATATGTATGTATGTATGTACTTTTAAATAGCCTCCATTAAATTTTCTAACGATATTTTACGATAAAAGTTATGAAAATGTGGCCTTTAGATTTTACGCAACCTTAATACTTTCATCATGCCTCCCCTACCCTCGAATCAAGATGACAAATTCTCCAAATTTTTAAATACATTTGTATGAAAAGTACATTTTATCTAAAGAGAGCATAAACCTGTAATTTGATAATTTTAACGAAAACGATACGGTTTCGAGCAGTTTAGTTTATGGCAAGATTCAGGCTTGCTGATTTCGTGGCCATTTGAACGGCCACATAACATTACGCCAATTACGCGATCAGAGGATGAAAATAGATTAATTCGGTATTGTTAAATGGTATGAATTTTTGAAAACACTCGTATCCTAATGTATGGTGATGGTGCTATGATCAACTGTGTTTACAACAATTTGTTTACTCCAGAAAATAATAATTGTGAAATAGTAATAAACCGGTACGTTTTGCTAAAAGAATAATGAGCATGTAAAGATTAATTAATATATAGTCACGAAAACACGGCAAATATTTATTCATGTAAATCTTGTTAGTATTTCGTTTCAAGAAATGTCTTTATTTCATGGAATACATTTTATGTACCAGTAATATTTATTATAGTAATATGTTTTAGTATTTTCTGATGAATTTAAATGTCTCATGTTATGTCGCCTAAATTAATCACAGGTTGTTTTATAACATTAATATTTTCTACAAAAGTTGTGTCTTGTTTGAAAATGTTCCTGCGAGGACAAAAGTGTCACTCTTTAAAAGGCAGCTCATACGTTGTGGCAAGGCCATGATACCATTAGGATCGTTGATCCTTCCAGGTGGTGGTACATACTTGAGGACAAAAGCTTTTTTGTAGGGTTTGTCAAAATTTGAAACTTTTCGATTCAATTCAGGCTCATCAATAGAGCCCTCATTTTTCTCGCAGCAAGTTACAAAAAAGTCAAAAATACGAGTACCAAGTTCTGATCTTTTCCCATTCGGGACTTTTATGAAATTCGGAAATAATTCGGAATTATTACCACAATAATTCCGAGTATTAGATTGATACAAAATGTCGTTGATATTTTCATTTGGGAATTTCAACTGGAAAGAACGAATTTGTGTAATTTCTTTTTCGCACTGCTGAAAGTTTTTCATGACAAGGCGTCTACTCGTGGACATTTCATCAGCAGTCAAATCCAGTTGGGTTGCATATCTGAAACACCTACTAAGTTGAACAACATTTTGAGAGAATCCTTGGGGCGTCTCATAATTCACAGGTAATTTATCGATTTCATCCATGATTTTAATAGTTCCAGCATGTACCAAACACGGGAACAACAATTGAGAAATGTCCATCAATGTTCTTGTCGATAACCAGTGAAGAACCTGTGCGACAACAATAATATTGTAATCCAATATTACTGTGCATAGCTGTTAATTATACCTTCTCAGCTTCTCTAGTGTCATCAAACAACCGCTTCTGGCGACGGGCAGGGATTTGATTAGCAGTCGACCACACTTCTAGCCATAGGTTTCCAGGAACTTTCATCCGTGGGCTGAGTTCACCAATAGCATTACCAAAACTGTCAGTTGTCCCAGTTGTTTCAATCCAATCTCGTGGGGAATACCACTTTACAAAATCCTCCAATTCTGCACCTGGATTAGCAGCCTAATGCGACATTTCAAAATTTACATCAATTATTAATCAGCTTCACGTAAATTATAACAATAAGCAGACAAATATAGAAACCTTAAACGACTCCATATCCGAAAGTAAGGACGCGCTCATCATTTTCGCCCTCAACTCACTGCCCTATGAAGATTACATTTATGCATTTATAACTTTGCAATTTCTTTACTTACACAAATGTACTTTCTAAATCTTAATTGTCGTATGAAAACAAACCTGTGCATCATCGCCTAGTTCAATCATAACCTTAGATTGTTCCTCTAACACATCTTCAGTCAGAGGTGCTGGATCCTGGTGAATCATGCATTAAATTATTTTGAAAGATTTTTGTATTGGTGTACGTATTAGGAACTATTTACTAGTACGCAGTTACCTGTGTTTCAGGAATATACATAGGTTCCTGATTTTTTATTAATCTCAACTTGCCATTTTTTCGCATTCTTCCCGACGGCTTGTTTATTTTTATTACTTCCTTTCCCTCCACACTATTCACATTGTCTTCGCAATCAAAGAATTCATCCTCACTATCTGCAAGAATAAAAGTTACGCTTTTTTAAAGTGAGTCTGATTGTTATTGAAATTTAATAAATCGACCTCAATTCCTCTTAAAAATTGGGTCATATGAAGAATGATTATAGAAACATAGTAAAAGTATATTAAGAATCATTAAAAATATTTTATCATTCGACGCACAATTCGACGCACTGTCATGTCATTGATAATTTTTTACGGTGCTCGCATTGTTAAATTTGAAACTGAAAATTATGATTGTGTTATCAAATTCCATATGGTGAAATGGTCATTATTATTACTGGTAGAAGACCAAGGTCTCCAAATCTGACAAGAATGAAAGAAACATCAACTCTGAAAGGAACATCAACTTCACCTCCACAAAATAGATCATCCATCTATTGATGAGTGAGGTGATAAAGACGAAATAACATTGAAATCTCCAACAACCACAACCCTAAAAGAAATGCTTTTACACATACAATGCAGATTCTCATAAGTCATTAACAATACTGACAGGCTGATTAACCACTACATGTCCTTATTACATTAATCTGATAACATCTAATCAGAGTGCCATGCACTTGCGCAATCCCAAATCACAACTAATCAAGGTATTTTACTATATTTCAAGTGAGGTGACATGCTATGTACTCGTAATAAGATTGCATTTAGTGCACATTCACATTGTATGATCATCAAACAATTTTGCTTACCTGCGTCTGATTCCAATGCATCTTCAGGGCACTTTTCTTGCTCATTTTGCTTCATTTCTCGAGCCATCTTCTTGGCAATGCAACAATTGAGCATTTGCAGTTTCTGGTTCAATAGGCACGATCCAATGTTCGGTGATCCGGATTCCAACCTGAGAATTTATATGGAAAATATACAATACCATGATGAATAAAGGGCGCATACTTACGCATAACAAATCGGTAAATATTCGAGAAATAAAGTGTTGAAACTGACCAATAAGAATAAAAAAAACATTCTATTCATTATGGCAAATTAGAAGAAATTGTGGATGGATAGGAAACTGCGAAATGTTTGTGATAAATGACAAAGACGAACGCACGGTGAGATGAATGCAAACTGTAATTAGGCGTGGTCCCTCTTCAATTGTATATCATACAATCGAAAATTATAATACATTACACACGAATAATGAGACATAGTCAAATGACTTGAATGAATAATATTAAGCTATCCCAGCCAAGCTTCTCCTCTCTAAATATTTTGTTTCAATATATTATGTACCTCTGTCCAACGTTATAACTTCGCAATTTGGATCATCCCACAATGCACGAGCTACTGGCAACTTAACAAAAAATTCAATTCCGGATAATATATTATGGCGTTGTGCATATTTCAAATGTTTGTGTCTTTGATAGATATGCTTAAAGTGATGTGTATGATGTAAATTATACATACATAAGCATTTCACTGGTCATTATTGTCAAAATCTATAATAAACTAAACAAAAGCGCCATCGTAATGGAAAATGAAATAGATATCGTAAATTGCGTTGCGTTGAGTAAGTATCAATTCGCGCACGAATAAAAAAAATTTCTAAATTTTTGAAATGAATAATCCCAGATAGATAGCAAGTACCTGCCTAATTTAATTAGTTCATATGCAATTATTTTATTATTTTTAACATTATGCAATCTCTTTCATTTTATAGCAGCTTCATGACTTTTGTCTTAAATGAAAACGCTGTTGAAACTAACGTTTTAAAACCGATGAAGGCGAATGGAACCCATACTGTTGCAGATGGGTCTTAAGCCTAAATTTTGCAAGTCACCGACTCGTCTTTTTAATGTCAGATGGTCTTCTCTCTCGACATGATAATTTAGGCTTTCAAGTGATAATTTCTCAATGAATATAATGTGCCATGCACACGTCACTTACAGGGAATGATTAAAGTTTTTGGATAAATGATTTCATAGTATAAAATTAATTTATTGTACTTGCATCAAGGCATGAAAAATAGCCATAAGTATTTGGCTATTTGCACAAATATGTATGTACACTGGTTTATTCAACTATGTACACACTACACCGTACAATTGAGAAAACGTCAGCTCTTATTAATCCTCTGAGATGTTTTACAGAAATAAATTTTGTTTCGATCGATGATTCCAAATTGAAGAAGAAATCTTATGGCGACATTTAGCAGGTGACAAATAAAAATGTGTGTTGGAAGCTCCTAGCTAAGTGTTTCCTAATAACCGAATAGTATTTTTTCGAAAGTTCCCAATTGCATAATCGCTTATCTAGTAAATCCTATCAAGCTCTGTACTGCAGTTAGCTATGTACACCAATTTGTACGTATACACAGGATTAGATGCTGACTCGGCCATGTTAGATCCTCCACCGTCGTAAGCAATACCCTCGTAATATTGATGCACAGCGTTACAGTAAGTGTAACAATGGCAAGCTGAGAATGCTGGTTCACAACAACGGGCGATGGTTGCTTAGTCGCTGTCTGTGCGTGCGTGAGGTATCAGTCGTGGCGTGGACTCGTAGTCTGAAAATAATAACGGAAGCGTTCTTTCTGAACCGACGACCGCTCCATGCACTCACCAATTACGACTAAACTAATTGAGACTTAACATTTCTCATCGTTTTTGCAATAAATTACGGTATCAAATAATTTGACAATTTCAAATAAATTGCTCAATGTCTAAAGTTGTTGGTGCATTCTGCATATTGTTTTAAGACACCGTGGGAATTTTAGCAATTTACTAAAATTAGCTCTACACACTGGGCTTTCATGGATTTAAATAATAGTGAATATATCCTGTGGTAGTATGTCTTCGATGTTAGTGACAGTGTGATTGTGATCTTGTGCGAATATTTGTTCATATTAATTTACATACTAATGTACTGATTTTCCACGTAAGTATGTAAGTGTTTCTCAAATTTAACTACTGAAATAAACAATTATTCGTGCTCCAGGACGGTTCGATGAAACAATAACAACTGAAGAAACCCACATAAGCGGATATAACAATTACATATGTGAACCGATATATTAATTTAATTTCGACATGCAAGAATAGGAACATCGAACCGGGCATTCAACTTATTCAACAGCACTTTCCAAATGCTGACCATGGTCATCCGGTAAGACGAACTTGTGTGTATGCTAACAAACAACACGGAAACTGATTTCTTTAAAAAAATCATGAACTATAAGTACTCTTAACTGTATTATAAAACAAATCTACTCGTAGATAGATGTAGCTATATAGATTACGCTATATAAACATTGGCTTACTATTAATTAGCAATCGGATTAGGTAATTTTTGTGTTTCCCACCTAACATTTGTTCCGGTCGTGTACATACTCTACCTGCATCTTTCCATCCACATACAAAAAATCTTTGATGAAAGCAACGGATTTAAAAGTCAATTTACAGTTTAAATTCCTTTGGGATACTTACTCCCAAAACTGCTCTCTGTGATCCTGCACATTATCTTGTATTTATACATATCTATTTAATTGTGCCAGAAATATTAAAATATTTCTGGCTAAACAAATATGCATTCAAACAAAATAATCAAAGCACTGATGCAGTTTCATTTCATAAAATCATAACATGACACAATTAAATAGATATGTATAAATATTGGACAAATACATAATCCAACTCAAAATGATGATCTTTGAATTCATGTATTCTTATATCGTCTCATCATCAAAAATTACTTGGGTACCAATTACACCGTCTGCCTTGTTCATAAGGATCCTACAAGATTTAAAGTAACAAATCGCCAATTGTGTAAATATAATTTGAGATGCTGCGAACGGAGAGTGAGTGGGATTCTGAGATTATTAAAAAGTCACGGTTAAGATTATTTCCGGTTACACATATTTTAAAAAGATTATTCAACACAACACCGCCCAAGTATGACTTCTCATGCATAATGTATAATCACCTTAAATATATATCTATATTCTACACGTGTGGGCCAACAAATAGTTTGAAATAGACGAGAGGACGGTAATACTTTTACTTCAATAAGTGGATAAGTTAGTGAGTACATGTCATAAATCATTCCCTAATTAATCAAAGTAGTAGTCCAAAATTGTATAAATGAGAAACATGCCTCTGTCATGGTGGACTGTTGATAGCAAGAGTTACATAAAATTGTCATAAAAAGCAGTTTCAATCGAGATCATTAAATATCAACTGAATTAATTCGCTCACGACACAGTCCAAATTAGCCGAGACTGATTTTCTTTTTTATTACCCCTGGCGATTTCCACATGTTTCGCATGAAAGTAAAATAATTTCCTTTTAAACTGTTGATACATTATAGGCTTTATTTATCCGTTTGTGTCTCCTGTCATATAATATACTTTGGTAGATATATATAGAGCAGGGTAATAAAGTGCCAGGTGAGAGTTTCATCAAGCTATTTTTAAAACTAGTGCAGTATTAATGCAATAACGATGCGATCCTCACATTTCATCCATCTTGATCATGATTTGAATAGAATTGAGCTGCAAGAATTCAGCTACGCGTGCATTGATTATGACGACGATGTTTTTATTAGTGGATCAAAGACAAAGTGGGTTTATATTTTGATAATTATACAGGCTAATAATTTTGTGGAGGAATAAACTTTGCATGAATCGGGTAACAAACAAGTATGCAAAAAGAATGAAATGCAACTTGCGATTCTAAAAGATCGCACGTGAGGGAAATACCACAAAAGACTAATCCTAAGAGTTTACGTTTGGACGCAATTAGTCTATACGGTTCCACATTGTGTCCATTGTGGGTAGTTGGAAACCATGCAATGCCCTAAAATGACATAATTTGTACACAACAAATCACATGCGGCATCTTCATCCTTACAAACACGCGCATTAACTACTTAAACTAACCCACATTTATAAATATCAACCAAGTAAATTAAAGTCAGCAAAAGAGGGGGACTTTCTATTATTCTTCGAGTAACACATGTACAAAATTCATTACATTATTGGGGCAAACGACAAATTAAACTCCGAGGGCTATATTTACGCCAAAGACAATCACAAAAGGATTGAACAATTCACATTATCGAACAAGCAAATCAAGACAGAACTTTTTTTTTGCGACCCATAATCACAAAACAAAAACAACAGCCCGGTTCTGTTGAACCGTTTATTTTTGAGTTGTCTGACAATTCACAACGAAATGCATCTCAACATGATGGATTATTCTTCGATGGATTCCACAAAGAAGCACTTTTTGACGACGTTAAAGTTTAACCACCACAAAATGATACTCGTGTTTGCAACTCTGCATTTGGTTTGCTCTAGTACTGCATGGTTTCTCGAGGAAAAGAATGAAATGGGGATGCGGTGTGAAGAATCTCCGAATGTGGAAAAATCACGGCGAGACTGAATTTTGTTGGGAACCAATGTGAGACCGTAAAAAAGCCTCCTATTATGTTGCATTGTGGATGGGAGATACATATGTACATAGTTAGACGCGAGGAGTGATGATCTGTTTCTTCAGTCAAAAAGAACTTCCGTATAAAATCTCCCAACCGTGTCTTTGACATTCATTAGTTAGATACGAGTCGAAACATACCACGAGAAAAATATAAATACCCATTTCTCAACTACTCCAAAAAAGATCACGTCTCTAATGGCTCACGTTGTTTTTTTCATTAAAATAGTCACCCTGTGTATCTACCATTTTAGCCCAACATTATCCATGTTGTAATATACCTTAAATCAAGTAAAGTTAGCATCGCACCACCAGATAACAAGCACCACCAAAGCTCGATTTTTCCACCCTCCGACCGGTGAAACTTGAGGGGAGGCTCACAGTTAGGAGTGACCTTTACGATCTAAATTACGATCAGTTTAAAATGCAAATGCAAAGAAAAAAAGAGTTTAAAATGCAATAAAATTGTACAACTGGCGGAACAGAAATGCTCAGATGTTCAACATTATTTGTGCTGAGAAAGTAGAACTTCATAATTTGCGACTCGCTATAATATTTTTGCGACATGTGGCAGCCCAACAAAGAAAATGAATGCATGTCACTCAGCGGAGATGTAAATACATAGGTAACGTAACGCGTCTTTCGTAAGCTAAGATATTGATGGTAGGTACATAGAATGGCTTGTAGTGATGCTCCGACTATTTCTACAGAAGCATTAGTTGTTAGTGGCAAGCCGAGACAAATTTGGAATTGCTCTATTCTGTATCAAATGTGGTTTCAGTGAATTTTGTAAGCTGCATTCATCCCATTTTGAATTGAAGAAGGTCTAATTACTCTTAATTGTGTGGTTTTGGTTTGCTTTCCTCTGGCTTAATAATTGAAGTACAGAGATACGTAGATGAGACTCGTGCAAGGCAGAGGAGTATAATTATTATTACTCCCTTTTAGTCATCAAGACAAGATGAGTGCAGAAGCATGATCAAACCAAACTCTATAACGGAATGCAAAGAAAACACCCAAATCTAAAGGCGTCGTATTATAAACATGGCAAACTGTTGCAAAATTTGTTCAGGATGACCAGCAAGATTCACACTGGTTGTCTTGCTGTTTGCTTCCGGTAGGCTGATTTTTTTCATTCTGCAAAACTAGTGTGTTGATCTGAAATTTTGAATCTACTGAATTCCCATAACACTTCGTACTTATTATTTCCCATGGGTAAAATGGTTCTGGTATATACCACATGTCGATAATTTAGTCAAGTATGCCTAAACTTGATAAATTCAATTTACAACATACACCGCCGATGACTATTATTGTCTTTAGAGATTTATGAAATAATAGAATGAATGTACATTGGCTGAATAATTATTTCAAGTATTAATGACGCTTTTGATTGCACACTCTATTCCCGAAAATTATTAATAATGGATTCATATCAAGCACTAAATTGTATCACGATACGCCATGGTTCATATCGTGCATAACTTTCTGGGCTAAGGTCTTTTAAAATGATGCTGTTGTTGGTACGAGAATTTAGTAACAATTAAATAGCCCTGCGTACTATTTAAAAAATTGCCTTCACATTGTTGTAAAAATCATCGAAAGGGATCTTGTTGAGAGTTGACATATGGGCGACCACAAGAGAATGCTGATGCCTTCAGAGTGATAATTATTGAGCGAATTGACAAACAACAAACGTAAAGTGATTTGATTATTGTGATACACACATGACGACTAGACTACCCAGGTGAGTAGACTGCAGTGATATTGTAATGAAGAGATATCATTGTTGTACCAGTAGCTGTAAGGTATCTTGTTCAACAATGATCTAGCTGATTAGACGACAACACGGGGTTTAGTAAATAGGTAAGGGTACGTACATTGAGAAACAGAAGAACTGTAGCAACCTGATTGGAGGTGATTGATGATGAATATTATTATGCTTAGTTTACAGACACCACTTTTTAATGCAAGTAGAGAAGACAGATCACCTATTTTTATGTACGATTCGATGCCAATAAGCTGTGCAGCTCCTTACTTCCACATTTCTTTTCGACAAGTTGAATGGATAGAGTTGTGCAAGCAGGACAAGAAGTGACACTGAGAAACAGCGGTGAACAATAAAATGCCATTATTACTTTAGAGATAAGATCTCTGCGAGTCTGCATGAATGCATGTGCGTTAGTTTTAGCAGTGGGTGTGTCATCTCATTCGTCTAACCTCCTACACTTCACCAATAATCCATTGTCGATTGTGACGGAAAAATTAAATTTGACTAACAATAGAGCAGCAGACCACGAACACATAAGGCTTGCTCATTTCGTTGGACGAAAATTGAAATTGGGGATTGAGAAAAGTTTGTAGTTCACAATTTCTGTAATAAATATATTAATAACACTGCCAATAATAAGACTTTTCGTATTTCATAAACAAGTAGGTCGATTTCCATTGTTGATTTTTCAAAACCATATGCATGCCATATACAACATTCCACACTTGACCAGTTTGCATCTTGGAAATTACACTCTGCATGCAGTCGCGAACTGTGTATGAAAAATAAATTGAGAAAAATTGAAAGAGAGAGATAGAGGCTGCCCACTTGATTCAAGAGATTTTTGTTACTGCTCAGTCACCGCAATGAATTGACGGATAATCAGAGATTAAGAAAAGGAATATAATGCCTCAATTTGGCTACTTATCAATAATACAAGAGCCATTGAGTAAAAAGTATCAAGTCATCAACCTATAAAACGGACAGGTCATGGATGGATGCACGACAAAGAAGCACAATAACTCACAGCCAAAATTGCGATTTCAATTTGTAATCAATTTGAGATTTATGGACAAGATAGTGTGCACTAAGGGTTTTAAGTGCGCATGAAATAGCTGCTTAAGAGGAATCCTACATAGAATCATTTGACAGAAGTAATTTACACGTCCTCTTCCTCTCTCTCTCTTGCAAAATCTATATTTTACATTACCAAATTGTATTATTCTGCAGTGTATAATGAATAGGCTTGCAAACCATTTACTGATACAATTGTGCTGGCTTTTAATTAATTACAATTTCGTAATCAAATATCAAACAAATTGCTCAAAATAAACACTAGATGATGAAAGCTAAATAAATGGCCAAGAATAAATTATATTTCAAGAATAAATTATAGCTTTTGTACGATAACAGCACTACGTATTTAACTATTAGTCTCTTTCCTACTTACTAATAACGTTTCGGACAAAATAAGATTAACAAATTATGATTTTTCTTTCAACAACAGACGATGATCTCAAATTCGCTACCAATATTTCAATGACAACACAAACAAATATGAAACAAAGAATGACATGGAAGAATTCGGGAAGAGTCCTCAACTTGCTTCTCCACGTGCTCACTGCCCTCGTGGGTGTGGCAAGCTCCACCCACGAAGATTGTCCATGGTACCGGAAGGATGAAAGGCTACCCGACCAAATCAAGGCCAACTGCATATGTGCAACAAACCCCTCCTCGGATAACCAACTCAGCATTCAGTGTCACGATATTCATGCCGAAACGCTGGTCTCAATTTTAGTACAGTTTCATGCAGGGACCAAACAACCCTTGGAATTATTGTATTTGAACGGAAGTCGAGTAACCAATGCGGATGGAATGCTATTACCCAGCTTATTCAGAGACCTAAAAATTGTACGTTTTGTCTGATTTGTGGTAGTTATTTGTTCTTTCTTAACACAGTGTTGTACTTTAGGTGAGTTTACAACTGTCTGGATGCAAAATTAGCAGCGTGCACAAGGATTCATTTTCAGGAAGTGAGGAACACTTGAAACATCTCTCACTCTCTCAAAACGAGCTTTCTTCCGTGCCAAGTGAAGCATTAGGAAACCTGAACCGTTTGTCCCTTCTTGACCTCAGCTACAATAAAATTACACGAGTTGCTCAAGGATCCTTCTCAAAACTGAACAAATTGGCAACATTAAAGTTGCACGACAACAATTTAGAATTGCATCCGGCCAGTTTCATCGGACTGGAACGCTCGTTGAGAAACTTGAATCTTAAAGGCATCTACACATTTACGATATAAATATATTTCGGATTTTCTTGATCCATCCATCTTATTTATCGATTCATATATTTTTTACTAGGCACTCGTATCAGTCATATTCCAGAAGCCATCTACAATTTATCGTCACTGGCGTTTTTGGATCTAGCCCAGAATAGGTTACGAGAATTGGAACCTTATCATTTCGTGGGACTGCACTCTCTCACAGCTTTAAATTTGGAGAGAAATCTGCTTCAATCCCTCCCCGAATCTGTATTTGAAGGAATCAATGATACACTAAGCTCATTAAGCCTTCTTAACAACCTTATCACAAATTTTCCGCGTAGTGCTCTAAAAAACCTGCACGAACTACGGGTAAGCATTAAATAAAAGCACTTCTCCTCACCAATACTATTTGAAGACGAAAATATATTACCGTTAATACTAATAATTCTATATTATATATTACAACAGGTTTTGGATTTGGGTTTTAATTTATTGACTGAAGTGCCACGAGATGCATTTCAAGGTCTAAAATCTTTGACGCTACTGGGTATTCATTTTACTGCTTTAATACTATTTTTATGTAACGTGACATCAATATCAATGTATGTATAATGCACTTTCTTTCCAGCTCTTGATGGCAACCCACTTGCCACGCTATCGGAAACCTCATTTGCTCCACTGAACACAACACTACGTGGGATAAGTTTGGGAGGAAGATTTTTAAATTGCGACTGCAGGCTTCAGTGGGTTTTAGAATGGGTTCAGACGTACGATTTGCAAGTGACTTCAAGAGAAAGAAACCCACAATGTGAGTACATTTTAAAAATTAGAGACAATTTGTGTCATCACATTGACAAAAATCTCAAATCTCGTAAAAATTCCTTATTATGTATATTTTTTTATTCCACAGTTTGTGGATCTCCAACATCATTGCGATCACTAAACTTTTACCAAATTCAACCAGAAGGTACATACTTTTCTACTGCAACACATTGTAATATGATGTACATATATACATATGTATGCATACAATACATAACATGTAAATGCTTATACTTCACAGATTTGGCCTGTCCTAAAAATGAGACCATCAAAAATGATTATGATGTAAATCTTTCACCCGAAGATATGGCCCTTCTGGGAATGGGTTCATCTTCCGTGTACGCGTCAAGTACCAATAAGGAGGAAGGAGGAGGCAGCAGCAGTGCATTAGAAGATTCGAGTGAGCAAGAGACAGAGGAGAATAGAACGACTTTCACCCTGGAGGCCCCTGTTCCCCCCGTCACGCAACAAGAGCGAAATGGGAGCGTTTCTAAATTCAAACCCCGACGACCTCGTCCCATAACCAAATTCACAAAGGCGATTAGCAGCACCACACCTTCTACTACTTCTACTACGCCAGAGGAAATCTCGAAGCATGACTCTGGTTCCGGAGAGGAAAACAATTCAAAGAAGCAAGTTTCGTCTTTGGAGACGGATTTCGTAGGACTCAACATATCCAACATTGCTAAGCAGAGTCCAATTAAAAAAATCATTAACAATGAACGCTTGAGCTCACAAATACGTCAAAATGGATCAACAACCCCTCCTCCATTAATTCTAACAACAACAACAACAAGCACACATTTTACAACTCATAAGACTCCAGTCAGAAATCCACCAATCCGTCCGAACTCTGTAAGACATCGAATCACGCCGAAAACGGTGCCAACCACAACGACCATCACCACTACGACTATGAGTACTTCAAGTAAGACCTTGCCCCCCGAATACGACAATAATTCACAATATCAAACAACTTCGTCATCATCGTCCACAACAACAACAACGTCATCAACAATTTCTCCAGGATCTCCTCAGCGACCTCATACTTCAAAGACCACAATAATAGATGCAGCTGAAATTGATGATTCAAAAATTCCCGTAATTTCTGGAATTGGTTCTGCAGTTTCGAGTCCAAACTTACATACGGGTAGTATAATGTCCGTGAAGCAACCACTCCCAGTACAAACTCATAACCAGAACGTCAATGTTTTGCCAAAATCAATGCTGGAAACTCATCATCAAGGAGGAAATCGACTCCCACCCCCGCACCCTAACCTCATTTTTGCAGACAAGTCAGAAATTGTTGTACAAGAAATAGTTCGCAACGGGGACTCTGTAACGCTACACTGGGAAAGTTCCAAACAAGCTGTCGGCTTTCGGATAATTTACCGATTGTTCGGAGAGGACTCATTTCGACACGGACCTCCACTTGCTTCCACTGAGACGGAATACCGCATAAAAAATATTCCCAACAATGTAGGTTTTAAACAAGACGATCTACTGAAGCTGATCATTGTAGAAAATATATATAGGTACATAGGTGTATTTTGAATAATTTCATATGTATTTGTTACACGTTTATAGGAATGCATGGTAGTTTGTGTGGTCCCCTATGAAGAAATATTGTACAACGAGATCAGTCCAAGTGCTGCAAGCGTCCCTCCAGGAAGTCAATGCAGAGAAGTCAAACCAACCTCGCCATCTGCACTAATGAACCACATGGACAAAATTACAATTGGTACATATGCACAGTTATATCAACGTTTTTTGAGCTGCGTCTAATAATTTTAATCGTGAAATATGTAGGAGCAAGTGCAGCAATATGTGTAACAGTGTTAATAGGTGAGTAACGTTGGATTTAGGTAATTAAGCAATATATAATGGAGAGTTCAAATTGCAGCGGTCCTCATATTTATCGGAATTACCAGACGGGCCAAAAGCAAACAACGTCCCCCATCAACGTCAACACTACTTGCCAAGGTTTGTACCTAACGTTGCAAAAAATGAAATACTAAAAATCATATATGTGCTATTTTGTACTCTCATATGACAACATCAGCTTCCACCAACATCATTTATGACCCCAACGCCAGGACCAAACATGGTCCAAACTTCTGGAGGGGCATACGGAATGGCGAAAGATTGGGATGCAATGTCAGTTGTGTCTACGAAAAGCATTCCGAGGGCGAGGATGTACCATGGAAGTATGGATGGGCTGGCAAACCCATCCATGAAAACTGCAACGTTGAATCCTCATTTTACTCGAGGTGGGCCTGATGGCTTATCCACCACCCATCGAAGCTTTTCCGCCGCACACCACCATCATCACAGCAACAATATTGGACACCATAATCACGGTTATCATCACCAGCATCGCCAAGTGGGGAATGTTCACACACATGGCAGCGCAGCGTCGGCAGTTAATAATTATCTCAACAACCAAAACCGCCTGCTTAGAACAAGTCTGGGGTCTAGAGCGTCGTACGACGCCCTCAATAAATTGGCGACAATTCGGCATAGTCATCATCAATTTGAGCATAATCGACGAAAACGTTCATCCAGGCTAAACCAAAGTGAATCTTTAAATACGCTCAACGGGTATGAAACCCCGGACAATTGGACAGACCATGACCATGACCATGAATTTTATGTGGCAAGAAATCATACCCGTCATGATTTAGTTCAATTATGACACCTTAAGTAGAACTAATTACATGGTCCTCAGCTTTAAATGTGTTAGAATTTGTGTATATTTGTGTAAATTTGTGTAAAGACAAACCTGTCCATCTCGTCGTATGTAGATATATGAATATTAAGAAATAATTACGAGAAAAATAAATTAAATAAAACTAGGCTACTATTATATTATAAAGGTTTGACTAATTTGTAAAATCTGCATTTCGAACTAAAATACATTTATTATTCTTACCCGCATATGAGCTTGCAATTATCAACACGGTATCGGAGTTCCAAAATAAGTTCAGCCCAAACGTGACAAACAGCACTAGGTGAGCCTTGTTCTCCATAAGCAAGGAGATATCCCATTATCAGAGAAATTCGCCACACTAAACTTCCCACTGGGGCTGATTTTACTCCACCCAACGAGTCCTGCACATCACAGGGGGAAGGTGTAGAATTATTATAAACAAGTAATACGACAATACGGTTTGTGTATCATTGCTAGTGTTTTCTTACAATAATGTTATTGACATACTCTTTTCTGAATTTGTGAGTATCTTGAAACGATGTTTTGGAATAAGGGTATTGCGAATCTCTCTTGGCATCTGGGAATAGAAATTCCATTACCAGATCCATATGCGCTTTATTCAATGGAGCCAAGTCTTCGTAAGCGTTTGGATCAGTATTGTAATACGCCCTACGTCGTCGGTTAGTGGAACCGATGACTTGATTGATGCCCGCAACATGAAGAGAAACTTGATTTTTGGTGATTTTTTCCAGTGCAGAGGAAAAATCTTGGGAATCTAAAAACAGATTGCAAATAAACAGTTTCTGTAAAAGTGGAAAAGTAAACTAAGTAACTTGAAATATATGTGAGTGGGCACCATTTTGCGGATCAATTGGTTTTCCTAAAACTTGCTCTACAGTCCTTCTATCATTTTTTAATTTCCATATTCCATCTACTAACTCGAACAATCGAAACTCTGCATTCGGATCGGATTTAATGGAAAAGTACCATTCTTGTGCGTTTTCAGGTTCCAAATCTGAATAGCTGGACGAATCAACTACAACGTCTTCAGCTAAAAGACAAGAAATATTATAATAGAAATATTACACATCGGGGTCAGTCCAAGTTAAGTTTTATAACCTAAGCTCGGCCATCCAGCAACAAGATCCATACTACAGAAAGGGTCATCCAACGATCCAAACGGCAGAATATGCGTATGAGCACAAAACTGACTCCAGGCGGAAGGTTTATCGCTGTCAGTATCAGCTTTGTCACAATTATCCAATAATTTTGTGTCTGTGTGGCGTAGAATTTCAAAGAGTTCTGGCGGATAAGAGTCAAAATTGATTTCTGGAGGCCAACTATTTATTTTGTAAAAGAAATGTGCTGATATTCCAATCGGACAAGGAAGGTTAGACCCAATTTTCGATTTCAGTATATCAAGGAGACCAGATAAATGGGTTGGAAGGGCAGGATTTGGTGGCTGAAGCATGACCATTTGAAATGAAGTACGGAGTCCACAGGATTCAGCGATTCCACAAAAATAATTCTGACTCCAGTGATGGAATTGGACAAAAACAGGAAAATTGCTAATATAAAGCATACAACAATTAGGATGGTCGGGTATTAATTTCATATTGGTCGATGCATCTAGTTTTCATAGCATAACATACCAATTCGTATTGTTGATTGCGATACAGGCCGAACTTAACAAGACTTTTAACCTGGACTCTTGTGAGACTGCCTCAATCCCAGCTGAAGATAACACAGCAAATTCCAGGACACTGAAATACTCGGAAACGATATGTGGAGCATATTTCGGAGGAAACTCAGGATCGTGTCTCGTAAGTGATGATAGAAAGCCTGGAACCTGAGATTCTTCGTCACCAATTTTCTTATTTCCATGTCTCAATTCCTGAGTAGAAGGTACATCTTCGGATGCCACGGCAGAATTTGAACGGTAGTATGAAAATTTGAAGGGAAAATCTACAGAACATAAATTAAATTAGAACCAACAAGGGGTTTGAGAGGATAATTAAGGCTATAATTTTATCGATTGAGTAACTCAATTTGAGTTACATTTATTTAAATATATATATAAGCTTATAATCTACCTGCAAATGTAAGTTTTTCATGTATCACAACCCAACCGTTGGTCACGTTGACGTCGTCATCGACAGGTTTCGCCATGCATTCGCTCAACAGCTGCTCCAATTTTGCAGTAAATGATTCCCATTCTGAAGCTATTGATAAATTCACAATTACCAGTTCTACTTATTAAATTTTAGATTACAGATTGTAGTATAATACATTAAAACTCTCACCAGTGGTAAAGTCTTCAAAGTGGTCATCCTGAAATTAAATCAATATGTAAATTCGATGGGTGCTAAATTAGCACTGCTAATTAAGTTCCAAACAGTAATGTGAATAGATAGTAAATTAAATACCTCCATTTTCCACGCCTCTAGTTCTGATTTCGAACTTCAGAATAAAACTATTTCAATTTCAGATGATCTTTGACTTGGGAATGATGCAATTCTAAATGGGGCTGAACTCCAGGGAGAGCAGGTAACAAGATCAATCCACGCTCAAATTAGTTATCGCTGCATTATTTAGTAGAACAAATGATGAATGAGACTCGAAAATCGAAAGTCATATTTCCTTATGTGCAGATTGGAAATAAACATGTGGCGGGCCTCAGCGCCTAGCACCTCAGGCCACAGCACCTAGCGCCTACCTAGTTGGCCACAGCGCCTAGCCCCTAAATAAGTGGGCCACAGCGCCTAACGCCTAAATATGTAGGCCGTAGCGCCTAGCGCCTACTAAGCTGGCCACAGCGCCTACACTCAGCGCCTATGGGGTAAATTGAGAAAGTCAGAGAAACATCAATACGAGACTGGCAAAATTATAGAAAATGTCATATATAGCTGAAATACGGGGATGAATTTTTTGGGGTAAAGTTAGATGTCTGGGGTAAGCTGAGATTTCTAGTTTCTAGCTACTACTAGCTAGCTCTCCTAGCTAGTTCTTCTAGCTAGCTCTCCTAGCTAGTTCTTCTAGCTAGCTCTCCTAGCTAGTTCTTCTAGCTAGCTCTCCTAGCTAGTTCTTCTACCTAGCTCTCCTAGCTAGTTCTTCTAGTGAGCTCTCTTAGCTAGGGTGCAAGTTAACCATTTCCGCCTACTTAGTAAAACCTAACCTGCTCGCTTCGCTCGCTTAACTACGAACAGTACCCCAATACGGGGCATAGCTATAATAAACTTTGATATACTTTATCCCAGAGTCCTAACAATTTTCCGATTTTTTGAAAAACGATTGGAATTCGATATTCTACAAAAAGAAACTAGAATTCTCGTCTTTCCCCAAGATTTTCCATATTTCAGCTATATATGACATTTTCTATAATTTTGCCAGTCTCGTATTTATGTTTCGGAATACAAGCAAAACGATCCCTCTCCAATGGGGGAATGTGATACACAAATGTAGGGTTTTTCACGCTGAGCAAAAAGATAAAAAATTTTTTACCGGCAAATGTATATTAAGGTCACAAGAAGAGGTCAAAGTTAAAAATTTTTACTGAATTTTTGGACGTTTCAGAGAATTCCAAGACTTTGTCTCACTTTCCCCCATGGCGGGAATTTTTTTGGGGTGACATGATATTTCAATGGTCTAGCTAGGACTGCCAGCTAGGATTGCCAGCTAGGACTGCTAGCTAGAACTGCAACGCTTTCCGCGTACCTAGTTTAACTAACCTAACCTGCTCGCTTCGCTCGCCTAACTACGAACAATTCCCCAATATGGGGCATAATTACGATAATAGTTGACACTCTTCCCCATTATTCTAGCAATGTCCAATAAATTTGCCTCTTTGCGGCAAAATAATTTGCGTTCAATATTCTACGACAAAAACTATAAGTGTTATCTTGCCTTAAGGATCTCATGTCACCCCAAAAAATTTCCCGCCGAGGGGGAAAGTGAGACAACTTGAAACTTCCAAAAATGCATAAAAAATCTTGACTTATTGTGACCTTACATTTGCCGGTCAAAACATTTATATTTTCGTGATCAGCATGAAAACCCCAACATTTTGGTGTATCACATTCCCCCATCGGAGAGGGGTCCTTTCCCTTGTTTTATACCGATGTTTCTCTGACTATCTCAGTTTACCCCATAGGCGCTGAGTGTAGGCGCTGTGGCCTACTTGGTAGGCGCTAGGCGCTACGGCCCACTTATTTAGGCGTTAGGCACTGTGGCCAACTAAGTAGGCGCTAGGTGCTGTGGCCTGAGGTGCTAGGCGCTGAGGCCAACGTCATGAAATAAACAAATCTGTTTTTTACAATCCCTTGATCTCGTGCAAAGTCGATGGGGCAGTAAGATTTTTCGTGTGTTTTTATTAATTGTGCTCTGTTAGCACAATTCCTGCTAACAGAACCCAGATTATTAGTCAGTCTATTTCAAACTATTTTTATTGCAAAAATGAACCAGCAATATAAATGTCAACTCATACAACAGTTTCATATTTTCACGTACTAACACTAACTACGACATGGCCTTATTATATGTTATGTCTTCAAATTCTATAGGGAACGGGTGTTGAAAAATGTCAGTCGAAAGCTAATGAGATTTACATTCCACCAGACATTCGTTTCATCATTTCTTCATCCTGAGTCAGGATCAGATCAAATCAATTTAGAGGAGCTGTGTGTGTTGGGCGATATAGGAAAGTCGTATTCCCCGATTTTTGGTGCTTTCTAAGCAAAAACCGGAATTTGGTGCCTCGTTTCTCACTTTTTGGCAATGTATGCTGAAATGACGAAATTCACATACAATACATACATATGAGTGTAAAAGTTAATTATTTTCGTGAAATGTAAATTTATTGACCATAAATATTTTTAAGGTAAAATTGCAGTTCAGTGGACTAGGTCGAATTTGGCAGAAAATTTTTGTGTGAATACCCCAAGGTCCCCTGAGCATAAAAAAAATTTTTTTATGCTCACGAAAAATAATATTTCTAGATATTTTTTGAAAATTTATATAAAAAAATTATTTTTGCGTCAGATTTTCATGAAAATGGTTTTCTAGACTTATTAAACATGCTGAACAAAAATCTGAAAGAATTTTTGAAAAAGATTTAAACATTTCTTGGACGTTTCAGAGAATTCCAAGACACTTTCCCACACCGTAGGCATTTTTGGGGTAAAATCGGATTACCGGGGTAAGATGAGATTTCTAGTTTCCAGCTTTCCTAGCTAGCACTACTAACTAGCTCTCCTAGTTAGCACTTTCCTTTTGAAAAATTCTTTCAGATTCTTGTTCAGCATAGTTTAATAAGTATAGAAAACCATTAAACCATTTTCATGAAAATCTGACGCAAAAATAATTTTTTTATATAAATTTTCAAAAAATATCTAGAAATATTATTTTTCGAGACCGCCGCGAAAAAAAATTTTTTTATGCTCAGGGGACCTTGGGGTATTCACACAAAAATTTTCAGCCAAATTCGACCTAGTCCACTGAACTGCAATTTTACCTTAAAAATATTTATGGTCAATAAATTTACATTTCACGAAAATAATTAACTTTTACACTCATATGTATGTGAATTTCGTCATTTCAGCATACATACATTGCCAAAAAGTGAGAAACGAGGCACCAAATTCCGGTTTTTGTTTAGAAAGCACCAAAAATCGGGGAATACGACTTCCTATATCGCCCAACACACACAGCTCCAGGACCTGAACGGTTAAACTAGTTAATTTTCGGCCTACACGATCGTGAATTTCTATTATAAAAAGAATAAATCACTAAACCGAACAATTTTATAATTTGAAAGTATTATTAAAAGTGTCACCGAGGAATTTTGCGACGCATCGATCTAAACACACAGCTTCTCCCTTTGAAACGTCAGGCTCTGAATATTTCTTGCTGATGCACTTATCATGACAGACTAGCATCATTCGGTTGTACATGTCGCTCATCATCTCCACTTCCAGATCCTGCATAAACTTTAACTTGTCCATTTCTGACGTCTTGGCCATTTTTTTGCTGTTCTGTTATATGGAAAAATAAGTAATATTTTAAATATTACTTATTTAATACTGAAAGAATTCTAATAAAATATATTATATCATTCTATACCTCTTATACTTCAAGTACAGAAAAAGTAGTTGTTAGTTATTTCTGAAAGCAGTTAAGTCTCAAGTTTTTTGAAAATTTCTATCGTTTGTTTTTTCGTAGTCACCAACGTTGGAATTCAACATGCGCTCCCTAAAATTAAGTAATCATTTAATTAACAATTAATAATAATTTCAACATATCTTATAAATCATTCCGAGTCATTTCTAATACCGTGACCGAAGATTTTCAACTCGCTGTTTATCAATCTGATTTTTGGCCAATACAAATCCGTATAATCCAGCAAAGGTCACGATCGCCCTGCAAGTTGCAACATTAAATAGTAGAACATTGTGTTATTGTGTTTAACGTACAATAAAAACTTTGATTCTTTAGCTGCACTGAAGATGGGTAAAATTAATTAGTGAATGATAAGAATAAGAAAAGAGGAAATTTAAGTCATACCAGCCGATGTTGGTTTTTCCTATTTTACCAATGTAGAACGGAAGTTTCATTTAGAATTTAGGTAATGGATTTATGAACACGTGTGCGTCATTCAATGTAGTTTTGCTGTGCAAAAAGTCTAAAAACAAAGCTCAAATTATTGCTTTATATCAACAAGCTCAAACGTAAATGACACCACCACTTACCTTCAAAGGGATGATTTATAAGTCATTAACTTACTTCATAATTTAAAATCGATACAATCTTCGAAAAGATAGAACACTTTTTTTCAGAATCATGAGGTGAGGTGTGAGTGCCGAAAGTTTCCCACGCAAAATGCATGACTTGAGTATGTAAGAATGAGACATAAATAAATGTAGTTCTTTCTATTTAACAAATTGGAACACTTTATTATTTATTTGTCACACAAAGAATTACTGGCTAACTTTAATATGGAGCTAGTGTCTAGGCCAATTAAAATTAGAAACATAAGAGACGAATTTACTTGAACATTGTACTAAACGCGTAATAATGATGTAAGAAAACAGTTTATCATATCGTATCATATCTAGAAATATAAAATACAACTGTACGAGAAAAGTGAGGACAGAAAACCACCAACAACTGTAGACAGCCCATAATGACAATGAAACAATAAGACAAAAAGCCACTTCCTTTCTCCGTAGTACTAATATTTAACACGAATTGCTCATAATCAATTTGTTGTTAACGCCGCTTATCTCGTGACCTGTCTCGCCGGCGTTTGTCCCGTGATCGTGAACGAGATCGACGACGTTGCTTTGGTGGTGGCGTATTGGAACGACTTCTACGACCACCTCCGATGGCTCCACCCCTTCGTCGACTGTAAAGATAACGACGAAGTTCCTGCAAAAACACAATTTACGCCTTAGGTTGATCAGTTAGTCTGTTTGTTGGGCAAAAAATTAGTAAATGCAACTTGCATTATGCAAGACGGAATTTCAACTTACACGAGATATTGGTTTCAAATGCATAAAGTTGCAAAATCCTGAACGCGTACACTCTCCAACTTCGTACTGTCGACAACACGCTTCTCGAAAATCAGTTACGGGGCTCAGCTCCGCATAAATAGGGCGTCCTCCAAACCACCGGTTATTCAAATCGGTAACGGCCTTTTCTGCATCTTCCTCACGGCGAAACTACATAAACGAGGGTTTTAAAGTCATACAAATTTAATATGTGTGAAATAGATTTATTTATTACCTTAATGTAGACATTTCCAACCAGATGATCGCCCAAGTTGTCGCAAACATTCATTTCTTCAATCTCCCCGTACTGTACAAATAAAGTTTAGTTAAAATACTAAACCAAAATTTATAAATATATACGTGTTACCTTATCTTCACATTCGACGAATACGTCTTCAAAAAAATTGTCGTAATGTTCCTGCATTTCTTCATCGCTCACTTGGTTCATTTGGAACACTACTGACAAATTTATTTGATTAGCTTATCAGCAGGGTTTAGAAAACAACCATGTAATATTTAATGCCTTACCATCAGCGCTTTTTGTAGAGTTTTGAGGATTCACGTATAAATTCTGGAGAACAATAGTTTGACTGAATGTTGGTTTATTATGGATTCGAGAACAGCGATCTCTGGAAGTTCAATTAAATTTTTAGAGATTAATTAATTTATGATTTAAAACTCCGTCTTGTTTTAAAGTGGAATTTAAAAAATAAAAAATTAAGTAATTGTTACCCGTGTCGACATGCTCCAATTTTAAAGTAGAATGAACAATTGACTCTGAAATACAAATAAGCCAATGTACAATTTTTTAATTATCTAGGATGCGTATGCGTAAATTGTTACAATATTACTCATTAATAAATAAACTTATTCTAAATTAAATTAAATTTTTATTTTACTTGTCCTTTTCCGTCCCAAAAATGGATGCCAAATATTCTGCCATTCTGTCGAATTCGGCAAGGTGGCCTCAATGTGAACAACTCTTTAATTACGATAATTTAAATAAGAGATTTAATTAATTAATTTGTGTTTCTTGCTCAGCAGTCGGGTCGGTCGGTCAGTCAAGCAGGCAGACGACGCAAACATTTTTTGAGGGTTTGTTTGTTGCTGCCAGCTTTATTAGACGAGTCTCATCTCGCCTCTCACACTTTCTAACTGCTTCATCGCTGTTGATGTTGATGTTTGATGCCTGCCAAAACCGTTTCCAAAAATCTGTTTCATTCGTGTTTGTTATTTACGTTATTTATTGCATTACTGTTGCATTTGTTTTAATAATTAGTTGCACTTAATCAGTAATTAACATTGCCTAGTAGGATTAGTTAGCATAGGCGTTTGTATATCGGAAAAGCTACATGTCTTATCACACGTGAAGAAAATTTTACTTTGATATTAGACATCGACTGATTGCTGCGCTGATTGACTAATAGTCAATGACTATACTATTTTTAATAGCACTAGGATGGTCACCATTAGATGGTGTGACTATTATTTTTAATTATCCTTGACTTATGATGTATTAATCGATATAATCTTAGGATTCGGGACCAGTACATGAAGCGTTAATTATTCGACGGTATGTACATGTTATGCTTGACCCTAGCGGAAGTCTGGACACTGCTGTGACCATAAAGGTCAGTCTGGGTAGCAATGTGGTGTCCTACACCAAGTGTAAAACCCAATGCGCCATCAAGCAGGAAGATGTAAGAATTCTTTTTATACCAACTACAACCTAAATACCTTTTTATTATACTTTATTTTTGTAATTCATTAATATATATTGAATTTAGTGTTTATGACTGGCGTCATGAAAGTGTTCCAAGAAGACTTTTTCCCAAACCTCCCCCTCCACCGGTACTTTTCTGGCTTTTCTGTGCTATTCTTAGGAATCTCGAATTTTTGGTTTTAAAATATGGTATTCTGCCAATTTACAATTGAAGCAATGGAACTGGGGACCAATTGACGTCATTCTGGAATCTGAAAATTCTGATCGCGAGAGTATAGAGAAGGAAATAGCAGACGACGACGAGGATGTAGAAGAAATGTCTTCGTATAGGTAAATTGTTTATAATTGCAAATACCAATATCCGAGTAAGAGTATAATCTTGGGGCTGGCTGTGTAATGTTCGTTTTCTTGTAAAATACAGCCAATTTGCAGTTGATCATAGCAAAGGTGGAGCAACGATATTAGAGTACAATCACGGACAGGCAGAACAAAATCAGGATAGTAAGAGCAGGATGCATTCGCTCACATATTATGTTACTGCGATGCATCAACTTAAATATATGCAAATGTTTTTCGTATAGAAAAGTTTTTTGTCAACCCTTTCTATTCATCCAAAAATGAGAGTTCTTCTGACCCGTTGCATAAATCGAATCTCGAAGACGATTTTTCTTCTGCGCCGCCATTAACTGATTCTCCAGGATCGTTACCAACATGTGTATCAGCAGATGATATTGCGCTTAAGAGTGAGAAAAATTTCTTAGAATTCTATAAACTCATTCTAAGGAATAAACTGTTCCTTTATGTGATGTGTAGATGAAATTGTAAAGCCAGAGCTGAAATACCCCAAAAACAGTATTATGCCAAGAAATGGAATGAAACGCAGGAAAATCGCTCCACAAGAACCTTGTGACTTAATTATTGGACAGAAATTAACCACAGTTAGAACATGTTCGAGTATATACGCTAAACCTTTGACTAAATCGAAACGAGAGGTAACCAGAGATCCGTGATTAATTAATCGTGATTAACGGATTAAGGATTGGGATTAAGGATTAATAATCCTTAATGCTTAATCCCAACAAAAAAATGTGTGAAATCAATCCTTAATCCCGACGAAATATTTTTGCTCCATTAATCCTTAATGCTTAATCCCGACGAAGCATGCCCAAATTATTAATCCTTAATCGTGATTAGGATTAATTCTCACGAGAGATTAATACTGCGAATGAGCAAGGTAACAGTTATTCTCAACCATGTGATATTTTTCCATTCTTTCTACTTTCCTCTCCTGAAATTATCTAGCATGCATTATATTTTTTAACTTTATATTGTTGCTTCCATAAAAGTACTGATTCAATCGTTAATCATGGCGAACAGGAATCTAACTGAACTGAAAGGTTTGCCATTCGTTTTGACCGGCACATTTTTTGATGTCGAAGAACTTGACAAGTCTTGTGGCTCTGTAAAGGCCAGGGGCATAGCTTGTGCACCAAAACTTGCCGTAATTGGCGGGGATATTATTCCAACATTGATTTTTATTACGTACTTAACGCAACACTACTATATATTGCACGTTTTGTAAGTATTTGAGATTTGACACATTAATATCGCTGTGTCGATAATTCTGTGCAGGAAAATAAAAATTATATTAATCCTTAATCATGAATTAATCAGGATTAATTAATCCTTAATCCTTAATCCCGAATTCAAAAGCATTGTGAATTAATCCTTAATCCTTAATCCCAGCAAATTGAATTATTTAATTAATCCTGGACTAATCTAATCCCGGAATAACATTAATCCTTAATCCTTAATCCCACAAAAAAATTCATTAATCACGGATCTCTGGAGGTAACTGATAACTGATAATTAAGTAAAGATGAACTAAATAAATTCTCGAGTATGTTATTAGCCTGCACACACTAATTTATTTTTATTAGCTTCGAAAGAGATTTCAATCAAATTGTTATCTAAATAGAAGTCTGTGGCAACAATCATGCTGCGCTCATACCAATCTCTTTGTCGATACCATGCTTTAATTTGGGGGTTTGATATGTTGGCGTAGCCTCGTATTCCAAAATCTGAAGGATACGATAATATATCTTCAAGCCTAAACGTTAAATGGGCCATAGACGCCAAAATTGACCTTTGCATCCTCGTTCAGAATTGGAGCGGCTAAGAAATTTTTCCAATTCATGGATATTATTTGAATCTCCCCATGCCTAAAAATACATAACAATCATGCAGAATTAAATTATAAATTATGTGACATGTAAGAAATCTCGTAACGGTGTAACACTTATATTATACGTACCTGATCCACATTTGACCACAAAAAGTTATTGTTTGCAACACTTGTACCGTCCGCATATCCAAGAATTATAGTTTTCCCTAGTTTCCACAAGTCATTTGGTGTTACTCTACTAGTTAAAGATTTGGGAGCCAAAAACGCACCCAATTCTTTATCAATCAGTTTCACAAAAACCTCATGCACTTTATTATCGTTGAAACCCACGGGAAACCGGTGAAAGTCGAGGAATACTATTCGCTCGTTTCTTGCACAAATTGTTTTACATCTTGAAGAATTTCATTCATTGGACGAACTCTGAATTCACCATGATTGACCCAAAACTTTTCTTTTGTTTCCGGGTAATATGCTGCCCGTATGTCAAGATATCGAATACCATGTATCAACTGTTGGTAAATTGAATCGTCCTGGCTATACATGAAATACGAAGACTTTAAAAATTTACAATTGACTCTGTTATAAGCATGTAAGCATATTTTGTACCAGATGATATAGTTTAGAAGAACATTATCCGACGACTTCTTCCCCAGGTAGGCACTCCATGCACCCGAATTATGAGTTCCTGCCAACATAATGGAATGCAAAGGAACATCTTTTATAACATCTTTTATGTCGTTCATCCATGTTGGGTAAATTCTGAAGCAACTGCTTTGCACAATTTTATCATTGATACAGTATGCAATCCAATAGTTGGTGCATTTTAGTGAGTGTGATGTCAAATTGTGTCTTCTATAGCGGATTGGCGTCACACTCTGTCTCGTTGTGGAGAAAAATTGTTAGCAAAAAAAGTCGTGTAAAGAGCTGATACTTTCAGGACTTGTGCCAATAATGAGTTTGGATCCTTGTCGTATAACGCTACAAAGCTGTTGGATTCTCGTTTCAGACCGTACCAATTCAGTACAACTTTCCGGTCAAGTAAAGTACTGTTATCGTTCCCATGATCTTCATACCCAGCTAAGGATGACACCGTTAAAAATACTTTCGGCTCCTGAAATAATTCTGCAATATGTACATATATTCTATGTGTCATCATGGTCATCTAAATGCTGCAAACATTCTAATAGTTATATAACGTACCTTTAAAGTGGCGTCCGTGTTCGAGTGTTGGGGAAGCATTCACAGTGGTAGTTATTATGAGGCCCACCAGCCAAGTATGCAAAAAGGAAATACCACGCAAATATTTTGACACCATTATTACTAACCACAATAATATTTATTAGTTTATTAATCAACACCATTTAATGCGTGTCAATTATTAGCTGTACCTTGAATGAATGTGAAAACTCACCCATGAGGACATATGATAATGAACGAAGAATGTGCTAAGTGAAGCTGTCAAGGAAAACATGCTGATTTTTTTACGACATTAAACATGTTTGATGTAGGCATTAATAGTGATGACTATAGTTTGACGAAAGGCTTCACAAATCAAGGTCAGATTATTGTTATACAATTAATAAAATCAATAAGACAAGGATATTCTTATTCAAATTCAACTAAATTAAGGACAAATGAGATCTACAATTTTATATGTATAAAATCAATCCCACCACTGTCATTGGGATAATGAAATAATTCATTCATTAATTAATATAATCAATGTTAGTTTATCAAGAGCCAAAAGTCAAGATATAAGCAAGATCGAATAAATATTAGCTAAAGAAATGTAACAATAATGTAACTTTTACTTTCTAGTTACAATTTTTAAAAATTCAATAGCTTGATTTGCAGCGCCTTTTCGAGCTTGAGTTTTGCTACTCCCTGTAGAAAAAAAGATTGCAATAGGTTCTATTCCAATCGACAAGATCGATGTCGTTTCTTCTGACGACTCGCCCCCTCTTGCAGACTTGTCAATGTCCATGTACTCGACTTTGAACTTTTGTTCATCAGCAATTTCTTTTAGTAGTTTAGTAGGATCACTCGTAGTTTTAGTGGTCTCCTATAATAAAATGAAGTATATATGCTTTTCACAATTTTTATAAATGTATAATTTTAGCACACATGAACTTATTTTCTTACATTCAAGGATGTCAACTTTTCTCCAGATCGTTCCCGAAAATCGGCGATCCACTGACTCAAGTTAAAAGTGTCTTTGGTTTTTGATGATTTGCTCTTTGGCAGGGTGAGGGCTTGTATTTTTTCAATTATACATCCATCTTTACCGTCTTGTTCTTGGTCGGGCGAGGACAACAAGAGTTCAGTCAGACGTTTAGTAACTTTCTTTGCAGCAACTTTTTTTGCCTGTCTCTTGGTACGCCCTGAAAACGAAGACATTTACTTTTTTCGTTCAAAATGAACTTTAGTATTCAACAATTTTACCTCGACCCTGTTCCATGATTTGAGTTCCTAATTTACATGCCACCGTATGCACACTCTCATGTGGCTTTCCTTTCGTCTCGATGTCTTCATATTCTGGTGGCATACGCTTAATTTTTAAGCACAAGTCATTCAGCTCTCCAACTGGGTTCCCCTCTACTATAAATTAAAACGATTTGGTCAGCGAGATTACTATATTGAACATTAATTACAAATGCATCATGAATAATATTAAACCGTAAAATACCATCAGAATCACAATCCAATGCTGTTCCTGATTTTTGACAGTCAAGTTCATCAGTAGAAGATTTAGTAGGGATTAAAAGTTTCTCGACTTTTTCATCCATGGACATCAATAGTGATTTTGCGGCTTCTTGTCGGGCATCTTTTTTTGCCCGTGCTTTTCCCTTTCCTTTGTACATACAAGTGTGCATAATAAAATTGTACGTAATGTATGAAAAGAAGTAGAATACTACCTTCCAAAGCTAAACCATGCATGTGAAATGTCACGAGACATTCAAAAACCCGATCATGCGGTGGTCCACTTTCCGACGTTTCAAACTGGGGGGTGATTTTTGCCTTTGCACAAACCTCGTTAAGCAGAGACACTGGTGTCTTCAACTGATCCATCCGTCGATTACTTTTTCCTTCAGAAGGATCAGAAGAAATTTGGGATTTCATCATTAATTGTTCCGACGTCGACAATGGAGAGTTGGCCTTGTATCCCAATTGCTGCGGACGAGTATAAACTGGTGAGTGCAAAGTATGACTCATTACGATGGAGTTTATCTATTAAAACCACATCATATGACAATATTTATAATTCTTTATACTCATCACTCTGATCTTAATATATGTAATTATTCACACAACCTCTGAGCCTAAAGTTGTCGAGTATCCTCCATGACTTGACTGTTGCGTGGGGTACGTGAAGCTGGAACTCGTGGGGGTGGCATTATGGGAGTGCATCTTGAATATGACTATAGAGCGTAAAAAAAGACTATTTTATTAATAAATAGAAACTCGATTTGTTATAGTCGAAATGTTGGCGTAACTTTTTGCCAATGGGGCCTCTAAATTCTAGGCAGTGTCCTAGAATTTACATGTAAATTACATGTAATTTTAAACGCGTATTGAAACTATTACAATTGAAAATATTGTTGAGATTGATTTAAAATGCAATTATATTAATAGTGTTTCGTTTAAAAATATAACTACTTTGTACGTATTAAATACACACGTATTGACACATTCATAAATTGTCCAGCGGAAGTTCTGCTACATAACTTACCTGTCGTCCTGTATTTTGATACAAAGCTGTGATAAAGCACATAAACTGTGTGTCGTCGCAGTCTATCTACCTACAAAGCAATGTATAAATTACTCGGGAGCCGAATTAAAATTTTAGAACAGTCAACCGATCATTCCGATTTCTCGAACTTCCCTCAGATTGCAGATTTGACGTCTGTGTACGATTGCTTTGCCCCATCTTCCAAATCACTTCATCATTACGGGGCCGGGATTACTCTTTACACTATCAAATCCATCGAGTTGAATTTATTGAAGAACGTGGAAAAATTACAAATAATTGAAATTTACTAATTTTATGATCAGACATCCCTGTGGTTTTCCGGGTAATTGTCTAATTTCATTTTGAAAAATTGCTAATTGTAATTTACTAATTTTAGTATTTATTATTGGCCAAGTTCTTTATTCAGTATTTTTTACAGTGTGTGTACTGTACGTATGTGGTACGTAGTTTAATTAAACTCATTTATCATATCAGTTATATTAGATTGACGGATAGGTAGCTCTTGTTCATTTTTAACGTCTAGTTTTGAGGAGTAGATATTTCATTGACCACCACGTGTCGTTTGATAATTGATAGGAAAGATAGAGAAATTGTGCGTTTTACGTAGGTGTAAATCAAATTAACCATAATACCATTGAGAATAAATTATTCTCTTCAGATCTGCCAGACTTTCATTGCGACACATAAGAAGGTAAAGAGAGGGAAAGATGCCGGCTGCACTTCCAGAGGAACTCTCCACGCCGCACGTGGCGGAGAAGGAAGGTCATGAGTCGGCAGATCCTGTCAAACCAGAAGATGTACGTGCGCCCCTCAAAAGAAAAGGTAGTCAACCAAAAATATTAACAGGCTTAAATTGGTGATAGGTGTAACGGTATTTCATTATCCATTCATTTGGCATTCTATCTAGCTGTCCCCCTCCTACCATCACTTGGAGAGGATGAAGCTTCTTGGAATTATATCGACGAGAAAATGAAACACGCACGTGAAATGATTCGGTTGACGGTATCTGTTAAACCAGCCAAGTTGGCACGCTATGATCAGCAGTAAGTTAATTGTCTCTCCAAATCTAAAATATTACCAACGCGCTAATGTCGCCTCTGAACTAAAATAAATAAATAAATCAATAGGATCGGTAAGGAACGGGATCTTAGTGGTATAATAGGATATGGCCAAGCTACAACCAATAGTCGAGATGTTATTCCTCTTGACGAGCTGAGAATGGAGGAACGTCACACCCCATTAGATGTCAAGGCTTTTCTCTCGAGAGTTGGGACTTTTGATTTGAGGCTGTGGTCAGGCAAGCCAAATCGGCTATGCGCTTATGAGTGTGCACGATACGGTAACTAGAATAAATTCAATGGTACAATCTGAATTTATTAATTCAAACTGCAATATTTTACATTGTGGGTTTACACAGGCTGGAGAATTGCTGGAAAAAACACGCTACTCTGCGTTTCTTGTAGAAATCTACTTAGCATTCCCAATGATCACGGAGATTCACAATGTACGTTGTTCCTTACTTCATTCTTCAAGTTTATTTACCATTATAATTTTGTAACATTCAACTTCTAAACTGTGCTACTACTATTGGTTTATAGTAGACGAATGGACTACGTCAATTGAGGAACAGATACATAAAATTGGACATATGAGTGACTGCATCTGGGTGAGGAGTCCATCACCGTTGAACATTTTGTTGCTGCCTGAAGGGAATGATATGCAAACTTATATGAAAAACGCGGCCCAATCATTCAACCGCATGAGAACAGTTCCAGTATTATCTAGTTGTTATCAAGGGATCTTGGTATGATAATTTTCTCAAGAAAGTGGAATTAGGCCATAGTTAAATAACAATGAGCTATGCAGAATAATTATTTTTGTTAGGATTCATTTGATATGACTGGATTTAAGGACAAGACCGAACTGCAGCTTCTTCAAATCATTGAAGGCACCTCACTTAAGTCGATTGAGCAATCTGCACTGTTCTTGATGTTGAACGTAATTATATTTCTTCACTGCATTGATTATTGGATTGTAGTCAATTTTGTTCAGTTTTGCATTTTTAGCCCGAACCAGGGCTTATGTAATTGTCATGTCCGTCTGTCTGTCTGTCTGTCTGTCTGTCTGTCTGTCCGTCTGTCTTTCGATAACTCTCGAACGAGTTGACCGATTGACTTGAAATTTTTACCATATGCATATTGGACAAAGTTAGGAAACGAGTTCGAAGATGGGCGAAATCGGTCCAGTGGTTGACCGGTGGGGGTCTTCGGAGTGGGTGGGGTATTATGCACCAAAATTTCAAAATCGTCATAGAAAGCTCAAATTTGGTACAGAGGTTGCTAATGGCTCCTAATGAAAGAATATGAAGTGAAATTGGAAAATTTGTCAACCGGAGGTACCCGAGGGGGTGACCCATACCGATTTCTCAAAATCATCCAATCGAGCTGAAATTTGATATAGAGGCTGCTAATGGCCCGTAATGGAAGAATATGAAGTGAAATTTGTAAAATTTTCATCTAGAGGGACCCTATGGGGTGACCCCCACCGATTTTCAGAAATTAACATAGAAAGCTGAAATTTGGACCAGAGATCCATACTGCTTTTTCACGAAATAACATGAAGGTAAATATGAACAAAAATTAACCAGGGGGGCTATAGAGACGACCTCCACTAGGAAGTAGTCAAGGGAAGGGATAGTAAATATTTTTAGAATTTGGAGCCTAGTAATACGAAGGATTGATGGAAGAATTAGTGCAAAATTGTAGCACATAATGTCATAGGATTCATAGAAAACTACTGACAAACATGGATTTACTAATCATTCCGGGTTCGGGCTAAGCAAAGCTGTACTGATAGGTTTATTCATGATTATATTAGCAAAAAATTAATTGTTCTGCATGTGCATTTATTTATTCAGGGCTGGACAATGGATGATATGGATCTTAACGCTCTTCAATGTCACCTCTGTTTACGACAAGTTCCTTTGTGGGTGTGCTCACCCCTTCCATCGAGTGTGTCCAGGGAAGATGCAGCCTCTGCTACTCCTCAGCGTGAGCCTCACTCCCATGTCAAACAACGGGAATTGGATCCAATTACTAGTCATTGGTTTTGGTGTCCATGGCGGAAGGTCAGATTAAAAGTGTTTATTATTTTTTAGTGAATGAGAGAATTGTAATATTGAACATATTATTTCCCCCATTTCATTAACAGATGTTGCAGCGCTCTGGCCCTGAAAAGAAGGTCCAGCCGAACGCGTTGCTGACAGAGGGTACTCGGGAATTGAATGCTGACAATTTTTCGCCCAACTTGAATTCATACATGAATCTTGCGCTGAAAATTGACGCAGATTTCAAGCGTGGACGACTTGTACATGGGCGACAAACGTTTGAAGTAAGAATTTACTATTAAAAATAAGTCATTATAATTTATTTTATTTACTTGAAGTCTGTATTAATTTTATATCATTGTATGTGAAATTTAGATGTCCGATAACAAAATCGCATTTTCTACTATTAGCAACTTTAAGGAACTTCTCCATACTCTTCAATCTGGAAATACTAGTAGTTCATACACTGTGCCATCCGGCAGTGTTTGGTCGAATGATGTGGAAAATGACATGGTTTCCATTATCCCACTGCCAACTGTAGTTGCGAAACCATTAGTCCAAGACGAAGAAGAACCGCAAGCTTATTCTGATCCAATATCAGCAGAAACAGAACCAAATGGGTCTCAAATTGATCTAGCCAATGATTTCGAACAAGGGGACGGCAATATTGACCAGTCCTCAAATGTTACCCAGGATCATTCTATTCCTGCAGAAAATGAGACAACTGAAGCCATAATAAACGATGAATCCGCTACAACCGCCATTGCTTTAGAAATGCAGTCAGATTCTAACAATGTAAATGGAGAAATGTGTGACGAAAACACGGGTGTGACCAGTACGAACATTGATGAAAACATGTTTTATACCCAAGAAAAAATTGAAGATTTCAAAGGTTGTACATTTAAAGGTTTTTGAATATTCATTTAATCATTTAACATAGGTATTTGTTTACTAGACGATGCCATCAGTCCACCTACCTCCTACCTACTAGATGATAATAAAGACCTTATTGCTTCAGACGCTTTAGAAAACTGTATTGATCAGGGGGGAAATAAAAAACTAATGAATATGTCAGATTTTCAACCACTTGAACAATCTAAGTACATCGAGCCACTCGAAATCAACGCAGCTACACAGGATGATGAAAACGTGACAGAAGTGGAAAATGTTCAAGTCATAAGTCAATCTCCTGTATATCAAATCACAGATGATCTTATAAGTGTGAAACCTGATGATGACTACAACAGTCTTCCGGATGTTACTGTACCTAATTCTGATCTTGTTTCAAATATGTTGGCCTCTGCCGCTGAAGTGCCCTCATATCAACCAGTAGATGAACTCCATGATCACGGCCGAGACGATGCCGACAATCAAAACAATATGCAAGAAGAGAACCAAGATGACGAAGGAGATGACTATGCGGACGACGAACATAATTACTCAAATGAAAATGAAATGGAGGATAGCAGCGACAATGCGGAACATGGCGAGATGGCTGCTAATAGCAATCATTCAGACTCGGACGAAAGCGACATTGTTTACTTGGATTAATTTAGGTTTATACTCATTAACTTATTTAAGCGTCGGTGACGGGTACTACTACAATTATGTAGCTACTATACATATAATTCTTTATGTTTGTTTCTTACGTTGATTACTTAAAAATTTATTTCATTTGTAGTAATAATAATTCATAACGAATACATGAATGAACGGTTTCTTATAGACTGATAATAATTTTTGGTACTATACGTTAGCAAAAGGTAGCATTGTTGTGTTTGTATTGTAACTGAAATTTTATACAAACGGTAATAAAAATACGAAATTAAATTAATCGTCGACAGTTATTTCTATACCAAGAAGCGCATAATTAGTTAGTCAACAACAACATTATCCTTGTACACAAATGTATAAATACTACGGAAGTACTTTGGTCTATATCCCTTTTAATGTCTGACATCATATTTAATTCCCAAAAGAAATAAGACGCCGATAACAATAGCAAGTAACAAGACTCCGCTGATTATTAACCCCAAAGGAACGGAAGACCCCTCACTCTCAACATCTTCTCTAAACTTTTTCACGGCACTGCTTTCCGCTTCGATGCAAAAGTCACCATTTCTACACATCTCGCTCACCGTGAAGCAATGTTCTATTTCAATTCTGTGGCGTAACGAATTTCGCACCACGCTCTGACCATGAACTAGCGAGCACTCGTTATTTCTCGTCGCCACTTTGGCCACGTCCAGCAATTTACGTTTAGCACATCCCAAGGACGTTCCATAGGACGTCACGTTTTCCTTGCTATCCACGATGGTCGTGATCACTCGAAACCTGCCCAAGGAGCAGGTGGCTTCCCCTTCGGACTCTTCCCCACATCGTCCCGTCGTGGTTGCGGCCAGATTTCCCCACCCATCCGCGTCATGGGGGTCGGGGCACATCTTCAAGAATAAGAAATGCATAATTGTAGTTTAGTCAATGTAAAACAATGTACAAATCATCAATGTATACGCATTACGTAAATAGAAGACCGGAAATAGAGTGGAACAACTACCTTGACTTGAGATCCATACGAGTAGTAAATGTCCTTAAGACGTTCCAGGATGAACTGTCTCGTTGACTCGCAGAGGAAAGGATGCGACTCGGGACACAAATGGTTGATGCACGTGTGGCATTTCAGAGATGATGCATCTAAATATAAAAACAATTCCGGTTAAATTTTACATTAGGTCACAGTTTTTACGGTATACGTACGCACGTACTACGTACGCATGCACATTTAAATATTTATGAATGGCTTGCCTTGCAATATTTGGAGCACAAGAAGCATGAGCACGAGTGGCAGTTTATTATGTCCCATCATATCCAGAGAGTATTTATTTATGTATAATAGACGTAATATTTATAGTTTAGTGTATATGTAACGAGGAGGATGGAATATCACAGGAAAGGTTGGTTAAAGGTTAATGTGGTTTTCAAAATTTAATTTTCATGACTCACACGAATTTTCAATATACTCGTTGATGTTTGTAATAAAGTTTATGAGGAAATTATATTCTCTTTTCTAAATGAAAGTATATTATTTCGTGTTATCTTGACTTTGTGGTGGTGAGAAGTCAAGACATGGTAATTACTCGTTTCACAAAAGTTTCCTTCTTTTACCTCGAGTCCTCAATACTCCTCAAATGCGAATAAAGATGGACGTTTTGAATTTCAATACCATTTTGCACGGCTTTCACATACACTTTCTGATAAGTTGTGTAATCCAGTGGATGAGATGAGAAGCATAAGCTTTCACTGTTTCTCCAGCCAGACTCAGAGTATTCACTCCTTTTGGAACAGAAGTTTGCAGAAGTTGGCAAGGATAATAAGAACAATATGCAATGGTGTGCCTCCTTTGATTCAGTCCAGTATATATTAGTAGTAGCAAATGCGGTGCCTAGTTTTGCTATAGTACTCATTTCTTTTCATCATTATTACTACTTTCATCTGTTCCATTAGGTCTTCTCACCCACCAACTTGTATAAAAAAGTCTCTCCATATAAAGCTCTATACTACGGAGGATGAGACATTCAGCCAGTTCAACCCTATTTATGCATTCAGTCCGTTCATCTTGGGGAAGTTGCGTTGCGTTATTGCTGCAAATGGTTCGGTAATCCATGGAGCAGTAGTGGAGTCTCATTTTTCTCTCGTTTTATCCAAAAGACTTGGGTTCCTACTTTGGTACATAAATGCTTGACTCTCGATAATAAGACATTGATCAAAATTCGCAAAGTCAAAAATGTATATATTATGTTTATTGGCATAACATTAAATACAAAATTCGAGAGCTATTTTAAAATTCTAATCTGGATTATATAACTTTGCATGCGTACATCGGCGTCGTTGTCGTGAATCTAGTATTGAACACAATGTATTCATTGCACATTCATGTTGATTACAGTGAAAGCCTTTATCAATAAGTTTTAAATATTATGTATGTCTATTGATCATTGCCAATTTTAGAATTGGTTCACGCCATCAGTCTTTTATGTACATATTAAAGGCTGTACTATCATACATATATTAAACATACATGAGTATTTCTTTCGATTAACAAGAGCTGCATTCAATTGCATGTACAAAACCAGTTATAAAACTTTATATATTATTTACTTTTTAGTAGATAGTGCTCGAATTCATAAGATTTCTCCTATATAAATTAACTAACTAGAAATGAATTCAGATCATAGAGATAATCAATCAAGTGATTTCAGATAAAATAAACACACGTTAGAGATTTAAATAATTTTCGTGTTCACGTCGTCCCGTCTTCCAGGCCTTGAGTGGACAATGATGTTGGACGAATTCTGATCAAATCAGCGTCTTCACTGGTTTTTGGAAGATTCGAGGGTTTGTTGATAGGAAATGAACATAAACTGGCTCCAATCACTGCAGCAAATACTACAATAATAAATGCAATGGTTCCGATGACCAATCCGTAATCAAAACGTCCAATGGAATGATGAATATTCACAAAATCTTTCACAACACTCTGCTCTGGATCCACACAATAGTCCGTGTCGTAGCACACCGTTTGCGCCTCACTGCAATGTTCCAGCAGCATCCGATGATAAGTGTTTGTCGACATTGTCCCGTTCTTAGAAATCAAATCGCATTGAGATTTGGTTTTAGCATTTCTGATGGAATGTAGCAATTGCTGATTCGCACAACCAAGGACAGTTGCGTGTGAGATAAGCGGAGGAGTGTCGTCCCCGCTGAATGATTTTATTTGTATCCTTCCAGCAGTGCAAGTGGGGGACGACCCACTCCCCGGGCAAGGAACGTCGACCACTTGCATTTTCAGCCACTCGGCTCCATCATGTTGGTCTGGACAGGGTGCAAGATATGACCCCACGTGATAATATTCTCTTAATTGCTTTACGACAAAGGCTCTCACATCCTCGCAAATATTGTTTTCAGCAGGACAACTCATAGAGAGACACTTGTAGCAGAAACGTGCTTCCAATTCTGTTGTAATAAAATGAATTAGAAGTAAATCAGTTCAATTAGTTTATTTAGAAGTAAATGAATTTCTCAAAATAGTATGAAAAATTATTCACCAGTAACCAATACGCACGCTGAGAGCAGGATGGCAAAACTAATTGATGCTATTTTGCCCGAGGACGCCATGACTTAAACAATTGTTCTCTTGCTGTGCGGTTTAGATTTGATTATCACTGTTGGAGTATTAATCTTCTCTTCTGAAAAGTAAACCAAAATTCGAATTGATCATGCACATGTATAAATGGATGCTAGTAAGGATAATAAAATACGAAGTGTATGATTGATAAATGCGAAAACTGTAAGTTAGATACTTATGTATGTATGTAGGTTCATAGATTCACTTTGTACCTTTTGACTGTTTTTCAGAAAATTTTCGTGTAATAATTCTTATTAGGCTACAAAACAAGAAATGAAATGCGCATGGTTATAGCTACAAATGAGCAAAGATCAGCAATTCATGAAAACATAAAAACCATCATCCCATCAATTCTAATTTGTGTTTAAACTGCAGACACACGTCCCTAATGTCCAATTGTACAGTTAAACATACTATACATATAACTGCATGTGTTAAAAATGTGCTGATGGACACTAGCCACTGCTAGACTTACATAAGTCGTAGCGTAGAAATTTGGTATTTATACAGATATTATTATTGGCTGGCCAAATGTGTCAAATTCATTATTGATATTTCGAATGGAGACATGGCTCAAGTAGTTTCGGCAGATGAAAAATCTTTTTCGCACACTGTAAACAAACATTTCTAATTCCCAGCCATGCTACTACCATGTCACAATTTGTAACACTTTACAAATTTGAAAACTCAACTCGATAATTCAAATTATGCTTGCATCTATTATTATAGAATCCAAGCACTTACTCTTGAAATGGTCGAGCAAATGCTCATAGCGTCGTTCGTGTGTATGTGCGTTTATTTTCTGCCCTTTTAACTTATTTTTTAATTAGTCGGATTAGTTTATCAGAAAAATCACGAATTTGCAGTGATTTAAAATCATTCAACAAACAGATGGAACGGATTACGAATGACTATGTGTATATTTCTATGAGTTCAACCCTTGGGCAATATCTGGTCAAAATCATTCATGAGCAAGTACATAAGTGATTCATTCAAGTGTTCCCCTTATTCAAAGCCTAATTTGCAGCCTTTATTCACTTCACATGCTGTTTTTCATGAGGCATCCGTTTCCAGCACTGCACTAGACAATTCTTTTTACCATAGTGTTAAAAAACTATCAGCACCTGTACAATATTGAATAATTCAATTTGAATTACAAAAATCTACGTACTTGCGTGAAATGATATTGTGATATTTCGAGGTAGGTATATGTACCTATGCCTATATACGAATGATACGTATAAGTACGACTTGAACTTTAAGCTTTTACTATTAAAGACTTTACATTTAAGCAGCAAATATCAAAATGTAGTCACAGTGAGACGGGAAGCACTAACAAACATAAAGGTACTTACATATATTTTCGAATTAACATTTAATGTCTTTATTTCCCAAAACAAACCCACCACGCACTAGATACAATCACATCGTTTAGCGTATAACACTAATAATAATTTGTAGAAAAATAAATATGTATTATATGTAGAACAGTGCCATAAAATCTGTTTGTTCACCAGTAGCACTTTTAGGACTGATTTAGTTAGTTATTTCGCCAATATATGTACGTACGTATAAGTCAAGTATTCCCAATTGCCAGCATCTTTCTGTCATATTCATTTCAAATTCATGTACAGGATAAACTGCTAGGAATCGTATTTATCGCATACAGAGGCAGATCAGTTTCTTCTGCAAGCACCTGCAAAGTTTTTTGGTAGTACTGTAAATCCTACTTCATCTCATCCATGGATGATGATATTACATTAGTTTAGTAGCCACCATGTAAAGTTATCCATAATATAACATACCAGAAAACGAGTTTGTATGCATGCAGTTTAAAATGGAAAAATAATACGACTACTGACTAAAAGGAGATCTTCGTCATTCCTTCATACCCATCAGCAAATCAAGTTCTATAGTCTAACCTAACAAGATTTGATGAAATGGGCCTTCTTAACTACGTCGCAAGTCTGAAGTTATTACTATTATTCAGAGATGCGAAAGTAGTGGATGGTTTTATGGTGGATCACCAATTTAGTATGATGACCATGATTTTCTTGGAACCAAACAATGACTAATTCTTCGTGGTATTCGGTTGCATGCATTTCTCTGCAAATATGAAAAACTTAATAGCTAAGTTTTTGGAATATGAAATGGATAAAGCAATATGATAGTTTAATTATTAAAATGAATGTATTTATTTACAGGATATTAGCATACGTACGTGTACCTACATAAAATAACCACAAGTAACACAATACAGAAATAAATATAATAATGTTTATTATTATGATCAAAAAGCAACACTAAAGGGTTTAAAATATCGTGCAATACTGCAGTTTATGAAATAATACAAAATTACCATAAATAAAAATAATCAGATTTTAATAATTTGATACAAAACACTTTTCACATACAGACCACATATCACATTTTAAAATTTAGAATGTATGTAAATAAGAATGTTTCTTTGGCGTAAGTTGGTAAGTAATAGAATGCAAACAGATACATACTAGCTTATTATAGAACCCTTTCAATTAAATGCAATACTGAATATTCTCTTGGACCCATTTCCGACTAGTATCGCTAATTTTGGTGACTTCAAAGCCATCGAGATCGTCTTCGTCAAATGGAGTACCAATGAAATGATTGTACAGTTTGGTTAACTCGTTCAATTCGCTCAGCCTCTCGGCCTCGTCGACAACATTGTCTATTTTGGCCACAGTGGGGCGGACATTAAGATACGTAAGTTGCGTACAGTTCTTCAGGACACATCCCAATAAAATAGAGTACTTGATAACGGAACCTGCATCAGCAATGCAAAGCTCTTTCAAGTTCATGGCGGAATTCTCTGACCAATGCACCAGTTCCTGGAGATCTATCTGGAAGCCTGTCAGACAGACTCGCTCGATAGCATCAGATATGAGATGCAAATTGGATAATTTGAAACATGTCGCCTGTACTCCAGCAGTTTTATGACATGTGTTACAAGATAATTCCAATCTCTTCAGTTTCCCACACCTCTGGAATATCGACATATCTAACGGAAAATTAATCCCCTGATCATTTTCGTCATCATCATCGTGGTTATTTAGATTTTCTGCAACTGGAGCCGCAGGTTTCTTTATATTGCTGATTATAAATTCCTCCAGAGTATTCTCATTATTAGATACAATACTTTGCACGTTTTGCAGCGTTATTTCACCAGGAGAATAAAACTGGAAAACTTTTAATGTTGTCAACTGCTCCAAGATTTCTAAAAAGAAGAGTGCCACGGTCGGATTTGTGTTTAAAACATCATCACGTAAAATAAACTTTGTCAATTTGAGAGATGAGAGCACTTTTATGTCTACTATTTCTCTAACACGACGATCTTGAGAGCGGTTGGACTGTAGGAATATTTTTGTATTTTTAGCATCCACGCTATCCCCAACCAAAAGCTCCAATTCCTGAAGCGTGGATGCATGTTTTTTAAGAAAGTGTAGAATTTTAACATAATTTCCCCACAGTGAGAAACAAAGTTTGAAACTTTTTAATGATGGGAAATAGTTTGTCAGCATAATGTCCATGTTTGGGTTTGTTATGAATGGGTCCGCCATAGGGTATCTTAATAGTTGGACGTCCAACTTTGTGACGTGTTGCAGATTATTTCGTAAGCACTCCTTGATGTGCGGGTCATAAAACAGTTCAGGAATTCCCATCGTTTGATGAGTGACAGATAAATGGTCCATATCTCTACATTGGTTGAGAATATTGAGTAAATTTTGTTTTGAAACATTTCCGTCCAGTCGTAATTTTTTAAGTCGACTTGGAAAAACAAACAGAGGTCCAGATGGGAGTTTAGGGTTTGTCAAGTTTGTAATTGTACATGATCGTACGTGTAACCGACAAAGTTTTCGATATCCGCGATAACCTGTAAATTGACACAAATTAACGATAAATTATGACACAAAAAAATCAACACTTTTGGTAGTGTGTAAAACAAATTTATCTATTCAGAAACCTTGATCCAAATTAATGTGAAAATCCAAATGCTGCTCAATTTCTTGTTTGAATTGTCGACTCAGAAGTCTCATTCTTGCAAGATCACTCGAGTTCAATCCTTTCCAAATTTTTACCCTGATCTGCATACATAATATAATTGATTTTAATGAAACATTTGTCAAATTTATGAGAAAAAAGACGATTGAAATTACTAAATAGCAAACCTCGAGCGGAATGTTTAGGAAGTTTACATTGTCCTTGGCTGGGATTGTCGGTATACAACTCAAACTGGTAACCCGTTCTTTTTCCATTGTTCACAAACTGCGTCACTTGGAATCAATTTCAGATAGTCAATTATTTTGATCTAGCCCCGGATCTAACATAAGACGACCAAGCCACATCAGCTGTGAAAATGTGCCACTACTACTTTATAAAATTTAGAAATAGCCGAGATCAGACCGAAGCGTACTTACTTGCGTGTGTTTTAGTGAAAGTGAACAACGAGCGAGAGAGCTCATAATTTCCCTGCACATGAGGAAAGTGAAAGCCACCAAAGCGAAGATCGAGATGGATGAATGAATGATGCTCACTTTCTCGCTGTATGCCATCGTCATCATTTATTATCTATGTCAGTAAGAGTGATTTTAATACACAATTAGCAAGTGAATATTGTTCTGATTCCTTAAATAAATTGAATCTTGAACACATATTAAATCCCTTTATTATATATTTTTATTCATAACGACATGTATAATAATTAGACGCTTAATTATAAAATTAGTTAAAACTGTCAAAACCAATAATACTATTTTACTAAACAAATTTATGATTTTGACAGAGGTCTAAGGAGACACGAAAAGGAAACTTGTTAAATTCTTTCAGTTATAAATGGATGCGACATTGCGTCTTTTGTAGTTGTCCGTTTGTTGTTGTCCAACATAAGCACTCGATCCAGGAGATCTCTCAACTGAGTCACTTTTCTGTACTGATCGGCAGGTAGATCTTGATTTCCAACCAGTTCCCTTAGCAAATCCCTTGTAGGGGTGACAGACGACATTGTCACAATTTTATCCTAACGAAAATTAAAGTCAATGTGATGGTGGAAATTGTAGGATTAAATAAATATGTGATCAATTTACCCTTTCAGTAACTTTGTCCACTTCGTGTGATAGAAAGTTGCAGTTACTATCAAAATGACTGTCCTTAAACGCACTTTTACGAATTATTTTATTGGAAAACTTTCCTTTCAGCTCCATGAAGTACTTCATCATCTACTCAATGTGTAAAATTTATTTAATAAAAGCAAACAACGTTTTAAGATGCTGACAAATATTACCTGATTGTTCGAGCTTCCCGGAAATAAAATTTTCCCCGTATATAGCTCGTAAATTGTACATCCGACGGACCACATGTCCAATGCATAGTCGTAGGATAAGCCTAAAACTGTAAAAACCATAAGAAAACATGTATTAAATCAGGTCGGATAAAGCAGGTATGGGACAGAGAATAGAGAAATCATGCTTACTTATTTCTGGAGCCCTGTAAAACCTACTGACCAGATATGGAGTGATTTCATTTTCATGAGCATAACTTGCCGAACCGAAATCACAAAGTTTCAACAGCAGTCTGCTTTCATTCACCAAAATGTTATCAGGTTTGATATCTGCATGCAAGATGTTAGCTTTCTTCATAAGTTTTAGGGCTAAAAACAGTTGCTGAGAGTACGAACGGACAGCTTTGATGTGAAGGCCAACGTCCTTCCCATATTTTTTTAGCACTTCTCTCAAGTTCATGCACAAAGGCTCAAATACCATACACAAATGCTGTTTATGGGAAAAGTGTCGCTTTAACCTGTAAAAGAACAACAAACCCACCCATCAAGTTAAAGTTAAAATTAAAGTATCACAATATATTTTGCTTCCGAAGCAAAAACGTAATGCTATGTAAATTTTCATCGTCGTAAATATGCATGAACTGACCTTACGCAATGGTACTTATCATCTGGATCTTCATCATTGAGGCGCTTTAATATTTCAAGCTCTTTTAATCCAGATTTTTGCATGATTTCGTTGTTACGAATTATCTTGACAGCAACGTCTTCATTATCCCTCGCAGCATCTCTTGCTCTGATAACGTTGGAAAATACTCCGTGACCAGTATATCCGTAAACTGTGTAGCGGCCATCCAACAGCTCCCCAATACGGACACGATAATACCCTTCAGCGTCATCCCAATTATCTGTCAGGTTAGGATTTTCATCACGCCCAATAACACAACCTTCGACACCTTCAGAAGGACTCTAAAACAATAAAACAATAACCGCATAAAATGTAAAACTTTACGAGTATCAATGACGAGATAGAATATGTTATAATTTTGAAATCTTAGAAGGGTTGTGGAAATTTCGATATTGTATGAGTAGGTTTACATCCATTCAGCAATACAGTTTGTTTGAATGGTAGTTATCCTAACAGCTTAATTTGGCATCGAGTTAAATAATTTATAATTTTCTCAACAGTAATGAAAAAATAATTTGTGTGATGCCGTCAGATAGCAATAATTTACTGAAATTTGGAAAAAGTATTTAAAACTTACATCAAAGTGTTCCGAAAACATGTCTTGTTCGGTAAACTTGGGCTTTTCTTTCCGTGCCACTGGCTCAGATGATTTTTTGTGGAGCTCTTTATGAACATCGTCATCAGCTATTTCACCAAAATTGCGATGGGCACTATTACTGGTATCACTGGTCTTGGAAACGCTGTTTTGAGGAGATTGGAAGGGTTTAGATTGAACAGAGTTAGAAAGTTTACTATCACTATCGAGCGTAATCTCACTCTGCTCGGATAAAACTCGACTGTCAGAAGGGCTCACGCTAGATTTTGATCCAATTGACATGTTAGAATCCTCAGTTGCTTCCAAGCGCTGAAAAATAGTAAATTGATAAATAATGACTGAACGATTGTAACAATAATTGTACTTGACACAAGTAGACAATGATTATTTGAAACCGCCATGATAAATAATAAGACTTTACGAAGAAAACACGACAAAAGTGAAAAAATAACTCTGGTCTATTCTATTGTGTTATTGCATATTTGTGTTGCAAGGTTGCAAATAGCGGTTTCAAATAACTCGTACATTTAAATATAACCACAAACGCAAAATTAAATTGTATGTAACGCTTAAATACCCGCATCAGCTCCTCTCGTTCCCGTCGTCGCTTCTGGATAATGGCATCTTCGTCCTCATCCTCTTCGTTCATTTGAATGTCCAGCTCCCTTGAAGTACATTTATATAAAGTTGATTATTCAACAATCTACAATATTTCTACTATTAAATGAATAACTTAGTAATGCAGACCACGGGAGTAATCTGGCACGCGACCAATCAGCTGTACTCGACCATTTATAAGAACCCATCACCAGAGCAATCAACCATGTGTTTGCGTATATATATATGCAATAATATACCGTAAATAATTTTAAAACTAGACTTAAAGGTTAATTTGACTTACTCGTCCTCTGATTCTTCTTGCTTGCGACTTCGCTTATGGTGTTCCTCATCTTTATTGTTATTTCGTTTGCCATCGCTGGTTCTCTCTCCTCGATTTCGCGAATGCGAACCACGTCTGCCACGGCGATCGCTATTTCGATCATCTCCTCCTCGTTGCTTCCGATGCATGTCTTGTTGATGATGTCTATTTCTACTATCTCTGTCATCTCTAAAATGATTTCGGTCTCGGTCCAAATCACCTCGGTGATTTGGATCCCTCCGATCTCCTCCCCTATTGTCCCTATTATGATGATCTAATGAATCTTTACCCCCTCCCCTCCTACCGCTCCTCTCAAAATCCCTATTGTTGTTGTTCCGTGAATTATCGCGTTCACGATCACGCCTTGGAGAGTTGCTTGGTCTCGGACCTCTGCCACCACTGTCATCCTTTCCACCATGCCTTTTAATCGAATCGTTCATTTCGTTTGCTTTCTCTTTTCGATCATTAGAATTCTTGTGGTGGTAAATATTCGTGTTGTGTTGTTTGGCTTCACTTTCTCCACTTGGGCTAATATGAACTCGGGTTTTCTTTCTTAAAGGTTCTTCGTGTCGATCATGGGAAGAATTTTGCTTGGTGGATCTTTGTGAATGAAACTGTATTTCATCATCAACATCACGAGTAGGATTCAATTCAGCAAACTGGTCCTTCTTTAAACTGCGAGACTCTGTTTTATCATGATGATGGCCTCGGTATTTGTTGGTAGTGTTTCCGTTTCCATTTAAATTATTCTCGGAAGAATGTCGTTTCTTGTCCTTTTCACTAGTATGATGTCTCTTACTAACGCTTCCATCAGACTCAATAACAGCCAGACGTTTCTGCAATAATTCTTTTTGTCTCATTAATTCCTCCAAATTCATCTCATCTTCCAAGAGAGCGATGGAAGCGTTCGAAATGTCATCAGCTATTGATATTGATGTACCAATATTTTTAGAACTTGCATCAATACTTAAAGGCGACATTTCCGGGCTGGATGGCACTTGTATATTGGTGGAAGCTCCATCATCAACATGTGTCCCATCATCAGTGGTTGGGTCTTTCGATTTCTTGTGTTTCTTGTGCTCCTTTTTATGCTTCCTAAATAGAAAAATTAAAACAGAATACACAAGTAATAGAATATTGGAACATAATATTATAGACAAATGGTTAGTTTATTATTACACACGTACTTTTTATCCTTGTCTTTCTTATCTTTTGGTTTCTTGCCATGTTTGCTATGCTTGGTTTTCTTTTCCTTCTTCTTTTTCACCCGTTTAGCAACCTTCTTCAGGTCTGATGGGATTGGGGACGTGGCTTGTGAGCTGACTGAACTGCTGGCCATAATGTGGTTACTGTAATGTTAATAACGAATGTAAAAATCTTCAATTTGAAACTGAATTCAAGCCACAACAAGGGTTTTGATTAACAATTTGGATAATTTTCAATGTGATGAATTGTGGTATATTACGGGCAGACGGACTCCTCTCCGATCGGGGAATGTGATACATCAAAATGTCGGGTTTTCCATGCTGATCAAGAATATATAAATTTTTTTACCGGCAAACGTATATTAAGGTCACAAAAAAAGGTCAAAGGTCAAAATTTTTTATTGCATTTTTGGACGTTTCGGAGAATTCTAAGACTTTGTCTCACTTTCCCCCATGGCGGGAAATTTTTTGGGGTGACATGAGATTACTAGTTTCTCTTGTAGAATATCGAATGTCGATCATTTTTCTGCAAAGTGTAAAATTTTTGGGGCACTATTAGATTGCTGGGGTAAAGTGTGTCATCAAATATCGTAATTGTGCCGAATATTGGGGTATTGTTCGTTTTTAAGCGAGCGAAGCGAGCAGGTTAGGTTAGATTTACTAGGTACGCGGAAAGCGTTGCTATTCTAGCTAGCAATCCTAGTTAGCAGTCCTAGCTAGTAGTCCTAGCTAGCATTCCTAGCTAGCAATCCTAGCTAGCAATCCTAGCTAGCAGTCCTAGCTAGCAATCCTAGCTAGCAGTCCTAGCTAGTAGTCCTAGCTAGCAGTCCTAGCTAGCAGTCCTAGCTAGCATTCCTAGCTAGCAGTCCTAGCTAGTAGTCCTAGCTAGCAGTCCTAGCTAGTAGTCCTAGCTAGCAGTCCTAGCTAGCAGTCCTAGCTAGTAGTCCTAGCTAGCATTCCTAGCTAGCAGTCCTAGCTAGCAGTCCTAGCTAGACACTAGAAATCTCATGTCACCCCAAAAAATTTCCCGCCATGGGGGAAAGTGAGACAAAGTCTTAGAATTCTCCGAAACGTCCAAAAATGCAATAAAAAATTTTGACCTTTGACCTTCTTTTGTGACCTTAATATACGTTTGCCGGTCAAAAAATTTATATATTCTTGATCAGCATGGAAAACCCGACATTTTGATGTATCACATTCCCCCATCGGAGAGGAGTCCGTCTGCCCGTAATGTTCCTGAATTGTTTCCAAACCTATAACCTGGACTTTTTCCGGTTCAAGTTGATTTTTACGGATGATGGGCCAGTGGTTACTCAAATATTAAACCGTAATTGCTGGAGTTATTTAGCTAATTACAATTAATTGTAATTTGTTTTGGGAGTGGTGGTGTCAGCAGCAGCGGTGGTAGCAGCAGAAGGAGTACAGCCGAGGAGGAGGAGAGAAAGAGCCGAAGAGTTGGTGGTGTCGTTGGTGAATTCTGAGCCTGTCCGCCAATCCAACTATCTCAGCGGAATACGGCGGTGGATGCACAACTCGATATTTTCACTCACGTTAAAAAACTTCAAATTCAAGTGATCCCCAAAAACTCAAAATATAAATTTTTGCCAAGGATTTTTTTAACAACTTCATAATAACATAAATAAATTTGCAATAAATAAAATAAATATTCTTGCTTTCTTGGTTTTGGACTCGACAAACGACGTAAGTATTACACCATTAAACTAAAATTGTGAAAAATCCTACTGGTGCACAGTTAATTATTAAGTGACGATCATTTATTTAATTAAATGAACTGCATTAATTAAATACATAAATTAAATTAAGCATCATTTAATTAGTTCAATGCAGTTGGACCAGTTCAATTGCGTTGATAAAACACTGACAAAGGATTTAAAGATCAATATTTGTAATCAATTGTATGAAAAAGGTTTATGTTTATGCTTAGAATGGGAGACCCGTACAACCACCAAAAGAAGATGATCGAATCGGAAATGGACCGATTTGAGCAGGAAATTTCCTCCTTGGCACCCACAACAATGGCGAGATCGTTCATTCCTGCCCAGTTACGTCGACCCATGGGTCACGGGCATTCAAATCCAATGCCCCCTGGAACGGGCTCTTCTCACCACCATCACAATATTCCTCCACCCCCACCATCGCAATTGGTTGTTAAGCCTTCTCCAGTCATTATCAGGTATTCAGGTTGTTTATGGATAATACGAGTCTGCTCAATTTCTCAAACTTATTGATACGCTTCATACCTGGACATTTCTTTTGACAATTTAAACATGCTTTTTTGTATAGTGGGGCCCCTCAAGTTTATAATGCTAATGCGAAACCACTCCCACCTTCAGGAGTAAAATCTCAAGAAACAATAGCTGCAACGCCGCAATTGGGGAATAAGGAACAAGCCGCATCGTCGAGCAGTTCCGTTGGAGTTATTTCAAAGGCACCATCCCTTCCCGGATCATCATCCTCCTCTGCTGCAGCTGCGGGCCCATCTGTGGTTAAAGTACTAGAAAATCCGAAACCATCCATGATATCTTCTGCCATGGATGGGGAAAAGAAGAAACCAAAGAAGAAAAAGAAAAAAGATGATAAGGATAGGAAACCCAAGAAAGCCCTTCGATCTGCTGGTGGACAAGTTTGGGAAGATTTGACACTACAAGATTGGGATCCAAGTAACTTATTTACTTTGCATGGCATATTACTTATGATTAGGTTGAATATAAATATATAATAATATTCAATATATGTATTGTACAGATGGATTCCGCCTGTTTTGCGGAGATTTAGGAAACGATGTAACTGACGAGGTTTTAACTCGAGTCTTCGGACGTTATCCTTCTTTCCAGAAAGCAAAGGTTGTACGGGATAAACGGAGTAACAAAACGAAAGGATTCGGCTTTGTGTCTTTTAAGGATCCAAATGACTTTGTCAGAGCTATAAAGGAACTAGACGGTAATTCGAGAAGATTCCATAAAATTGTTTTTATTATATCTAAATATTATTCTTGTGTCAAGTACTGATGGCATTTCTTCTTACGTCTTCTTGTATAGGTCGATATGTTGGAAGCAGGCCAATCAAGCTTCGTAAATCAAATTGGAAGAACAGAAATATTGAAGAAGCACGCAAAAAGGAAAAGGAAAGGAACCAACTTTTATCAAATATACGAAAATAAGTTTTTTTACCATTACTAAGCTAAGTGTTGTCTATTATTAGAATAATAGTTGATAGTAAAGTTACTCATTCAAATCGATTTTTTGTGCGTGATTAGGCAGGGGCGAAATCCATTTATTGGATTAATTTATGCAACATTGATTTCACAACGTAAATTAATACTGCCAAGAGATACATAAATCATGACATGAATTATTGTTCGCATTTCATTGTTTCTTTTGTACTCGTCTCAATACATCCGACTGCATGTTACATATTTGTCAACCATATTAAATACTTCATAGAACCTAAATTATGGAAAAACGAAATGGAAACTTTGCGGATTTTGACGCTGAGGATAAAACTATACCAAGAGGTCCTGAATCTTGGCCGTCTGAGATTCAACAGTGTAAAGTGTGCGACAACCCAACTCGGTCATTTTGCAAGTCGTGCAGTAGTGCATTCTATTGCTGCAAAGACCATCAAAAAGCACACTGGAAAATCCATAAAAATGAGTGCTTCCCCATCAGGGTAGTGGTCAATGATCCATCCTTCGGACGTCTCATGGTTGCAAGCCAGGATTTGACACAGGGACAGAGGATCCTCGAAGAAGTGCCCATTTTAATTACGCCAAATACACGCTCGGAGAACGGCATTACTTGTTTGGGTATGCAAAAAAATATTGAATTAAGTGGAAATCACCCATGCATGTTTATAAACCTAAGTCAATTAATATTGATTAAGGATGTTGCAAGAAGCTCACTCTAACTACTGCAGTCCCCTGTATTCGGTGTGGTTGGCCATTATGTGGTGTCCAGTGCGACATGGTAATAAGTTTAAAGGAAAAAAATAAAAATGAAATGCTTCCAATTTTCATATTATTTACTAAAGGAATCCCTCCACACCACCAATGAATGCATTATTTTCAAAGAACGAGCGATACAGTCGTCAATGGGAAACTTGGGGAATTCATATCAGACACTTTGCGAAATTGGAGTTCTTCGAATGTTACTTTTAATAGAACGGGAACCTAGACTTTGGAAGCGATTATTGAAGTTGGATTCCTTCAAGCAAACTCGAAAACAAGTTGCTGACAAAATGTTCAATCTAAATAGCATTATCTGCTTTATTCGACAAGAAGTGTCAATGGATATTGAGGAAGATTTGATTGATACCGCTTTCGGAATACTGCGAGGAAATGCTTTCGACACGAGCGATTACATCGGCTTCATTGACTGCTGCTCGTAATTTGTTTAATACAGCATTCCCTTCACGAGCATTCAATAAATATTGTTATTATGTGGGTATTGGAGGATCATAGTCATGGATTGATTGTTATTTTCTTTCAGGGATTCAGTGCGATGTGCATCAGTTATTTTCCCTACAGCAATTCTTCCTGGCATAAACTGTATTCCAAATGCTTATTATTCAATCCAAGGGCGACAAGATGGGAAATTCAAAATTGTATGTATAGCGTCCGTGGATATTGCAAATAATGAACCAATAAGCATGTCATATGAAGACGATCTGACTGGAACATTTTTGAGGCGGCGAGTTAAAGAAACCGTTTTCTATCAAAACTGTACATGTAAACTTTGTTCGGACCCGACCGAATATGGCACTTATATTTCCTCCCTTAAATGTACCAAATGTAAAATAGGCTACCTACTTGCATCAAATCCTTTGTCTTTGGAACCCGAGTGGAAATGCAATAATTGCAAATGTAGCATTACACATTTAAAAATGTTGGACACACTGCAAAAGGCAAAACTAAAACTTCAGAGCTGCATCAACCAGACCACGTTGGAAAAATCATTGGAAAGCATGAGAGGGGTCACACGGACTTTATTGCATGAAAATCACTTTCTTGTCTTGCAAACAGAAATTGAAATATGCCGAAGAATTTTGGCAGTCATCGGGTTCTATGAAATCAAAAACATTATTTCAGATGTTTCCCGTATTTTGGAAAATCTTATCGAAATCTCACAACATTTACTTTCCGTTGTTAATGTCCTTCGGCCGGGATACAACCGTACAAGAGGTAAATACATGAAATTATTTTAAAATAATTGCAACGGCAAATGTTTGTCAATAGTTTTTTTTTTACATATTCATATAAGTACTTATTACATTAATGAGTCCTATATATTTAATATAGGTCGGTTGCTCTATTGTCTTCAGTTTGGAATTTTAGTGTCTATTTTAAACGACCAAACGCTGCAAGAGGATCAACCGTCGACAGAGAGTATGGCAATCACCAAAAAGATGAAAATGGAACAACTTGGCAGGGTACAAAAGGAAGCTGAAGCTATCTTATCAGTGGAAGTAGATGAAAGTACAGAAGAATATAGGATGCTGAAGACTCTTCGTGGAGAATTGAAACTAGCTGGAAAGACAATCCATTTATAGAGTAGTGGCATACATACACTACAGAAGATTTATTTGAAGTATAGAAATATAAATTATATCTCTTAATTATTATTTAATTATCAAATAGTAGGTACTTATTAGGTTTGTATGATAAATAGCTAGGTTAGCTTAAACTTTTCATGAAGTGCAGAGAAAATCCTTTGTGCTTTTTGTGGCCCAATTCCAGGACACAAAGCAATTTTGTCTGGGGACGCTTCAATCAACGAATCAAGTGAGCCGAAAACTCGTAGTAATGTCATCGCATCCGTTTTGTTCACAGAACGTATCGAAGTTAAGGAATCAATTACCTATATAAATAATAAAATAAATTACAAATATTAAACACATACACATATCGTTCGCTAAGGATTTGAAATTCAATTACTTGCTGCATAATACTAGGATCTTGTTTCTCTTGAATTAACTCTGGGGGTTTATTTTCATAAACTTTGTAATTTTCCAAAATCTTGGCAGCTTCTTCAGCCCCATGAGCCATAAGAATCGTCAAATCTGCCAACATTGCAATGTGAGACAACGTTTTCAATATTGGGTATGGATCTGCAACATCAACCTGTTTAACACAAAATTATAATTTAAAAAATATTTTCTACTTAAAATACATGCAATTAAAATCTAAAGACAATCATATAGTTACCTGAACCAACAATACACGCAGATCATACGCACCCCTCAGCTCCTTTAACCGATCGTGAATATAATCCTGTATATTGATAAGATTCGAATTATGATAATGTTATTGTGTAAATATTTATTTTTTGTTTGGTTGATTACCGGGTGCAAATTATGATATCGAATGCTCAGAAATAAAACACACGCCGTTGCGCCAACAACATAGTCTGGCTGGATGTTCGGATCATATTCCCAAGGTACACTTCGGATATGCTTCAAAACAGGATTTCCTCTCTATCATGATTAAAATTATCATTGGCATTATATAATAAAATTCAGATCCACTAAACCTGTCGAGGGTTAACCAAAATGCTTCCTTTCGACAAAGGACCACCTCCAGCAGCAGAAGGAACAGGAAGGGACGAAGATGACGACGCTGATGCGGTATTTGTTTTTCTCACAGAAATAGAAGCATTAGCCGACGTTGTTGCTTCCAGCATTTCGACGTCTTGACGATTCTCCATCGTATTAATATTCTGAGGGTTATTATGGTCAGATCTCCTGAATTGGATAAACTTCTTAAATAAAAAGAGTTGAACCATAAGAAACAAAGAGCTAAAGTCGTCTGCTGAAGCCGAATTGTCTCATTGTATTTGCTATTGCCCGAGTCTCACCCTGCCTCATTTGATCAAACTCATGAACTACTTTTACAATACCCCAAGCAGAAGCAGCACGTATATGCCCATTACCCGGCGCTTTGTGGCCATCCATGATTGAGTCTCGTGAATTTTTGCTCAAAATTATTTTCAACAAAACAACATACCTTTTCAACTTGGTCTCCCAGGATGTCCTTTGATTGAGCAGTGCACGGTGTGGGTTTCAGGAACAGGGCGTAATTATGGCGCAGCAACCGAAGCCTGAAGGGGATTTTATGCCGAAGGTGGATTTACAGAAAGATAGAAAATTCCTATCACAAGCTCAATTAGACTACATGCGACTGGCCCAACAACAAAACGCCGGTAAAAATAAATAATCACTCTAAAAACGATTTTTCATAAAAAATGTTCTCAATTGTCCATGATTTCTTGAATAGATGAATGAACATTGCAATACTTAATTTACAGACCGAGTTAATCGCTTGAAAAAAATTCGTCGAACAAATCTTTTGACTGCGGGAGTGTTGGGTGTGTCAGTTTTTGCGATTTTTGGTTACTCTATGTGGGCAGTGGGCTCTGAGAAATTTCTGGACGAATTCGAAGATAAACCTGCATCAAAGAGTTGAAAATTACTATTATTATCAAATTAGTTAAAAAAGACTAAAACTATGAACTAAGAAACTTTACAATCATTATTAATTAGCAGCCATATTACTGCGCGTTTTTCAAGACTTTTTTGTTTTATTCGTGTAACAATGCTAGTTTGAATAATTTAGATAGTATCCTGCACAGCTCCCTAGTACGGAAACTTAATTGCTCTAAGAAATAAACGAAGCTAATATAAAATGGCCCTAAGCGCAGCTGCTGCTATTCGAACCGCAGCTTCCAACCAAGTTGCCAGCATAAGATTGCCTCCCATACCCTCAATTAGTGATCTTGTCAAACTCTACAAACTGAAAGCCATTAAACAACTATCTCAAAACTTTCTAATGGATGAAAAACTAACGGGAAAAATCGTAAAAGCAGCAGGAAATTTGAAAAATGGTTACGTTTTTGAAGTGGGCCCAGGTCCAGGAGGAATCACAAGATCCATCATCATGAAAAATCCAAAGAAAATTATTCTCATTGAAAAGGACAAACGATTTGCTTCCGCCTTGAATCATTTAAGAAATGCATGTCCGCCCGAAACCCTTGATATTTATTGGGGGGATGTATTATCATTTGAAATGAGCAAAATGATTCCGGATGAAGCACGAAGGGATTGGATGGACGATGGTATCCCCCCAATCCATGTTTTGGGCAATCTCCCCTTTAGCATTTCTACCCCCTTGATTATTAAGTGGCTCTCAGCAATTTCTAGCAAAAGTAACATCTGGTCTTATGGCAGAGTTCCTTTGACCCTCACTTTTCAACAAGAAGTTGCTGAACGTCTCATAGCCGAACCATCACAGGAACAGAGATCTAGACTTTCTGTTATGGCCCAGCATTTGTGCCATGTCTACCACAAGTTTACAATTCCAGGTCAGTATATGCAATGAATTGAAAGATGCATATTATACATGCACATATTTGGTAGGTTCGCAATTTAAGGGTTGCATTTTTATATTAATCATTCTGCAAAAAGGTACTGCATTTGTTCCTAAACCGGATGTTGATGTTGGTGTCGTCAAATTTGTACCCAGAGAAGAACCACTGATTCATCGGAATTTTTCTCTAGTCGAAAAGGTTGTCCGACAAACATTTTCTATGAGGCAAAAATACTGTCGTCGTGGTGTGGCGTGAGTAGCAGATTACGAGTATTGAGAAGTAACAATTGTTACAGAATATAAATGTATACTTTATTTATTCTTTCAGAACTTTGTTTCCTGAAATGGTTCGAGTATGGTTTACCCAAGAAATGTTCAGACGGTCAGGAGTCGTTACCACAAGACGTCCCTTTGAACTGGAAATGAAAGAGTTTGCTAGTTTGTGTAATGCTTATGCTGAGGTAATTCTGTAAATCTGCACTAAATTCTTAAGATTTAATGAATTGCCTTCACTACACTGCTAAACTTGTCAATTTGTCATTGTCTTCTAGATTTGCCGTGAGTACCCTAGTCTGAGTGATTATAATTATCGAGGATTTAACCCTGATGAAGAGTGGAATTCAATGAATGGGCATGCTTATCAAGCATTCGTGTTGGAAAAGCAAGAAATACGAGAATTAGATCCAGGTGATCCTGAACCATGATTATATATATACATACGTCCGATAGCTTCTAATTGAAATATATATATATATATCCTGTAGAGAAGTAATGGCAATAAAGGTTCTCTAGACTTTACTTGATGCAAATTCATCAATTTAATAATTCATTAAACTGAGTTCATTAAACTCAATTCATTAATTTGAGGTGCAGTTTAGAGAAATCTCAGTTTGTCTGTCTTCAACCGTTCGTTGTGAGAAAGTCTCTCGTGCGACACCTTCCTCGTGAAGTGAGAAACGCTGCTAAAAGGCCATGCTGCCACAAAACCAGATCCCGGCGTGCACTTCGTTCACTCACTTCTCCACTCTTTCTCTTCAGACCGAGCAACGAGGTCTCGTTTAACTAATTAATTTAATTTCTGTTAAATAAAATGGTTCAAAAGAAGGTAAGCATCACTTATCTAACTCATCACTTATCCCTTCTTCATAGGAGAGCTTTGAATTGCTCAAATTACATAAAATTAAACATTTTAAACATCAAAAATTTAGAACACAGCATTTTCTAAGTTTCAATTTCCCATGGGGTAATGGAGGGTTGAAGAAGTTAATTAATTTCATTTTGGGTAATGTTTCTCAGGGGAAGAAGAAGGTGGTCGGGAAAAAGGTGGCAGCCCCACCCCCACTCGCCGCCAAGAAACAGGAGTCTAAAAAGAAGCAGAATCCTCTTTTTGAGAAGCGACCCCGCAACTTTGGAGTTGGACAGGACATCCAACCGACCCGTGACCTGAGTCGATTCGTCAAATGGCCGAGGTACATCCGTGTCCAAAGACAGCGAAAGGTGCTGCAGGAGCGACTCAAGATCCCACCTCCAATCAACCAATTTAACCATACCTTGGACAGGCAGACAGGTATAGAGAACCTTTAAATGCACTATTTCAGTGCCACTGACGAGCTATCCAGTACCTTTTCTAAGGTCTGGTGGACGTTTTGTGTGCATAATGACAGTGCGAAAGGATAGGTAAGAACTCGAAGCACCAAGGACACATCATAATACAAACAGCTTTCCACTGCAACATGCATGTGGTGTGATGCTGTTTGTTGATGATCTGGACGATTTGGGATTATTTCGCATATTGTCTTTTGTATTTTAATTTTTGACAAAATTAATAATGGTTAAATATTGCGTATTTGTGTTTAGCCAAACAGTTGTTCCGCGTGCTTGACAAGTATCGCCCAGAGTCTCGAGCTGCTCGTAAAGCTCGTTTGAGGGCCAGGGCTCAGGACAAGGCCAAGGGAAAGACGGATACTCCTAGCAAGCGAACCACGGCGCTGAAGCAGGGAGCCAACTCTGTAGTTCGTGCCATCGAACAGAAAAAAGCGCAATTGGTCATCATTGCTCACGACGTTGATCCTCTTGAGGTATGTTATCGTTTTTATAATTTCACTGCAGGAATTTAGAGTGATTTATCTACAACTATTTCGATGATGTATTATGAATTTCTTCACCTGAAAAATCATGAAGATTAAAATTCGAGCTTTTTAACCCTGAGTCAAATATTTTAAATTATCAGATAATAATCACCATCATTCTGGTTTATCATTGCTATTTTGTTTGACATTAGCCGTTCTTTGCTCTTTCTAGCTCGTCCTTTTCATCCCCACCTTGTGCAGGAAAATGGGCATTCCATACTGCATCGTTAAAGGAAAGGCTCGTTTGGGTAGATTGGTGTACAGAAATACTTGTACATGCGTCGCTTTGACTTCGGTAAGTAAATTTTGTAAATTATTTCTGAAAAATGTTCAAGTTTTTATTTTATATGATGACCACTTATACCGAAATATGACCTTTCTGATTATACAACATGCACTACCATCTGAGGAAATTATACTTATAATTTCAAATAGTATTAGAAGTTTGCGACTGTTACTAAAAGTGGCTGCAATGATTTTTGTTTACAGGTTGAGAGCGCAGATCGCAGCCAATTCACCAAGGTCCTGGAAGCCATCAAGACAAACTTCAATGAACGCTACGATGAAATTCGTCGTCACTGGGGAGGTGGTGTTCTCGGTTCAAAGAGTGCAGCTCGCATCGCCAAAATCGAGAAAGCGAAGGTGAAGGAAGCTGCCCAAAAAGTTGGAGCGTAATTACTACAATTTTATATGGCCTTTTTGAGTCTTCTGTTATCCAATGTCATACTGCGATGGGAGAATAAAAAATGTCTAAACGAACCCATAATTTTGTCTAATAAATTTATTTATTCAAAATAGTACAATGAAATACATTACAAATAAAAATAATCTTGTCTACCGACAAGTGCGTGTATTAACCTTAAAAAAATGTTACGAAGGAGTTATTCGGGGGTTTCGGAGACGAAATTTTTGACAGAAGAAGGAAGCCGGTTTTATTTTAGTTTATGTGATAATTCGGCATATGTTTTATGTGATAATTCGGCATATGTACTTAGCATTTTTAATTAATTCAAACTCATTTTCGTGCAAACGAGTATGTTTTGGCAACAGTTGATTTTTACCTTCATGACTTGCACTTTTCCCAGTAATGATGAATATCAATAAATATAATCGTCGATAACCTTGGTGCTATCAATAACATCAATATGAAGATATGATACGTGTAGTACGCCGAGCATTTGTTAGTTGCATAGTAAATTGGTGGTGAAATGGACTTGATGGACTGTGAACCTGAACTGACTATACATAAACGTCTCAATTGCTATACACAGACTTTTGCTTCATGCAAACATCATACCCTCATTCATTACAAAAGAGCCTTGATAAATTTTTACCTCAGCTGCCGGTCCACTGCAGACTACAGTCGAATTATTTTCTGTAATAAAGTAACTGTACTACAGTTTACAATAAAGGTAGGTTGGTCAACTTACTTGTTATAATTGTTCTACTGTATAATTTTTCGGTTATTCGTGTTGTACATCAATTTCCTGGTGTACGGGTAATTTCTAATTTCATGAGCATTCGTTTTGCCTGATTCTCAATTTGAATAATATTACCATTTATGTATAGAGTTATGGGGAGAAAATACAATATCGTGGTCTTCGGAGCTGCAGGCTTCACTGGGAAGCATTTAATTTTGGAAATTGTAAAAACGCTGGATGAAAAGGATGAACAATTCTCATGGGCAGTTTCCGGCAGGTCCACGTCTAAACTTGACGTCGTTTTGCAGGAAATGTCTAAAGCCTCAGGTAATATGCAGTATGATATTCCCATAATTTCATGGTTTCATTTTCATATATTGTGTGGTACTGTGGTTTAATATATTGTTTCATATGTTGTACATAGTTTAATAATAATATGTATTTTTGTATGTAAATATATAGGTAAAGACCTCAGTAATGTTGACAAGATTGTGGCAGATGTCGCAGACAGGGAGTCTCTTCGGAATATGGCACGACAAGCGGACGTTGTCCTAAATTGTGTGGGACCTTATCTTTTATATGGGGGAGACGAAGTGGTCCAGGTATTACCACCAGTGAACCAAATAAATCGCAAACAATATTCAATTGCCTTATATTTTTACCATAGGCATGTATCCAAGAGGGAACGCATCATTTGGACCTTTCTGGAGAGCCTCAGGTATTGGTGGTATAGAATTAATACAGGAGCCATGAAATCCTGAGTTTGTTCTCTGTGCCGTTGATAATTGATAACATGCATTACTGATTGATTCAAATATGATGAAATTAATTTCCCAGTTTCTGGAGAAGGTTCAACTCAAATATAACAAAGATGCAGAAGAAAGTGGAGCATATATCATTGGATGTTGTGGGTTAGTTATTTATTTTAGACATAAAAGTAATTAAAAATGTTGTGAAACGGTCTAGGAGGACTATTTAATAAACTTTAGTTTTATTTTGCTTCACCAAGCTTTCGACAATTATAAAAGTAATTGTTGTGGAACGGTCTAACGAAACTGCATTCATAAATCCATAATAGATTCGATAGCATCCCTGCCGACTATGGGTCAGTTTACTTGGAGAATAATTTTTACGGTACCTCACAAACTTTTCTAATTAATTAATTTATAATGTTAACTATGGCTGAATGCTGGATATAACTTACTAATACAAATATAGGACAGCTTAATTCTGTAGTTTCATACATGCAGATCAAGAAGGGTACAAAGGTTAGTTTCAATAGTGATTTTCGATACGAAGGCTGACTTAATTTGATTTATAACATCATCAATAAAGTCAATGACATTATGTCTGAGCATGTTTATAGGTCACTAAGCTTAATTTTGGTACCTGGCATTCGGGAGTGATCATGTGCAACCGTTTTTTCGAAACCTTTGCATTAAAACGCAAACTTTATCCAAATCCGTATTACAAGTTCCAGTACAAGGTGCCATACAGGTATAGCTGAATTTATTGTTAAAACGGACCTGCATGCAACTATGCGATCTAATGATCATTAATTATTTTGCCAGACCAATCGTTTACTGCGAAGAGGTACAGGGATGGTGCATCAACTTGCCATTTCCAGACGCCAGAGTGATGGAGCGCACTCAGCGGTACAAATACTACAATGAGAAGCGACGACCTATTCAGACGCAGGCCTTCATGCGAAGTCCCAACTTCTTCCTCGCCATCCTCATGGCTATCGGATCACTTCTGCTCGGAATACTCGCCCAGTTCAAGTTCGGGGTACGACTTTTGGAAAATGTACGTGTAACATTACTAAATTAAGGGTTTTGCATATACATTAATATAATTTATATATCGTTGGGAGCTTTCGTCATAAATAAGTGCTACATATTCGTGATCGACATATAGTATCCGCGCCTCTTCTCCATGGGCATGGTTACTAAAGATGGACCAACTAAGGAGGAAATGGACAGCCCCTTCAGTTTCACACTGGTGGGCAAAGGATGGGATAAGAGTACCAAGCCAACCAGCGATGGACTGTATGCCTCCCCACCCAATAAAACGTTAATTCTAAAGGTGAAAAGTTTCGCTAGTTCAATTCTGTTGGATTTTTGAAATCTAATTCTACATTTTTGTACTTTTTTATCAAATTAATTATTTTACCACAGGTGAGTGGTATCAATCCAGGATATGGTGGAACTGTCACAATCATGCTCCACGCTGGTCTTGCAATAATTAAAGAACGCAACCTCATGCCATCCAAGTAATCTATTTATTTAATTGCTAACAGTTATTCAGGATTGTCAGGAAGTCAGGATGCAATCTCTGATTTTTGATTTTTGCAGAGGGGGTGTGTATACGCCTGGAACTGCATTTGCTCGAACATCTCTCGCTGAAAAGTTGACTCGACACGGCGTGTCGTTCACATTGACAACACCTCAGTAGAAAAATGCTCTTGTCATTTCGTGATAAATTTATTACCAGTAATGCGTCTCGACAAGAACTTTGTTTATTTCTTAAAGATTCCTCTCTATATTTTTGAAATTCTAACTGTTGTATTTAAAGTTCATTAAAATAAACACTTTAGTTGCATTACACATAATTTTCTTTTACCTCTACAGGAACAAGAAATAATATAAATATATATAATTTAATATATTTGATTTATTTTGCATTTATTACAATATGGCCTTTATCTGTACACCCAGATCATAGAAGCATAATATCGGCATCGCACGCATGCATGCAAAGAAATGTGCAAAATTGATTTGATCCATTATGGGGTGATGACGAAACAAATTATTCGTCTTCATGAACCTCACTATATATTATGGCATGCTATTATAGCATGTCATAAATTACGAAAAACTGTGTGAACTCCATTTTATTATTGGGTTATTTCTTGGCTGGAGTATGGTGATTGTGGAAGCATGGAAATGACCAACTCAACCCCGGCATCTGAAGCTTATATTGACATTGACATCATGCAATTGGACTCTTGAACTTAAGACTGGCTGGCTGGAGGACAGTTTATCTCCCATAAAATTCCTGGAATCCACTCCACATTCTCAGTTTCATTAGAATAATTAATTATTAATAAAGGTGAAACAAGGTAATTAAAAATGCTGCCAAATTAAGCCCGGTTTGACAATTATCAAGCATAATTTATCGATTCTAATACTTTTTGTTCTTAATTTTAAAATATTTAGTTATTTGTAAGATTGTATTCTCGAAGAAGTTTAAAACGAATTCAAAATGTCCAGAAAGTTTGATCTCATAGTAAGAAATACATCGTTCGTATGTGAATATGACGTATTATGCAGATCAAAGATATCATATTATGTATCATTATTAGGTCTTTGGAGCGACTGGCTTTACTGGAAAGTATGTGGCTGAGACGATTGTCAAAACTCTCAAATCCACTCCTCCTGGCGAATCGTTCACATGGGCTGTTGCAGGTCGATCTACGTCGAAACTTGCTACTATTCTGGATGAAATTAGTGGACGGACAGGTACGATAAACAAAAGAGGCATTTTAAAACATTATGAAAGTATCGGTATGCAAGTACTTAGCTAACGCATGCATATGTAACAGGCCAAGATTTGAAGAGTGTTGAAAAAATTGTGGCAGACGTGTCAGACCCTGAGTCAATAAAAAGTATGGCTCGTTTAGGCAAAGTTGTTTTGAATTGTGTGGGTCCGTACCGATTTTTTGGTGAGCAAGTTGTGAAAGCATGCGTTGAGGAGGGCACGCACCATGTCGACGTCAGTGGCGAACCTCAATTTTTGGAAAGCATGCAACTAAAGTACCACAAACTGGCAGAAGAAAAAGGGATTTACGTCGTTGGTTCATGCGGTTTCGATTCGATTCCGGCTGATTGTGGAACAGTTTATCTGGTTCAAAATTTTGGGGGTAATTAATATACAACCTTACCAATACAGATACACCGTATTATGCCTTGGACATTAATTCAACTTACATACTGTGTGTGTATAGGGGATGTAAATTCTGTCGAAGAATATGTGGAAACTGATAACGGAGGACAGGTGTGAATTAATATAATATGCTAAAGATTTGATAAATCCTTATAATAAATGTTCAAAATCGGTCAATTATAGCCGACTAAAATTCATTACGGTACTTGGCAATCTGCAATTTATGGACTGGCTCACGCAAATGAACTTCGACCCCTGCGGTCACAACTTTATCCAGAACCACTTCCAAAGCCAAAGTACCGAATGACACAAAGGAAATTTCTGCACCGAAGTGACATTGTCGAGGGATGGTGTATCCCATTCCCTGGTTCTGATCGTTCCGTTGTGATGCGTTCACAGCGTCATTTCTTTCACCAAGAACGACAACACCCTGTGCAAATGCAAGCTTATTTAAAGCAGAAATCTCTTTTTGAAATGATGTGCTTGGTCATTGGTGGAATGATATTCGGGGTTTTCGTACAATTTAAAATTGGAAAATACCTTCTTGAGAGGGTAATAGAATAATACTATGCACTATATATATATATTAATACTACAAACACAAAATGATCATATGCTAATGGAACCCCTTGCCTTGTATGCTTAGTTCCCTACATTTTTTTCCGCCGGATATGTTACACATGAGGGTCCTGCTCCAGAAGAAATGGATAAATTGACATTCACCATCACTCTGGTTGGCGAAGGATGGGGAGAGAAGTTGTTGGAACCTACGGATATCCACGCTGATCCTCCCAAAAAGACTAAAGTCGTCAAAGTAAGAAGAGAAGAAGAAAAGCAATTCAAAACGTATTTATTATTCGTGTATAAGTTACTTTTGTAATAAATATTAATCAGGTTCGAGGGACAAATCCAGGTTATGGTGCTACGTGCGTGTGTCTTGTCCAAGCTGCTCTGACCATTTTGAAAGAAGACAATAAGATGCCCTCAAAGTAAGTAGTTTATTACACAGTCATCATTGAATTGCGGCTTTATGAACTTGGATTTGTAATGATTGACGAATATTAAAATATTATAGGGGCGGCGTTTACCCACCCGGTGCTGCATTTGCCAAAACCACTTTGATTCAACGACTGAATCAAAATGGAGTGACATTTACACTTGAAGGATAAAACGGCAGAGACGATTTTGGTGGAAAATTGGGAATATATCTATTCGACAGGAAATAAAGTGTCACACTGTCAATATAGCAATAAATACTAAACCTGATTTCATCCAAAACACATTATTTAAAAATTTTAAATAATAACTATATTCTTTAACCAGTTGCCTGCCACATTAACCTTATAAAAACTAATTAATTTTGACCTGGATACCATTTAAAAACGGAATTAAAAATGGTTTCTATTGCATTTGGGGGCGGATTTACTGGGGGGCAGAATACCATTGAGACCGACTTGTGGGGCGGTGATAAAATCAGTTGGGGACTGAATTAATGCAAACCGATTTTGAATATTCTACTGATGCAGTTATGATTTATTAGAGACCTGGAACTGATTCGACAACAAAAATTAGAACATAATACATTTTTAACATGAAATTGCAACTGAACCAAATGAACACACGATATTCTGTAACCATACACCTTATTGGTGGAATCCGTCGCCAACGAGAAAAAGTTGGCCTACACCTTATTGGTGTAGTCCGTCGCTAAGGCGAAAAATTTGGCCTACACCTTATTGGTGTAGTCCGTCGCCAAGAGATCGAAATCGCCCTCCACCTTATTGGTGGAATCCGTTTTTAAAAGGTTAAAAGGCATAAGGTAGTTGCTAAGCCCCCAATATAACGCTTCGAATTTCGCGATCCTTGTACCATTTTTCTTGGACAATCATTTCCAATGCGGTCCAAGATATGAAATTATGACACGTACGCTAGCGCCCAAATTAATGCAGAGTTGATACTGATAATTTGACATATAGAAATTATTTTACTTATCATTGCTTGTTTGCCAAGGCAATTTTTAGCCCGAGTCAGGGCTTATGTAATTGTCATGTCCGTCCGTCTGTCTGTCTGTCTGTCTGCCTGCCTGTCTTTAAAATAACTCTCGAACGAGTTAACCGATTGACTTGAAATTTTTACCATATGCAGATTGGACAAAGTTAGGAAATGAGTTCGAAGATGGGCGACATCGGTCCAGTGGTTGACCTGTGGGGGTCATCGGAGTGGGTGGGGTATTATGCACCAAAATTTCGAAATCGTCGTAGAAAACTCAAATTTGGTACAGAGGCTGGTAATGGCTCCTAATGAAAGAATATGAAGTGAAATTGGTAAAATTTTTAAAGGCCAGGACCCGTTGAGGTGACCCATACCGATTTTCATAGCTTGTCGCAAACAGCTGAAATTCGGAACTGTGATACTTAATGGCTTCTCATGAAATTATATGAAGTCAAAGAGGAACAAAAAGTAGCCAGAGGGGTACCCATACCGATTTCTAAGAGTTTATATATTCAGATAAAATTTAGTGCGGAGTCGAAAAAAAAGTTAGAATTAAAATATAGGAGGGTTGAATTTCGAAATTTTTATACGAACAGCCTCTACTGCTCGTGGTATTTGGTTTGGTGCCAAGTAATACTACCAAGTGACGTTAAGTTAATGCAAGAATTAGTGAAAAATGGTACAACATTCTGACAAACATGGGTTTGCTAATCAATCCTGGTTCGGGCTAAGCAAAGCTGTACAGATATGTTGGAATTTCCGTAAATAATCTCTATAAAGCTGGAGTTTTTTGGGGCTAGTATATTACGATCAAGTATTTATTATCAATAGCAAATATTTGACCTAAACTTTTCTCAAACTTATAAACATGTGCAGATAGTGAAGAAGTAAGTCGAGCGTTCTCTGGGGCAGTATTGGCATTGTGAAAAACCTATCAGTACAGCCTGTACTGATAGGTTTTTCACAATGAAATTTTCTATACAATTGTGATACTATTTTGCACTAATTCTTACATAACTCATAGAAATCGGTATGGGTCACCCCCTCTGGGGTGACTTTAACTTATAGTTGCTTTTTGTTCGTATTTGACTTCATATTATTTCATGAGAAGCCATTAAGTATCACTGTTTTGAATTTCAGCTTTTTTCCGACAAGTTCTGAAAATCGGTATGGGTCACCCCAACGGGTCCCGGACGATGAAAATTTTACCAATTCACTTCATATTCTTCCATTAGGGGCCATAAGCAGCCTTTATACAAAATTTCAGCTCGATTGGATGATTTTGAAAAATCGGTATTGGTCATACCCTCTCCGGTACTTCCGGTTGAAAAATTTTCCAATCTCGCTTTATATTCTTCTATTAGGAACCATTAGCACGCTCCGTGCCAAATTTCAGCTTTCTATCACAATTTTGAGATTTAGGTGCCTAATACCCACTGGTCCAAATATGACCCCCACCGGTCCAAATCTTTTCTCATCGAACCCCATCTTCGAACTCGGTCGTTGCATATACATGTCTGCACCAAATTTGGTTAAAATCGGTCAACTCGTTCGAAAGTTATCGAAAGACAGACGGACATGACGATCACATAAGCCCTGGTTCGGGCTAAAAAAAATTACACGACTTTGATGTGCTCGGGCGGACAATTTTGTTTTTGGAATTACACGACTTTGATGTGCTTGGGCGATAGATTTTGTTTTTGAAATCACACGACATTGATGTACTTGGGCGCATGGTTACCGTACAAGAATTACACGACTTTGATGCACGATTGCTTGACATTTAGTATCTAGGTAACTCTTGTGTCTTTTAACGGTTGCGACAAATGGTGGAGTTACAAATAAAATAATTATTTTTTAAATCGTTGGTACACGTCCCATGGTCGTGTGTACCAACGACTTTGACCTTTAATAACTTTTGAATGGGCAGACATAGAGATTTAATTCGTTAAGATGAAATCATCGTAATTTTTAGCTTGATTTTTTAAGATCAAAATCTCGAGGGTACTATTTCGAAAATTAAATTTGAAATCCCAGTGTGCAGCGTTTGTTTAGCCCGAGTCAGGGTCAGTGTCAGCTTCTAAACTTTAGTCAGACGACCTGCACCAACTACTATTCGTAATCGGCAAAAATGTTCCCACAATCCAGCATGCAAAATTTCAGCTCCTTGACCAATTTTAAAACCAGTACGGGTCTCAGTCTTCTGGGCTGGGCCCACAAAAATATTCATATTCGATGAATATGAACATTATTCATATTCTTTAGTCTGATGTGCCCTTATCCATGATACCGAATTTTATTTTTATTCTACCAATATAAAAAGCAGCGTGGGTCACCTTGTTAAATCTCTGTGGAAAAAATCTTAATATTTAGTTCATAGCAATCTGGTCTACCCCCACGGGGTCGTGCCAAATTTCAGTCTTCTACGAGTGTCTAATTTCATCTTTTTAATACAATTTTTGAAAATCGATATGGGTCACCCCCTTAAAGGTCCCTCCACATAAAAATGGTACCAATTTCAATTCATATTCTTTCATCAGGGGCCATTAGCAATCTCTGCACTAATTTCAGCTCGATGGATAATTTTCAAAAATCGGTATGGTATCGGGTCCCTCCAGTCGGAAATTTTCCCAATTTAAATTCATATTCTTCAATTAGACACCATTAGCAATCTCAATGCCAGTTTACAGCTTTCAACGAGGATTTTGAAATACTCCACCCACCCAGATGACCACCACAGGTCAACCACTTAATTGATTTCGCCCATCTTCAAACTTAACTCCTCATTTGTCACATACTACATGTATACCAAATTTAAAGTCGCTAGGCCGAGTTTAACGAAAGTTATCGTAAAATGATCGGACGGACAGACGGACAGACAGACGGACATGACGGTTACAAAATTACATTTCCAAAACTGTAACCAATGGCATATTTTCAACAATTTTTAGTTTTCTAAAAATGAAAATTTATTTTGTAACTCGGCCATTTGTCGTAACCTTAAAGATTGATAAAGTGTCAAATAATCTTGACTTTGATGTACTTGGGCCCTTAGCGACGTTTTGTGCAGCACATGACATTCATGTGCTTGGGAGGCAACTGGTTAATGAAAATCATAGTTCTACATTAAAACTAAAATGTACAAACAATCAAAATAATATCGAATGAATTAGAATGCGAACGCTGAACATGATGTAATTTACAATCATAAATTATGATTCATAGTAGAAAATTAAATGACTCTTGACTTTACTATTAATTATTAATGACGTCGATATGTTAGTATATTTTTGAGATTAAACAAATAGATAAAAATATGACCGAAATAAATAAATATAATATATTACTCTCATCTCATCTCATGAGCTGGTCACCATTGCATCAGAAACGGTCAGAATACGGTGATTCACGTCTTATGCAAAATATCTGGAACTTTCCATGCAATTGTTGTGCAATTTGCATTTGCAGTCAGAGATTGACTTTTACTGAATCATCTGCGCGTCACCTACCGAGTTTGATTGTGGGGAGGGCGGCAGGGATTGAAAATCATTTTACACCGGTGGTGGATTATTACCACAGGCTTTTGCACATGAGAAACTCGCTCGCGTAGTAAGTCCATCCAGCACGAGGCGCTGCTCCATCTTATATTTTATACACTTCCTCATCTCCATTCCACCAAGAACAAAAGAACACTTCTTCTTTCTCTCTCATCGTCTGCGACTAAAGGTAAATTAACACTTTGTGAATATTGTTCACGTAATAATATTGCAGTAATTAACGTAATATTAATTTCTAGACTAAACACAACATGGATCAAGAAAAGTTAGCCAGGATTCAAGCCCAAGTTCGAATTGGAGGAAAGGGGACGGCCCGCAGGAAGAAGAAGGTTGTTCACAGGAGTGCTACTACAGATGATAAAAAGTTGCAATCGACCCTTAAAAAACTCGCCGTGAGCACTATCCCCGGAATTGAAGAGGTCAGTGAGTAGTTAGGTTGATGAATTGCTGAGAAAAATAGCTAATATTAATAAGGTTATACCCGAACTTCCTAGGTAAACATGATCAAGGATGACGGAACCGTAATTCATTTCAACAATCCAAAGGTGCAAGCGTCTTTGAGCTCAAACGTTTTCGCTGTTACTGGACATGGAGAGACGAAAGGTTATTATTGATCTATGATGTGGGTGGGACTGTAAATACTTTGCTGATTCTAATATCTATTTATTTTATCGGTTCTTTCAGAGGTGGCTGAGATGTTGCCAGCAATTTTGAGTCAAATGGGTGAGTAAAATTTAATAATATAGATTTTACCTGGAAAGAAATATATTGTTGTCGTTGTAAATCTTGGGCTAATTCATATTTTTTTGGACAGGGCCAGAGAGTTTGGAACACGTTAAAAGGTTTGCGTACACGGGAGGACAACAACGTTCGGCTGCACAGCTCAGTGGAAAAATTGATGCTGGTGAAGATGGAGATGCTGACAGTGATGACGAGGACGTGCCGGATTTGGTTTCAAACTTTGATTTGCCGAGCAAGGATGAAGCCAACGTGGCAAAAACGACTGACACTACCGCCCCGGCAGGTATATTTTCCATGCTATGCTGGTCACTATATCAAATTAAACGAGTTACCAAATTTTTGTACCAATAATAATTTTAATAACTTTAATTTCAGAAACACCAAGCAAGAAAGAAGAATGAAAAATTTATCAAGTTAATAGCATCGTTTAAAATTTTCACTCTTTTCTTGCATTTAGTTGTCCCATTTTTGGTTTGCTGAAGATTTTGTTGGGCTATGAGAACAGCAAAATCAATGTGTATTGTCTTTAAGTTTGTATCACTTGGTTCGCTCGTAATAATTATAAGTAGTGATTAAAATTTTCTTTTTTGATTATATATATCCTCCTTTCAGACAAACAACTTGCTTTACAAATTTTCACCATGATAAAATTTTCAGGCATCGAAGTCTATTATAAATATAATTTCATCATTAGTGCGATCACTTTGGTCTACAAAAACCATTTCACCGGTTACTGATTGTTTCTTACAGATAAATTTACAGTAATAAAATGTACCTAAATATATTATAAAGTTAATTTCGAGTATAAAATAATTCTATTGAAATTCTCTATACATAATATGGTAATTCTCATAGAAAATTGATAGCCTCCTATTCGGAAAAGTCAGATCATCATGCAAATTAACCTCATATAATCACATTTAGAAGAAGTGCAGTGCAGGGTTCTACAAATTCCAAGCAAATTTTTGGCTGGACATCTTTTAGTAAAAGGTAACAACAACAGGCCATTGCTTTCTCATGGATTCTTCCCCAGTACAACTTACAAGCAGCATACAAATAAAACCGACGCCGATGATATTATGACGATGGGTGTTGGTTATTTATATGGGAAGAAGGAATGGCTAAAAATAGCAGTTTATACTCTTTCGCAGGGAAAAGAGTTGCTTTTCTCAATCTTCCATCAGTAGTTCCATCGTCTCATCTCTCTCAAACACCCAAGTTATCGTTTGCACTCCTCTGCTTTGATTTCAGGGGAATATGTTCAAGCTTAGCTCTGCCAAAGGACGAGCGATAGATGATACGTGCCGAGTTCTTTTGAAGCACATTGAGCTTTGTAAATAGCACAGGATTTCCATTCTTCCTCTTCTGCAACTAAAGGAAAACACGCTGCTACGCTAAAGAGTAATATTATCATCATCAATGTACATATAATTCCCCACCAAATCCTCCTTCCAAACCATTATCGCATACAAATGATTCAAAAGCGGAAGATACTCTTTCCCTCGCCGTAATAATACGGATGTCCTCTCCAACATGAGCTTTCGAACAGCAGAGTTTTCCCACATGGTGGTTGCAGGTCCTATAGCATAAGGAGTAGCAGTTCTCGTAGTCTCGTTGAGAACAACACGATTCATTTAACGTTCGATCTCGCTTGAGGACACCGCAAAACTTATTGTTTTAGTGTAAGTACTGTGTCGTACGGTCAAACAGTTCCATTCGCGAACAAGATCAAGCAGGAGGTCGTGTAACGCTCAATAATATTAACCACGTACGCAGAAGGCCAACGAACACGACGACGAGCCAACGAACCTACTCAAATTTTGGGGCTTGAAAATAACAAACTTAATTTAATTTCGCATTCCACTGTGAAACTGTCCATTGAAATTGGAACATTGAAGACAATGAAAAATTAACCTTCAAACTAATTGCAATAAAATATTGCATTTTATCTTTACAATTGTTACGTTGAAATGTATTACTTTAGTAATTTAAAGCAAAACTGCGTCGTTTATTAATTAGCGAATCTTATTGTGATAAATTTACATACGTAAGAAACCCCTCTTTGTGCAACCAAAGTGACTCACATTAAACTTGACACATCAAAAATAACTTGACGAGTCTTATGCATAGACGAGAAAGATGCATCATAATTGTACTTTCATGGAACAAATCGGACTCGTGCTCTAATTATTAGTTTCCATCATCAGTGCGTGTAGAGTGTAAAGAGGCGTCAATCATAAAAAGGAAGTGATGTCATCTTACCGGAGTAATTACGTAAGTTATTTATGGCAAGGATCCATATGAATTGTTTGTGTGAATACGTCAATTAGTTTAATAAGAGACTTGAGCATGTAAAATACTGTATGTAAAATAAGTATGTAAATATGTATATTTATTTTATAATATTATAAAATAAATATACATATTTACTTATAGAAAATTGTGTATTTACACAATTTTCATGGACAATGCATCATATTTGCTTGCGTTTTGAAGCAAATCTGGCATGAATGACCTTTATCGAATTCTGATAGCAGTAAGAAGGATTGAATAGCATTTTTCAGAATGTTGAAACAGTGTCTGACAAAATCTGCTAGAAAAAAGTGCAGTGGCAGAACGCAGAAGGCTCTTACAACTTTCACCTTCACTCATGAAGTCATGAGCTTGGCAAACAGATATCCATTTGATGATGCAGCAGATGCAATGCACTCCTTCTTCCGTCTTATCATCGGTCTGCATTGATGATAGACTGAAACAAAAACAACAACGTGAGAAGGAGCACCAGACAGAACATCAACCTCTCTCCCAGTGAGACGCGCAAACCAAAATAAAATTACTCCAACTCTCCGCAACGCCGACGACGACGACGGCTTCCCGGCCACAACTTTGTCAACGTGCAATTATAGCGAATCATTTCTATTGCAAAGTCCATCACAAGTAGATCATTCCACTATTTGGTGACTTATTATAGCAATGTTAATACAATATCACATGGGTCAACATTAAAATAAATCAGTGTCAATGTCATGGTTTAGGCGTGATGATGATGATATTCAAAGCTTACTTCATTTATCTTTTAGCCTGGATTAAGATATGGCAAATAAAAATGCTTAATTTTATCCTAATTTCTCTGATAGCAAGTTATAAACAGAACCCAAATTGCTTCAATACCATTAACCTTGACATTTTGACCACGAACATAACTTGACTTTTAGAATCCATCAACGTCAAGCAACATCGCAATTTGACTAAATAATTTGAAAATCGGTTCTTGGCGTTATTCCTCTCATTGAAATGAGAATTGATTCTGTTCCTCAGGTGCAATGGAAGGCAAGTGGACTAGGAAATTCATCTTCGTATTCTCCAGCATCTTCAACGTCGTCCTTGGCGTCGTCTACATCCTCATCAACAAATAAATATGCAGCTCCCTCATCATCTCTCACAGCCCCCAGTTTCAGGTCACCAGTATCGAGCAGGGTACATCAAATTACATGATTCTCATTTTTTACTTGTCTTTAAAAATAATTTTTTAACGTAGGAGCCCAGCTTCGTGGGGACTGGTGGCTCTGGATCTATCTCTGTTCATGGAACATCATCATCCTCATCGTCCGGAGTTGGAGGAAGACTTGGTAGCAGATACTCGACAACCTTATCCTCGAAAGGCGATAATTTATCGTCCTCCATTCCTGGAAATGCATCCAGCTCATCAAATTTGTCTTCAGGCACTAAAAGCAACACATCAACTTTGCAGTCATCATCATCACCATCGTCAAGAGACGTTAAAAGCACTCAGCCATATTCGAGTCTGGCTTCTGTCTCCGCACTATCCTCAAAATTTTCAAGCCCGAAGGAACCAGCAGTAAACTCATTTCGATTGCCGACATCAAATTCATCTTACTTGCGTTCCCCACCACCAGCTTCCACAGCCGCCGCGGTGTCTGGTGGCAGTGAAAGCAGTTCCAACTTGAAATCAAAATCTGCATTATCAGATGGTCCTACGACCCCATCAAAACAATTTTCATCAGGACATGGAATAAGTACTTCGGCAGTCGCCAGTAAGCTGTCCGAGGAAAAATCAACAAGCGAAGGGTCCAGCGCGTATCGCCCATATTCCTCCAGAACTCTCACAACGAGCAATGTTGTTGAGCTTTCACCTTTAGGGTCAAGTGCTCTGAGAACCACGGCAAGATTTGGGCTAAGAAGTGCACATTACAATTCAGCCCACCCCACAGCATCGACATTAAAAGCAGCAGCCGCACTAGCTGAAGAATCTAAGAAAGAGTTACACAAAAATGAAAAGAAAATAGCACCAGTTGAAGAACAAGGTCCAGTAAGTTGGATGAGCAGGGGCAGCACAACGGATGATTGTTGTGCTGCAAGTAATGATAACAAGGAATCGTTGGCGGATGTGATATCTGCAGAGGAAATACCTTCATTTGAGCCACGTGTATTTAGTCCTAGATATGAAGGAGTTTTAAAACACAAAGGAATTCAAACTGAGGAGGAGCCAAAGCCCAAAGTTTTACCATCATCAATTCCCAGACCAACGTTATCACTAAATTACTACAGTAGCGCGTACGGGTCATCTCTAGCCAAATTTGGTGCAAAAAATCCAGCCAAACAGCCGAATGATGATGATGATAGTAATAATAATATTAAAGCTACTACAGAAGCAGTAAAAGGCTCAAATTTGAATTTGAAAGTTAAAACTCGTGTTGGCAGTGTAAAGGAGAAAGACGCCAACACCACCATCAAAAGCAGCCCAAATGCATGCACAACAAACTTTAATAATAACAAGGATAATCATGCAACCCCTGTGACGTTGACAAGTGGTAGTGATCAATCATCACGATCTTCCCAGCGGACAATAAATAACAAAATTGTTGCTGAAAGCGGTTCTTCCTGCAACAATGAGCCGGACTTCTCGCCTTCAATCGGAGCAGCAATATCCAACAAGACCACGACAAATTCAACAAATGAGGAGTACAATGGAATCAATAAAGAGTCCGCTGCTACTGCTGCTGGAGTTGTGGCTTTGGCCAACAAAGAATTCGGCAAGTCTGCGTTAAAAAATGTAGGAGACTTGAGTTCCAAGGATGCCTCGGATGAATTTGCAAAGAAACAAGGAGATCCGAGATTAAATAAATCTGTCATAAAGAACGTCACCCCTGCCACCACTTCTACTCAGAATAAGACGCTCAACAATGAAAGCAGTGCTTGTAGCACTCCCGTATCAGCTATTGAGAAAGAATCGATGAATAATAATGTCACGAGTACAAATTCCGGTCCGCAGAAGCATGATCTGCTAAGGAGACCACCAGCCGACCCCAAGAAATCATCGTCAGCAATCAATTCTGGTAGTTCATCATCTTTCAATCAGCCAAATCAAGTAAGCCAAATCATGACCACGGCCAACAGCACCGAAAGAGGAGATGCGCCATTATTATCGTTGAGCAGTGATCTTGATAAATCTGAGAGAGATAAAATCTCATCCACGTCCTCTCCATCATCATCAACTGGGGAACGCTTGATGAAAACTAAATCATCCAAAAGCATTAATCAACTACGAAAATTAAGTACAGCTAGTACAGCGTCGTCCGAATCAGAATCATGCAGTTCTTTGACGTCATCTACAAGCTCAAGTGAGAGCAAAAACAGTGGTAATGACAGCATCAAGAAGCCTAATAAGCAGACTTTGTTATTCAGCAATAATAATCACAATTTGGATAATAAAGGACAAGGCCGTAGGGGAAGTAGTTCTTCAGCAGCCAGCAGTCGTAGTAGCAGCGTGGAACGGAGTGTTGTACTTGGTGCTACAAATGTCAACAAAATTGGGAAGAATAGCAATAATAATATCCTGCCAACTAAACCACCTTCCGGACCATTGTCCACAAAAATTAATCCGCCACTAAACAATCCACCACCAACTAATTCCCTTTCGAAATCTAAATCTAAAAAGCTTATTACCTCCACAAACAATAACGTTATTGTTGACGGATGCGAAATGGCAAAGAAAGAAATCACCGCTAAACCTCCTCCCTCGTCTTCTTCATCGTCAACTGCTCCTTCTTCTTCACGAGATGCACCAGTCGTTCAGACTTCCTTTTTAGAACGCATGATGGGAAATGACAAGCCGTGGCTGAGAAAGTGTCAGTCTGGGGAACTGCCCTGGTGGTTGAAATCAAACCAGGATGTACCTGGAATTTTGGGGAAAACCCCCAGTAAAACTAGTATGACTACGAAAGATGAAAATGTGACAGAAAAATCGCAAAAAGATGATCAAGACTCGTCATCCTCGTCGGACTTATCAGATGATGAAGATTTTGAATTTGATGAACTATCCAAGAAGCTTGACCTCAACCTTGGAGAGCGAACTGCTCCTGATGGAGTTGAAGTTCCTGCAATGGTTGTTAGTCCAAGGTCCACTTTGCAATCTCAAAAGTCAGAAAATTTTCCAAACTCTGAAAATTTAAACTCCAGTAATAGCGAAAACAGGAGAGACAGTCTCTTCATTGGCAGCATTGCAAATATCGACGACCTGCTTGGAACCGTCTCACCTTCACCAATTTCAGAAACTCCGAGCCTTGCTCCTACGCCTACCCCAGCAAATCTCACTTCCATCATTGACGATTTGTGTGAAGCTCAGAAGCTCAACTTGAATGATGATGATGAAAGTTCCAGTAGTAGTGAAGATGAGGTTGAGGATGATTTGGACAAAACTGATAAATTACAGGCAACCAATGCAAAAGAAGGCTCAGATGTGGAGTCCTCGGATGACGACGACGATGATGCTTCCACCGGAACTTCAAGCAGCTTTGAAGTTGACCCATGCAGCGTGAAAATTGGTGGAGCCGCTCAGATTTCAGTTTCACAGCAAGAAAGGTAGTAAATCTAATACAACCTCCATTTGAATGTTATTATATTTTTACGTACACCTTTCACGTGAATATATGCATAAGGATCACCAATTTGCCCGAGACGTACATATTTATTCAGAGAAGAATGAACGATAAAAAATGCACCACTTTCCATTCACAATACAATGACAGTCCGTAATTCAAAGATTGAGCTAATACACGTAACATGACACGAAACACAGTTTTATCCCACAAATCATAGTCGTTGGACTTTTAAATCCGTTTTAAAATGGATATTTAATGAAAGCATGCAGAGGAAAGTTTTACATCTACAAGCAACAAGTTGAATGCGTGTACATATATTCCTGAAATTGCACCCTCTCACTTACTGTTTCAATTTTATACCCATTTTATGGTCGCATGCTTTGTATTCTTCATATCATTACTTCTTTCCTTAATGTCGTGTCATTTCCCCCTTTTTCTGATGTTCCTCCACTACTACTTGATATGTTTACTTTACATTTCTACACACACACAGTAAAATTAATGTTGTTATTTCTGTAATCCTGGAAATAAGCAGAAATCACGGTCGGACTGGGCAAAAAAAATCCATTCTTCTTTTACCCCTTTCCTCCGAAATGTGAGAAAACTATTTTCACAAATGTTATACCCTGTGAAATTTGGAATATTGTCCTCTTTCTCACGAATCGAGAAGCAAGCTATTTAGTATAATGATTCCTGGAATTTATCTCGTTGCGACACACCCCAACATTACACGTAAACATTTTTTAGCTGTAGTTTAGCTTAACAAGGTTGAAGACTTGAATTGCTTGAGTGACACAATTTTTTGATCGTCATCTAAAAATCTGGAACTGGATTGCATAAAGTACACTTGCATTTGCAGCGTTGCATGAAGATGACAACAACTTTGATTTATTTTGATACTTTTATTATTCCCTTTGAAGCCAAAATTAGTACATCAGTCAGTCATCATCAGAAGATAAGTAGACCTTCCAGTTTAATCTTGTCAAATTTACGAGTGTCCTTTCGCCCCAATTAAGCCAAGTTATACATGTATTTATATATACTTGAAACATTTACGACATGTCCTCAGACTCGTCGAATTCATTTTAACGTGTCCTATCCTTAAGACTAATTTTTATTGAATCGAGACTCTTGTATGTTGTCCTCAGTTCCGAAAATTGTCTACCATTAGTTAGTCGCTATTAGTACTGCAAAGTATGAATTCTAGACTGACTGCAATCTCAACATATGGTGGTGAGTGCAATAGAACTTTAATGAGTAATTGTCTATATATATATTTACACGTGCTCTCTATTTTCGAATAATTAGCATGCATTAGAGAATTCGTCGTACTTTGGTTTGGGCAAAGTCTACTTCCGTTTCCGTCATAACCGACACTGACAGAAGAGAGAAGGGAAAATTATTCAGCCATTTCCTGGCATTCTTATACATATGCACATATGTATAACCAGTGAATGATCCACGGATCATAGTACTATTAGACCCTGTTCCGATTTTGCAACCAGATTGGCAAGTTGTATTAACAAAAAATTGTGCACATGTAGCGTTTGTGTACATACATACGTATATATGCATACATATATTGCGAAAAATGGATATTCTACGGTTATCAACGCTGTACGTACGTTGATATTGAAAGACGTCGTCTGTTAGACTTTGTGTAGACTTTATATGCGTAGGTATACCTGGCTGGATAAATTGAACTGTGTTCATTAACAAACGGTTTCGCTAAATGTGGGTTAGGAGACGAAAATAGAGTACATGTCATTAAACTTTCTGCAAACCCACAAAGAAAAAAATGTACAGCATCTCCTCCCAAGCATTGAGCTGTCGTTCATCTTGTATCGCAGCGACGCTGACTTGTCCATCCATTTGGCTGTCAAACTTTTGAGGAAATACATAAACTGCGATGTTAATTTCTTAATGCTCTCACTTTATAGGTGCACAGGAAACTCTGAACAGATGCCACAACGTCGACGATCTTCTGGGACAGAAGATCAACAAACGCTACTGATGACCAAGGATAAGAAACAACAGGTAAGACAACTCATTTCATTTTGCCCCACGGACAGTTTTTTTGTGGCTGATTGGGTTGGATCATTAGGTGCAAAGGATGGATGCTATAAGCTTATTACATATTACATAGGCAAATGCAAATCAGTGTTATAGGGTTAGTGTTACAAGTTTTATGAATGGACAGGTTGCATATAAAGATGGTTTTTCCCCTGCATTATTTACAGACTGTGTGTACTTCTGGAGGAAAATGAAGATTTATCTTGACAAGTCTTCAAATCAGAAACTTGGTCAAATTAGCGATGCATTCATTTGAAGGGTTAACCTTCATTAACTCAAAATACTGTATATGCATTACGCACAAGAGTCTTTTAGATCTGCACTATGCACTTGTACAACAGCGGTTGAAGAATTTTGTTTCGTAAAATCATTTCATTTCATATAATATATAATTACATATTATGTAAAAATTCATCCTTCCTCACTCACCTGACTAATTTTAAGAAAACAATGTACTGAGCAAATTAAATGAAAATGGTAAGAGGAAAGATCGACCTCCCTGAACCTGGAAGGTTGATGGAGTTTGCACTAATCCTGAATATGCCTGATCTTTTCGTGTCATGACGATGAGAAGAAATATGTTTCATTGTTGATTAGTTTCTGTTGATGCGGATAAAAATAACTTGACTAGAAATTAATGAAAGTGAAGGCATTAGTTCCAATTAAGTGAAAGGCAGCACGGACAATGTACAAAGTTCATAGAAAGGAACTATTTTGTACACGAGGAGTTTAGATTCTCACCGTTCACAAGGTAATGTACATACATGTACATATATACTTAGGTATGTACACATTTATGTGTAAGAACACTCGCTGGTGGTCCAGTCAGACCAAGTTGGACGATTTTCATGTTTATTAAAATTAATGTGAGATTTTCAAGGGGTTTGGTTTACTAAAGATTTGAACATAAATATCATACTTTGAATTTTCTCCCAGCAGCAGGTTATCAAAATAAATTGGAATAATAGAGTCTCAACTGCACCATATATACCTATGAGTGATTTAGTAATAATAAATTTTTGGATTTTGATGTGAAAAGACAGCATTATTATATTGCTCCAGAGTTAGTTTTCAGTTTTCAACGTGTTTGGTCTCGGCTCACCATTAAATAGGCTTAAAATCTCTCAACTTGGAAAAATATAAATGATATATTTATACCATAATTGAAGGTTCAGGGTTTTATATAGTTCGAGACTTCGGGAGACATGTGACATGTGTATATCGTGTCGACATATGGATAAGAATTTTATATTTTATTTAACTGTTTGTATTTACCATATCAGAGTGCAGATCTTAAATATTAATTGCTTATAAAATTACATAAAGTTCTAGATTACAGTTGGCAGATTATTTACTGATGCGCGTAAAAATTTTAAGTCGAAGTAAGTAAGTCAATAAATTGTAGTTCGGCCAGTTCACGAGTTCAATAATATTCCAGCCAGCATGTAAATGTTGTCATTTGCAGATCTTGGTGCTGGTTCAAATGTAAAACAAATGAAACAGAAAAGTACAGAAATCGCATATGTGGGAGTATGAACTTAGACAAGCTAACGTCGTGGAGTAGTAAAGCTCTTTAATGTTTGTTGGAAATAGACCAAAGGCTTAAGAAGCAACTCGAACTTATGTGTGTTGTGATTTAACTTCCTTCCAATTCATGTTGAACTACAGCAAATGCCAAGTTGCAACGAGACAGTTCGGCTCTTCCTTCTTTTCCTCTCTGGGATTTTGAGTATCACGGTGTGTTTTTTATTTTCTTACTTTTCTGTTTCATTGGATCGTACAGATCTTTTAGTCACGGTGGTTCACAACTACTATACATACCGAGGAGGAAGCTCGGGTTGCTGGCATTATTGTATTTAAATACCACTGCCTTCACTTACCCGAGGCATCAGCAGCAGTGGGAGTTGAAGAAGAAGAAGAAGAAAAGCACTTGACATAAGATGAGACATGAAACTGCATCCATTCCATTTATGCCTTATCCCAGGAAGACGGACGGACGGGGAACAAAATAGCGTGAAGTGTGCAAAGAAGAAATACACATAAGGTACTCGGATCTTCGATCTTCTCAGCGTCGTCGTCTTTTTTTTCATATCTTTTCTACCAACGCTCGCTGACTCCTGTTACCCTTTCTTGACTTGCTTTTTTCCAGCAGTAAAAAAAATCAGGTTGGCTCAGCTTTCCATCATCCCCACGTATGTATAGATGGATAACCCAATATACCTGATCCTGCTTTGAGACATACGTACATAGAACCAACAACTGGGGTGTGAGATATCGACTACACTTGCTTGATTCAATTTAGAAGATTCAAATTCAAGTGAGCACGTTTGATGAGTAAAGCGGAGTCTCATTTGGTGTATGATTGTATTATTATTATTATGACCCAACCAAGCTCTTTTCTGCAGCTTTATTATCGACTATCCACCAACCAAACGTAAACGTAACTTGGCTCGTAAAATAGTTCCCATGATATGATGAGCATATTGAAAGCAATGGAGGCCGAGGAATCAAAAGCCCCAGTTGAGACACCTTCTCGAGCCAGTTGTGCTGTAGTACACGCAGGCTGCACACACGGTCTTTGTTCTCCTGCCTGCACATTACCCCTTGCGTCACAATCACTTCATCCAGCGTGGTGGTTGATACCATACCCCGAACAAATATTTTTTTATCCTACCCTACTCGTGTTGAGCTCAACATGAGTAGGGTAGGATAAAAAAATATTTTTCCGGGGTATGTTGATAACACATTGTTATTCCTCTCAAGTCCTGGGCTTGGATTGGAGTGAATTGTGATGATTAAACGTTTATTTTAAGCTATACTTGGCAATCTCACATTGTACCTTAATACCATCATCACCAGTCAAATGTGTATTTACGACATTAATTGAGTATGATTTGGTGCAAATATTAAATTTTGTGAAGTGACTCAACGAGTTGAACCAACCAATTGTGAGCGAATTGCATGAGACAGTTTGAATTGGACGATAGCTAAATAACTGAATAAGAACTAATATGCACTAAAAATATTGTCAAGTTCAAATATGTCACAAACTGACGTCAGGACAAAGGAATGTGGTTAATGGGACAATTTTATTACTCACATTGCAAGCACAATAATAAGTTTATATAAATGTCGGAAATACAATAACGTTGAATTGTCGCTAGTGAATGAATAATGAAGTTGGAGGATTTGCTTTCTCAGAAGCTATTCATGGACTATACCGGCAAATAAACCTGTTTCATTTCTCAGATACGAAAAAAGATAGAAATTCCTTGCGGTTAATTGTTCCATAGTCCTAGAAATGTCGGAAAACGATAAGGTAGAAATAATATGAGGAATGAGGAAGACCACGATTATCGCGTCCAGTGAAGAAGATAGAAAATACGTACAATTTGTTAATTGGCATAGTCCACTTTATTAGTTATCGTTATTAGTTTGAATACATTTAATTCAACTGCTCTCTGGATTAACACCAATGTGTGAACTCTGAAACTAGAACATACTTAGCTCGTGCTGTTTCTGGTTTTGGCTTGTAGCACGTGTCCTTGTGACAAACAACGCCAAGATTTTTGTTTATCTTTCTGTCAACGTAAATTAGAATTTTGATTTTTAAATTACACGTGTTGATCTCAATTTCTGAATAATTATTTAAATGGAAACCTTCACGGCGAGAATACAATATCTCAACGACACTGACCCCTTCAGTTGTGCTTCACTGTATCCCGAACCCAGCCGACCTCCCACCTACGCATTTAGTGTCCATCTTCCCCTAATCAATCAGATTGCTTCCGTTCATCGCCTTCTTGGAGCTCCGCATCATGTAAGCATTTCATTTTTCAACTCTACAGAACAGAAAAATTGTGACTTTGCAGTATTTCCCCAATTCATGTAAATAAGCGTCCGGTCGTACCAACTTGGAAAATTGCGATTGGTTCGCTTTAAGAATAATGACCAAAAGTTGGAATAGTCCACTTCATAAAAATTCCTCATAACCCTTATTACACAATGGTGCCCATTGTTAGAGAATTTTTTAAGTGCGTTCAATAAAATAAAATATTTCGTTAAACGTCTGGAATTTTTAAGAACAAGAGCAACTTGAGGCGATATGGATCATGCCCACTCAATTGTTTATATTTTTGTTTTCGGAATTGAGCATCACTCATACGATGTACCTACATATGCACCATGTAACACAAAATTACTTCAGCAACATTTGGTTTAAATTTGTTCTTAATACAGTATTATTGTGGCGTGCTGCTACTCTAAATTTTGATGATAACATGTACATTTTACCTACGTATAAGCACAGAGGTAATGGTTGATATAATCAGCTAGAGGAAGATTAAGTAATCCCATTTTATACGGTTTAATCAGCCTAATCGGCCATTCAAGTTCTTGTAATTCTGGGATGGAATTGGTCGTTTTCCGTAGCGTAGCATTGGCAGAGGAAGGGAAATTACATATGCAATAATGCAAATGTATCACATGAACGTGAACAATAAAGTGCATTTCAGTATGGGTGGGAAAATATATTCATAAGGCATTTGTGCACTGTGTGGAATTGCATAACTTCAATTGTTATGTTATGTATAAGAGGAAGGATGACGTTGTAGCCTACTTCCATCCATCCCTCCACCAACGTCTCACCACATTGCCAATTTATCTCCATTTGCTAAAAATTGCCTCTTGTAGTTTAAATTTTTGAGAATGAAATGCCCAATTAGGTTGGGCAAAAATTTTGCTGACGTGATTTAGTAAAGTCTGCCTAAAACAAACAGTTTTACTGTGTCTTATGTAATAATGGAATAATATTGCAAAAATCATCTTCTTAAGTAAGCAATTTATAGTAGAAAATTGAAAAGTGAAAGGTTTCTTGAATGTAAATTTTACCAGGAGAAATAAGGAATATGTATCTTTCCAAATGAATATCTGTCAGTTCTCAATGGAAATGCAAATAAAAATTA